CGCGCGGCGGGGGGGGGGGGGGACAACATCGACGCGGAGTTTTGCCCGCATGTCTCGGTTGGGCGTTTAGCCACCGATGGCCCGAGGACCGAGGCCCTAGGCTGGTATAGGAATAAGGAATACGTCGCTGACTTTGGAGCGGAGGCGTTGTGCAGAGCTTGTGCGGAGCTAGCAAGCAACAGATCAACAACAACCATGTCGCGGATCGCGATAATGACACCGGGCAGAGGACCATGTCGACGTCCGAGAGCGCAGTCGACCTCGAGGCAGAGAAAAGGAGAGGCAGGCTACGACGGGGAACGGCGGGACGGCCGCGAGAAAGAGCTGGGCTCTCGAGGTGGGGAAGACAGGGGGGGGTTCAGGTTGCAGCGCAGGAAACCCTTCCAGCCGGGCTTTGACAAGCAATTGGCTGCAACCCCTCAAAACCCACCCACACCATCATCACTCAAAAATCTCCCTGGGGCAGGTGCGGCCACCCACACAACCGGTGATTGCTGGGAAGCACTTGAGGAAGGCACGGCAGCTGCTGCCGTGTTGCGCTCCTACTCCTCCTGCTGCTGCTGCTGCTGCTGCTGCTAAATTGCTGCTAAATTGCTGCTTCTGCAGTCCCGCCAACTTTAAAGCTTAATTGTCCTCTCAGGGCCAAGACCGCCTTTTGGCTGCCTGAGCCAATCACGGCGCCCAAATCTCAGCGCGACGGCGACTGCTTTCCGACTTTCTCTTTGGGGCTGCACGACATGACAAGCCTTCGAGTCTTTTTGAACCACACACACACAACCCAAACAAAGACACCAAAGTCCAGACCATGTGGCGTTGGTTGTCCGAGAACGCTCCGTCGTCGCTTTCGGGATCCCCATCTTCTCCTTTCTTTCTTTGCTTCTTCGTCCTTCTTCTCACGCCCCCCTCCCTCCCCAAGCCCACTCATCCTAAACCAGCCACTAGCGACTAGCGCCCATAGCAGCAGCTAAGCGGTCCACCCCTCCTTCCTGCCTCCCGTCCTCCCGCTCCGCGAGCTTAAAACTTCCGTTTTGGGACATCCCATCCCTTGCGCCATGTGATGATGCAATCCAAGCATTATGCAGGAAAGGATGGGTCGTGGACACAGAAACACGACTTATACAGGAGAAACTAGGGATTTGATAACCTGGGAGGGGGGGCTTGGATTAGCGATTAGTAGTGGTGCCCGTGAGTGGTTGCCGCCTCTCTCCGGCTTTAGCCTTGGCGCTTCCTTGAATGCCACCACACGTTCCCCGGAACCAACCGAAGGACGTTGCAGCGTTCATGAGGAGGAGGAGGGGGTGGCCTCGCTTATCTTATCTGTGCTCTCGCCTAGGTTTCTCGGTGACTGAAACTATTTCACATATCCCGTCCTCGAACGAGAGGACGGCAGCGTGGGCTGGTATCTCAGGGGGCGTTATCCACCCGAGTTTTTTTTCTTTTTTTTCGCAGTTGCCTGAGAAAAGCGAGATTGCCTCTGCAAAATCTCCTCCGAATCATCCCTTTTTCTCTCTCTTTTCCTCACCGGAAGCCCACTCGCGAAAAAAGCCACGTTTTAGGTGTCACATCTGTGGCGTCGTGTATTTGGGGGCCAAGCATGCATACCCAATTGGAAAGTTCACCGAACCCCTAAAGGTGCCTACCATTAGGTGAATAGCAACGAAATATTGATTGACCCCATCAAACGGCCCAAGGCAGCAGGCAAACAAGACGCGGCCAAAAATAGTAGAAGCTTGACCACAAATGATCCTAGTCCCCACCAGTCATCCAACAAGCCTAACGAAACGGAACAGGGGGGGGCAACCCGCCTTGATACCCGCCCCCAAAAACAAAGGGAGAAAAAAAAGGGGAGGGACAAGAAACCAGGCGTTTGGAAACCATCCCCCATGTGAAGATCCATGTCTTGTCCTAAACACAAAATCGCTGCCTGGGGCTTCGCCCACCTCTCCTCGGGGGCGTTTACAAATCCCCCATTTCGAGAAAACACCCAAAGCAGGTAGCTTGACGGGGTGGGGGAGATATCCATCGGCACAGCCGCCGCGCCGTTGGGCTGGGTCGTCTAGACGTACGGGCTGCAGGGCTCAATATAGCCCCATCATGGACTAAACTAGCCTTGCATTGCATACGGCACCCATCTAGTAACTATCTGGGTGCCTATCTGGGTACGGTACTGACTAGGTAGTCTATATCCTGCAGAGTGGAGTGGTGTGGGACATGACAGCCACGCCAGTGCTTCGGCATCCCAGCCGAGGAAGCGGCATGGACCTTCATCGAGGGGTCCTTCTTTGCTGTACCGACTTCTTGCTCCGGACCCCGTCCCGACGGCGCCAGGCGCCGCCATGTGTCGTGATGGCCGGGCTAGTAGACACACGCCCATCTAGGACGAGTGCTCGCCGCGGCGGGCATCCCCCCACGGCCTTCTGGTCTCCGGTAGCCCATGAGCATCTGACTGGCAGACACCCATCCAGTCACTTGCCTGCCGGGAGAGCGAGTTGCCTGCTGCTCCTGATTGACAGCAGATGGAGCAGCCCGCCCTCTTCGTAGCTGCCAACTGCGGGACCGACCGTGACCATGTGGAACCGGCCCCTCGCATTATCGAGTCCCGACCCCAGCATCGGCTCGAGTTTCCCAATGCCGTGGCCGCGCGCTGCGGCCCTCTTCCAACTTAACAGTCCATTTCATGGCCATTCGGCAATGGGAATGGGTATCTTGTTTCTGCCGCTCGCTGCCCATCCCTACCTGTCCAGCGCCCGTAACCCCGCCTTGGCCTGCCTGACCCCGTCGTCGAAGCCGATGCGCTCGCTTAGGGCGATGCACTCGTCGAACCGACGGCGCGCCCCGGCGGCGTCGCCGAGCATCTTGGCAATATCGCCGAGGTTGCATAGCGACACGGCACAGGCCTGGTCGCACTCTGGGGTGCGCTTGTCGCCGCTCGTCTCGGCGGCGAGGCGCCGCGCGTTGTCGGCCCAGTTGCCGGCGTGCTCTAGGTAGGTGGCCCTCGTCGCCGCCGCCGCCGTAGGCGCAGGGGCAGCCATCGCGGATTTGCTTGCGTCGCTGGTTTTAGCACCGCCATCGCCCAGCACAGCCCCCTTGTTACCACCGCTGCCGGCAGGCCCCGCACTCTCTGCCGGCCCAAGAGGATCCACCAATGGAGTGTGCAGAGGGTGCTGAACAAAGGATGCGGCGATGTTGTTCACTTTGCAGATCGATAATTAGTCAGTGATTGTGCTCGCAAGCAGCCCGCGGCTCGAGGCACCGCGAAACAACTTACTTATCACTGCGCTGTGGCAGGGATCCTGGCAGAGATGAAGCGCTTGCAGGAATGCGGGCACGGCAAGGTGAGCCTGGTCCTTGGATAAGAAACTGGTCCCGAGAGCTGCAGGTTCGGCTCCAAGTTAGTCAAACAAGAAAAAAAACGACCATCCCGGCGCATGTAACAAGGGGGTCCGGGACATACCCTCCAGAGCTCCGCCCATCTCCTCGGCGTTGAGCCACTCGCCCTCACCCTCCTTGACACCCTCGACGGACCGACGGCGCATCTCCCTCAGGCCAGCCTCGACGGCCCACACGAGGCTCTCGTGGGCCAGCTCGGGCTCGAGCACGTGCTGGTCCGAGTAGAGCTCGCCGAGCTTGACGCTGATGCCGATGGACCTGCGCAGGATCCTGTTGCGCTTGCCCCAGACCGTCTCCTTCTTTTGCCGAGGCGCAGCCGCCTCCTCCCCCTTCTTTCCCTCCTCCTGCCCCTCGGTCGCCGCAGGCATGACCACGGGCAGCTCCTTCATGCCCCGCTCCTCCGCCAGCGCGACCCAGCGCCTGCACTCGTCCAGCAGCGATGTCAGGGTGCGGATGGCGGCGTCGTAGCGCTCAATCTTCTCGAGCCAGGCGGCGACCTGGATGCGCACGCCCATGAACTCGTCAGAGAAGGGGTCGAGCCCGGCCTGGACGCAGCGCTCAATGGCCTCGCGGTAGTATTTGAGCGCGAGCTTGGGGTCGGGCGCGTAGTTGCTGTAGTAGAGCGCGCGCCGCATCGCGTCGGCCACGGGCGCCGGCAGCGTCGTGAACTGCTCCGAGTAGAAGTAGGTGAAGTAGATGCGCACCGTGTACGCCACGACGCCGGCCATGACGACGAGCCTGCAAAGACGCAATAGAGATGACGGTTAGGATCAGGACGTAAAGGAGGCGCCTTTTTTTTTCCCCTCCCAGGCCGGGCACGAGGAGTTCTAGAAACTCACGATATCAACGCCAGCCCCATCTCCCCAGGGTGCTGCCGGAAGATGGCGCGAAAGTTCTCGCCGCGGACGGCGCGCGAGAGGCTCCCCAGGCTGTCCCTGAATAGGCGGCGCAGGACCTCGCCAAACGTCGGGCGGCGCGGCGGCGGCGGCCCCTTGTTCTTCCCGGCGTGCTGCGCTCCTCCGGTGGCAGCAGTGGGCCGCTGGCTCGTCGTCGACCCCCATCTGCGCTGCCCACCTAGGCTGTGGTATCGGTATCCGGACTGCTGCTGCTGCTGCTGCTGCTGCTGCTGCTGCTGCTGCGGCTGTTGTTGCGGCGTGAGGCAGAACCGCACGAGAGGGGCGGCTCGACCACGGCCCGGCAGGCCCGACGTGATGGCGCGCGCTGCCGGAGTGGTGCAGCGCATGGCGCGTATGCTGTGTAGTCTCGTCGAGGCGGACATGGCTGAACCTCAGCTGGCGGGGGTTTACATTGCTCTCGCTGGTTTCCGGTGGCAGAGCTGGGCGGTCGACCAATTCGTTGTTTGGTCGTCTCCGAACGGGTTGGAAGCTGGTGATGTTTTTGTTCCTATTCCTCCTTTTCCATGTGCCCCCTGCCTGAAGCTGTGAGGGGCCAATCGAAGCAAGCTGCGTGCGGGTGACGACAGAAAAAAAGCTGGAGGTGGGGTCCCCCCCAATGGTTCCGTGGCCCGAGCTCCAATCCACATGGAGCGAGCTCCGAGGCCTGGCGGGGACGAGTATCACGGAACGCTGGGGAAGCGAGGCACCTTCCTCGTAGAACCATTTACGCCATCTGTCTCACGTCGCTCCGTTGCTCTTGCCAGAACCTGAGAAACACAAAACAGCCCTCTACCCCCGACGAGCTCTATATATAGGGTACAGGGTCGAATCCTGCGCTTCCATCTTCCCGCCTGCGGTTTCCCGTCGTCCTCAATCAACCAACAAACCACCCTATCCCCGCTTCCCCGCCCACAGCTCCAACCAAAAGCAGCCACAATGACGGGCGGCAAGTTCGAGCCCAAGAAGCCAGTCGAGCTGGATCCCCCCAAACTAGACGTCAAGATTTCCAAGGACGATCTCGCCAAGGCCATCGGTAACTGCCTCTGCTTTCATGTCTTCTTTTCGTGATTACAGCATGGGGCCACTAACATCGCCTATCTATCCAAAGGCCTCGAGGACGGAACGTGCTATGTTGGCATAAAGGTGAGATGATATCAGCCACCGCCCCGATCCTCGTTCACCGGCCTGCTAAACAAAACAATCACCACCTCCCAGGGACTGGTCTATGACGTCACGGGCAACAGGGCCTACCAACCCGGGGGCGCTTACCATGGTATGGTACCTCCATTGCACTTTTCCCGCTATCTCTCAGCCGCCAGTCATCCTCTCCCCCAAAGGAGCCTACTAACACCCAGACAAGTCTTCGCCGGCAAGGACGCATCCCGCGCCCTCGCCAAGTCGTCCACCCAGGCCGAGGACGTCAGCCCCGAGTGGAAGGACCTGGACGAGAAGGAGCAGGGCGTGCTGAATGACTGGATCACCTTCTTCAGCAAGAGGTACAACGTCGTCGGCGTCATCGACGGCGCCGACAACCTGGCCGAGGAGACCGTCCCCAAGGAGTAGGGGTAGAAGAAGCCCACGCCCATCACTGTTGATAGTCTCTTAGAAACCCGACCACAATGCAACGCCACAACGCGCGCCTTCAGATGCTCTTTCATGAATGTCACACGCATGCACTCCAACACTTTGGAGTGGCCCGGCTTGCCTATGGGACGGACATGGCTTCGTTTCTATTCATATCACCCTATGTCTGATTTTGTTTCTCCCTCGTCAGCATCCCCGCGCCCCGTGTCTTCGCCCCTTGGAATCACGTCTGATAACGTTCCGTTCGCAATCCATCCACCAACAAACAATCCAAGTTAGCCGAGGTCCGAGCTCGCCGTGGACCCTTGATTCTCCTCCCCTTGGCCCAACTCCCATAGCCAAGGCCTTCCTCCTCACCGCCAGAAGCTTGTGTTGACATCCCCACTTTCTTTGCTTGTCGTTGCCGTGATTAATTTTACTAGAGCCCTTATGATGCGGGCCGAGGAGAGAGCTGTAGTAGACGAGGACGGAAAATAGGGGCTGAGAAGCATGGCCACCAAAGGGAATGCGAGTCAGACCAACAGCCGATGACCGCCCAAGAAGGTACTAAAAGGATGTAGAGATGTAAAAAAGGAGAAAAACACAAAAGGTGCCGCCGATAATGATGAAAAACAAGTATACCGCTCCATAATCCCTGATTTTTTCCGAGAAACCTTGCCTCGCACCCCCAAAAAGGACAACCGAGACAAACGAGTGCACGCCCGGGTGGTGAGAAAAGTAGAAAACAAACCAAACTGTATGCCCACAACAGCGGAGAAAGCGACGTATGCCCCCAAGGTTCCCCGAGGGCCAGTTAAACATGGGGTTTCAAACGTGTATGCTAAACGCCCCATCTACCAAACAAAATACAGATGACACGCCTCTCGTGACAGAAAGGTTGGGCCTCTGTGAACACAGGTCCTGCTTTTTCCCTATGTTGTGTTATCGGTGGAGGCGTCGGAAAGGAGAGATATCCGGTGTGGACCTCGGTGATCATCGCCATCTAGACCGACGGCGTGGCGCCTATATGGGAGAGCGTGGCCTCAGGCTAGGGATGCGGACACGGATCCGATCAAGAGCGATAGTTGCAAGTATATACTATACTAGCCGGCAGGCTCGATCGGTCACGTCGCAACTGCCCCAGGAAGAACGTGGCCGCCTGTAGCTGACCCATTCATGTGTTCTGCGGGTTTGGCGGATCCGTTGGTCTGGATGTCAGGATCCGGGGTCTGTGGCTGCGTCTCTGGGACGATGAGCGGCGGCTCGGGGACAATGGATGGCGAGTTCGGCGGCGATGGCTTCTTCTCTGGCGTTGTCTTGCGCGTCAGGGATGCCGTTTCGGGTTCCTCGGGTATCGTGGCGAACTTCTTCAAAACTTGCTTGAGTGCAGGGCGGCGGATGGGCTTGGCCAAGAACTCGTTCATGCCAGACTCCAGACAGTCCTTGACGTTGCTCTCCTCGGAGAAGGCCGTCAGCGCCACAATGGGAGCCGAGTAGCCCATTTTTCGGATGAGCCGCGTGCTCTGAAGACCGTCCAGGTTGGGCATCTGAATATCCATAAAGATCAAGTCAAAGAAGAGGTTCTTCTCCATGTTGGACTTGACCACCTCGAGCGCCTCCTGCCCATCCGTCGCGACCGTTACGTCCGACACGTGCTCGAGCCTGAGCATCTTGCTCACGACCTCGATGTTGGTCGAGTTGTCGTCGGCAACAAGTACTCGCAGGTTGCTGCCCTTTTCTGCCACGGCCTTGGCGATCTTACGATCAAGTTCCGCCGCCTGTTCCTCCTTGCTCGGCGTCCGGCCCTGTGTCGGCGAGAAGAAGGGGTGACTAAGCCCAACCAGACGCGGCTTGTTATCCAGCACAGATGCGTGCTTCCCATCCGTGGTTGGCTTTGTGTGGGCCTGTCTGGAAGTATCCAGGTCTACAGAGCCGACGCTGGGTGGTCTCGACTTGATGCTACTAGATGCGGTGCTAGACGCCCTTTGATGACAGAGGGTTGAGTCAGTATCGTCATCCCTGCGTTTTGCCATTTCAATGATATCCATCAGCCTCCCGAGATTTCGACTTGACAAAAAGAGACGAGAGCCATACCTGTCTTTGACGTATCGGAGCGGAATCCGCATTGTGAACACCGAGCCCACACCCATGGTACTTCGCAGAGTTATGTTGCCGCCCATCAGTGTGGCGAGCTGTTGGCAGATACTAAGGCCGAGACCAGTGCCGCCAAACTTCTTGCTCAAACCCAGATCTCCCTGGACGAAGGGCTCAAACACGCGCACCCGCAGGTGTTCCGGAATGCCCGGGCCCGAATCCTCGACCTCGAACTCGAACAGGAACGACTTGGCGTTGGGCGGCGGCGGCGTTGGCGATCGCTCCCTAACTTGCACCATCGGCCCGCTGTGCCCTTTAGGCTCCATCGGGTTGATGGCCAGGGCGGTGCCCTGCTGCGACGTGGGCGGCGCGACGGCCGTCTTGGAGCTTGTCGAATGTGCCGACGAGGAGCCCATCCTATGTCGCGTCCGGCCGGCGCGGGCGGAGCCCGACCGGGAAAAGGACGATGTCCTACTAGTGTCGTCGTTGGCGTTGTCGATCTCCTCCAAGCACCTGATCCTCAGGTCCACCTTTCCGCCCGCAGGCGTAAACTTCAAGCTGTTGCTAACCAGGTTGATGATGACCTGCAGGATCCGTTGCTGGTCGCCCCAGAGGCACATGTCCTTGAGCCGGCCAGTGCCCATGGGGCCCAGGGCCGGAAGTCTCGTCTCCATACTGCGGCGCTCGGGGCCCGTCCCCTCCAGAGCGTCCCCACCGGTGAATTCGACGGTGAAATGCGTCCCACTCTCGCGCACCTGCTTATCGAAAATCGCGAGGAGCTGTTGACGTATGTCTCCTAGACGAAATTCTTTCTCCTCTAACCCTATCCGGTGGCCAATTTGGTTTTTGGAGAAACTCAAGAGATCCTCGAGCAGATGGAGTAGCAAATCGCCAGACTTATATAACGTCTTAAGTGATTGCTTGATCCGAGAGACGTCCGTTTCTTCCATACAGACAGCGCACATTCCCATGATGCCGTTGAGGGGCGTCTTGAGCTCGTGCGATATGTTCGCTATGAAGAGTGTTTTACTCTCATTGGCGGCCTCGGCAGCCTTCTTGCTGATCTCGAGCTCCCTGGTCCTCTCGGCCACCTTGTCGTCGAGCGACGTATACTGCTTATACAATTCGTCCGTCATCTCGTTGAACGTTTCCGTCAGCTCCGTCAGTTCGTCTGTGATGTAGTGCTTGCGGTCTGTGACCTTGCCGGGAATCTTGAAGACACGCCGCTGAGACGAGCTCCCGTCCTGGTCCTGGTTCCGCTGACGATTCCTCCTTGCTCTGGTCTTGCGCAGTATTGCCCCCACCCAGCCCTTTTCCGACAGCGAGGATAGAACGCCGGACCCAGGCGTCTCGCTGTTGCCGCCGCCAGGGTAGTCGTCGTCGTATCCCGGAGGCGCAATGGACTTTTCGGTGGCCACCTTGAGATCCCGGATGGGTCTCACGCCGACGTGGGCGCAGGGGAAGATGATGAGCGTCATGAGCCCGGCCGTGCCGAACACGCAGCCCAGCAGAATGTTCCTGAGCGTCGTGATGGCAGCCAGGGCCTCGCCTCTCTCCTGCTCCACAACAACAACCCACTGGACAAACGGCGAGTTGGGGCGGGCGGTACCGACGGACACGCTCAGGCCTTGCTCGTTGGTGGTCCACAAATTCGCCTGGGCATTGTTGATGGATTTATTCTGAACGCTCGTCAGGCTGGTGGCGACTGCTGGAAAGTCGGCGAGCGCAAAGGCCTCGTCGTAGCCGCCAGACTCAAAGTTATGGTTCGAATGGCGGTCGGCTGTGCCGTTGGCGGCGCGGGGCGGGAGTATGAACTGAACCTCGGTGCTGGAGACGAAACGGGTTCTATTAGGAACCGTAAAGGTCGAGTTGCTAGGCGGATCCGTCGCGTTAAAACGGTTCGACTGGGAATGAGGACCGATAATCAACGTCATTCCGGTGCGGCCGAGCCCCTCGGGCGAGTTGCGGATCTGAAGCAGTGTCGAGGCTGAGGCGAGCAGGGTCATGTAACCTATAACGAGGCTGTTCCCGTTGGCCCTAACTGGGACTGTGAGCGACACAATGGCATAGGTCTCGTTTACTATCAGAGGCCCAAGAAAAAGCCCGCTCGTCAACCTAAGGTCCGAAAAGGCGTTGGCATAGAAGACGTTGGTGTCGGGTGAGATGTTACTTGGCTGCCCCGTGTCTGTGTATGTGATGTTTGGGTAGAGGACGGCAGGGTAGCCCCCGGGGACGTCGCTCAGGATGGCGTTTGTGCCATTAGCGTTCTTGAAAGGGAGCGAGATGTTGTGGAACATCTTGGAGGTGACGCTGATCAGGCCCTCGGCAGTGCCGCTAGAGTTGCGCGAGTAGATGCGCGCCTGCAGCAGGTCGGGAGAGCCGGGCTGGTTCAGCGCCGTCTGGATGTCGTCGTTAGCGGCGTCCCATTGATCCGTGGTGTTAGTTCCGTCGTAGAAGCTCGTTATGGCCTTTTGGATTAGGACTCGGGTGGCGATGGTCTGGCAGGTGGTTTGGAGAAGGTCGATCTCGGCGGCGATGCGCGCCGCCTTGAGCGAGGCCGTCAGGCCCAGGGCATTCTGCTGGACCCCGGTGACGAAGTCGTTAACGTAGATCCAGACCGGAATCGACACGACGGCCAGTGCCACCAGCGTTGCCAGGACCACCAGCAGCGCGAGCTGCTCCCGGATTGCTATCCGCATGGCGCCAGGCTATAAGAGCGAGTCTGACGGTGGCGTCTTCACTGCATGCATGTCTCTGCGGCCGGCGGACAGCAACAAACTCCAGCGGATGGGCAGTTGGAGAGGCAAGGGCGTGGTCGCCGCTGGAGTAGCCGTCGGGGACTGTGTCGCGGCCGCGGTTGTCGTCGTCGACGGTAGTGAGCTACCGAGGTCGACGGGGAGGTCGGGAGGTAGGCAGGGCGAGGCCGACGGGACTGAGGGTTGAAGATGGAAGGAACGCGGGTGGAGACGTGCAGCAGCGAGGCGGTAGAAAATACAGGCCTCCTACGCGGCGACTGAATGATCCGTGCCCGTGGAGACGGGACTTGGCGGAGCGGGGAGTCGACCCGCAGGCGGTGACCAGCAATACATGCAACAACCGGCCGAGGAGGGCGTGAAGATGGGGACGGGTGGATGACAATTGTCGACGTAGGAGGACGGACGGTGTAGGTCGGTGAGAGTGCCAGGGCCGGCGAAGCGAGAGATGGATACAGGTTATGGATGCTTGTGTGTACGTGTGTGGAGAAGATAGGTGGCTGTTCGTAGTGTTTTTTTTTTCTCTCTCTCTCTTTTTCCAAAGGGCACGGCCGAGAGTCGGCAGCGTCGGAGCGCGCACCTCGCCTTCTTCCACCAAGCCTTTTCGTATTATGGGCGCGGCGGAGATGTGCGAGGGCTGAGAAATTTCCTGGGAATTGATTGATGCTGCTTAGAACAGAGGCGCGCCCACCCGATGGCTGGCCAGGAATCCCGGTCGTCTGGGGCGTGCGGTGGAGACGCGGTTGATAATGAGCGCACGCATCAATGACAAACAAGAAACGGCCCTTCCCTCTCAGCGCTGTCCCGTCCTGGGAACGTGGATCGAGTCGAGTCGGGGAAAGCGATACCGGCAGGTCTGGCAGGGCGCAGGGTACAAAAGGAAGAGACGGCAACGACGGCGACGACGATGACGATAGCAAGGCGTGTGCGCACAGAACAGGAAGGATATGAGCGTCCAATGCCCGCCAGCAGTCTAGACTAGGAGACCCCCGAGGATCGTCGATCGGGAAGGCCAGAAAGGCCAATGGCTCGCAGCCAGGGCGGCCGGGCACTAGCACAAGGCAGTGGAAGGCACATGGTCGCCCAGCGCCAAGGAATGGGGTGGCGGCCACGGTCTCACGCAGCTGCCAGCGCCAACCCGACGGGGGAAAGGTCTAGACCGCGGCTGCCCTTTTTGGCCTGGAATCCTGCCCTTGGGGCGCGATTTCCAGACACGCAGCACACAGTCAGACAAGACAGCCAGGGAGACAACAACCAGACAGCGGAACACAGAGCAGGAAGGCAGCCGCAGAAAAAAACTCCGCCCACGTGCAAGACAAGGACAGCCCAGGACAGCAACAAGCACCGCGCGTGCATCTCACCCAAGCAGCTAATGGTTTCCACCTTTGCAGGGTCCGTTCCCGGAAATGCAGGCACTGTGGATGCGTTTTTCTACAATCCACGTCTTGTCCGGTTTTTTCTACAGTGGTACCCTCTCGTCCGCCGCCGCGGTTGCCAAGAATGCCCCCATGAATCGCACTCAGACAGCGCAAACTGCCGCGGAGCTTTTTGATCAAACGTGGGCAGCCGTCTCCACCGCCATGGAGAACCCGCCCCTCGTCCCCTGAACCAGGCCACAAGCGGTGCTCGAATCTTCACAGTCCGCGCCGACAAAAAAGCTGCGCCGTCTCCTCCTCGCCCACCGTCACCACCACCGCCAAGGTCCCCTAAGATTCCCCAAGCAGTCTTGCATTCTGTTAGTCAGTGCCACTATGCCGACGTGCCATTTATCCACAGAAAGAAACCCACAGTGGAGAGAGTAGGAGAACACGAACAAGGCGGACCCCTTGGCACTTCAACACAGATGAAGGAAGGGTAATAAAATAAAAAAAAACTGTTGTCAAGCTGTCGGCTCCTCGATTTTCGATCGGGGATTAACGGCAATCTGATTGATCGTCGTCGAGGTCCCTTCTTGCCTTCCGGTCCGTCCCTGCATGAATTATGGAAACAACTATCAAAAAACAAAGTCTTGGCATCAAAGCCTCAGTTTATCTGAACTAAGCATGACCCCTCGTCGGAGTGGAACATGAGAGCGCCTCTTGGATGCCCACGAACACGACACAAGCGTGACAAGGCAGAATAATAAACAGTTTCAGTTTTGGAGGTGACTAAAAATCAAGTGGCGCGGCCACCTCTGGTCTCTCTCGGCACACACAAGTACGCACGCCTCCTCCCATGGATCCCGCGGCGCCGGGCGGCCATGATGCCGGGCTCAGACGAGCCCCTGTGACCGGACAGCCGCCTCCCCCGCCGCGAGCTGTTTAGTGGGGGGAGGGGTGGGCGTCCACCAGCAAAACCCACCCATGACGCGAGCCCACGCCGGCACAGCGCACCAGCCAAGCCGGCAGAGACAGCGTCTCCTCTTGCGTGCATGTGCAGCGGATGACCGATTTTTTTTTTTAAAAAAAAAACACCGATATCATAAGACAAAAAAAAAAGAATGGTGCCGTCTCAAAGAAGACTAGACTGCAAGCTCTCCATCAACCTTTCCGCCGCGAGGAACCATCAGTCAAGTAGTTTCAGGCCGGGCCGGCATGGATACGGATATGGGCACGGAAGAGAGAAAAAAGAGGGAAAAAACAAACGAACGGAATCTCGGCATGGCACATCCCTTTCTTTGTGTTGCGCTTTTTTTTTCCCCACCGCTCCTGAGCCACACATCCAGCCTGTACGTTACTGCGTTCCGGTCTCGGTGGAATAACAAGCATTGTGGCTGCCCGCCCAACACGCCCCGCGGCCGTAGCCGTTTTTTTCCTTTCTTTTATTTCTTTTATTGTCCTACGACGCTCGCCCTAGAGCAGAAGACGTTGCGCATTCCAATCGAACAACACCAAAACCGAGGTTCGGGGCGTCGGAGCGTCCGGCAGGGCTGTTTGGGTGGTGAAGCAGGAACGAGTCGTCCAAACGGCTTCGTTTCTCGTGGCAACAGACAACAAGAGTCCGAGGGGGCAGAGTGATGATGACATTTGGCTGTGCTGTCAATAAACCTCCAACGCCAATGACGACGGGGTTCGCCCCTTCCCCTCCGAGCCCCAACACCACACCCTAGCTGGCGCATCCCGTTCAGCCCATGCAACAGCCCTGGTGCAGGCGTGCAGATTCTGGCACAACTGGCACACGTTTCGTTTGTCTTGAGAGAACCATGCTGCTCACTTTATCCGTATTTCCCGTATTTCCCGTATTCGAGCCAGGGCTGCGCTAAAACCGCACTGGAACTCTTCACGACGACACATATAGTGAAAAATCGGGATGGGAAAAAAATGAAACATGGCTTTCTTTCTTTCTCTTCTTCTTTCTTTCAGTCCCGCTAGATCCCACACTCCACGCACAAGGTCTGTCTCTTCCCCTATCAATCAGGGTTGTTCATGAAAACAAAACTGCCTGGCATCATACAACCAATCAAAAGACAAAGGACAAAAGAAAGGAGAAAGCCCCTCCCATTGCCCATCCGGTGCCGGCGAGGGGTTGTAAACGATAAAGCACCTGACTTCATCAAACAAATGAAAAAAAGGGGGTGGGAGGACGAAAAACGAAAAACGAAAAAAAAAAAAGGCAAGAGGAAGAGGAAAGTAATGTAAAGCTGGGAATACTGTGGAAATTAAGCTGTTGAACATGAAGAATGGGAAACCATCGTCTGAAAACTGGGCTTATGAGCAGAGTCTCGAGAAACAGGATGAGGGGCACGACTCAAAGGGAGTGGAAAGGAAAAAAAGACGGGCGGATGGGAAAACAAGACGTCGGAAGCAGATATCGAGGAGGCACATCGCCACCGCGATCCCAAACCCGTCGATCCCCTCATCCTGTCTGGTCTCTCTGTGCTCTCAAAGTCCATTGCACAACCGTCGCAGATATATCACAACCGGCGCCACACTTTGCTCCCTTCCATCCCTCCTTACCCAGTCGTCTCTGCAAGTGTACATGGTCTTGGATTGTATATATGGGGTTGAAAATCAGACGATAGAAGCATCAAGGGGAGCACACTTTCGAATTATTTAATTATGCCCTTCCCGGCTCCCGCCCAAGAGCGCCTGCCTTAGGCGCTCTGCGGCATGCTGGACTCTTTAGCTTCGAATGGAAACTGCCTCGAACGCGCACTTTCAACCTTTTGCAACCCGAGCTTTTCCAGCCCGGATACTCCGCTGTCGTTCTCGTCAAACACGATACCGAGGCCGCCGCCGATTGCGTCGGGGTTCTTGGTGATGCCGTTCTTTGTGCTGCTCTCGTCGTCGCCCTCGCCCGTCCCGGTGCTCATCATACTCCCCACCTCGGACAGCTTTTCGTCCAGGTTCATGAGGGCCGGGGGGCGGTGCCTCATCTTCTGCGCCTTGGATAGTGATATGGTCTTTTGCTGGTACGTGGTCGTTATCGGCTGCATGTCGTCGCGGTCGATGGTCGCCTTCATCAGCGCCGCCATCCAGAGTCTGCCCTGCTTCACGTTGGGCACGGCAAAGTAGTGCACCATGGGCTTCGTAAAGTTGACGGCACGTGACAGGCCGGCGCGTGGCGGTACCAGCTTGAAGATGAATATTGTGTCGGCCTCCTCCGTAACGTCGCGCTCGGCGTCGGTCGCCGCAAGCGTCTGCATTTGGCTGCCCGCCGGTATCGTTGGCGTGGTCGACGCGCCCGTCAGCGTGGCGTGCAGGCCCGTTAACCTTTCGTTGTCGGCCGGCAGCACGCGGTGGAAGGAAATGTCGATCAGGCCCTTCTCCTGATCGTCGTCCTCGGAGTAGTAATACGCCAACCGCCTCCCCTTGAGGACAAACAACCTCGGCTTCCACGTCGTCATCAGGTTGGAGCTCTTCTTCTTCATCCACCCACTATAGTCGGCGCCGGCCATGGCCTCGCGCGGGGTCACCTTGGCGAGACCTTTAAGGTATGCGCTGGTGTCCTTCTTGCCCTTCCTCTTGGGCATTCGCGCCGGCGGGGCCGTCGTTGTCGTGCTGGGGCTCTTTGCGCTGGGCGAGTCCAGGTCGAAGCTCGGGCCGACCGACGGCGTGCTGGATCCGGTCCTTGCCGGGGAGTGGATGGGAGAGTCCTTGGACGGCGAGTCGATGGGCGAGGCGACCTTGGAGCGTTCGTGGCCCGTCACCGCGTCCGAGATGGCTCTCAGCCCGAAGCCGCCATTCTTGAGCCCCGGCTTGGACAACCAGTCGACATGGATGCCTTGCTTTGGTGCTACTGCTGGTGAGTTGGGGGTGATTGGCGATGCGCGGGCTCCGTCTCTTGGCGTATTCCCGTCCAGTTTCGTTACTGTTGGCGGGGGCGCGTCCTTGAGGGGGAGGGTGGGTCGGATCGAGGAGTCGGTGGTGTTGGTGGACGCGGTCCGGCGGTGGGGTGTGGTGGCCATTCCGTAGTATTTCTGAGCGGCAGGTGAGACGGGCTGGTCGCGGGTGGAGTCGATGCTGCCGAAAGCGCGAGAGTGCCGTGTGAGCGCCGTGGCGCTGCGCACCCTCTGCTCGTCGGCGTAGCTGTTGCCCTTGGATCCTGTGCGGGAATGAGCCGTCACGCTGTCTCGCTTCTTGAGCACGTTGCGCTTCCGGCCGTCGACGTCGGTGGAGGAAAAGTAGCCGCGGTCGAGGTCAAGCGAGTCCTTGTCGTTGGAAACGGCCAGGAAATCCTGGGGGAAGCCGGCAGACGAGAGAGGGCGCGGGCCCGTGGTGTGAGCGCCCGAGTTGGAGGCCGAGGTTGCACTGCCTAAAGTCCAGTTACGGTCGAAAGAGGGTTGCTTCCGATGCGAGGTAACGGCGTCGGGCTGCGGGAGGGTGCTACCAAGAGGCAGTCTGGGAGTGGCGGTGGGGGTGTGGATGGTGGTGCCCGTGATGCGGAAGTCGGTGGAGGAAGAGTGGCGGCGGGAGTGGTGCAGGTCACGGACGGATGCAGCCGACGGCCGCTGCTCGTGGTGCGGTCTTGAGGAGGGCGAGGCGGGCGAGACAGGTGACACGGGCTCGAATTGCGTTTGCGTGACGGAGCGCCGTTTGCTTCCCTGCACCAGTGACGCCGAGTGGCTGTCTATGGCCGGCAGCCGTGGTGGGCCCGTGCTCGTCAGCGTGTTTGTCCTGCTCCTGCTCCTGCTGCCCCTGCCGCCGTCCATGGACCCAACGTCACTTCCGTGGGTGTGCGTGGTCCTGCGGGCCCCCAGCCCGTTGACCTCGTCATGCAGCGCCTTGATCTTTTGCCACGTCTTAAGCCGCCGCCCCACCGAGCCCAGGTCAAAGGCCTTGATAAAGATGGACGTCTGGTCCATTTCGAGCAGCACCTCGCCCGTGATCTCCTGGTCCCTAAACACCTCGCAGTGGTGCTTCTCGACGCCTGCCGTGAAGAGGTACTCGGCAACGTTGTCAGCCGACCAGGCCTGGACCTCTGGGCGCGTGTGCATATTTTCCTCCTCCTCGTCCGTCTCCTCGCCCTGGATGTACGACATGCGGTGGTCCAGGTGTGAGCTGTACTCGCTGCCCGAGTCGTTGTGGCCATTGTTGGGCGTCGATCGCAACGTCTCGGTAATGTGCTCGTCTATCACGTTTAGGGTCTCGTTGAGCACATAGCTGTCGGTTTGGCCCGACGCCATGCGGGGGGTTTCGGGCTTCATGCCCGATGAGGCCAGTGAGGGCAGGCTCTTGTTGCTATTTGAGAAGGTGGGGATTGCCGGCGAGGAAGATGTCGGGCTGGGGCCTTTCAGGGAGCCGAATGACAGGGAAGGGGTCGAGACTGGCTTCGGGGCGATGGAGGGTGATGAGGTGGCCTTCGGGGTCGGCGCGGTCGTAATGGTCTTGGGCACATCGGCAGCTGTTGCCGGGGTCGTCGGACTGGGATCGGGCCTGGAGGACTCTGTCGGCGGGGTCGGGACGGGCTTGAAGAGATTTGCTGGAGGCTTGGGACTCGTCATGGGCGCGTTGGGCGCACCCCTCGGAGCGGGGCGGGTGTAGACTGGACGCCGGTACACTTCCCGTTAGCGCCTGCGGTCATAGTGACGCGAGGCCAGGGGTAAACGGCGCATCGGACGAAAAGAGGCCAGGCCAGCAGCAGACGGATGTCGTAGGCAAGGAATGCGTTGGCAACTCACCCTCGGGGAAGAGCCCACTGTTCCCGGATACCAGATGCTTGCCTAGGAACCAGCCATCGCCGAACTCGTCGTCCCTTTCGATCAATTCAACGCGGTCGCCCTTGGTCAGGCTCAGCTCGTCTGAACTCCGCGCTTGGAAGTCGTCTGCGAAACAAGTGGTCGTCAGCAGCTGAGCGGCATGGGCATACGTGGAGGAGGCGTGTGGCGTTTTGTTTGGGCACGAAAGCTGCAGCCGACCATCACAGGTGCATAGGCAGGCAGGTAGGTAGCCAACTGGGCCTCGAAAAGGGGGGGAGTTGAACGACAAGGGAGGACGGCAGCTAGGGAGACCTGAAGTCGTGGCGGCGCGGGAGGGAGAGAGGGTAGGCGACTAGCATCCATCTCGAGGGGCGCCATAACTAGGGCATGTGGGCGGCTCGTTGCGCTCCATTCGGGCGGGTTTTCACAGGCTCCTCCTCCTGTCCACACAGCAGCAGAAACTCACGGATTACAAGCAAGATGTCGCCGACGCCGGGTCGCGCAGAGGCGGCCTGGGGCTCCGTGGTCCCTCGCGCGGCCATTGTTGCTGTCGACTGGTGGCAAGCCGTCGTCGGTCGGGCGGTTGGGGTTCGGAGGGCAGGCTTTCGGGTTCACAGGAGAAGTGGGAGCAGGACCTGGCAGGCAGGAGATGGGGACGGCTGGTGGACGCTGGACGCTGGGCTTTGAGGGTCGTGCAAGGGCGGTACGTGGGACGGGGCCAGCCAGGGTGGAGCTGTCAATAAGCCGTTGGCGCCCGTGAGTGGTGGGCACGAGATTTTGCCCAGCCGCAAAGGGAAGGCCGGCGGCCCCCACTCGTTCAAGTGCAAGCCTGGAGGACGAAGCCCCGACGCAGAAGAGTCCGGGCCCGGGGCGCAGTGCGACGGCGGCCCTGGGATGGAGGCACGGTCTGAGGATGGACTCGGCGAGGTGGGATGGTGGGATCTCCAGTCTTTCTCTTTCTCACACTCTCTTTCTTCGCCCGGGGAACGCCGCTCGAGTGAGTCGCGAATGCGGGATGGAGGGAGGCTGCAGCTGAGGTTCAGGCGGCGGGGCTAAGGCCGTGTTTTGTTGACGGTCGCATTGAGCTGTGGCTCTCTACCGTGACGACTCTGCTCGGGTGGATTTTTTTTGTCAGCGCGGGCGAAGGCCTGGCGCGCACATGGAGGCCCTGTCGTCGGCTCCAGCGGCCCTACTTCGACTTACCTGCGAGTTCAGCACCTCCTCAGCCCATCACACGGGAGCCAGCCATGGATCCAGTAAAGATTTTCGGCTGGGCGCTGCGGCAGGCGGCAGAAGGGGAGCGCGCTACGAGAAGGAGAGAAAAAAAAAGGATGGAGAGGAAGATTACAGGCACGGTTTCCTTGGCCGCCGGTGCAGAAAATAGCAAGGGTGCGGCTGGGGACATGGCACCCGGGCTGTGCCATTCAATCAATTGCAATGTTTCCCTTCGTTCTTTAGGCTTTGGTGCTTACCACATCCACGACCCTGATCTGATATCCGCCGCCACCAGTGCGACAGCCTGCCGAGTCCATTACCGCCTCAGCCGTCAGCGGAGAAACACGGCAAACCCAAACAAGGGCTGGGCCCTTGGGCGTTTCCACTGGTCGCCAGGACGGTCTGCTCCGTAAAACGAGGGGAACATGAGTTCTTGGCACAAATATTCCGTGAAATTCGAATGGCGGCTCTGTGTCCTGCTCCCGGACCGCGACGAACATGTTGGTCAGGGCGAGTCTGTCCTCTGGTGTCGTGGTGCGGCACGAACGGGTAATCTTTCGATGACAAGGATACTTGGCCACAACACCAGATGGACACCGGATCGCCTACGACATACGTGCAATAGCAAATAATGAGCAGGCTGATGGCTTGGCTCCGCAGCGTCAGCGGCGCAGGTCGGATGTGATGCGCTGTGCTGCAAGGAACTCCAACCAGGTCCGTAGCCCTCAGCCACTTTTTGTCGTGAAGAAAACATAGGTTGCAGGGGGGTTAGTGCGGTTGGTGCGTCCTTTGCCGGTAGTCCAACCGCCGTCTTTCCACCTTCCCCAAGTCCCAGCTCTGTGCAACCCCCGCGTGCCGTTGCAACGCCCGGCCTACCTGATGGGACATGTAGGTACCACCAATAGCATCGAATGGCGGGCGTGGGTGCCCGATATGCGCTGGCATGCGACGACTGCCCCTGCATCCATGGCATTGACGAGCCTCGGAGGAAAAGAAAAGGGCATGGATGGATGGAGAGAGGCACATTCGCTTGGATGACGGCCGGGGATGAGGGCGCGTCTGGCAGGGTCGCCTACATCGAGCCCCAATCACGCCCAACGTTATCCTCGCATTTGCCGCTGACGCTGGCGGCGGATCTGGACCCAGCGGGGGGACTCGGCGCATCACGCACCAGAAAAGTCCCACCCAGGACCAATGCACCGCGGAGGTTCATGCGGAACAGGACAGTCGAGGCTGGCCTCGAGCAGGTAATGATTACAGGTCTCCAGGATATTGAACGTTACGAGGGCCAGTAGGAATGCTCTGTGGGTCGTAACATTTAATATCCTGGAGACCTATACGAGTATTCGAGCCATGACGAGGGCGAGCGTCAACGATGCGCGCGGGTGAGGAGCCTAATAAAACGGCGTCAACATCACGGCCTCTTTCGTCGGTGGCGAAGAGGGCGCAGATATGCAGTGCAGCAAAGATGGCGAGACCCCAAAATTAGGACGCTGGGACGGCACTTCCCCTGCAACCTTCCAGTACTTCCCGTCTGGAGCAAAGAAACACAGTTGAAATGCAAGGAAGCATTCAGTTAAATGGATTTGACCAACGTAAACTGTCGACGTGGAAGACGTTGAATACCAAGAGTTTTTGGTGTTGGCTCCCCAGAAATTCCCTAGGCTGACTTCCACAGCGCTTGCTTAGGTCTGTCCCGTCCATACCTCGGCAATTCCCACCTGCTCCACCTCGGCTTCGCAGACGACACATGCGCGCTGTTTCGCCGCGATGGTGACTTGGCGCATCTTACAGCCTCGACTCTGATGAATGAAAAGTTGTTTATTTGGCAATTCAAAGCGGTCTCTGTGTCTGTCCGCCTTGTCCTGTCGTTTCTCTGCATCTTGTTTAGAATTGGGTTTTTGGCACTCGGGTTCAGAACGTGCAAGACTAAAGGCCCCAACAATAGCAACAATAACAACACAACGACACCAAAATACACAACCATGGAGGCCTACGCAGAGTTCACCCACTTCATCGTGACCTCGCCGTCGCCCTTTGTGGCGCACGTCGAGATCAACCGGCCCAACAAGCTCAACAGCTTCCACGAGGCCATGTGGCTGCAGCTCGGCGCGCTGTTCAACCGCCTCTCGGCCGATCCGGACGTGCGCGCCGTCGTGCTGTCGGGCGCCGGCAACCGCGCCTTCACGAGCGGCCTCGACGTCAAGGCCACCAGCGAGGGTTTGATCCCCCAAGAGGTCGTGGACCCGGCCCGCCAAGCCGTCAAGATGCGCCGCCACATTGCTGAGTTCCAGGCCTCCATCTCGGCCATTGAGAAGTGCGAGAAGCGTGAGTTTTTTTTTCCCCTTCTCTCTCTCTCTCTCTCTCTGTTCTTTATAAGCGAGAGTGTGAGAGGGAAGTCAATGACATTATGCTTAAAAAAAACAAAAAACAGCCGTCATCTGCGTCCTCCACGGCATCTGCTACGGCCTGGCCATCGACATATCCTGCTGCGCCGACATGCGCGTGTGCGCGTCCGACGCCCGCCTGGCCGTCAAGGAGGTCGACATCGGCATCGCGGCCGACATCGGCACGCTCAGCCGCCTGCCGCGCGTCGTCGGGAGCCTGTCGTGGGTCAAGGACGTGTGCCTGACGGCGCGCGTCTTCGGCCCGGACGAGGCCGAGGCCGTCGGCTTCGTCAGCCCCGGACAGCACCGCCACGCGACAAAGGCGGACGCCGTCGCCGCCGCGACGGGGCTCGCCGCCCTCGTGGCCGCCAAGAGCCCGGTCGCCGTCCAGGGCACCAAGGAGCTGCTCAACCACGCGCGGGACCATACCGTGGAAGACAGTGCGTTTTTCTTTTCCTTTCCGTATTCTTCCTCGCTCACTCCACTCGTATCGCCTTGTACGCGAAATACTAACATATATCTCTGCAGGTCTGAAATACACTCAGGTTTGGAACGCCGGGGCCCTGCAGACCGGTGATGTCAAGGCCGCCCTGCTGTCGGGGTTGCAGAAGAGGAAACCGACGTTTGAGAAGCTGTAGTGCATGACACCGCGGCAATTTCCAGTGATTTTTGTCTCGGCGCCAGGCGTGCATGTATGCTTGCTCACTTTTGCAGATTCCAATCTCAGCCAACAACAAATGTATTACAATCCATACTGCAGAGATGATTATTTCTTTTAGTTGTTAGACCACGGTTGTAACATTGCACAAAACAGAATGATGATGTTTCGTCCGCTGCCTGCTGTGTACCATCTCCTGATCTTGATGAGCCGGCTTATCCTGTTACGTACTCGCTGTCGTAGCGCCCACAAAGGCATTTCTCCTGATTATATCACTCCTCCAGAAGAGATCGTCCCAGGGAAAGTCTGGTGGACTGATTGTAGGGGCCACGCGCCCACCTAGTCACCCGGATGTCATGTTGTGCCATGTCTCACATCCACCGAGCAGCACATCGTCACTAACGGTACTCCTCCGCACCTTTGCCCTTTCTCTTCCTGGCGTCGCCGACCTCGACGTGGGCAAATTTCTGCAGGGTTAGATGGCAGCCGGTCAGCACATACATAAATCACCCAGACAGAGGCAGTATTGCAGTAGAAAAAAAAACGTACAACGTCTAGTTGAGCCTTGAGGTAGTCCACCATGTTCTCCTTGATGACGAGGTGCTCGTCGTCAATGTCCTCGACGATGATGTCGTTGCGCTTCTTGTCGATCTCCACGATGCCCGACTTGATCAGCGGGTCGCACTCGATGAGCACACCTGGGCGGGCGTCGTCAGTTTGAGCGGCTTGCTGGGTGAGAAGGAGATGCGCTGTGTTGGACGTACCAAAGATTGCGCGAGGCATGGCCGCGTAGCTGAGGGCCCGGCACGAGTCCCCTTGAGAAAGATGGAGTGTGTGATTCCCTAGTATTATAGAAAGTTGTATCTATTCGGGTCTGCCGTTCTGAAAAAAGGGTGATGCGTCGTGGTGATGTTTGAGGCGCTGCACGAACGAACAGGCAGCCGAGTCGTGCCTGATTTAATTTCATGTGATTCACGGCTTGGAGAAACATCAATCGGTCCTGAATCAAATGTGGACCCGAGGTGGGACGCCATCCAACAGGCCCAACGGCACGCCCTGACGGGCCCTGGCTAGCGCATGTGCCTGCAGCTCAGTGGGGTTCCCCAGAGCGCACGGCGGGGCTCGGGCTGCGAGCATGGGAGGAGTGGAATGCATCCATCAGTGGGGTCTCAGGAATGGCATCACCACGGAAATGGCCGCTGTCAAGCCAAAACAAGACACAGGAAACAAACCACTCTCAAAGTTGGTGCTGGCCGGCCCTCTTGCGCTTGGCAGGACACGGCGGACAGGCAGGGGTAACGTGGCGACCTGACCGAGTTCGAGCCTTTGGATGAGTACCTAGACCATTACCGCTTTAACAAACTATCTAGACTGTAATCGATACAAGGACGATAGCGTTCGCCGCAACAATATTTATAAGCCCGGTCCTGTTTGTCCCCTTGCCCCCATTCGTCCTGGTTTGGAATAGAATCCGTCCTAGATTAAACGTCCGTCTGCTAGACATTGTTCTTCCTCTGTGTGTGTGTCTCTCTCTCTTCGTGTGTGTGTGTGTGCGTATGTGTGTGCGGACACCTTGGCGTCGTTTGGTTGGAAGCGCAAGGGTTAAGCTGTGCGTTGCCCCAGGCGCAAGCAAAAATAAGCTCTCGATCAATAAAAAAAAAAGGTGCTCGGCAAGGTATCTCGTAAAAAAAAAAGAGCCAAAGAAGAAAACTTGAAAGTCGGGAGAGAAAGAAGCACCGTCTAACCTCGCCTGACCTCACTATAGGCAGGCGGCGATGACGACGCAGCGGCCGCCGGAGGAGCAGCGGCAGCAGGCGGCGCTTCCCGCGCCGGCGACGACGTCTCGACGCCGCTGCCCCCATCCACCGCAGGAGCGGGTCCCGGCCCCGGCGCCTCCCCTCCTCCCTTCTTCCCCTCCCCGGCACCGACGTACGGCGGCGGCGCCTCCCCCAGCTCGTTGAGCCCCTCCTCCCTGCGCTGCCGGGGCCTGGAGTGGCCGTTTGCGCCGCCGGGCTGCTGTTGCCCGCCGGGCCCCCCTCCGGCCTCGAGGTCGGCAGCGCCGTCATCGCCGAGGCCCGCGTAGGGGTGGTGGTTCCCGCCGCGCCGCCTGCGGCCCGTCATGGGCACGCCGCCGCCGCCGCCGGGGCGGCGGTACGAGTGATAATAGGATGGGTCGAGGTTTCTGTCGCCGCCGCGACCGCCGCCGTGGTAGTGCGCAGGGTGGTCGTGCGGCCCGCCCGGCGCGAAGCCGCCGAGCCCGTAGCGGCGCCGCATCATGGTGACGCCCAGCGCGAGCACGCCGACCGTCATGACGACGAAGAGCGGCACCACCACCAGGCGCCACCGGCTCTCCTGCTCGGTCGACGTCGACGTCGACGTCGGGGTCTGGGTCGGGGTCGACATTGTGGCCAGGTGGTGATGGTGGTGGAGGAGGAGGAGGTGGAGGTGTCGGCGCGTGGACTCCCCTTGCCTCGCCTAGAGTGCAGATTGCGGTGCTATCCTTGCGTCGAGCCGCTCTCAGCCGGCGGGCCTGCGGGGAAGTCGATTGAGTCGGGTCGATCGCTGGCTGCGACGATGGCGTGGTGGGGCTGTGCGTTTAGACCTCGCTGGGTTGACTAGACTAGCTTTGTGGCTCAGAAGAAGCTCTCGCCGCGAATCGATGTCGACATGATCGTGTGCGCGCTCGCTCGAGGAGAAAAAGTCCGAGTCGTCGGCGGTTGGATGCCCCTGCGCCAGGGTGCGTCTTCTCCCCGGGCCTAGGTAGGTGCTAGGCTGGGTAGGTGTGTTATGGACGTGATGTGTGTGAAGGGTTGCTTGTTCTTTATTGTCTATCGGTTCTTGTCAGGATGCGACGAATGGCCAACGACGCACAAATAAAAATGGATGGGGAAAAGCGAGTGAGACGAGGAGGCCCGGCCGTCTGAGACACCATTCGGGGCTTTGCAATCTCACCTCGTTTCTCCCGCGAACTATGTTGGGTCGATCCGGCAGGGCTCACCCTTGCTTCATGCACGCCGCTGGGTCCAACAAAGACGTGCTGCGTGCGGGATGGGACTTGCCGACAGAGGAGCCGAGCCCTTGTTTTGTTTGGAGGCGACGACGAGGGTAGCGGTGAGGGAAGGCACAAAGCAAGAAAAAAAAACAACGGCTCGCTCGTTTGTGGTTCGGCAAAGAGAGAGGGAGACAGGTAACAAGCCAAAAAGGACAGGGAACCACTCTCCTTGGCCCACGGCACAACCCTTGGAATCCCAGCCTGTTTGTTGATGTCACAACCCTTGGCCCCGAACCCCTGCCTGCCCTACCCTGCCTTACCCTACCACGTAATATAGGTTGGAAATGGGTGGTGGCCTAGGACGAGGCCTAAGGTGGAATGGCTGCGACTCTCGACTTCTCGGTTCGGCAGCCTTTTTGAACTGGGCGTCCCAAAACAGAGGGCCGGCTGGGGATTGTTGGACTACTGCCTAGGCAGCTAGCGCTAAGAGGGACCGACTCACCCGAGAACCAGACAGGCTGCGAGCTGCGTCATGTCAGCCCGCCACAGCTACGCTGCACGTCGTCTCCTTCTCCCAAACAGCATTGCGAGAAATACGTTTCAACCCAATGCCATGCCACCTCCCTTTCTGCCTTGTGTCTAATGCCGCCACCGCATCCGAAGTCCTCGTCGAAGCCTCAGGAGCGACAGGGAACCGACACAGGTCTTGGTTTTGAGGCTAAGCCGTTTCGCATCCTCGTGCAGAATCAGCCCGTTCCCGCACTGACCTTTTTTTTTTTTGCTGGGAACGTTGGCCAGACCAGACCTAGACAGAGAGAGAGATTGACCGTCATTGGCGTGCTTGATTGACCAAACAAGCGTCTGCCGATCGTCCTTCTTTTCCCTTGGCGTTTGGTCGTCAGCCCGGATCGTGGTCCGTCACAACTCCATGCCAGCACATCACGGTCGGACATGTGCACTTACTCACCCCACGCATCCACCACATGATTGGACCTCTAGTTCGATCAAGACAGCTCACACACTGTCACTGTCGTTGCTTTACCTACCAAGTGATATGATCTACTGCTACCACCGAGCGCCTATCGCGACAACCCACGCCGTCAAACCATTTAGGAGCTGGCAAAACCGTGACATTCCTGTATCAAGTTTCCTTCCACAGACAGGCTCCAAAATTCAACCAAATCAACGCAAACAACCCCGAGATCGATACTTCTCACAGCCCACAAACTCCAGTCCGCCGTCCTGCTGAAGGGCGAGAAAGTTAAAGAAGCAATGCCATACAAGCTAGAAGCTACCGATAAACCATCTTTGTTATTCGGGGGGACGCCTGTTACGTGTCCATCTGGAGCCTCGCTGCTCTTTTTATCCATCCTTCTCTTCCTTCTCCATCGAGCCATCCCGCATGATGCGTGGTGCGATAAACCGAAGCAAAAGCCCACGACATATTATGAAAAGAAGAAGGCAAAGAGAGAAGAGAAAAAAGAGTTGCCAACCCAGAACAGAACCCGCCATGCTGTGCTATAATAATAAAAAAAGGGTAAGGGGGAGAGTGCGACTAAAAACATAATGGAAACCATGTCTAATGCTGGGTGCTTGTGTGCGGGTGAATACCTAGGGGGAATCTGATGCTGAGGGGTAGGGGATAGGATAACGGAGGGGGTTGTGTAGGAGAAACGAACCGGCTGCTGAAAACAAAACAAGCCTCGACACTGCTATTATAAACAAGAATAATCATCCCCCTTGGGAAGGTGAACTCGACATGGCGCTTATTTTCTTTTTCTTCTTTTCTGCTCCTGTTTTCCCACAAGGTGGCTTGGACAATATCTTGACGCTAGAAGCTGGCGGTGAGATCAACATCTCTCATCACTTCTCGTCCTCGCCCTTCACCTTGTGTTGCTCGAGCGCAGCCGCAAGGGCCTTACCCTTGGCCGCGTCTTTGACCTGGAGCATCCAAGTCTCGAGCCCGGTGCCGCTGTCAGACGCTGCTGGCACCTTGACGTACTTGTCACCCTTCTCCGTCTTGTATGAGAAGTCGGGAAGCAGCACCTTATTCATCACGATGTTGCCCCTGGGCTCTCCACGCAGCAGAATCCGGACGACCCCCGTGGTCTTGTGTTTGAGAAGCCTCACTGGGCCCACACCCATAGTCTTCCACGGGGACTTGTCCTTCTTCTTGCCGCCCTTCTCGTCGTCCGAGTCGTCGCCATTGGAGAGCTTGAGTGCCTTTCCGCGCACCTCAAAAACGACGTGCTCGTCCTCCTCGCCCGGTCCTCCTTCTGTTAAGTTGATTTGCGCCTGTTTCTCCTCATCCCCGTCGTCAGCCTTCTGTCCTTCCTGCTCGCTCCGGTCCGCAGCCGCTGGCTCCGGGGTGCCTTGCGCCGGAGTGGTGGCCAGACTCGAAGCTCCTCCAAGAGTAAAGGGGGTATCTATGGAACCGTCACAGTTGAGTATAAATTCACTTGAAGTTGACTGAACTGTGTAAGGTCGAATGGGTCACTTACTAGTACCTGTCGAGGTGCCGCCCATTGGAGGAGCGAGGTTGAATATGGGGGCGGCGGCATTGCCCTGGTCAGGAGCTACACCGCCACCGAAGCTGAAGACAGGGGTTGAGGTGCCGTTTGAGGGCGCGGTGGAGCCGCCACCGAAGCTGAACATGCCGCCAGACCCGTTACCGGCGGCCGGCTGGCTGGGAGTTCCGCCAAAGTTGAACGACACAGAAGCGCCGCCGTCGCTGCCGCCGGCAAATGGGTTCTTGAACGAGTTATCGCCACTGCCACCGAAAGCAAACGAGCCCGGGGCCGAAACAGTGCCTGATCCAAAGAGAACAGAGCCGTTCTGTTCGGCGGGCTGGGTGCTCTGGTTTGCGCCAAAGGTGAAAGAGGGGGTGGAGGTCCCGTTCTGTGTGGTACCCGCGCCAAAGCTGATAGTCGGCGTGGCGGTTCCGTTCTGCGTAGACCCGAACGAGAATGACGGGGTCGGCGCTGGGGCGGCGGCAGAAGAGCCAAACAGGGTGGACTGCGTCCTGGGAGTCTCGGTCGTGGCCGCCGTGCTGCCAAACGAGAAAGAGGGTGTGGCCTGAGGGGTGGCACCAGTGGTAGAGGCACCAAAAAGAGGCTTCGTAGCCGGCGCGGCAGAGTCCTTGACTCCGCCTGAAGCAGGCGTGGAGCTACCGAACAGGGTAGAGCTGCCTGTTGCGACTTGGGCTCCGGCGCCAAATAGGGGCTTCGCGGCAGTGGTGGGGTTGGCAGCGCCAGATCCGAAGCTAAAGGTTGGTGCGGCATTCGCAGCAGCGGGTGCCGAACCAAATAGTGACTTAGACTCAGTGGGTTGAGATCCAGATCCGAAGAGCAACGACGACTTCGGAGGGTCCTTGGCAGCACCCAGGCCAAATGTTGGGGTCGAGGATTCCTGGCTGGGGCCCGAGCTGAACAGAGACTGAGCCGCTGGTGTAGCACCAAAAAGCAACGACTTAGGGGCCTCATCGGTTTTGGGTGTAGCACCGAAGAGTGACTTGGGCGTCTCGTCGGCTTTGGGTGCGGCGCCAAACAGGGACTTAGGTGCCTCAGCAGGCTTGGAGGCACCGAAAAGGGTTTTGGGCTGCGAAGGCTCGTCAGCCTTTGGTGCGGCGCCAAAGAGGGACTTGGGCGCGTCGTCGGGCTTTGCGGCACCGAATAGGGGCTTAGGAGCGGCGGTGAAGGATGGCTTCGAATCGGAGGGTGCGTTGGGATCTGCGCCAAACAAGGGCTTGGAGGTCGAGTCAAACAAAGGCTTGGTCATCGAGTTGGAGTTAAGGCCGAACGTAGGCGTGGGTGTCTGGCCAGGCACGGCTCCGAACATGGGGTGGGCAGGGGTTGCCGACTTATCAGCAACAGCCTTGACATCCGATTCGGGCTTTGCGACTGCAAGTTCCGTGCTGGAAGACTCCTTGAAACTGGAAAGGTCGGTAGAAGAGCCGCCAAACATGCCCGAGAGCTGGAAGGCCGGAGCAGCATCCGCCTTCTTCTCACCCAGACCAGCGGTTGCAGCAGGCTTGCCGAACAGGGAAGTGGCTGAGCCATTAAGCTGCGAGCCAAACAGACTCGGCGCCGCAGACGCCGGAGCCTGTCCAAATTTGGGGGCGCTGGTTGCCGTCTCGTCAGCCGAGGGCTTCACGCCAAAGCTAAACAGCTTCGTGCCAGCGGGAGTAGAGTCCACGGCGGCGGGTTGCGCAGTGCCGAACTTGATGGGCGTGCCGGCAGTCCAGGTCTGGTCTCCGCCAAGAGGACGCTGGTCCTTGATGGGACTCACGGGCCTCTCGTTCTCTGAAGCGGCTGGTGTCGGTACGGCGGAGTCGAGAAGTCGCTTGGGCTTCCCGTCCTCGCCTTTCGTGATGCGATCAAAGATGCTTGTGCCAGTGGCAGAGGCGCCCCCAGCGTCGGAAGATTCGCTTGAAGAAGGGAAAGCAGCAGCCGCCCCAGACTTCTTGGCACCAAACAGAGGGCCAGCCGGTTGTGGTGTAGCAACGCCTCCACTGGCGGCAGCGCTCGGCTCATCGCTCTGGCTGGCATCGGGCGCCTCAGACTCGTCTCCCGAATCGCCTTCATCGCCGGCATCGTTCTCGGCGCCGCTAGCTTGAGCAGAGCCCGTATCCGACAGGTGCCCGAAGATGTTGGGCTTCGGAGCCGAAAGTTTTGAGGCGGGAGACTTGGCAGAGTTCTCAAAGATGGACCTTGTGGCAGATGCTGTGGTAAAGGCGCTGGACTTGGGCTTCGAGGTGGATGGCGGCTCCACCGACATTTGGAACGAACCGGCAGGCTTGCTGTTAGCAACCTGCTCGAAGAACTTCTTGGTAGCTGACGGCGCCTTCGCAGGGGATGGGGCGGCAGCCTTTTGTAGCTTCGAGGGGGCAGCGTCGCCATGATCATCAGCCAGGCGCTTCTTGTTGCCCTTGTTAAGAGCAGGTGTGGCGCTCTCCATCAGCGGCTCGCGCTCACCACGAGCGCGCTTTCCCTGTGAAGCGGCAAAGTTCATGCTGCTCTTGCCCGGCTCTTCCGAGGCCTTCCGCTTCCCACCTCCGCGCGATAGAATGCCTTCGGTGCCGTTCGCATGGGGCTCGTTGCCCGGCGCAGGTGCGCCATCGGACTCGTCGTCGGGAATGCCATGATCGGCCTTCCACTTCGACACGACCTCCTGAGAGGGCTTGATGCTCTTGAACTCGTATAGGCCGTAGCGCAGCATGATCAAGCTGCGGCTCTTCTCGTACTCCTTTGCGAAGTTGAGGATGTTGAATCTCCAGTCCTTCTTGAGATAAATCTCGTCAGACGCGTATTTGAGCCTCCGCAGGTCAAGAATGCAGAAGAACTGCTTTCTCTGTGCCTCTGTGAAGTCCTTGGGGCACAAATCCGCCAGGTACTCGTCCGCGTAGATAGAGCCCACTCGGTTTGAGTTTTTCGGAACCCTTCTCGCCAGCTCCTCTCCAGAGAGGTTAGTAGGAGGCTCGGGGATCTTCATCGCGAACAGCTCGCTTGGTGGTATCCTGGACATGCCGCGACCAATGCTCTCCGACGTAGAGGCGCGGCCATCGACACTCGGTGTCCCGGCTGAGGGCCGCAGCGACTCCTTAAAAGGCTTGGGTGTGCCTCGGCGGGGAGCGAATGCGAAGCGACCGCCATCGGGGGCGATCGAGGCTCGGAACATGGGGCGTGGCGAGGCGGCGGCCACGGAGAAGTTGGTCGCCTTGACTGTGCTGGTAGACAGCTTGCTCGAAGGGCCCTGGGGGCGCTCGTGGATCTTGCGACCGGCCATCTGCGTAGTTGAGGCACGCACGACGGGGCTGTCGGGGGATGTTGAACGCTCCTGCTGGAACTTGACACGCGGTCGCGGCGTATCGCGATGCATTCCGTTCTCGAGGGCAGGCAGACGATGCGCTGGGATAGAGAGCCTCTCAGGTTGAGGCTCTGGCTCGCTGCGCATCTTAACCGCAGAAGAAAAGATCCCCCCCGAGATGCTTCCCCACCAGCCGGACTGCCTCTTGTCAGGCGTAGCCATGGCGACGGGTCGCGGTCGCGTGTGAGATTCAAAGAAAGGAAAGTTGGAAGTTTAATTAGGGTAGTTGTCGCGTCGTCGACATTGGACAATCGCGATGATGGCCGTGCAGCGGAATGGGATGTCGTCGCTGGTTGAGGTGCGGGTTTGGCGCGAAAAATGCGAGCCAGCCAGGTGCGTCGAGGCAGGCAGCCACGCTCGCGAACCGAGAGGGCCCGATGGACCGGTGGAAAAGAAAGAAAAACAAGCCAAAAAGTCACCTCGTGTCCTATCAACAAAGAGGTCGATGGAGCGGGCAGTGGAAACAGCAGTGTCGCTGTCCTAGACGCGCACGAACGGCGTCGACAACAGAGCGAGGGCGCTTGGGTGGATTGTTTTGGGTTGGGGAAGCGCCAGAAAAAAAATCACAGATTCACGGTGCGAACGCCCCTTGGGTGGGTGCTTGGTGCGAATATTAAAGCGGGCCCCATAGAAACGAAAAGATGCGTGCAGGGGCGTGAAGTTTGGGCACAGACCATTCAGCGCCTTTCGGCCCAAGGGTGCGCCATCCAAGTAGCGTGTGCACGGGCCATGTCTTTCAAGCTTGCCCCCTGGCTGGGTCAAATGTGTCAACAGCCTGGACACGCGATTTCCGCCTGCCCACGTGCTGCCTCAGGCATCGACGGACTGGGAGCTCCCCACGAGTCAGAGCGGACCTGTCCGATTCATTGGCCAAGTCAGGTTGTCTCGCGTCGCCGGAATTTCGAGCCTCGGCGGGAGTCAGGCTGCAGTGATGATTTCAACGATTGAGCCCGGACCAAATGCATCCTTCCATTCCACCGCGCAGGGACCGGTAGCATGCAACTGAAGCATGATGCTTGTCAGGGCTCGAGAATACTTGGAAGCAGACCGTATGGCCCCAGCCGTCATGGCGAACTCGAATCCTCGAATATTGACTTAACGCCCGTCGAATCTGCACATTTGTAGGGACCGGTTTCTGACAAACATTACAGCGCTGTCGAGAATTCAAGCGAGGACCGATATATCGTCCATCTAGAACAAGCAAGTCGGATTAATCGTAGTAAATCTAAACCAAAAGCCCCCGGTACCGCTCATAGCTTAGCCTTGGTCTGGGCCTTCTTCAGGATGGGATCCAGCTTGGTGGCCTTCATGACATCGCCCTTGATCTTGAGCTTCCCGCTCATGAACAGCTTCTGCGCATTGGCCTTGCCGATCACCAGGTTGCCGAAGTCGGCATCGGATAGCGTCAGGGTGACTGCAAGGACGTTTGCGGAATGTTAGCACTAGTCCGGCGCCTTTGTCATACGTCTATCGTCATATTGCCATGCAGCCAAAAGATCCCCCAAGAGCAACTCACCATTCGGCTTCTCTCCAAGACCCTTGGCGACCTCGCCCTTCTCGCGCAGGTCAATGTGCCAGCTCTCAGTCTCACCCGCAGTGTTCTTGAGGGTGAAGGCGAAGAGCGCCTTGCCCTGCTTGATGGCGTCCTTCTTATCGGCGTCGTTGCTAAGGGCGCTGGCGATGGCGTCAAAAGCGGCCGAGGAGGGGAATTTGTCTGATTTGGGCGAACCAAGGGGACCTGTAAGCAGCAATCCAGAGCAGAGGCGATATCGCCGAGCCAGATAAAAGTCACGGAATGGATCGTGGCTCGATTTCCCACGCGACAAACTCACCGTTGGCGAGAGACATGACGGATTGGGTTCTGTGCTATATGGAGAATAGATGATTGTACTGAAAGGCTCGTCGGCGTCTGTGCGACTTTGCGGGATGAGGTCACAGTGAAGACAACGAAATGTTCCAGAGTTCTAAAGTGTAAGGAGGAGTAAAGCCCAGGAGCTGATGGGGCTGGGCAAGATGTATTATATCTGCCGGGAACAGAGACCTGGCTAACCCGAGACCAGGGTGTGCCTCTTCCCGATGACGCTCCGCGCTCGTCGCATCGCTTTTGCGCCGAGCAGGCGCCCGCACATGTGATTGAACCTCGGTGCATTTTCCAAGGCGTGTCACGCCCGCCCTCACAGCCCACCGCTGGGACTTCCCCACACAGGAACTGCCGCAGGCTGGGGGCGGCGGCACGAGGCAGACCCTCTTTCAAGATGAGAAAGAGGGCTAAAGCACTGGTGCTGGGCTCTCCCGCCCTCCCATTGCCCGGCCCCCCTCAACTGGTTACTGCCGGAGGGAGCGAGTGCGAGTGCGCAATGCTGCGTCGCATTGTGGAGGGCGTGTGGGCGTATTGCGTATTCCACCCCCGTCGCGATCGCTCAGGGCCTGCAGCCCGTTCGTCTCGATGAGACGCCGCATTCAGAAGGCCTGTTCTCGGGTCAAAAAGGGGGTCCAATCGTTGGCGTTCGTGTCACATGGCCGCGATGTCAAGTTCAGTTGATGGCGTCCTAAATAAACGCACTCTAATTTGGGCCGGCAGACGGCCTTGGTCTAGAATTCCTGTCCCATCCTTGAGCGGTGACCACATCAGGTCGAAGCTCGAGCTTCGGTTCATCATGGCCGGATGCGGGGTTAGGGTCTCATTCCACCAACCGCCAGGTCGGCTGCGCGCCAATTACGCCCCACAGCACGCGACAGCAGTCGAGTAGCACGACGCGGTGGGTTTGCAGGGGCCGAGTAAATTTCCAGCGGTGCATGTCGCAAAGACCAGTGCATCGGAGACGGGCGGACCGAACGACATCAGCGTCTCGGGCACTATCTGGTAGGCGACAGAAGCAGCCATAGAGCCAAGCAATACCGAATCTCCGGCCGCTAAAAGCCGAATAGCCCATACACACAACATCAACATGTCCTCATTAAGGAGAACGGTCCACGAAAGTCTCCCGTGTAGGTTCCCTTCAGCAAGCTGCGCTCCAATCCGGAGAGCACTCTCCTCTAACCCAAACCGCCCCCTCCCCCAGATGTCGACCCGGACCCGACCCCAGCCCAGCGCGCGGCGGCCCAGGCCCTGATCGACACGGAGCTCGACGCCTCTCCGGCGGTCGGCGACCACCCAGACCTACCCACCGCGTACGCGCCGCGCTTCACCCCAGCCCTCGAGGCCGAGCTGGCCCGCGTCGCCGGCAGCGCCGACCCGACCAAGCCGACGCCGCTCCGCGCCATCGACACCAAGCGGTACGAGGCTCAGGACGACGACGACGACGACGACGGCCAAACCCAGCCTAAGGACCCGGCCGCGCTCGAGGCCTCCCTGGGCCGCGCCCACACGCTGCACGCCTACCTGCGCCTGCGCCGCGAGCACCTGGCGCTGCTCGACGCGCCCGAGGGCCGCAACGCCTGGCTGGTCGGCAACTGGCAGCTCGAGGCCGAGCTGAGGACCGTCGAGGCCGAGCTGGCCGCCGCCCGCCGCTCCGTCGACGCCGCCGCCCTCCGCCGCCGCCGCGCCCAGGACGGGGCCGCGCCCGAGCTGCGCGGGCTTGACGAGTCGTGGCGCAAGGGCGTCGGCCAGGCCATCGAGGTCGAGGTCGCCGCCGTCGCCCTGCGCGCCGAGCTGGACGCCGCGGCCGCAGCCCGCTTCCAGCAGGAGCAGGCCGTTTGAGAAGTGATGCCTCTGGGTGAGGGTTGTCCTTGAGTGTTTTTTACTTTACACGGATTTTAATCATACAGAAATACATATCAAGGCGTTCTGGATGGGTCAAGGAGTTTGGCAATTTCGACTGCCAGGTTTTATGGGTATAGGTTTGCGCGATAGAACGACAGATAAAAAGAACACATCAAACCCCGCGCATATGTTTTAAACTTAATCAGGACGGGAAAAGCAAAGATAGCCTATTCGAGGACGAAGACGGCAGGGTCTGTTCGCGTGTAGGTATTAGTGCGTGACCTTACAATCAAACATGTACATGAAAGACTGCTTTCGTAAACAAACTCAAGAGACAGACAGTATCAATACGACAGTAGCGAGGGACAAAGTAGGTGAAAACTGAATTGATAGTGATGACCCATAACGCCTTGTTTTGACCACATCGCCCAGCACAGGATCCTCTCGGTCTTGTAAACAAATCACACATAAAGACAAAGCCCCTCCCGGTATGAATGGAAAGAAAAGGAAGGGAAAAAAATAGAGACAGAAGATGATTCCTTCCAAAGTCAAGCTGTCCAGGATTGGTCTAGAGTTGCTAGGATTCATTCCAGACCAATTTCGCGCGACAAACGGCGACTCAATCATGCCGACTGTAGCGGGTCAATGTCCTCTACTCCGGTCTTAACTTCCTCGTACCTGGTTCGCCTCAGGATTTCCTCGAGGGGACCAAGCAGGCTTTGGAACGAGTTCTTGTCCAGAGTGGCAACCTTGCCGTCCGTCTTGCCGAGGACGCTCGCCGCTCGGCGCGTGTCGTTAAGCAGCGCCAGCTCGCCAAAGAAGTCGCCCCTCTTGTAGCTCATGACGGGCTGGGCTATGCCGACCTTGTACGCCTCAGCCTCGCCGCTCACCAGGATGTAGAACTTCTCACCGGGATCCCCCTGCTTGATTATCAGATCACCGGAAGCGAAGCTCTCGTCCTTGAGCGCGACGATGAGCTTTTTCCTCTCGGTAGCCGTGAGAGGCTCCAACGCCGGCACGCCCTTGAGGAACTTGTCGTACATCTGGTAGCGCGCCGAGTTGGTTTCCATCAGGATGCGATTGAATGTCACACGGTCCAGAGCCCAAAGCACGCAGTTGGCCTCGGCCGACATGACCGTGGCGTTGCGAAGGGCGTTGTGCATGAGTGCGATCTCGCCAAAGTAGCCGCCCTCGGCGACAGTGCCCTCGTGCTTACCGAGTCCGTCTGGCCCAGGCTGCATGGCGCCCGTCGGGTTCTTGTAGACATTGAACGAACCCTTCTCGACCACGTAGAAGTAGTCGCCAACATCCCCTTGGATAATCACCTGACACCGAAAATAGCATTATTAGTCGGGGTTGCATGGCCCAAGTCAGAAGAGAAGTAGACTCACCTTGATATCCTTGGCAGGGATGTGCTTTTCTTGAAAGGCGCGAATAACCTGTGCCCTCTGCTCCTCGTCCAGCTTGTCAAAGACAAATTTGCCCTGCATAGCTTCCTTGAGCCACGCTAGCTGCTCGTCGGTCTTTGGGTAGACGGGTGGAGTCCAGTTGTCATCTGAATCCGCTAAAGGCTTCAGCGACTCGGCCGAGACAGAGGTTCTCCGAGCAAAGTTGTACTGGGCAGGGTAGCCCTCCGGATTTAAGTGATGCCGGGCAACAGAGAAAGGGTCATCGCTGGCACCGTCTGAGCCTCCAAACGGCCCTTCAAACGGCCCTCCAAAGGGTCCGCCAAAGGTCGCGCCAGGGCTAGTGTTGAAGTTTGGGGTGGTCGGAGACGTGACAGCGTCCCCATCCTCCTCATCCATGACGGGCAGGACCACGGTAGGTGTGGGCCTCCTCTCTTCGGTCGGGCTGAATGGGTTCGAGTTCGCCCCGAACGGGCTGGTGAAGCCGCTCGTCGACATTCTGGGAAGAAGCCTGGGGGTATCGACTTGACGCCGGTGTGGGTGTGGTCCAGCAGGCTATCGGTGCTGGAATCGTGCTTTTGATGGGCTGCTGCCTGCTAGGTTAACCGAGTAAGCTTTAGTAACGGTGGGTAGGCGGGAGATTTCTTGGAGGGCTGGTGGTTGTGCAAACTGCAGCTGTTGTCACCAAGGAACAGGAACAGACAACAAAGCTGGGGGTTCGGGCTGAGATAAAGGGGCATATACCTGGCAACTCTAGCTCCGTCCGGTGTACCGGGTTGCCGAGGACTTATGTGGGTGCGTTTCTGTTGCTGGTGCAAAGTGTTAGACGTAGGTGGTCGGACCCTTCTAGAAGGTTACGGGTCGCATGGGACTGGGTGGTCTGAGGAGTATGATATATAGGGGAAAGCGGCAGTGGACGGTAGCTTGTGGGAAGACGGATCGAGCTTGGACGATGAGTGAAACCTAGCACAAGGGTGCATTAAAAGAGACGTGTGGTAGAAGGAAGCCCGTGTGACTAGATGACAGGGCGCTGGCGGGATGGCGGGATGATAGGAGGGGACAAGGAAGGACGGCGAGTCCGAGGCAGCTAGGGGATGGCTACTGGGTAGTGAGTACATGAACAAACGACGGGACTTACAATAGGCGCAGGGCAGTCGGGTTGAGTGCAATAATAGTGAATACAAGTATGAGATGCGCAGGACGCGAGACAGTAGCTCTTTAGGTCGGTATTGATGTTGGGGTCGTCCTAGTGACTGGGAGTTCAATGTTAGATCGATGCAAAACAGCGCGACAACAAAGGGGAGGACAGTAGAGTCGTGTGCTCGCGGCGGCGTCGCGGGGGTTTCCAGTTGATGCGAGATGCAAAAGCGAGCACAATAGCAGAAACAGGGCGAACGTACAGCTGCAGAGGCGGAAAGAATTGACTGTCGGTGGAAATAACAGAGACAGGCGCGGGTGGTGGCTCGAGCGATGGCGTTGTCGCTTCGTTCGATCGCGAGTTCGCTGACGAGGTGGAGGGGAATGTTCAGCGTGGCTCGGTGGTAACAGCCTCGTCGACGGGACGGATGGGCAAGACCGAGCGAGGCAGGAGCACGAGGAGGTTGCCGTACGGGTGGGTGGCCTTGAGCGACACTGCCCGGGAAATCGAAGCTGGCGAGAGGCAGGTAGGTTGGCGAGATGGAGAAGGGGCAGTCTGGACTAGCACGCTCCAGCTTCTGGGCCGGCACAGAAAGAGGGAAAGTGGAGGTGGGGGCACCAAGAGAAGCGGGCGACGGGTGTCGTGCTGCTGCTCGTCACCTCCAGCGACCCACCCGCCGCCTGATGGCAGCCAGTCAGGGCGCGCCGGGACCCCAGCACGGGCCAGCCCATGACAGGCAACAGCCCCTCCCAAGCCAGTCATTTTTACGTCGAACCCTTCTAGAACGTGCACGGATCGTAGAGAGGCTGCTGCCACCACCCACCTCTTAGCTTCGATGCTTCTCTGAAGCTTCCGTGCAGTTGGGCGTGTGCTTCAATCCAAGATGACGGCGACCTGGACTGCTGCTGCTGCTGCTGCGCCAACCCTGCGCCGACAGCGCCCAAGGCTTGTCCATGCCAGGGCCGCCTTAGCTGCACCTCCCCAGACAGCGCAGCGCCTCCACGTCAGCAGCGTTGCCTATCCAAAGCACGCTCGGTTTCTTGTGCTCTGTCCAACCGATATTATCGAATGCCTGTGCCAGGTGAGACTGAGACCTGCTCGACGGAGCTGCCGCGCATGCTGTCTAAGCCGGTAGTGTACACTGTACTGCCCTCGTTTCTTGAATGCGCTCGAGGCAGAGAATAACCTGAGGACCCCGAGCTTGTTTTCCAATCCCATCTTCCATTGGAACCCTCGTGCCCCAGCTTCGTCCGACCACATTCGACGTAGCAAGGCACCGGATTGGATCCATGTCAATTTTAGGTGACAGAAGGCCCATTGATTCGTCCAGTCCCATCACGGTTCCCTTGCCCTTTGCAGAACGATCACCAACCTACGCAGGAGTGGCACAAGAATGACGCAGGCGCAACCCCACTGAAACATTGTGCAAATCCGGAGGAACAAGTGTTGCTGCCGATGCTGCCGTCGCCGAGCGCTTGCTCGGCTGTACTTGGTGATGGCAAACGACTGAATCTGTCTGGCCAGTCTAGTTGGTGCCAAACCTTGCCGGGTGGGAAGGTAGGAAGGTGCCTCCCAGAGGTAGGTAGAGGTTCCCAGCAGCTATTCCTGCCTACCCAAGGTATGTTTGATCACCGGGCTCTCGCATAACACCGGAAGGTGATAGTCGGCAGGCACATACAGCCGGCGCTGTAGATAGGTGGCTACGTGGTAGGGACTTATTAAATGATGGGCTCCTGAAGGTGAGAAGGAAGCCAAGGTCTCTCTCACACACGTGCTTCGACTACTCCGCCACGGCGGCGCAGTGACCATTGTCGCCCTTGAAATAACCTGCAAGTTCTCACTTAGCACGAGCGGCCTATCGAATGATCTGGGGAGAGATGGAAAGTGCAGATGTAAGGCCATTAACAGCTGGGCAGATGACGGAAGGAGCAAGGAAGAATAGGAAGCCCCAATATATCAGAAAAAACGCAGCTGGCAATTCCACGCAGGCCAAATCAACGATCAACGGCACTAGAACGTATTGCTGTGCTGAGATGGGAGGACCGTGCGCGACACAGGCGTCCAAATTTAGACTGGCCGCAGCGCTGGCCGTGCCTTTGGCTGCTGATGCACACGACTCCAGCACGCGTTGTGGCTGAGCAAGGGGTCCATTCAACTTCCTTGGGCCCAACCCAAGTCGAACGTCCAGTTTCCTGCTGATGGACGCGCCAGCCACATCCTTGACGACGGGCTCCGCTCCATCCTTTTGAGGCCTGCAACCCCCAAAACCGCGCGACATCGCTTTCGTCCACAGCGACGGAACAATCGGAACCCACGACAGCATCATCACGACACGACCCTCACGACCGCACGACCGCGCCCAGACCCTAGCACAACCGCGAACACGTTCCAGCCCGTCGGTCGCCCGACTCCAGCAGCGCAGAATGGCCGGAGGCTCTCCTCCGCCGCCGGGGCACACGGATTCCATCAATTCACACGAGGACGAGTCGAGGCAGGAGAAGAAGAAGAGCAAGAGGCCCGCCAGTAAGTTGCCTTCTGCTTTGTGTCCGCTCCTGGCGCGCCCGCATGTTGGATGACTGATGGATGCGCCACACGGCCGACTTTTACTGACAAATCCCCGTCCCGCGCAGACACGGCTTTTCGACAACAGCGGTTGAAGGCATGGCAGTATGTTTGTCCAACACTCGGCCCCTATTCACTCCTGCCACCGGCCCCGAGGACACCACATTAATAACAATGCGACAGGCCTATTCTCACCCCAAAGACGGTGCTGCCGCTCTTCTTTGCAATCGGCGTCATCTTCGCCCCGATCGGCGGCGCCCTCTTCTACGCAAGCACAACCGTACGTCTCCGGGATCCCCTCGGGCGCGCTAGCTGCGCTAGACCAACACTGACATGATGATGATCCTTTGCTCAAGGTCCAAATGATCTCACTCGACTATACAAATTGTGCCAACGACGCGCCCCTCAGCAACACAACGCTTGCCGATATGGACGTCGGTCTCGTCAAGTCACAATTTCGCTCGACGAGCCCCGTCAACGCCAAGTGGCGCAAGACGGAGCGCAACGTGACCTTTGATGGTCAGGACGTTTTGACAACGACCTGCCACCTCCAGTTCGACATCCCTGAGACCATGGGCGCTTCGGTGCTCATGTATTACACCCTCACCAACTTTTACCAGAACCACCGTCGCTATGTCAACAGCTTCAACGACAAACAACTCAAGGGGCAAAAGGCCGATCTTGCTGCCATCAAGGGGTCCACCTGCGCCCCTCTCGATGTTATCGGCGACAAGCCCATCTACCCATGCGGCCTCATCGCCAACTCCATGTTCAACGACACGATCGGAGAACCCGTACTGCTCCAGGTGCCCCATTCGACCGAGAGCAACCGCACCTTCTTCATGACGGACAACAGCGAGATCGCTTGGCCGTCCGACTCTGACCTCTACGGCAACTTTCCGGCAGATATGAAGTTCGACGAGGTCGTCCCGCCCCCCAACTGGAAGCTGCGGTATCCCAATGGTTACACCGATTCGCGCCGGCCCCCGGATCTGAAAACGTGGCAGGCCTTCCAGGTCTGGATGAGGACGGCCGGTCTGCCCAACTTTAGCAAGCTGTATCGTCGCAATGACACCGAAGCGTTGATCGCCGGGACCTACAGCGTTGCAATCGACCACTGTAGGTTTCTTTTATTTTGAATCCCTCTACACCCTACAGACTTTCCTCATGCTGACCTTTGATCTTAGACTGGCCTGCGGACAAGTTCGCCGGGACGAAGAGCCTACTTCTCACCACCAAAACCGTAATTGGTGGAAAAAACCCGTTTCTGGGTATTGCCTACATTGTTGTTGGCGGAATTTGCATCATCCTGGGTGTTATTTTCACCGCGAGCCATCTGATTAAGCCAAGGTATGTCGCTGCCTCTAACCGTTTGCGGTCCCCTCTTATTCCTTGCTCCATTGCCATTTTGCTAAGCGCGGCGCTGCAGGAAACTTGGCGATCACACCTATCTCTCCTGGAACAACGCCCCGGCTGGCAAAAAGGGGGCCACTGGTGCGCCGCCGAGCACGGCGGTGTCCTCCGGGCGCGACTTTGGCGGAAGGGGTGAAGCATAGGATGCTGGAGAAGGCTCTTCGTCATGGTCGCCATCGCCGTTCCCCTCTCTATCGCCCTCGTCCGTCACCAAGCCTACGATATCAGCCGCGACGGCCACGGCCACGCGCCACCGGCAACACCAACTCGCCACGGACACATACGACAGTCGTCACTTGCCTCTCTCGTCCTCTAGGATCTCTCGCTCTCCTCTCACTCCTTGCACGCCACCCAGGTCTCGCGTCCCCAGCGCCTCTGACGATGCAACGACACTGGTAAACAGCGTCAACAGCCTTACCAGCATTCCAAACAGCAGCACATGTCGCACGCTGACCAATTTCAACGGTGGTACTGGCGCCCGCGGCAGCCGCCATCACCGGCTCGCCAGCGGCAGCATCGTTAGCCATAGCACGTTGATTCTGGGGCCGACTCCTGGTACCCCTAGCATTCAAGAGTCGCAGGCAGACTCGCCTGCTGGAGACGAATGGTGTCTCATAGCGCCGCAACGGAGCAGAGCATGAATCCAGTTCCGCAGGCTTCTTGGGCAAGTCTTCACGGTTTTGTTCCGGCCCTCGAGAGTTCATTGTGGTTTCTTTATGGTTATTATTCGTATCGGAGCCTTGGTCGTGCATATTTTATTCTAGGCCTTGTTGAAACATCAGGATGATGTAGGGGTGGGAATGGTAAGGCCTGACGCGGAGGTCAACTAACAGAACGAAAGCATGAAAAAAACAACCAAACCCAAAAAAGAGTACCACGCTCTTCGACCTTGGAAAGCAGACAGCAACACGAATTGGCGTTCGGGACTTTTGTTTTTGTTTCCTATGGATTTTGTTAATCAGGGAGGGAGGGAGTTCGGCTCCAGTGGCAGTTTTTTCTTTTTTTTCTTTTTCTGATTTGTATGAGTACCATCATGCCGCTTATTATTCCCATTATACTTCCCGCGCTACCGTAGCCCAAGTTCCAAATCCTCGCCATGCAGCTTAGTCTGATACGCATACCGCGGCACGGCATCAACTGCCAGGCTGGGCGGCCAAGCAGACTTCTTCCGGCCCCTCGTCACGCCAGATGGTTGGTTGCACTACCGCCATTGCTGGCTTCCCGTGACTGGGGCTCATATATGATGGCTAAATTGGCTCATCCCCTTTTTGCTTCCCTGGGGCTTCTGCGCTTGCCCACTCTATCCCCGTGCAGATCGGCAGTCGGAAGACATGGGGCATTGAACGGACTGCCAAACTGGGTGGTTCAAATTTCAATGCCACCGAGGGAGGTGCAACTCGGACTACAGCTCCGGGCCTCCAGCACTTTTTCTCTTGCGCAATAGAATATACAAGATAATGGGGTCAAAGACCACCAAGGTGGACAGGCCAGTCGCATCCCCAGCGACCGGAGCTCGATGTGCCTCTCCCCGCTGGTACCGAGCTATAAGCATAAAACGCCATCGGTCGGCTGGGGTGTCTGCCAGCCCAACCGGTCGTGATTCTTCCAACTGTCGGTTCGGGCGAATAAGCCCGGCACTGTATCTGATTATATTGCCAGGCCCCCATTTTGCTACCTTCCGTTCCGCCCTCAGTCCAATCTGGGTGCCCCGCCATGCACGGGGCGGAGATGGCTTCGCCTGCGCTCTTTGGGACCCCATAGCCATGAAATGCAGGCGTCGTTCTCTTTCAAAGGGAGTGAATCTGATTGGCGTCGCTGGGCCGGGGGGTGGCGCTCCAAGAGGAATGCTACGCCCAGCCGCCGTCACCATCTCTCAAATGCGGCCAAGGATGGCGGCAACTTGGAGATGTGGTCGACTTTACGCCGCGGGTCAGGGGGGGATGTATGCTTCCGAACGGCAGAGAGGAGTGATGACACTTTAGTGCCGGATCAGGGAGGCTCTTCTCTTCCCCTGGACACTCCTGGTGTTTGCTTTTACTATAAGGAGTGTCCTCAGCCCCCCTCCGTGATATCTCCAGTCGCCTGTCAGAGACGACCTTTGACAGTAGCGAGAACCGCCCCCGTCCTTACACCATCACCGCCGCTACCAAGCCATCCCTCAGTCTGCCTCCTGAGAGATCTCTCCATCGCAGCCCCACACACAACGCCGCCGGCCATGAAATTCTCCCTCGCCGCCGCCGCTGTCGCGGCCTGCGCGCCGCTCGCGTCGGGCCACGCCATCTTCCAGAAGCTGTCGGTCAACGGCAAGGACCAGGGCCAGCTCAACGGGATCCGGGCGCCCAACAACAACAACCCGGTCTCGGACGTCAACAGCAACAGCCTCACGTGCGGGTCGCCCGGGACCACCTCCCAAAAGGTCATCGACGTGGCCGCGGGCGACAAGCTGGGCGCCTACTACGGGCACGTCATCGGCGGCGCCCAGTTCGCAAACGACCGCGACCACCCCATCGCCGCGTCGCACAAGGGGCCCATCCAGGTGTACCTGGCCAAGGTGGACAATGCGGCAACGGCGAGCAGCAACGGGCAGAACGTAAGTTTTTTTTTTTTTCTTTTCTTTTCTTTTCTCTTCTCTTCTTTGCCAAAAGACCTCAAGAAGCAGAGAACCTAGAGCTGACCCACTATCCCCCCGCCCATATACCCAGTGGTTCAAGATCGAGTCCCAGGGCTTCAACTCCCAGACCAAGAAGTGGGCCGTCGACGCGCTGATCGCCAACCAGGGCTGGTTCTACTTCAACCTGCCCGCCTGCGTGGCCCCCGGCCAGTACCTGATGCGGGTGGAGCTGCTGGCGCTGCACAGCGCCAACCGGCCGAACCAGTTCCAGTTCTACAGCTCGTGCGCCCAGATCCGCGTGTCCGGGTCGGGCAAGCTGGCGCCGGCCCAGACGGTCAGGTTTCCCGGCGCTTATACGGCCAACGACCGCGGCATCCTCGTCAACATCTACGGCGTCGCCGGCGCCACCGACATGGCGAGCTCGGGCGGCGTCTACTACCCACCCGGGCCGCCTGTCGTAACTTGCTAAAGGGGAAAGAGTGTGTATTTGGCTGGTTGGTTGGTTGGTTGGTCGGGTGTCATGATGCTGGCTGGTTGGGTACTTTGCATAGCAGGCCGACATCTCTGTGTACCACTTGTGGCATGGGAGCGTATGTGTTGAGTTGATCAGAGAATAGAATATCTGGCACCAACCGCCACGCGACTGTGTCACCGTCTCTCTTGTCCAACTATCCGACCCTTGCGCGCTCTGCTGGTCGGCACCAAAGAAATTCCCCAAAGCGCAAGGGCTTTAGATAACACCAAAACTTGGAACCCGGTCAACCTGCTGTGGGCGTGATATGTTCCCGTGGGCCAAAACCCACGTTCCCGGTGTTGGCTTGTTCGACATGTAGATGGGTGCATGACCGGCCTGCAAAAAGACGGCTGCGCAGTACCACCTACCTAGGACAGGAACGCGAACTCGTGTCGATATCGGCTGCACAATGACTCTCTCAGCTGCTTTGAGCTGGCTACCTAGCCAAACCTTGACGAGTCGAGTCGGCACGGAAGCAATTTCTTTTTCTGCACTGTGGCATCTAGCAATGCTGGCCATAAAGCCAGAAGATGGAAATGCGGGTCCCGGTATCTTGTATCTCGAATGTCCACATTACCGGTTCAGATGTGGGACGGCAAGGCCGTGTTGAATGAAGGGATATCAATGAAAATTAGAATATGGGATGTATGTATCCAGTAGTATGTAGGGGGGTATCTCTCCACCCGTAGGGACTCCCCATCAGGGTATCTCGCAAAGACGCCGCACCATGCAAGCCCTCCACAGTTCAATGGTTGAGGGAGGTTGCATGTGCGTCTATCCCTTCCCCAAATAGGCACTCCCCTCTTAGGCCTTGGCGGCTTTCCGGGCCTGCAGCTTCTTGTGGATGAAGATGCTGATGAGCAGGATGGCGACGGCGCCGACGATGGCGAACACGAGCACGACGCCGACCTCCTGCTTGGCCCAGTTCTCCTCCTCGCGCTTCAGCAGCTGGGCAGCGGCGTCGCGGGCGACGAGGACCTTGCTAATGGCGGCCATTGCGGCTATGTTGTGTGTTGTGTGTGTTGAGGGTGGTTGAGAAACGCGAAGGGGGATGGTATCGTCGTTTCGTTGGTCTAGCAGTATTTCCGTGTCAGCTCATCGAGGCCAAGATTCGCGCCAGGGGTAGATTCTGCGCTGCCATGTGTGGTTGGACCCAGCATTGGCTGCTCGGACAAGGAGATTGGCAATATATGCGGCCGAGCAGGCGCACAGTGCAGTCCTGGCGGTTTGGCTCGCGTCACCGTAGCCGAGGTAAGCCCCAAGCACTGCTGGTGCGCAATCCTTTCCGGTGAGCAGAAGCTTGGGGGAAGCTATAGCTTGGAAGGACAAGCGATTGGGTTGCTGCGATGGTGTCGGGAACGCTTCCAGGGCAATGGGGAGTGCTGGTGTAGTCCAATGGCATTGGGTGTTGAACTGAGGGAGTTCAGGGCGAGGGAATTTACCGTTTCGCGGTTCTCAGGTGCTCACGAGGGAAACCCGATTAGCTGGCTTCGATTAGTATGTGGCGTTGTCGAATCGAGGACCGTTATGGCTCGACCGTTGTAAAGTGTATTGGTGATGTGTTATTACGAGGAGAGCCGACGAAGATCAGGGCGATGAGTCCAAGAGGAGATGACGGGTTGCTGGAAGCTCGGCCTGATGCGTCGAAGGATGAAGAAGGAAGGAGGGAGGAAGGAAAGAAAGAGGGAACAAGACTTGGGATGCAAGGGGAGCGACAAATAAAAATGGCGAAACAGGACAGCAGCAGAGCCACATGTGAGTAATGTGACCGCAAGAAATCTCTCAGCAGGAAGACAGGCAGGGCCACCGCCGACCCAAGCTTCTCACCATGGAGCTCGCACTCAGGGCTGGCAGACCTCCAGCCATTGGCGGCGGGCACCAACAAGTCGAGCACCAAGACCTGAGCTTGCCCGAGCATCGAAACATGGATGCAGGATGCCGTTCCCCACCGCGCTTCTGCAGGCCGGGACCTTGACCAGGACCCTGCCACCCTTGGCCCTCATCCCTCCCACCCCGCTCTGCCACTACGCCCCGCCCGTGCTGTGGGCCAATGTTGCCCCGTTTGCGACCATGCTAAGCTTTTCTGCCCCCAGCGCCTTGTCCCACAGTCGCACGTTTTTTTTGTCCCCTGAGCACCCTGCCGTTGCTTTCAGCGATCGCTGTCGCCTGTTCTCTCTTTCTCCGCAGGGCTCGCTCGGGACGCGAAGGCTTGGCATTTTTCGTTTTCGGTAGTACCCGTCCCCCGAGCCGCGGATTTTGACGTCTCTTAAGCCCTCGACGGCTTCGACTGGAAACAGACACAAAACTGAATGGACCGCTTCTTGTCCTTGGGCTGTTTTCTTGTCATTTTCTCCCGCTTGGACCCGCCCCCCTGATATTGAAGGAGGAGCTTTTGACAATCCCTCGTTTCCATCGGCAATGGCTGTTTGGCAGGAACCAGGTCATTTGCTGGTCCCCACTGAAATGTCCGCGTTTCCCAGAGCAATCCCTGGGTCAGCAGTCCAAGAGAAATCCTCTTCTCGAGGGCAGACCGCAAGGCTTTCGAGCCAAGGCGGGCACTGTCACGAGGATGGGTACCTCGACCACAAGGAATTCGCTCAGCAAATGGCGTGCGGCTTCTCGGTTGCCATATCTGGCCTACCCATCTCCAGCACATTGTCGTTGGTAAACCCGGAAGGGCCGGGTAAAGGCTACCTACCTAGCTGCACAAGGGCAAGTGACAAGGCACATCAGGGTCAAGAAAAAAGACGCAGTGGGTCGCAGGAGAATTGGAGCTAGGTTTGCCTCCGTCGGGCATAACTCGCGCATTCCCGACAAGATTACGTCGTGGTAGCTTGCGTATGCGACCCCATCTGGAAAGGATCGAGTCTGTGCTGTGCCTATGTTTGAAAGAATGCCATGGCAACAAGCCTACATGCCTCATGCTGCCTCTAACCTCGGTGCTACCGCGGAGGCGGCAACGGACGCCCATAGCCGAGGCGGCCGAGGACAAGCTTAACAGCCTGTTGTACAGCTTATTTCACTTGCCCGCCCATCACAACACAACAGAATGTCCCTGTCAGTACAGCTCGGTCCTCTCCATGTGGATGAGGCCGTTCGCGGGCTACATGCACACACGAGGAAGAAAAAGGAGAAGCAGAGTCAGCAACGGCCCGAGTCGGTGTGTTGTCAAGTGATGAGAGCAACACCACGTACCGGGACATACTGGCGCAGCTTGACGCCCGCCTCGCGCAGCACCGCCGCCGTGTCGCCGTCCATGCTGTAGCCCTGGCTGTAGACGACCTCGCCGATGCCGACCTGGGCGATCTTGATGCTGCACGTCAGGCAGGGGCACGTGTCGCAGTAGAGCACGCTCCCGTCCCCAATCCTGTCCCGGCCCGCCTCCAGCAGCGCGTTCTCCTCGGCGTGCAGGCACAGGCAGGTGGAGAGGCCGACGCCGGACCCGGCCCCTTCATTGCACCGCGGGCAGCCGCCCTCGCCGCAGTTGCGCAGGCCGCGGGGCGTGCCGTTGTAGCCGGTGCTGACGACGCGGCGGCCGCGCACCAGGACGCAGCCGACCCGGCGCTTCATGCAGTTGCTGCGGTGCGCCGCCAGCGACGCCAGCGACATGAAGTAGGCGTCCCACGACGGCCGCAGCCGGTCCTCGTTGGTCAGGTCCACCTTGCCCAGCGTCGCGTACAGGTGCGCCACGTCGGGCGACGTGTTGAGCATGTGCACCGCCGCCCGCGACATGAGCGCCATGCTGCCCGTCGAGTCGTCGTACATCTGGTCGTCCGACCACCGCACGAACTCGGACAGGTCGGCCGCCGCGTCGGCCGTCGCGTCGGCAAAGTGGTCCCTGTCCGCCCGCCCGCCCCCTTCCTTCTCCAGCCACTGGCTGAGCCGCTTCCACCGCGTCGTGACCGGAGCGTCAACGCTGATGAGCAGAAAAAATGGCCGCCTGGCGAGGAGGTCCAGAACGGCCACCGTCGTAACCACCGTCACCCACCGCTCCCGCCAGCGCTTTGTGACAAAGTCCAGGAGCTCGTCCGCATCGGAGAAGCTGAGCGGCTGGCCCGTCGTCTTTGCTGCCGCTTTTTGATCACCACTGCCGTTGGCGGCAGAGGGTCCGTCTTGCCCTTCTTGGGCGGGCTTCCTTATCTCCAGGCGCTTGAAGCCATGGTGGCTGACTAGATACTGCGCCACCGTGCTTCTCCCAGCACATATGCCTGGGATGAGACGTTTAGTTTTCTGGTGCAAACGCGCCCGTGTCTTGGAAACGAGGGGCATGAAGCATTCTTACTGCCGCAGATGCCGATGAGCATTTCGCCCTGAATTCGGGAACCCCGAAAAATGGCCAGAAAACAACAGAAAAACGCAGCCCACGAGCCCACGAGACACGAGCCGGAGTCGCGAAAGCTGGCTGGTAAAAATGCAAACGCGGTGACCTGAAATCGAACGAGGCGAGCACGCTGGGTTCAATCCTCAGCTGAGGTGGTGCCGCGTTTCTAGGCCCAGCCGTTCCTGGCAGAGTCACGCCCGCCTGGATTTCGTTGGGTCCGAGGTTTTGCCGCCGCTGCCTGGAGGAGGAGGAACGTGTGACAGCCCCAGGAGCAAGACAACCCGGGTGAGGCAAGACTGAGCTGACGAGCGTATGACTCCAAGTCCACGATGACACACCAGATATCAAACGGGCCTGAAAGCCAAATGACCAGATCTGGTGCTTGTTAATCCCCTTCGGACCAGGCGGATATCAACCTCCAGCAGTGCATGTGCGCCGCTATCACTGTCAGCAGCTGCCCTGCGCTGAGCACAGGTGGGGTCCCATCGATCGCCTAACTACAGGGGGGGCCCCACTCCCTAGCTGCTGCCCTGACTGCGCGCGCAGCGACTTACCCCGCAATAATACATCATCATTGCCCTCGAATGTCAGTTCCCAGTCGTAGCTTCCTCACATCACAGTTGTCTGGAGCTGTCTGTTTGTGTCTGCTCGACCTCGACTGACAAGAATCTCAACCTCAACCTCGTTTCGATCCGCATGTGGCTGTTCCAGCTTTACACAGTGATAACCTCAAGTTATTCGCGACTTACAAACAACATCCAAGCCTGTATCGAAGTGCCTGGTCACCACATCATACTTGATTAACGCGCAGTTCTTTTCCAAATCCATCATTTCTCCAGCCCAACTGCCTAGCTGGACGGTAGGCGCTGCTTCCCCGCCTTGTTGGGCGACTGAAGCGAAGCAACCCAACGCTTGATCTACCAAACATGGCGGATAATCAGCTGGCCGACGGCGCCAGCGCCGCGGCGTCCAGCTCCCCGCTCCAGTTTGCGACGTTCAGCTCCCAAATCGAGCTGCCGTTCTATTCCGCCGTCTTCTCGAGGAAGCTGGACCACGACAAGCTCGACGACTCGGCACGTTTTGTTATGGGCCTTTACGAGTCTAGGGGCGAGAAGGACCCTCACGAGAGCACGCGCCTGCAAGTTCACGGAAACGCCTTGACTAGCACTCAGTAAGTACCGCAACTGCGACCTTGGGGAGGCCCGTTGCGCCGGCGGGCCGGATCTCAAATGGTGCAAACAAAGCTTAGTTCTGACGTTGTATCTGTCAAGCGTTCCGGCGGGATCGAGCCGTGCCGAGGGAATCATCCGGAATTTCAACACCATCGAGGACTTCAAACAAGCCGACAAGACAGCCATTCTGCGTACAGCCGCGCGCCAGGTCAGTAGGCAGTCCTTCTCACCAATCCTGCGTAAAGAGGCTGTCTAACCAAAGAAACAGATCTGGGACGCTATCAAGGACGGTACAATCTACGAGGTCCCCTCGCTGCTCGCCTCGTTCACTATTCTGTCCTTTGCCGATCTAAAAAAGTACCGGTTCACCTACTGGTTCGCCTTCCCCGCCCTCCACTCAGAGCCTCTGTGGCGGCGCGTTGGGCCTGTCGAGCGGTTTGCTCCCAAGGAGAGCACGGCGCTGGTTGAGCGTGTTGGCACGTGGCGTTATTCGAACGACGATCGCCAATATGGCTTCTTCCTCGCCAAGAAGGTGCGTCACAGCATCCCGGAAGCCGACCATCGGAGATCCTTCTCGCCCATCGACGACCCGGACGAAGTGGATCTGGGCTTTGAGTGGGAGATCGGCACACTGCGCGACTTCGAAAATGGCTTTTTCAATGGCGTCGACGAGGCGGATGCTTATGTCGCCTTCGTGGACTCATCCAGCTACGGGGAAAACCCATCGTGGCCTTTGCGCAACCTGCTGGTTCTCATCAGGCAGCGCTACAACCTGAAGAAGGTGCGCATTCTGTGTTACCGCGACACGCAGGCACGCCGCCACGAGGCTCGGAGCGTTGTCATGACACTGGCCATGGATGATGTGGCCGAGATGGAGCTGGCAGAGATGCCCAAGGCCACAGGCTGGGAACGGCATTCTAACGGCAAACTCCAGGCGCGCGTAGCCAACCTGTCCGAGTATATGGACCCGGGCCGCCTTGCCGACCAGGCCGTGGACCTCAACCTCAAGCTTATGAAGTGGCGCATCTCGCCGGACCTGGATCTGGACGTCATGAAGGGGCTGTCTTGCCTGCTGCTGGGCGCAGGCACACTGGGCAGCTATGTTTCTCGCAACCTGATGGGCTGGGGCGTGCGCAAGATAACCTTTGTCGACTACGGCAACGTTTCCTTCTCCAACCCGGTTCGGCAGCCCCTGTTCGAGTTCGACGACTGCCTCCAAGGAGGGGCAGCCAAAGCACCGCGCGCGGCAGAGGCCCTGAGGAAGGTCTACCCGGGCGTCGAGGCCGAGGGCCACGTGCTCTCAGTCCCAATGTTGGGACACCCCATCACGAATGAGGAGAAGGCGAAGGCGGACTTTGAAAAGCTAGAGGAGTTGGTGCGGGCGCACGACGTGATTTTCCTCTTGATGGACACACGCGAGTCTCGATGGCTCCCGACGGTCATGGGCAAGGCCTCGGGCAAGATCGTCATGAATGCGGCTCTCGGGTTTGACACATATGTGGTCATGCGCCACGGAGCTGCGCCCAAGGATGGGTCAGACAAGACGCTTGGGTGCTATTTTTGCAACGATGTCGTCGCCCCGGCCGATGTAAGTCAAGGCCCCGCTAGTGCCCTTTAAGTCGCCGTGTTGAGAAGATGCTAAATTCTCCGTTATTGCAGTCTGTCAAGGACCAGACTCTGGACCAGCAATGCACGGTGACCCGGCCCGGCGTGGCAGCAATCGCATCGGCCCTGCTGGTGGAGCTGCTCGTGAGCGTTCTGCAGCACCCGCAGAAGCAGCACGCGGCTGCGCCAGATCCTAAGGCGAATCCAGACGACTACGAACGCGACCCGCCCAACCATGCGCTGGGGATCGTGCCTCATCAGGTGCGGGGATTCTTGTCGACGTTCCAGAACAAGGTGGTTCGTGGCGAGTCGTACCCGTGCTGCAGCGCCTGCAGCAACCCGGTAGTGTGGGCGTACAAGGCGGACGGGTGGTCTTTTGTGCGGCGGGCGCTCTCGGAGCGCGGGTACGTGGCTGAACTCTCGGGGCTAGCCGATGTGCAGCGCCGGGCCGAGGCGCTGGCAGGCGAGGTTGACTGGGAAGAGGATGAGAGCGGCGGGGTCGAGGACGATGGCGAGGCTATCATGCTCTAGGAGAGGATAAACTGGCACTCCTGGTAGATCTGCCACCACATAAGCGGGCTTTTGCGGACCAGGAGCAAGCGGAAGGCGCCTGTACGAGGATGCTTTTTCTGTTGTATGCTTCGCGAGCTTCTTTTTCTCTCTTTGCATTATTACTCGGTCTCGCATGCCCTTTTAGCATGATACGAGCCAGCGGACCAGCGGTTCCTTAGTGGGAGGAATCTGGTGAGGTGCGGCGTCTCGGGAAAGGGATATAGATATGGCGGAGGTGTGGCATGGGAGCAAACGGACTTTCTCTTGGTGGGCTCTGACTTGGCTTAGAAGAAACGGAAATCAATGCTTTCACGAAAGAATGATGGCCTTTGGCCAGCTAGCGGAGCATGGATTAGGTGACTTGTCCAAAGGAGGTGACATATCAATAGGAAACGAAGGCCCGGGATTCGATCGATCAGCTCGCCCAGCTACACGTCACCAGACGTCAGGAATTCCCCCACACTAAGACGCAGGTTGCGGGGGGTGCTGCAGTGGCGGGCTAACATGGATGCGGGTGGACAGCAACCTCCCCCGCGCGTCGGGGAGGGTGGGCTGTGGAATCACGAATGTGTGGTGGAATATTTGAGTTGGCAAGCACACCAGTTTCCGAAGGATTCCTGGGTATTTTTATGTGCTGTTATGAATTAGTGGGATTTTTACATTTGGCTTTTTCCTTCTCTTTTTCATCTTTGTATTTCTGCATCCCCGCCCGCGCTTTCGTGATTCCGAGGCCTGAGCTCGTCATTCCGTCACGCGCGGGGGAATTTTTGGGGGTGGACAGGAAAAGACTCGCACGAGACCAACACCTCCCAAGACGAACCTTCCTAGGAATCGCCGACGCGCAAGTGTTTACGCCCAGGGCTGGAAAAAAAAGGGGGGCCGACAGGGTTCTGTTCCTAGTGTCGAGTACTAGTCGAGTACCCCACGTCCTTTCTGTCTGCGGCTCTTTGTTGGTTTTTCTTCCATTGTTCGTTTCGATCCATCCCGACATCGAGTTTTATCCACCCTCCATCCCAAAAAATCTCCATCTAAGGTCCCCCCAGAACGAACCAAATACCCGGGGTCGGCGCCCGCTTCCGTCATTGCCGCTGTGGAGTGCTCGGACCGAACCAGGTTTTTTTTCCTTCTCTCTTCCTTTGGCCAAGAAAATAACTCCTCTGTTTCAGCCACGACTGGCATAACGAACATTGAGGCGAAAGGGGGACGTGCGCTTGCTTGTCTTTTGACACGTCTCGACAGATTGGGGGATTTGGCATGGAAAAAAGAAGTGACATCAAGCACACGTCCAAGTCGAATAAGCGATAGTTCGGCCTTGAGCTGCGCGAGACGCCGAACTGCTGCTTTCCGCTTCGAAACGAAGCCCCCCTGGAAGCCCATCTCCCACACTTCTCATCTTCAGTGCCATTCATCTCATATTCATGTCCCCCGCGCCCTGCAGGTGACAGTGGTGAAGGGGCCTGCCAATCAGCGGCCGGCCAATTGCCATTTTCCATCTCATTCCCTTGTCTACTACCCTCCCACTTTCCCCACACACCATCAGAGCATGAGGTTGCTCACATCCTGGCGACGGCTCCTCGGCCGCGTCGAGACGGCGGCCGACTACGCGGGCGTGCTGATCCCGCTCGAGGACGCGCACCTGCACAGCCACTCGGCCCGGTCCGGCCGGACCGAGTACGAGGAGGCGCCGGGGTCCGACGACGACGACGTCGGTGCCGGACGCCGCGGTGATGGTGACGACGACTCCCCCGCCGCCACTAAGCAGGACGAGCACGAGGGCAGCGGGATGCTGCAGATGCGCGCCGCCGAGTACAGCATCGAGGGCCTGCGGAGGGAGGTCAGGCGCGGTGAGAAGGGCACGCAGTGGTCCGCGTACGAGAGTGAGTGCCGCCGCGGCCCCCTTGCGGTTCACTGCAGCAAGAGAAAAGGAATGCTGACGGCAACAAATCCTGCCTTTACTCGCTTCGTCCGTAGTGAAATCAAAACTCATAAACAAGGCCATCCAGGACATTGGCATGGGCAAGTACAACTGGCAGTTATTCTTTTTGTGTGGGTTTGGATGGTTTGCCGATAAGTGAGTATATCTTGCCTTCCATAACTGATTTATCATGACCCTGTCTTCTCCGGCCTCTGCTAACATGCTCAACTCACAGTCTATGGATGCAAGTGAGTATTCGACAACAACCTACACCTTAGCTCTGCTATACACAAAGCACTAACCAAACCAATAGGGAGTATCACTCACCCTGCCCTCACTGTCGGCCGAGTTCGGCATCGCGGAAAAGACGGTACGCTACACGACCAGCTCCGTCTTCCTCGGCCTCTGCTTCGGCAGCTTCTTCTGGGGCATCGGGTCCGACGTGATGGGCCGGCGCGTGGCCTTCAACTGCACGCTCCTCATCACGGGCGTCTTCGGCGTCGCCGTCTCGTACGCGCCCAGCTGGGGCGCCGTCTGCCTGCTCTACGCCGGCCTCGGCTTCGGCGTGGGCGGCAACCTGCCCGTCGACGGCGCCCTCTTCCTCGAGTTCCTGCCCGACGCCTCGAGCTCGCTCCTGACGCTGCTGTCGGTCTGGTGGCCCGTCGGCCAGCTGTGCTCGTCCCTGTTCGCCTGGCTCTTCATGGCCAACTGGCCCGCCGACCGCGGCTGGCGCCTCTTCGTCCTGGCCATCGGCGTCGTGACGTTGGCCATGTTCGCGCTGCGCTTCTGGGTCTTCCGCCTGTTCGAGTCGCCAAAGTACCTGCTCTCGCGCGGCAGGCAGGCCGAGGCCGTGGCCGTCGTGCACGGCATCGCGTACCGCAACGGCGTCAAGACCTGGCTGACTGACGAGATTCTCGACGAGGTCGTGGGCGATGGCGATGGCGATGACGACGACGACGGCGGCGGCCGGGCCGCGCGCGCGTCGCGGCACGCGGCAGTGGACGGGGACGGCGGCGACGAGGCGCTGCTGGCTTCCTCGCCATCTTGGCCACCGTCCCGTCGCGGCGGCGGCGGCAGCGGTGGTGGTGGTGGCGGTACTAGCCCGAGCGTGCTGAGCGTGGTCCGGACCAAGCTCGCCGCCTTCTCGGGCGAGCGCATCCGGCCGCTCTTCAGTAATAGGCGGCTCGGGCGGGCTACGGTCGTTATGTGGTTCGTCTGGGCCACCATCGGCATGGGCTACCCGCTCTTCAACGCCTTCCTGCCGCAGTACCTACTCTCGCACGGCAGCGGCGAGGAGTCGTTGTCGTCGTCCGCCGCCGCTCCCGGCCTGGCCGCACGCGCCGACGCCGCCCCGCCGCCGCCGCCGCCCATCTCGGCCGAGATGTACCGCAACTACGCCATCACCAGCATCGTCGGCGTGCCGGGCAGCCTCCTGGCCGCCTACACGGTCGACCACCGCTCCCCCTTGCTCGGCCGCCGCGGCACCCTGGCCGGCTCGACCCTCGTCTCGGCCGTCTTCCTCTTCGGGTTCGCCGCCTGGGGCGGCGGGTCCCCCGGTCTGCGCCTGGCCTTTTCGTGCGTCGAGGCCTTCAGCCAGAACATCATGTACGGCGTCCTCTACGCCTTCACCCCCGAGATCTTCCCCGCCCCGGTCCGGGGGGCCGGCACGGGCGTGGCCAGCTTCCTGAACCGCGTCATGGGCCTCATCGCGCCCGTGCTGGCCGCAAACATACCCGGCGACGGGTCCACGGCGCCCATCTACCTGTCGGGCGCGCTGATCCTCGCCGCGTTTGCGGGCATGTGTTTCATCCCGATCGAGACGCGGGGGCGGCAGCGGCTGTAGTGTTTTGGCTGCCTTTGGTCTTGACCTGTCGCGATTTTTTTCGCGTCCTGTCATTATTTATTTGCATCACTTGGATTGTGTGCGTCCATGTTAGTCAGCAACCGGGGCGACTCCAAAAAATCATTTGTCGTCCCGGAATAGCATTAATGGGTTATCAAGATGTAAAAATAGCATTGCTCTGGTGTACTCGCAAGAGATCTATGCAGAATCTCAAACTCTAACCACCACCATGTTGTAAATTTATCAAATCGTGACGAGCCCCGACGCTTCTAGGGTATCAAAGAGCAGTAGTTCTAATCCCAATGTATCACATGGTACACATCCCTCCCCTACCTGTTCCCCTTCGCCCTGAACGGCGCCTCGGCCCTCTTCCTCCGGAGCACCTTGCCCAGGGCGTCGCGCACCATGACGTCCGAGACGATGGTGTTCTGGACCAGCCACTCCTTCACCTTGGCCGCGATGGCGTCCACGGCCTCCTTGTCACTCGCGAAGGGGGCTAGCTCCATGTTGAACAGCGACCCGGCGTCCTGGTCCAGCCCGGCGCCCGTCTTCTCGAGCCGGTCGAGGGCTTGCTCGAGCTGGGCGCGCTGCTTGGCGGCGTCGGCCTCGTCGTCGTCGGCTACCACAAGGCGGCCGCTGCTCGTGTCGGCGCCCAGCATCGGCCCGATCTGCGACATGGCCACGTACACCGTCAGGCTCAGCTTGCGAGCCAGCTGCACGGCCTGGAAGGGGAGGTAGGCGAACGGCGCTGATGCCGCCGCCGCCGCCGCCGCTCTCCTCCCACCTGCTGCCCCCGCAGCGGTGGCGGTGGCGGCGGCACTGCCACCAAAGCCTTCGAACCAGGCCATGAGCGGGTTGACGACGCGGTCGAAGAGGACGGGGTGGTGCGGGCGCGTGACGACGTGCACCTCGAAGACGACGACGGCGAAAAAGGTGATCCAGCGCCAGGCGTGGCCGTAGTTGAGGTAGCCAAGGTAGCCCAGCAGGTACATGAAGAAGGCGGCGGCGCCGTAGTATGGCAGCAGCGCCGACAGGCCGTGCGAGACGTAGTCGCGCATGGTGACGCAGCGGCTCCAGGCCACGACCTCGGGGCCGAAGCGGTCGTAGGCGAAGCGACGGGCCGGGTCCGTCAGGGTCTCGGAGGCGACCTTGAGGCGCATGAAGAAGATGTTTGCGTCATCTTGCGGGGAGGAGGCCCCGCTGCCGACCTTGTCCGGGTGGTAGAGGGCGGCCAGACGGCGGAAGCGGGACTTGACCTCGCGCTCGGTGGCGGCCGGGGTCAGGCCCAGGTCCGAGTAGAAGGAGCCGGCCTGGCGGATCTCGAGGTGGGCGTCGTAGATGGTGTAGAGCAGGTAGGCCGACACGACGAGGATGTGGATGCGGCGGCGGTGCTCGGCGTAGCGCCGCGTGCCCGGCTGGGGCTTGGGGTCGCCGGCGCGGATGACGACGCCGTAGTAGATGGCCTGCACCCAATTGGTGACCAGCTGGTTCAGGAGGGTGGGCTTGCTGTTAGTGATGCGGTTCGAGGCCTGCCTGGCTCCGTGGCCGTTGGGTTGGAAGAGAGGGACTCACGTCAGGGAGAAACGTCCACCCTATTAGCGATATGAAGCCAGACATTATGGGCGATGCAAGGGCATAGCAAAGGAGCGTGATGGGGTTGGGTTCGGACGATGGTGCTGGGCTGGCTGTGATTGGCTTTGCGCTGCAAACTGTCCCTTTGTTCGCGACAATTGAGTAGCGCCGCGCTGATAAGGAGGCTGCGATAAAGAAATGTGGAGATGTTCTGTCATTGGCGGGGCTTCAGGGACAGGGGGATGGAGACTCGGCGGAGTGACTCCCGCAGGGCGCATTTTCCATTCCAATGCAAACAATTGGAAGGCTCGAGCTGCATTGACGTCGGCATGGCTTGGCCCACCACCCCCAACACAGGATGCGACACAAACTCTGACCCGTCCAGACGTTGCTACATGCCCGCCCTCCATGTGCTCCCACTAGAATTGGGCATGTAGTAGTGTGGGGGAACCGCGAGCCATTTGTCGGGGTGCCGTGGTGGCTGCCCCTCCGGAATATCATGACAGCGGCTCGCGTTGAGTGTCTTTTGTCTCGGCCCCCCATGTGGGAGGGATGCCATCCCCCGTTGGCGATCAGCTCAGATCATTAACTCGTCGGCACCAGCTACCGGCATCCGCACCCAAAGGCCGCGCACGTATTTCATTCGGGCTACGTCTTGGCTGCACAGTTGCAGGCGCCAAAGTACCGATGTCAACTACCAGGCCCCCTGCTGCCCTTCCCGAGCCTCGATGCCGCGTCCCCGCCCGCTGCCCTAATGGAGGCTCCCTCCGTGCTTGTCGGCCCCGTCCGGCAGGAACGTGAGGCAGGGAGCCTTCGGGCGTCCAATGGCTGCTCCCCTGCTGGGCTCGCACGCCGTCGCTGCCGTAGGGAGGCCCTGTTGGCCCATCTCCCGATTTAACCGCCTGCCCTGAAATGGGGGCCCCTCGTCCCATGTGGGCGCCTTCCTGTCTATCCCAAGGAGGCTAAGATGGTCGCCACGCCGCCCGCCAGGAGACCGCGTAACACGCACCTTGGGGAGAGGGGCCCTTTTTTTTCGTGCCTGACCGCCGCCATACTCTAAGTGTATGGAGCATGTTAATATCGACGCAAACTCCCGTCTTCTCTCCCGCATCTCGCAATGGGTGCGATTGGGCTCTGTTGGCCCCGGAGAAACCAAGTCCGTCCTCTCGTCCCTGGCGCCGCCCGGATTGAACCGTCCGGCGCTTGGCTTGGCCCCGCGCACGTCGCGGTCGGCAGCACCATGGCGGAGATTATATAAAAGACAGGGCTTCGCTCCGGAGTGCCAGGACATGTTTCCCATGCTTCACGGATAGGAACGCGCATTAGGCTCTTCTCACCCACCCTTGGGCAAACATCTCTTGATTCACCATGCTTCTGTCAAGCCTCTTCGGCCTCGTGGCTACGGCCGGCATGGCTGCGGCCGCCCAGCTTCAGCAGATCCAGAACTGGGGTTCCAACCCTAGCCGGATTCAGATGTTCCTCTACGTCCCCGACCGCGTTGCCACGAACCCTGCCATCATAGTCGGTGTAAGTGCTTCTCAGCCAGACCCCCAGCCGACCTGTCTGGAGGAACCCCCAGCTCTAACGCAGGCGTGACAAAACAGCTCCACCCTTGCGGCGGCAACGCGCGCCAGTGGTTCTCGGGCACGCAGCTGCCCCGGTACGCGGACCAGAACGGCTTCATCCTGATCTTCCCCGGCACGCCGAACCAGAGCAACTGCTGGGACGTGCAAAACGCGGCCACCCTGACGCACAACGCGGGCGGCGACGCGCTGGGCATCGTGGCCATGGTCAACTACACCATCACGACGTACAAGGCGGACCGGTCGCGCGTCTACGTCATGGGCTCGTCGTCGGGCGGCATGATGACCAACGTGCTCGCGGGCTCGTACCCGGATGTGTTCGAGGCCGGCAGCGCCTACAGCGGCACGGCCCATGCGTGCTTCTTCGGCGCCGCGGGCGCCACGCCCTTTGCTCCCAACCAGACTTGCGCCCAGGGGCTCACGCACACCCCTCAGCAGTGGGGGAACTTTGTGCGTAACTCGTACCCGGGCTACACAGGCCGCCGCCCGCGCATGCAGATCTGGCACGGCAACGCGGACGCCCTGGTGCGCCCCCAGTGCGCCCACGAGGCCCTCAAGCAGTGGTCCGACGTCCTGGGCCTGTCCATCACCCGCAACACGACGGGGACGCCCTCGGCCGCTTACACCCAGGTTACGTACGGCGACGGCACCAAGCTGGTCGGCTACTTTGGCCAGGGCGTCGGCCACACGGCACCTGTCAACGAGCAGCTGATGCTGAGGTTCTTTGGCCTCATCCAGTAAGGTGGCTGGGTATTGACTGGTTCACATTGCTGGGATTATCGCGAAAGTATAAAAGGTATATACTTGCCCTCTCTGTGGCGACGGCCAGGTTTAGCTGGAGGTCGCGGCCATGCACATAGCCTTACCCGTATAGTGTGCCTTCTTGTCACTCGTTGAGCTGGATTCGGGTTACTTTGGTGTGTTTCTGTTGTGTCTCGCAAGAAGATCAATTTGACGAACCTGGATTGGAGCCTGGATGTGGTCACGTTGCCCAGTTGCTTCCCGCAATTCCGCCCTGTGACACCCCAGCATTTCCCCGCATGTTGGTGCCTGCCTGGACGCCTGGACCCGACTGGACAGGGCTCTGGCACTGACGCACAGGTGTCCACCAGTGCTGAGCGCCAAGCTGTGAACCCCGGCCGTCCAGGCAAACCAAATTGGCTGGGCCTTCTTTGTCCGATGGTGCTGGATGAATGAACCAACGCAACCTTGAACCTCGGCCATTGAATCTCATCCCGTTGTGATTCAGCCCAGTAAATGCGTGCGGTGCACAGCCCGAAACTGCTGCCCCTTTCCCTCCCAGCCCAGCACCCACTCGACCACGCCTGATTGAGGACAGTCCCAGCCAGGTTCCCGGGGCTTGCTTCCCTTGCTTCCATCTGCCCGGCTCCGCTGCCGCCGGCGGCAATGAGGTCATTTGCAACCGCCGCCCGCGGATCCGTCCGCCCGTCCAGCACTCTCAAGCTCGCCTCGAGCACTGCAAGAGCGCCGATCCCACCAATAGCTGGTGACTCCAATTCCAGGTGCCACCATGACCACAGGACATCTTGTTCAAAGCGCGGATATGTATCGTCATCATCACCGTCGTCGTCACAGCCCGCCACGGCGGCAGCAACCAGGCCAAAGACGGCCATCTTCTTCCCAGGTACCTACCTATCTCTTATCGACCACATACGCATAAACTACATCAGCCACGTGATTCAGAGAACAACAACTCTCTCTTCCACATGCTAACATACAACGCCCGCATCCAGGCCAGGGCGTCCAAAAGGTCGGCATGTTGACCCCCTGGCTCGAGGCCTTCCCGGCCACGGCGAGCCCCATCGTCGAGGAGATCGACGACTGCGTCGGCTACCGCCTGTCGGCCATCATCCGGGACGGGCCGGGCAGCCTGCTGACGGCGACGCCGCACGCCCAGCCCGCCATCATGGCCACGTCGCTCCTGATCCTGCGCGTGCTGGAGCGCGAGTTCGGCTTCCGCGTCGGCGAGCGCGTCGACTTCACCCTCGGCCACTCGCTCGGCGAGTTCGCCGCCCTGGCCGCGGGCGGCTACCTCGACTTTGGCGACTCGCTGCGCTTGGTGCGCCGCCGCGCCGAGGCCATGGCCGCCGCCACGCGCGACGCCCGCGACCGCTTCGGCGGCGACTACGGCATGGTCGCCCTCGTCACCGAGCCCGAGTACCTCCAGGCGCTCATCGGCGCCATCTACGAGTTCCTGGGCTACACGAGCGAGGGGCTCAAGTCGGAGAGCGCCGAGGACGTGCCGCCCATCGAGCAGGTGCTCATCGCAAACATCAACTCCAAGAACCAGATCGTGCTGTCGGGCGACCTCGGCCGCATAAAGACCCTCATGGCCCACGTGCGCCAGTTCCTCGGCCACGACCCGCGCGCCGTCCGCCTCAACAGCGACTCGCCCTTCCACTCGCCCATCATGCGCCCCGCCGTCGCCGTCGTGCGGCGCCTGCTGGCCGGCACGAGCGAGACCCCGGGCCGCGAGGGCGAGGACGTCGTCACCTTCCCGACCGCCATCCCTTGCGTCAGCAACATCAGCGCCCGGCCCTTTGCCACAAAGGCCGAGCTCAAGGACCTGCTGGCCCGCCAGTGCCTCGAGACGGTGCGCTGGTGGGACAGCATCCGCTACCTGGACCAGGAGGAGAAGGTGCGCCGCTGGATCGGCATCGGGCCGGGCAAGGTCGGGCGGAACCTGGTCGGCAAGGAGGTCGGCATGCGCGGCAAGGGGCTCGTCAAGGGCGCCGGCGTCTGGGCCATCACGGACCCGTCCGAGATCGAGGAGGCGCTCAGGGGCCTGGAGGAGACCGAGTCCGTCGTCGACGAGGACGATGACGAGTACGAGCGCGAGGACTGAGGGGCGGGAAAATGAGCTAGGTAGATGAGAGCGCGGGCTGTCCTATTCGTTATTTCTTTGGTCGGCGGCGGTGACTCATAGAGGACTGTGAGCCCCTGGGATTACCATGCTTGTATTGTATTGTTTTCTTTTCCATTCTGGCGCACCCGGAAGCAACGGTGGAATTTTGGTAATTCTGGTGGGAAAACGAGACAGAATCACAAAAGCTTGTGGGCATGGCTGAAACGGTTTGAACCACTACGTGAGAGTTCGAGTTGGTCAGGCCAACAGCCCCAAGATATGCGGAACGACAAAAAAAAAGAGATAAAAACATGTCTTACCGGAGAGAAAAGTAGAGCAAAGTTTACAAAAAGGGAGGAGCATGCGGGGGTAGATTCTGCAGTGAATGGCGAGTGTGCTTGAGCGTTCCGTTGCTAGGATCAAGGACAGGAAAAAAACCCGAAAGGGCACAAAAGGCCTGGCAAAACCCAGATTCGAACCTGACGTCTCAAAAAGCGAAGTCGCCGAAAGGCATGACAGCCGAAGCTAAGATTCTACGCTACTTCGCTGAGGGACCCAGTAAGCGCCGAGTCTTATAAATCCTTGGTTACCCCCACAAGCTGCGCCACTCCAGGGGGCAAGAAACCCGGTAGGGACAAAGCCCAGATGTGTCTAACAACCATCCGTTCTCGTATCGGAATCCATCTCGTTCAAGGTTTTCTAAATACGCCGAGTTCTACGTGCATTGCAGCGACCACCGAGGTAAAGGCCAGACACAGGCTAAACTCGGACTTGAGGGTTCAAGGAGCAAGGTTTTCGAAAGGCAGATGTCGCAAAAAAGAGTATCAGCCTTTATATTTGAGCTCCATCGCTGGGATATAACGCGGGCGAGGCGGGTTATGGTTGTTCAACGATGTTCTTTTGGGCTAAAAAAGTGAAAATCGTACTTGGAAAGGGGAAGGCCCCACGATTTTCAGTTTTCGTTTCCATGCCTGTCTTGCCGGTTCTATGGAACCTACACCTCTGATCTCGTCGTCTTGTTCACCTTTCGCCCGCGCCACCATTCCTTTGCCCTGCGACTCAGGTTCACATACCCTTCGTCATCGACCACTTTGGTAGCTGCGTGCGTGGCGCGCCCCGAGCCGCCCTGCAGACCTACCGTCAGGTCCCGATCCCCATAGAAGCCGTCCTTGAGCGCGCGACTCGCCACCTCCACTGTGGCGGCCGCGCGAGGCGTCACGGGGTCGGCGGCGGCGGCGGCGGGTATCCACGTGTCGGGCACCTCGGCCGGCGATATGCCCACGTGCTCCTCGCCGTCAGTGCCCCTGAAGTGGCCGACGGTAGACGCGGTCGGCGAGCAGGACCTGGGCGCGCAGGTGCTGCTCGCCCTGCCCGGCAGGTACCGAGAACTCGGGGCACTGCAGGATGTGGCTGTGGCGCGCTAGCAGCGCGAGGTCCAGGAGCGTGAAGACGGGCCGGCCGGGGTGGGCGACGCAGACCCGGGGCCGCAGCAGCCAGATGCCGAGGCAGTAGGCTACCAGGATGGCGTAGACGGCGTAGAACATGCGCGGCCAGACCTCCATGCGGTAGTGGCCGTCGGCGCTCACGTCGTAGTCGAGCAGGTAGAAGAGCTGGCCCAGGAAGGTGTACAGCTCGGCGCTGACCAGCGCCAGCAGCGTGCCGAACGCGACCTTGAAGTGGCCGGCCCTGAGCGCGGAGAATGTGCCCGTGATGGGGCCCGGGTCGACGTAGTCCAGCAGCACGCTGCGGAGCGCGGTGGCACCCAGGACGCCCATGTTCTCCTTGTCGTGATAGAGGCGCCTGCGCTCCTCCCTGCCCAAGGGGCCGGCCATGTTGACTATGGGGGCCTTGGTCCGGTTGAACATGTCGTAAGCGATGATGAGGTTGTGGTAAGGGAGAATCCCGAAGACGATGGTGGCCTCGAACAGATCCCTGGTTGCGGCCCTGACTCGGAAAGGCTTGTAGATGTCTCCACGGGCCCAGAAAACGGTAGCAGCGATAATGAGACCAATTCCCAAGACAGTGACGCAAAGAGGGTGCCACAGCTCTCGACATTTCTGACGCAACATGGAACTCAGCGGTTTGCTTGCAGTTCCTGTTACTTCTGGACTCGCTTGATGGGTTAGCCGACATTTTATGATCGGGGTGATCTCGAAACACGGTTCAAAGCTATCATCCGGCATATGTGTAAACTCACCAGGCTGTGGCTCTGGAGCAGCGGCCTCAATCCTAGGGACAGGCTCGACCCCCTGCTTGGGCACCTTTGAACTAGATGCCTGAGTAGAGCTGTTTCCAGATGGTGACGACTGGGCTTCAATGTCCTCCCTGCTGCTAGAACCACCAGCACGCGTGGTAAGCTCGATGACTTCCACTGGCTCAGAGGGCCTTGTTGAAAGGTGCTGATTTCTCCCGGGCGTCTCCATTCCGGGGAGGGCGGGATGTGGACCTATGTCGTCGATCGGCATGATCCTATCGCCGTAGACTATCCGGTTACTCCTATCTTCTTTCCAGTAGCCCAGGTGGGGGCGCTGCGGCTACATTTTGACCTCGTCCTCTAGGTTAACGCTGTCGGTGTCGTCCATTTCCTCGAACTTGTCCAGGATATTGGAGCCTTGAATGAGCGCCAGCTGCGCGGCAAGAGTCGTGGGACTCCACTTGAGGCCCGTCCTCCTCTTCCTGAGATGCCAGATGATGCACACTGTGACAATGGCGAGGAAAGAGTAGTGGCAGATGGCAGCCACAGCGAGCCCGAAGTTGACGTGGATCCACCAGCTGTCGCTCTCCTCCTGTACCAGCTTGAAGACGTTTGACTTGATATATAGGAGAAGAATGACAGCCAGCGACGAAGTATTGACGAGACAGCTGACATAGTGTTGCCCTTGCCAGAGACGGAATATCTGGCGAATGCTAAACTCGTCTTCGCCCAGCGGGGCTAGTGGCATGGCGAGGATTCTATGGGAGTCGTGACGCCTCTGCTTTTTCTGAAGGCAGCTATTGGAACGGTCGGCCATGCGGGCGTATGGGATGATTCTGTTGTACGACTTCAAGGTGCCTCGCCATAGTAGAGTCGTTACGAAGCCAACGGTGCCAGGGGCGTAGAGCACTACCTGGTAGCTTCACTTGGAATCGATTCGAAACCAAATGGGCTTGGCAGAGTCAAAGACTACTAGGCCAATGAGGACGACGATGCATAGTGAGCATACGCCTGAAATCATCCCTAGGTACCAACTCCTCAGTGGCACAGGACGAAAGTTCAGCTTGGGGAGCCCGGCTTCGTCGTCACCTCGGAGCAGGCGGAAGGTCCCTGTGCCAACTTTGTGAAGAGGTTAGCGAGCGGCCATGGTCTCCTTTGCAATGGGACGTCGCATAGCACCGTGTACCTGTACCAATTTCGGATGAGGGGCTGGCTGGAGAGTTGATGGTGGCGTGGTAGCCGCCCGGCCGCTCGTGGCCGATGAACTCATGTCTTGTCCTCTTGAGAGTGCGCAAGGGTTGCTTCAGAAGGAGTGACTGTGTGTGTGTGTGTGTGTGTGTGTGTGTGATGTTGCTTTTCTCTGCTCAGAAAGGATGATGCCCACCACACCTGCGACCACATCTTCATCCTAGGGTGAGCGAGGAAGTGCTACTTATCAAGAGTGACCAAGAAAAGTGGCGGCCACGTCAAGAGGGACTGTGGCGGACACAACCATGCCAAGGCTCGCTTTCCGAGATGTGAAGTCCCACTTTTGTCGAATCGCGATGCTACCCGCGCATCACGCGGACCCCCCGACGAGGAAACCGAATGATTCTATCAAATTCTACCACGAAGGGTGCTGTGGTGGCAGCAGGCTGTGTAGTGGCGCTCGCACATTTCCATTCTTTTCTTCACACCGGCTTCCATTGGCCGCGAATGAATGGCAGACGGACTGCGCATGCCGCGAGCCTCCATGGTGGCGGCCTGGGCGGCGGGATGCCTAGCCCGCCCGGCTTGAGAGGCCGGTTACTTGTGCTCTTTCTGCCACTCGTTGGGAGCTGGGAGCGATCGAGCGATGTTGGAACCCATTCTCTTCCGGCCATCGAAGGAGTCTTGTGAAGTAGGACACTAGGGAAAAAAAAAAAGGACGGCGCAGGGTAGGCGCGAAGTCCTGTCATATGCGTAGCGCTTGTGGGAGGGGCTGTCGGCGAGCATCGAGGGCAAGGCTGAGAGAGCGTGCCACAGATGGATTGGTAACCTCAGGGGTTGCCTCAATCAGGGGCAATTGTGCTGAATTAGGCAGTACCGGAGCAGTGCTAGTCAGATGTCGAGCGGGTTAGGGTTATAATGGAATTATGACGACATGGTGTTTATTGGCCGTGCGATAGCTCCGAAACGCGAACGGCCGACTTTAGGTTGCCGGATTGGCGACATTCCGTTTGTCCAACCACGACGCAGGGATCGAAGGCAGGCCCAAAGACTGGTCGCTTGATCAGGCATCAACCAGCGATTTCGCACCCAATTCCACTGATCTGGTTGCTGGCTCAACCACATGCTGGTCGTGATGCAACAAACCCCTTTCCAGCCTCACTGACTGCTTCTCGATTCTGAAGCCACGACAACGCGAACGAGTTCGAAGCAAACATGGGCCGTCGGGACAGCGAGGCCCAGCGCATGCTGCCGAGCTCAGATGGCGATGGTGACGGCGAGAAATGCGAGGCGCAAGCCCCCAGCCCGAGCTTCCTCAGACCAACATCGCCCCTACTGAGCGGCATCTGTCTCGTCTTTGGATTGTTGCTGCTGCTTTTTGCCTTCTGTGATTCGCCCGTTGGTTCGTTCCTGCAGGCCTGGAGCGCCAAGCCGGGAGCCGAGCGTGGTGCAGCTGCAGGAGACCGGTTCCTGCTCGGAGTCGGCAAGGCCGACATCACTGGCCCTGTGGTCGAGATCAACTTCATGGGCTACGCGGACCCCAACCAGGTCGGCTCCGGCCTCCGCCAGCGCCTGTACAGTCGGGCGTTCATTGTCGGCGACCTGGAACAGCCCGCCCACCGCTTCGTATATCTCGTCCTGGACACGCAGTCCGGCGACACGGCAGTCCGCTACGGCATCATATCGGCTTTGCGTTCCCTGGGCCCCGAGTATGCAGAGCTGTACGGCCACCACAACATCGCTGTCACGGGCACCCACTCGCACTCGGGCCCAGGCGGCTGGCTCAACTACCTGCTCCCGCAGATCACGAGCAAAGGGTTCGACCGCCAGGGCTACCGCGCCATCGTCGACGGTGCTGTGCTCTCTATCCGGCGCGCCCACGAGTCGCTAGCCCCTGGGTACCTGAGCGTTGGCCGAACCAGGGTGCTCGGTGCCAATATCAACCGCAGCCTGTTCGCCTACTTGGCCAATCCAGAGGCCGAACGTGCACGTTATAATGCCAGCTCAGACGACGATGGCTCGGTGGAGAAGGAGATTACGCTGCTCCGATTTTCGCGTGCGTCCGATCTGCGGAATATCGGGGTTTTAACCTGGTTCCCCACCCATGGCACCTCGATGCTGGGAAATAATACGCTTGTCACAGGAGACAACAAAGGTGTCGCCGCATACCTGTTCGAGCATGCCATGAGGAGCCACCCCTCAGCCGCGCCCGATCAGCCTTTCGTTGCTGGCTTCTCGCAGGCCAGCGTCGGCGACACGAGTCCAAACGTCCTGGGCGCCTGGTGCGAGGATGGCTCGGGCGTCATGTGCAGCTTTGAGAACAGCACTTGTCCTCTTGATGGCGGCAAGGCCCGCAGCTGTCATGCCAGGGGCCCTTTCTTTGGCAGGAATGATGGCGGCATGGCGTCATGCTTCGAGATTGGACGGCGCCAGTACGAGCCCGCCCGCCGGCTGTACGATGAGGTCGATGTGCCCCTAAGTCCGCTCCGCGGAGACGGCGGGAGGGTGCGGTCCTTTCACACTTTTCACAACATGTCTGGGTTCGAGTTTGCTCGCCCAGGCAGCACTGCCACCAACAACTCTCTGCTGCGGACCTGCCCGGCAGCGCTGGGCTACTCGTTCGCAGCCGGCACGTCAGACGGCCCGGGCGTGTTCGACTTTACCCAGCACGACGGCGACCCGTCCAATACGAGTCCCGTATGGCAGGCTGTATCTCGAATGCTCAAGGAGCCGTCGGAGGAACAAAAGGCATGCCACGGCGCCAAGCCCATCCTCCTCGACGTGGGTGAGGTTAGCCGCCCATACGAATGGACTCCCAACATCGTTGACGTCCAGGTTCTTCGAGCTGGCCGGCTGATCATCATCGTCAGCCCCGGCGAGGCCACAACCATGGCGGGGAGGCGGTGGAAGGACGCCGTCAGCCGAGCATACTCTGACCTTGTTGGGGGCGATGAGGCTCCTGTCGTTGTCCTCGGCGGGCCGGCCAACTCTTACACGCACTACATCACGACCGAGGAAGAGTACGGGATCCAGCGGTACGAGGGCGCGTCGACACTGTACGGGCCTCACACCCTCAACGCGTACATCAATGTGACGCTGTCATACCTTCCGCATCTTTTGTCCGGCGGCAAGGGCGACAAGTCCCCCTCGGGTCCACCCCCGCGCCATGACCCTGCCTCGCTGCCGCCCGACAACACCAACAGGTCGCTGTCTTTCATCGCCGGCGTTGTGCGCGACGGGCCCAAGCCGTTCAAGTCGTTCGGCGACGTGCTCGAGGACGTGGACCCCGGCCGCATGTACTGGCGCGGGCGGGACGCGCCGCGCGCCGTGTTCGTCGGGGCGAACCCGCGCAACAACCTGCGGCTGGAGGAGACGTTTGCGGCGGTGGAAAAGAAGGAGCGCGGGCGGTGGATGAGGGTGAGGGACGACGCGGATTGGTCGCTTGTTTTTCGGTGGCGGCGGACCAGCGGCTTGCTGGCCACGAGCGAGGTCGAAGTCCAGTGGGAGGTGGAGGACTGGGCGGATGAGGGCGTGTACCGGCTGCGGTATTTCGGCGACTCTAAAGGTTTAAATGGCGATATAACGTCGTTTGAAGGTGCCAGTGGGGAGTTTGCGGTTGTGGGCCAGTGAGTTTTATCATTTGGCGTTGGTCGGTAGCCAACTTGTAAATTAGAAGAATGTTCGTCGCGTCGTTGATAGCTTCGCCTTGGTACCCCGGCTACACACAAAAAAACACAAATTGATAAATGAAAAAAAAAGCCAAAAGCTCGCTGCCTAACCAGGATACCTGGGTAGGCAGTTACGAAACGCCCTCGGGGGGTTTACTTCGTATCTGGTCGGTGGCGGTCACGGAAATTCGCCCGGTGCGAAAATCGGCAACCCCCACCTGGGATCGAACTCGCAGCCAAGAGGCTATTGTATTGGGTACAAGTAGGGTCTCGGACCGGCGACCCATCTTCATCCCGCTACACCAACTTGGCCTGCGAGCTCATCTTGACAGCGAGTGGCATCCGGGTAGCTATAGCCTTTAGGCACTGATGCCCATGACAGGGAAGTGAAAGCAGAGCGAAGAGTGAGGTGGAAGTGAGCAAGTACATGGCGCAACCCATATGCCACCAAGATTTCGTGCTCTGTTTAAGGTTAGCCCGGGCACCAGCCTTACATTAGCGCAGATCCAGGCACGAGCGCTGCCTTCCTTCCTGCACTATAATAGCCCACAATCTAGTCTTTTCCCCCTCTTCTGGAGCCCTCTAGTCTGGCCCTACTTTCTACAAGCTCCCATTTTTGCGCCGTGGCGGGAATGGCCGTAACCTTGCCACCGCTGAAATATCAAGGGACAAGCCAAGGCTTTCCCGCATGTGACAAGTTTACAACATTACAGCAAGTAGCGTAGGCCGTCTCGCTAGCATCGGTGCAGCACAGCTCGAAACCATGCTTTGATGAAGAAAAAAAGGAATAGCTGCTTTAGCCATAAGGTCTCGAGGCTTTCGTTTTAACGCTTTGCCATGGAAGGATGTGGTTGGTCCTCAATGTCATACGATGCCGAGCCTGCGGAGCCTCCTTCGCGCCAACCAGAGTGAGGCGTTGATCAGGGTCGTCGGGGCCTCCACAACACCAAAGGAGATAAACCGCACCAAGATTTCCGTTGTCGCATCCGATTATCTCCAAACACAGCCGCGCAAACATCCCGCGGTTACATTGCGGCCGACCCAGGGCGCAATTGGCTTGTGTGTGCTGCGCTACAGTAAATCAATCTGATATCATGGCGGGCCACGTCCGATCTCTCCGTCTTGTGCCATCATGGGATGCGCCCTGCTTCCAGAGATAGCTAGGTACTCTTATCTCCGACATGGCAATAAGCGTTCGTTTACAATGGCGTTCGGCGTACATGGCATAGTAGGTGTAAATCTGGGTTGTTTTATCAACATTGTCCATCCTGTCGCATGTTTGAAGTCCCATTTGATAGCCTCCGCCTACATGAGCACAGCTACTTGTGAACGCCGCAGAGCCGAAAATCAGCCCCAATGGCTCATATAAATGCTGCACGGGGCGTGACTTTTGAATCGGAGAATGGAGTCCCAAGGCCAGGCTGCTATTATCAATTTCTTTTATGGAAAAACTACTTACGCCACAGCCCGCCATGGACCTCCAGCAGTGAGCTATGGCCATCAAGCCATGCCCATTGGACAACCTTGTCGCTGTTGCGGCATAGCCGCGGCGATCTTCTTGTTTATCTCGGCCGACTGCGAGGCCTGGACCAGGGGGTTCGACTGACGCCACCCCTCGGCAAATGGGAGCCGCTCCTCCTCTGTAGGATAAGAGGTCGGTCGGTTAGCCAAGCGGACAAAAAAAAATAGGAGCAAGCATGTATACGACGAGTCCAGAAAACTCACCAAAGAGCACCCGGATGTGCTGCTTGGTCGCGTTGTTTTCGGCGCCGTTGCCAAACATGAGCAGCGTGAGCCCCCAGGCGTTGACGGCCACGGCCTCCTGGGCCTTGGTCAGGTTGAACTTTGGGTTGGACGCGTTGGCGGCCACGATGCGCTGGGCCATGGCGCGCGACATCTGCTCGACCGACACGACGTCGTCGGGCAGCCATGCCAGCGCCGAGGCCCAGATTGTCGGGTTGAAGGGCTTGGGGTCGCCCACGCCGATGTCCTGGCGGCTCAGGCTGGCGTCGCGCTCGATCACTGTGTGAGGGTGCATTTAGGGTTAGCCATGTTTCCGTTTAGGGGGGGTAGTGTAGACAAGGCTGGTTCGTCAAGCTAGGTACCTCCGTGCTTGTCAATGTCGTCGAGGTGCAGCGTGTTGGGGTTCCCCGTGCTCGACATGGTGAGACCGCGGGCGGTCGTGTTCTGGAGGGGCCCTGTCGTGTTCAGGCCGAGGCCCCTCTGCATGCCCTCCAGCATCTGCTCGCGCGAAATGTTGAGCCCGTCGCGCGGGAGGAAGCCATGGTTGGCGAGCGCGTTGAGGATCGGACAGGAGCTGCGGCCTATGTCGAAATGCTCAAAGTCAATTCCGTCAGAAGAAATATACATACAACAGGGGGGACTGTTGGATGGCCTTTAAGACTTACGATCTGTGGGTTTAGGGTTTACAAAGGGAAACACCTCGAACTCGGCCGCGCAGATAGGTTTTTGCTGTGCGCCACAGACGCCGGCCAGGAGGCCCACGGTAAACAACACGGCTGCTTTCATTTTGACAGGAGAAAAGATGGAAACAAAGCAGGTCAGGCGCTGCTCAAAAGGAATGAATTACAAAAAGATAGTCGAAACCACAGTCAATGTGGGCTGAAAGAGAGTACGAAGCCGGCCACAGTCAATGTGTTCCTTGCCGACCTGGCTCGAAAGGAAGCCGGAAGGAGGCAGAAACGGCCAGGGCAAGGCGGCCGCAACATTGTTTATGATTTCCCTTCCCGCGTAGCACCTCGCCGTGATCTTCGCGGCGAATATGTCATGTCCGCGGAGATTATGGCTTCCAGCCAGGTCAGGCCTGATGACAAAACATAGCGGCTCCTGTTTGAGGCGGCGATACACGCGCACCCTACGCCGTCGCATAGACGTCCCTTGTTCTTTTTTTTTTTTTGGAGAGAGAGAGACCCGGGCTCGGAAGTGGCCGCAGAACCCTTTGCTGCTATTATCCGTTACGTTTCGTTTTATGCCCGCCTGTCGGACCCATCCTGAATGGCCTCCTCCACGCCCGGGTTGTGCTCTGATGTGAGGGGAGTCGTGTCCACTCATGTTCTTGGCCCAATCAGAGGACGGGGAAGTTGCCGACAGGTCCCTTCGGCCTGTGTTCTCCCCCGAGTTGGCACGGGCGGGTGGGTGGTAGCCCTGCGGCTCCCCGTGGCGCAGGCATGGATGGAGGAATCCAACGATCTAGAGACCACGGTGTTCGGTAGCCTAGCGATCGATCCATCTCAACGCTGTCCCACCCATGAAAGAGATATCAAACTGTCGATGCACAAAATCCCGAAAGGCCCAAGGTCGGGGAGCATCCGCCTGAGGCACGGCGGCAATGTGCAAAAGTTTTAGACACTTCCGCTTGGCCTGGATTCGCCAAGAAGGCTTCACGCCTGAAAGGCGCTGAGACGACATCAAAACAAGGGCTCGTTTGCCGTCAAGGGAACTTTCCAAATCTTTGACCAGGGAACCCATAGCAGCTTAGCAAGCAGAGAAGCCTTGGCGCCGGGGCCCACCCGGATCTCCCCTGTTGGGCCGGGGGTGAAGATGGGACGATGGGACGATGTGCCAAGATTCTAGTTTCGGCTGCCCCCCTGGCGCTAGCCTCCGGCGGCGCATGCCATGTGCCGGCCAACCGGACGACCGGGTCAACTTTATGTAGGACAAGGTGTCGAAAGAGTGGCTCGTCCATTTGTGATGACGATAGACTACGGAGCAGGCCCGGGCGGCACGTGGGATGATGGATTCAAACGGTGGCTCTGACTTGTGCTGCCAGTCCATGTAGCACATGAGATGGCTTGCCCCTTTTACAGGGGCTCTCTTTCCTATTTTGCAGAAACCATGCATTGGGGAAGTCGGAGCGCGTGAGTGTGGAGCTGAAGCGTCTATGTATATGTGTGTAGGTAGGTATTCGTAGGTATGTGTAGGTAGGTATTTGTAGGTGTGTATATGTCCAAGGGGAGTGGCCTCGATACAAAATGCCTTTCGCAAATTATTTCCTCCCGTATATCATGTGCTCCGATGTGTTTGATCAATATGCTTAGGAATGAGTGGGTGGGTGAGGAAACAGATGCGTAGATAAGGAAATAAGTGAATAAACGGAACTCGTGTGCGCGTCGCTGGTTTGCGACCGACGCCGACATCGCAGCTGTCGTTGGGGGCCGGGCAACAGATGTATTTGGGATTCCACCTGTTGCACTTGCGCACATGTTTGACCATGGCGTCGAAGTCCTCGAGCGAGAATCTGCATAGGGGGCAGAGAGCAGGGGCGCGTTTATCCCTAAGCTGGCAGGAATAGTCGTGACCGAGATCACAAGTGCATTGCCTGTATGCAAAACGGCAAAAATTAGTATATCGCGCAATCGTAAAAAAAAAAAAGATGCATTTTTGTTACGAATTACTTACTCGGATTGGCCGCGCGCTGGATGAGAAGCCATTGCGGATGTAGGATATACCAAGACGGGACAAGGTAAACAGAACGCGTCGCGCGAATGCGAGTGACGATAGGGACGCCAATGCCGGGAGGTAATGACAGACAAGCGCGTACAACGTGAACCGGGATGATGGATAGGCGAACAGCGAGACGATAGTGTGACAATGGCCTGATGGCCAAAAGGTCGTGAGGTCATGGTTCCCCGATGAACCCGCGATAGTCATGGGGCATAGATGCATTACAGTCTAGTCTTATCTCCACCAGTTCTGCCCAATACAACGTCAGCCAACTTCGTCGTCTTTATCCGGGCAGCAGGCCGCAAACAGTCCAGAGGAAATGGCGAGTTCCCCGATGACTACGGGTCGCGGCTTGCGTGGGTGGCATGCAAGACGGAGGCTGGGTTGGGCGACTTACCTGTCCGTCCTCGTATATGTGTTATGGCGACAAGTACAAGAGGTCGGCCAGCTTGACATAAGGAGGACCCCTTCTGCGGAGAAGCAACAAGGAAAAGGACTAGTGGCCATGTTGCCCCCCTCCCCCCGTTTCCAACCCGACTCTCTATGGCGAGCGAGGGTCGAGTTCGTGATAGTGTCCACAGTGGGCATCTCCAGCTGGAGAATTTCTCGTCTTGGCCGCAGCCGGAGCGCAGCCTGGAATTGCAGGCGGTAACTCCAGTCCCGAATTTCGTTGCAGTCATCCCGAGATCGACACCGACGATGGCATGCGGCCACTACTCCTGCCTGCTTGCCATCCACCCATGGCAACTAGCGTGTATAGTTCTTGCAAGGGCAGACCACATTGTGCACCCCGTTCCTCTTCAGGTTCCCGTCTTCCCTGCGCATCAAGGGCGCGACAGGGTGGTTGTCGTCAGCCTAGATCTGGCAGTATGCCTCGAGGATTGGGTCCCACGGCATCTCCCGGTTCTCACGCCAGGTCTTCGGCTTCGGGCTGTAGAGAGCAAGGTTGAAGGTGAGTGAGGTTGTGAATGTGTATGGAAAGATGCGTATGAGTGGTGCACCGCGAGATGCGCTGTGATGGATTGTGGTCCAAGTTTGTCCTCCTCTCCTCTTCTCCCTCTGCCTCATCTGCGGAAATAGGCGCCGAAATATTGCGTAATACATCCCAGAACGTCAAGTGCGGGCTGATCGGTCGACACGCGGCCATGCGGGCGGTTTGCTGCTGCTCTTCGAAATCCATCATGGCCGCATCGACGTCTCCCCTAAGAACGACCTGCGAAGCAACCATGTTTCCAGGGTGGGAGGTGGAGGGTTAAAAGGACTGTTCCGCGCTCCGGCGTGGATGCTGGGATGTCGCTGGTGCATTTGTGGCGCCCACGGCCGGCCGCATCGGGCGCGGATTGAGTGCTGTGTTGGGACCGGAGGGAAGTGACATAGTTGCTGGCGGTCGGATCCCAGGGTAGGCTGCGTGCGAGCAGGTCTGCCATACGGGCTGGGCCATGAAACGGGAGGGTTGCACATAACAAAGTGCGGGGTTCTTGGTCGCAGACGCACACAGCGCCCAGGGAAGAGGATCCCACCAGACATGTTGTCTGGGTGTTAGATTTGTGGAGGTCTGTGTGAGGGCGGCTGGGTAGGTTACATGCTTCCAGGGGTGTGTACTACCACGGCTTGCCGGGCTCGCGACAGGGAGTGGCTCGTACACCATAGGTGCTGTAGACGGTTCGGTTAGAGCCAGTACAGTACAAACATGAACTAGGTTCGTCGCTATTTTGTACTAACCATTCCCAGTTTTACTGCCCTTGTCCGTGACCAGAGCTGCCGCCTCGCCCAATGACACCTTCATCGTCCCGAAGAGCCACTCCTTCCGAGGAACAGGCGCAGCACAAGAAGGGGCCGGGGGAACTCCAGGACTCAGAGATGATGAGGATTCACCGGGGCCCTCGAGCCCGTCGGGGATCCCACTGAGGGTTCGTCCTGGGAAACGGCGGTCGAAAGCCTGTTCGACTGCTTGGGCTTCGAAGTCGGCACGGATGGCCTCAAGTGTGCTGATGACGCGCGGGCCGTCTTCCAGAGTCCACTGGGCTGGGGGGACTCGTGGTCAAGGGGATTGACACGTTGCTGGACGTACTCAGGCGCCCTTACCCCGAAACAACACCGACTGCAAAGCTGGCATTCCGCAATCCCAAGTCATGGTTAGCGAGGCAAAAGGTGAGCAACGGAATCTGTACTCGCTACTAACCTGCAAGTGCGACATTGTTAGCGTGCCTTTGAGCCCGACCCAATGCGTGTGTGTTTGGTTCATATGATATATAGGTACGTAAGAAAAGGCAGGGAGGAGGTCTAGTATTTAAGATAAGGAAGCCTTGGAACGGTGAAGACAAGGGAACATGGCTTGAGGTGAACAAGTGTTGAGAGAAGGATGAGAAGATCATCTGGGATTTCAGCAGGAGGAAGGCGTCGTTTATATGGACAGTGACCGCAAGGCGAGCAGGCGAGCTGGCTGCCTAGTGTTAGCCATAGGGAAGCCTGAAAAGCCTAGAGCAGAGCTGCAAGGAAAGAACTGGGTGCCCAGCCCCCACTTGACGGCCCCCCCGATACTAGCTGTCCCAATATGCGCGCCTCTAGGTAGCAGAAGCCAAATGCCCGCCTTACTCCCCATCGCCAACCGCCGGTGGCTAACCCGATTCGTCCTTGCCGCAAGCAAACGTCGTTTGCTCGCTCCACTTATTGTGGCCATTCCACTCCTGGAAATCCCACTTCATGTCCCCAACGAAAGGCGAGCAGGGGTCGACGGTAGAGCTAGGTCAGTTGATATGTCCAAAAAGCAGAGACATGCGACGCGAATTCGGGATCTAGCCAGAGCAAAACCTGAGACCTCGCAAGGAGATTGGCCGCCTCGCGGAGGAAGGCTGCAGGAGCCGTGACGCCAAGTGAGGGGAAATGACGCAAGACGGCGGGGGAGAAGACCTACATCCACGTCACCGCCAGACTCCTCGTCGTTGAGCCAGTAGGTCGGCTTGCCGTCCTTCCGCGGCTCGACGGAGAGGTCTCCCCGGAATGCGCCGGGAGGAAACGCCGTCTTCTCGTCCCAGTGGATACTGTGAGCGAGCCCGATCACCTTGCTGCCTAGAATACGCATCATTCCCAGGTCAGTTCCCTCGTGGTGTGTCGTATTGAACGGGAGCCAGCAGGAATGTGCTTGAGGGGGGAGGGGGGCGAGGCGGTGGATGAGCCGGGAGAGGGGAGCTGCATATTGGACGGGAAATTAGACAGGAGAGGGCTCACATTCGTTGTCAAAGACGAGGGCCCCCATGTCCTTTCCATCGGGCGTGAGGACCAACGTCAAGGTGCAGATTCCTTTCGGCTGCTCCTTGCAGCTGACGTAGTCCAGGAAATTGGGCTCGTCCACCGCGATACTGTGACGATCCAAGAGGACTTTCCTTGGAGCAGCATGGCAGAGCATGGGCGACTGAGTCAAGAGACAGACAATGGACTTTGAAAATAACATAGTGAAGAAGCAGTGCGGAGGATGAGGTGCTCCTTGTCGAGAGACGGAGAACGGAAGCAGCCGTTCAAAAGCTCGAATGCAGGCTGTCCGGCCACCCGGTATATGAGACATAACGAGACGCAATATGCTTCCGCCAACAAACTTGGACAGCGCTGTGAGAGCCCGTGTTGACTCCAAAGTGACCCACGTCTACCTCGGGACACGGCCTAGACCTCAGCTTTGCCGCAATCCAGACTTCCCAAGCCACTCTGGGTGGCCATGAAGCCCAAAACCTGCGAGCTTAAAAGAAATTGTGGCAGGCGCGTCCATAATCATTCACCGCTGTGTTGTTTCTATCCTTGGGTCCAGGCTCCTGGGTCGAGGACGTCATTGCAGCGATGGCGGGTAAAGTGACAAGACTGGCAAGCTCAACAAAAAGACATATGGACCGGAAACGAAAATCTATAAAACCTCCATTCATTTACATTTTGGCCTTGAGATTCGATGGCATCTTGGGCTCCACAGGTATCCGGGGATGGTCGCCAGCGAGGGCCAAGCCCGTGATACGCTCAAGCTCGTCGACGGCCTCGAAAGCCCGGCCCAGCGAAACCTTGAGTGTGCGTAGCCCCTCCCTCTTCCCAGCCTTGAGATTCTCGCCAATGTCGTCGATAAACAGCACGTCACCGGGCTCGACACCGTGACGCCAGCCGAGCGACCCGTCCGGATCCCTCACCGCAGCGTTGGTGCTGGCGAAGCGGTCGACCTCGCGCAGAGCGTAGCGGAAGGCCGCTGGGTCGGGCTTACGCAGGCCGACGTGGGCAGAGGAGACGAAGACGTCAAAGAGGCGGCGCACCGGGTGGCCGAAGAAGCCGCCTTGGTCGGCCGGGTCGCCAAGTGGGTGCCCGTCCGGGAAGATGACGGTGTTGCTCAGTGCGGCGATGACGTAGCGACCGCTTGCCCTGAGGCGCTCCAGTGCAGGCAGCATCCACGGGTCTGGCTGCTGTGACACGGTCATCATGTCGTTAAACAGCCACTCACCATCCACCTGCGGTAGTGGAGGTAGAGCGGCAGGCAGTGCCGGGTTTTTACTGCGTTGAGCCTCGTAAAAGGCGGCCCAGCGTGCTGGGTTGTGCAGATCCCTGTTGAACCCGGCGAAAAATTCTCGGTCCATTGGGATCTCTCCCTTCTCCAGGCGGTGCCAGAACCCGGCTGGGGCCGACTTCGAGATGGAGTAGTTTACCCATCCAGGCGGGATGCCCAAGCTGAGCTCATAGTCAAGGATGGACTGGAAGGGAGACACGACCTGCATCGTAGTATTAGCCATGAGTGGTTCCAAAGCGAGATACAAGTTCCTTACTCACACAAACGCCGCCAATATCGAAGAGAATAACCTTGGGCTGCTTCTGAGCGGCCATGCTGGGCCAACCAGTGCCAAGCAAGGAGCGAATGGACGGCGACAGGCAGATTGGGCCAAGGAATGGATGTCTAAGATGGAAGAAGGATGCGATGAGGAGGTAGCCTATGGCATGTCACATGGCTGAATGTATCCACCTATATAAAGGTGAATGCAGGTACTGGTAGGATGGAGGAGGTGCTGGTGTCGAAGCCGGCTCGGTTGGCGCAGCACCCTGGTCTCTCCAAAGAATGAAGCCGTGCCTCGGCAACGGACCTTGAGGCCGGTGTGGGTATTTCCGTCGCGCACGTGATCAAGCGCATGACCCCGCTCGCAGTGCAGTGGTCCCCGACCCAATTCCACGCTCACAGCCCTGGCTGAACGGCCCCTGCAAGCTTAGGGTTGCGGGGCTTGGATTTATGCCCACCATTTTTTTGACGATTCCGCCCACCCAGAAAAAACGTCGTTCCTTGACAACCACAATCACAGAAAAAGACCTTGAGTTCGTTGTCGCCACGAGCCCAAACCGTCAAAATGGTGAGTTGACAGCAATCAGCAGCCCTGCCGCTTGACCGGCAGAGCTCCCATCACAAGATCTTTGCTCTCGGAGATTTGGCCACGTTGGGTGTCTCCCGCAGATCCTGGCAAGAGAAAGGGTCGATGCAAGATGCTTCGGAAGAGGAATATTCTGAAGCGCAAATTGCTGACTCTGAGGGTGTTCTTCCGTCCATCAGCCTTTCCACAAGCTGGTCAAGAACAACGCCTACTACAGGTGAGTATCTTCCTTATAATTGTGCTTCCCTCCAGTGTCTGCGCGCTGGGCTCATTTTGTACTGACAGCAGACCCCCCCTCTCAGCCGCTTCCAGACCAAGTACAAGCGCAGGCGGCAAGGAAAGACCGACTACTATGCCCGCAAGCGGCTGATCACCCAGGCCAAGAACAAGTACAATGCGCCCAAGTACCGCCTGGTCGTCCGCTTCACCAACCGCGACATCGTCATGCAGATCGTCACGTCTGAGATCTCGGGCGACAAGGTCTTCGCCTCGGCCTACTCGCACGAGCTCAAGGCCTACGGCATCACCCACGGCCTGACCAACTGGGCCGCCGCCTATGCCACCGGCCTGCTGATCGCCCGCCGTGTCCTCAAGAAGCTTGGCCTCGACGAGGACTTTGCCGGTGTCGAGGAGCCCGATGGAGAGTTCAGCCTCACCGAGGCCGCCGAGACCGACGACGGCAGCCGCCGCCCCTTCAAGGCCAACCTCGACGTCGGCCTGCACCGCACCTCGACCGGTGCCCGTGTCTTTGGCGCCATGAAGGGTGCCTCGGACGGCGGTATCCTGATCCCCCACTCGGAGAACCGCTTCCCTGGCTACGACATTGAGAGCAAGGAGCTGGATGCCGAGACCCTGAAGAAGTACATCTTCGGTGGCCACGTCGCCGAGTACATGGAGACCCTCGCCGACGACGACGAGGAGCGCTACAAGAGCCAGTTCCAGCAGTACATCGACGACGACGTCGAGGCTGACGGCCTTGAGGACCTCTACACCGAGGCCCACGCCGCCATCCGCGCCGACCCCTTCAAGAAGGCCGAGTCGGACGCCCCCAAGAAGACCAAGGAGGAGTGGAAGGCCGAGTCCAAGAAGTACAAGACCAAGAAGCTCACCCTGGCCGAGCGCAAGCAGCGCGTCCAGGAGAGGATCGCCGAGCTCCGCGAGGAGTAAGGTTGCCTCTTTCCTTCACAAAATCACCATCGTCTTTGGGGGCATTTTCAACAGGGTTCGGGGGAAATATCACGGCTGTTTGTTCATTGGCGTTTTGCTTTTATCCTCCGGAAGGGGGATCCGAAACGGGTCATGGGGAAAAATCAAGGGTTTCTCAAGGATTTTACGAGACCAAAACAAAAGTGAATGACCAACCATGTGATATCTTGGCCAAGCTGCTGTGTCGCGATGCACGCGTATTGGTGTCTGCCGCCGACGCGTCTCTGCGTGGGTACTGCAACCCTTCTTGTACCCTCCTTGGTGGTTCCAGCTCCTTGGATTGTTCCTGGCTGGCCACAAAATGAGGTGTGCCCTGCCACTGGACTGCACGGACAGCTGGTATATCGATCGACATATATGAGGTGGCACGTGACGACGGCTGGACATCGGTGTGTAGACGGTCATGTGTGCCATGTTACACGACCCAGCCGATTGCGACTCAAGCAGAAATCAGCCGCACCCTTGCCTGTCAAGACCGCCGCGGCAGATGAGCCCGGTATCCCAATGTGAGGAGCTCGGTGTGGGCGGGAGTTTGTCTAGACACCAATCCTTGAGAGGAATTTTGCCGGCCAGCTAATGTCCGGCCGGCGATGGGGCGGGGCCCTGGGGTTCGCCGCCGCTCGCCGAGAGATTAGTGAGACGCGGTACGACCATGCTAGCGGTGGTGGTCTGCTTGGCTTCGGCCGCTGACGTCGCTGACAGCGGCAACAATGTGGGCAGGGTCCAAGTCTGGTGGGATAGAAATTATATATCAACGCAAGAACAAAAAGATGGAGGGAAACACTCAGTAAGAGATAAAGCAGCAGAGGTACAAAGGTCGCCAAGGTAGAGGGAAATATGAAAGGGACCTATTGGGGGTTTCTGTTCAGCATTGTCCGAACATGGCTTCCCCTTGGGTGTGGTGATGTCCAAAAAAGCAAGGCCCGGCACCGAGCTGACGGTTCTCGCCACAGACAGCGAGAAGGTTTCAAATCAAGTGCCACGTACTGGTGGATCGTGTTCCCAACCGGCAGTGCGTGGCCGGGCACCCCTTCCAAAGATAGGCCCACGGAGATAGGGGCTAATTAGGTCCCGCATGTTTACGAAGGACAAGGAGGCCCTTGGGCTAGAGATTAGCTTTGCGTAAAAAGCGCCTGCTATCCGGGCATCCACCTGGCCGCATTTCGGCCAGCAGTCTGGCAGACACGTTTGCCGGTCACAACTGGGGTAGTCATCGAGCCTCTGGCTCCCGTCGTGATCCAAAAGGGCAATAGAGAGAAAAGGATATTTGACGAGCTGCCCCTTGTCTTCTGGTTCCAATTTATTCCATCGCCTGTCAGGAGCCGCATTTCTAATCCAGAAGCTTGCACGTGCCGGATTTGCCTGCCCAAAGCGGCTCCAGAGGTCTGGTGGTTCGACTGGGGGGTCTCGCCAGCACGACGGTGGCGGCCAGCCTCCTACGAGTTTCCCCACAGACGCCGGCGCACTGTACCAACTGGGGATTTTGCCACTGCACCACACCGTACCGCAAAACCCCGAACCCCAGGTTCGCGCGGCCTGGTGGTGGATTGGTGTGGATTCCTCCCAGCCGCTTTGGTCGTCGCCAAACCTTGTTGACTTTGGGCTGCTGCTGAGCTGAGCGGGAGCTGGGCCATCTCCAATCCAGGCCAGGTGAGACCAGCTCGGTTCGCGCACGAGACATCATTGTATTCCCGACGACCTGCACTGCATTGACTGTTTGGTTGAGAGGCCCCGTCGCCATCTGCCCTCCATTCTTTGCACCACAATCACCCCCACACCGGCACTCGACATCCATCACATCATGGCTGCCACGGCCATCGCCAGGTGATGCATCGTGGGTCGACCCATCAATGACGGAACCCCACAAATTGCCTTCACCTGCTGCTCGCCCTTCCCTGCCACAACCCCGGATTGCAAGAACCTGGGCGTGGTTCCAGCCCGTCACCCGAGAATCCTTCTTCGCCCCAAGAAAAAAAGTGTCTAGAACTTAAGAACATAACGAGAGCCGGGCGACTGCTAGCTGGCCGTCGACCTGCACGCGCGATATGGAGCATGTGCACGGCATCGACGTGAGCTGGATGACCCACGGGTCTCCGAGAGGTAATTCCTGAAGCTGCTTGCCTGCCCGCATGTCGCCGGCCCCGATGGTGAGGCCGCCCAGCTCACCCACCGTGCTTCTCGTGCTCTAGACATATCAACCCGCTCTCCGCAGAGGAGAAACACACTCCCGTCGCCGAGTCCTCGCGCTTCCCCCACACAAAGTCCGCAGCTCGGCTCGTCACCCATCGAGCCCCCCAATGCCAATGCCGATCCCAACACTGCCGCAGGGAGCCCGACGGCGCCCAGCCCGTCCAGCCCGCTTCCCGCGCACCCGCCGATGACGAGGAACGGCTCGACCGAGAAGCTGCCCAACGGCGGCTCACCAACTGTCACCCCACAGCGCCGGGGCTCCTGGTTCTCCAACATCTCGTCCAAGTTCGGTGGCGGCGCCGGCACCCAGAGCCCGCCGCAGGCGAACCACACACCCCCTAAACAGGCCGAGATATCGGTCCCCCGTCCGAATCCGGGCAAGAACGCAGTTCTCCAACACGCCGTGCGCCACGAGGGCGACGCCCCCTACACGCCCGCTCCACCCAAGTCGAGCCAGCCAGGACTGCTGCAGGTCCTCCGCCGCCTCTCGTCCTCTGGCGGCGGCGGCGGCGGTGGTGGCGGCAACGGTGGTTCCCTCGGCGGACCCAAGAAAAACCACGGCGGCCTGGTCGAGCGCCGGGTGCTCAACGTGGACCGCAGCCGGGAGCGGTGTGCCCTGGCCGAGCTGAACCAGGCAAAGCTCCGCCGTGTCGCCTTCTGCGTCGATGTCGAGATCGCCCCAATGCCCAAGTACACCGAAGACGGCGGTGGACTGAAAAAGAAAATTTGCGAAAAAACAAGCAAGCCGAAACCCGCCGAGAAGGGTGGCGATGGAGCGCTTGAAGACGGCAAAACCCCGCAGGAGATCGCCAGTCCCGCAAGCGAAAGCAAAGCCGAGAACCCAGCCGCACCAGCAGATGGGGACAAGGCTACGACAGAGAAGACCGCCAGCGAAGGCGGCGCCGTTGTCGATGAACCGAGCGCGTCCAAGGCCGTAGATAGCACGAAAAAGAAGGACAAGAAAAAAAAGAGCGAGGAGGAGCGCAAGGCAAGGAAGGAGAAGAAGCGGAAGCTCGCCGAAACAAACGGGACGATCCCTATGGAAATCCACCTTGACAGCGACTCGTCGGGCTCCTGTACGGGTGAAAACAGCAGCAGCGGCCGTTCGCAGTCGGTACCCACCACCAACCCCGTCCGTATATACCGTCGCTGCTGCCAGCTACGGGAGACGCCGATCCTGAAAAAGGTCACAGAGCAGCTGACCAAGCCCGGCAACGTCTCTGCCGGTGGCGCAGTCGAGAAGCTGGACCTCACGGCGTACTGGCTGCAGCTACCAGATCTCGTCACCCTAGGTGACTACCTAGCCGTCGTGCCCGTCAAGGAGGTCCTGCTCGAAAACTGCGGGCTGAATGACGAGGGCCTCCGCGTCATCCTGGCCGGCCTGCTCGCGGCAAAGAAGCCCAAGAGGAAATCACGCAGGTCATTGGACAGCGACTCCAAGGAGCTCGGCACATGTGGAGGCGTCGTGGAGCGCCTCGTCCTCAAGAACAACAAGATTGGCCCCGAGGGCTGGAAGCACATCTGCCTCTTCATCTACATGTGCCGCTCTATAAAACATCTCGACCTCTCTAGCTTGTCATTCCCTCGCGCAACACCTGCGACGGCGCCTCCGGTCAGCCACCCTCATATACCGCACTTCCAGGTCGGCCACAACCGGCCAGCGCCACCGATAACCACATGTCAGCTTTTTTCCAAGTCTCTGGGGAACAGACTGGCTGGCTCGACACTCGAGCTCCTGAACCTCGCCGAAACGTGTCCCGACACGGACCAGCTCGGCGTCCTGATGGATGGGGTCATCAAGTGCGGGGTCAAGAGGCTGGGTCTGGCACACAACGATATTGACAAGGCCGGCGTTGCGCATGTCGCAAGGTATCTCGCCAGCGGCGCGTGTGAGGGTCTTGATCTAGGCGGCAACGATCTCCGCGACCAGCTCGAAACCCTAGCCACTTCGCTTCCCGAAACTTCATCCTTCTCGGCCCTCAGCCTGGCCGAATGCAATCTCAGGCCAGGTTCCCTCTGCGAACTCTTTCCGAAGCTGGTCAAGCTCAAGGACTTCCGGTTCATCGACTTTTCTCACAACCATGATCTCTTCAAGACGAGTCCGAGCTCCATCTCGTTGCTGCGGAGGTTCGTAAAATTCTTGGTGTGGAGACCCATTCTCTAATACATGCTAACTGTGTATTTCTTCTTCAGATATCTCCCAAAGATGGCCATGTTGAAGAGGATACATCTCGCAGATGTATCCATGACATCTGAGCAGGCCATTGCGCTTGCCGAAATCCTTCCCGAGGTGGCAGGACTGGCGCATATCATCTTACTTTCGAACCCTGAGCTCACCAAGCTCGCAGACGCCCAGACAGAAGAGTCCCAAGAAGAGGCGTGCGCTCTTTACGCCTCGCTGCTTGCTGCAACAAGAGTCTCGACCAGTATCGTGGCAGTGGATATTGACGTGCCTACAGAACGATCGGGAGAGATTGTCAAGGCCCTTGCGAAGCAGGTAGTCGCCTACTCCCTGCGTAACATGGAAAATTTGCCCATCGTGAAGCCCGGCGGGGTCGAGGCTACGGGAGCCACTGGCGCCCGCCAGGGCCCCGAGTATCCGGACGTCCTTCAGCACCTGGTTGGCTCGGATGTGATGCGACCGGACGTGATGCCGGAGGACGTCGAGGTTGCGCCCGACGACGACTATGTCATCGGCGGTACTGGCGTAGTCAAGGCTCTAGCCTGCTGTCTCAAGAATCGCGGCGACGAGTCCAGAAGGCCATCGGGAGAGTTCACGCGCGAGGCGGACCTGTACTCGCCGCCTGCGCTGTCGTCGACTGCACTACTCGACATGCCGCCGTCTCAGCGCAGGAAGATACCAGGCGGCAAGGCCAAGGACATGTCAAAGCACCTTCTCGGGAGCGCGCGCAAGATCAGGCAACGGCTGCAGCCCGCCATGGCCAAGGCGAAGATGGCATCTACAGCTTCAGCCCAGGACGCGCACACGTACCAGCGGTTGCTGTTCCTGGACTCGACCCTGGACGGTATCATCAAGCGGTTTGAGGACGAGTTCCCCGACACCAGGGAGTTTGCTGCCGCCGACGAAGTAACCCCTTCGTCATCTCCAGAGTCAACCGTCGCCCCTCCCTCGATGCCGCTCGCGACTTCGTTTGGGTCCGACGCGGATCACATGGGCGCCGGATCGGACGCAGATGATGATGAGGAGGGCGGCGGCGGGCGATTGCTGCTGGGGCGGCCCAGCAAGCAACTCTCGCGGTCCAACTCTCTCATCTCAATGACTTCCAAGGGCCTGACTGAGGAGGAAGGACGCGTGCTGCGAGCCGGGCACAGGTTCCGGAGCGGCTGGATTGTAACGCAAGAGCACTACAACCTGCTGTCGTCGGGCGACGCGTGGGCCTCGGCTGGGGTGAGCGGGGTGGGCAGCGACCCGAAGCACGTGCGGCTGCTGCACGAGCTGCTCGAGGAGGTGGACGACCCGGAGTTGATCAAGCAGATCGAGCGGGATGGGGTCGTGGCCGTCTTCATGGATCAGCGCGAGCGGATTCGGGACCTAATGCGGAGCGCGGACCCGGAACACTGGGAGCGGTTCGAGGAGAGCCAGCGCATGGCTCGCGCAAACGTCAAGGTCTCGTCCGAGGCAGCCGGTGATAAATGCAAAGACCCGGCCGCTAGCGGAGATGACAAGACGGCGAGGCCGCGCATCGACGCCCCGGAGACGGCTACGGGTGACGAGGTTGCCGTATGTGACTGACGGTCTTGCGTGACTTTCTTTTTTTGGTCTTTGAATGGATACTTGGTTGTTTTTTGTCACTCTCCTGTTTTGTCTACTCATTTACATCCAACCATCCACTCTAGTATACATACAAAGACGGGGGTTCTTGCTTTTTCATGGCGAGACACAGGCGCATCTATATCTAGTGGCTTGCTTTTGGTTCATGGTCTGTTCTTTTCTTTCGTGTACAATCATAAATATCACCAATAACTTGCTGGCCTGGGATCATACGTATGGGCGTGGCTAGGTGCTCGAGGAATATGAAATTTTCGGAAGGAAGGATTTGCCTCTGGATGGCGCTCCTCTTGTACGTCTCGTTTGTAAACGTCGTGGCATAACTTTGATGATCATGATCGACAAGATCGTTCACCACAAGGACTATGACTGCTCGATTGCTCCCAAGTGGTGTTCCGGATGAGACATTTTAGAGCTGAGGTTTTACTAACATAAGAAGTTGATGAACCTGATATGCGCACAGGTATACCATGCTTGATCTGCTCCAACACATTATTATTCATCACATGCTAGGCTGCCCTATTATACAGACATAGCAAGAATCTCGCCATGAAACCTATTTATCCTCTTTCCCCATCCCAAGCTCCTCACCTTCTCCAGTCACCCCTCGATACTCGGGCCAGGAGCTCCACTGCTTCGGGTTGGTTGTCCGCCGAGAGCCCATTCCCGGCAACGGCGGTTAGACATAACCGGTCAGGGCAGACTATAAAGTGCAAATACATATATATACTGCAGCTTGTTACCCAGGTACCTAGCTACAGGCATTATGCCCAGAGTAAGAGGGCGCGGGCGGAGAGGAGCCGGTCGGATAGCAGCCGACGAATCCTGCAGCCATGTCCTTGCCTTGGCCTAGAGCCGACGAGCCTTGCAGCAAGGTTCGTTCGGCTTTCCAAAAACCTAAAACGTACCGCTGGCCGAACAGGTAGCGAGTGAGCTTTTCTTTTTGTGGCTTGAGACAGCTCGACAAAGCGCGAGGTTCTGTCACATCATACAAGGTCGAGGCAAGGCAGGTGGTACGAAATAGGGCAAGCTCACGAGGGCTCACAATGGCGTGTTGGGAGACACGGACCGCCTCTCCCACGATCCCGGCACTGGCCCGGACCATGGAACAAGACGCGGCGACGCTGGCGAGAGGGCGTGGATCGGCCGACGATCAGGCGCGTGCTGTCAAGGTTGGGGGGTTTCTTGGCCTGGTAGCGAGCGAGGGAAGTGGGAAGGGGGAAGGCAAGGAGGTAGCGTATCCTAGGCGAGGGCGTGTGTGTGTCTCTTTTTTTTTCTTTGTCATTGCTCCGCTCACACACATGGGTGTGCTATATTCCTTCTTCTTTTCTTCCAGTGGACGAGTCGGCCAACGAGGCTTTAGCATTGTGGAAATGTGAACAAAGCCACCGTCGGCATATTTCTTCCTTTTCGTTCTTCATTGGTGGCGCAGGGGCCTCATCAAAAATGCCCCAGCGAACCCATCCATCGTTCGCCATCAGACTCTCTCTCTCCGCGGTGGGGGAGTGGGTGACAAGGCTCTTTGTTATGCAGCACAAAAAAGAAGTCGCGATAGGCGGCGACTGAACGGAGTTCGCCTCAGGTCTGCATTTGAGGCTGGAAAAAAGAAAGGAAAAAAAAAGTCTCCGCCGAAGCAATGCTCGCGCAGTGGTGGACCCTCCAGCCTTAGCGTAGGTCTGAAACAGCAGACGAGCAGGGCTCGGCCTGACGCATGAATTCGCCCCCACCCCTGTCAGCTCCCCTCGACGACTCCTTGCACTCTCGTCCTCTCGTCCGCTCCATCCTCCCTCCCTGCCGGGCAACCAAGGAACCAAGCAACCAAGCAGGGCCAGTCGATGTTAGCCAGAAGGGCACACACGAGGCGTCAGGAGTGCTCTCTTTACAAAAAACCACAACATCAGACCGGCGAGGGACCTCGCGACCAGATGCGTTTGTCAGCCCGGCTGTCGTGTTGAAGCTCGGCCGATTCGGACAGATGGCGCACAAGTCAAGGTGATGAGCAGTCGCGCAGTCTGCCCTACTGTACGAACCTCGACTGCCCTTCCGCGTCGGTGCTTCGGACGGCACGAGAGGAACCGCAAGGAAGCAGCTCCAGCTCCAGCTCCAGAGTCGAGCCCAGCGGCTCCGTTGTGCATGATGGCCGACCAGGATGCACCCTTGCGCACGTTTCAATGCACGGCGCACAACTCGAGAGGCCGCTCCTCTCGTCTTGGCGACGACTCCTTTTTGTCACTCCCTCTTTTTTTTCGCGGGGTTTTGCTTTTTTTTTTCTCTCTTTTCGCGACGTTGCTTTTTTGAGTTTCTGTTACTTTTTCCTCTTTCGGGGTGGAGATTGCGTCCTTGCTCCCCTGTTCGGCCCATCCCCTTCGAGGAACGAACGAGGACGGTGGCTTCCACGGTACCGAAGCACGCGACGGCAACGTGACGTGTGATTCTAACGTCGACCGCGTTGAAACACGCCTGATTCCTGAAGCCTGCAGTACCGACTTGGGCTCGTCTGCAAGCGCGGCCCCAGATTAGCTCCCGCTCCGTTCGGCGCCCAGCGGCTCCGAGATAAAGAAAGAAGCTTCCATTCTCAACTTGCGGGACGGCAGAGAGGTCGACATCGCCATACCCCATCGTAACCTTTTTGGTGTCGCTCCATCCGTTTTTGGCCGACGTCGCACTCGCCAGCGGCTCGAAGCGCGCGAGGGAGAATAGAAGGCTCCACTGCATCGATCGCGGGCGGGCTGAGTGGGCCGGTGCCTGTTCTTGGTCTGAAACCCAACTTAATCCACGGCACTTTTTGAGCTGACAGCAGGGAAATATGTGGGGCAGGCCAGAAACAGATGAAAGGGGCCGCAAAAGTTGCATCCAAAAGGTCGAATCCCTAGCCCAATAGGGCAGCGCTGCTGTTGTTTCGCGACTGAGGGCCCTTGCAGACGTCACGACCAGACTCGTTGGCCGGGTGGGTTTGGTTTAGTCGGGACTAGAAGGTGGTTGAGAAACGAGCAGGAAACAAAATCTACAGCAGTACAGACCAGACGCCCAGACGCACAGAGCCATCACGCCAACCGACGCACGCTATCTCACGTCTTGGCGCGCTGGTGCGAGGCCGCTGCATCGGCTGCCGATTGGCAGCAGCGCCATCTGTCACCTGCATTGCAGGGGTTAATTATAGACCAACCAGGCCGTCCTCTCCGTCCTCTGCCGTCCTCTTGGGTTGGGCTACTGCACCTCGACGTAGCCCGTGCCAAAATTGCGGTCCATCATGGACTTGTCAAGGCCGCATTGCCGACGCAACACCACCTCTTGCTTTTTCGACCGCCAGTCCTCGCCACCGAATCTGGGCACACACCTCGAGCCGGGCGCCAACACCCACTTGCACTCCAGACCCCGGCCAGGGCTGGACGGGGGTCCCCCTGCCAGCCCCAAGGTACCTCCGGACACTAGGATGTCGCATCATGTTCGCTCGTACCTAGACCAAGAGCCTGGAAGAGCGGATGGACAGACAGACCACGCAAACACACACGATTGCCTGGTTGAGCGCGCAGTACCGACGCAGCGGGAGCGCGTCTGTTGGCGGACAAATGGGCGCTCCGGCCCCCGGGCGTTACGTGACGGATAGGCCATGGATGGGCAGGACAGTACTGCCATGATCCTCGCCGGGGTGCCATGGTGAACAACTGGGTTTCGAGACGGGCGGGGCTCTTTTATCGGTTACAAATGGAGCCTGCTGCCCAGCTGGCTCCCCACGTCTCGTAACCCGCCTGCCCTCACAGCCTCCCTGCGGCCCCGCACCGCACCCCTTCACACCCCCTAACGCTGTCGAGCGCTGGACGCCGCCCGTCCGAGCATGTGCGCACGTTGAGTCTGCTAGTAAAGGTATACCTACATCCCGCCGTGCCTGGTCCCGCGCGGCCTTCAGCCCTCCCACCGCCACCCATCATCCCCTTCGGCGGTTTGCTTCCATTCCTTTAAGCAACTGTCAAACAACTCTCTTTTCTCACACATCCTGGGGATGACACATTAGGGACACGGCATTATCCAACTTTTAGCCTGTGTTTCCGGATTTATCTTTTTGATACCGACATCAAAACAAAACATTTGCAGAAAAGAAACATCAACTAGACCAAAAAAACAACATTAGAGCTTGGCTTAGCCCGGCATGGAGGTCGTCATACCACCAAGAGATCATGGCGCGTCAACATATAGGTACGAGTGGGATGAAAACGGGGCAGTGACAAATATCTCGAGGTAAGCAGACGGCGCGAGCGAACCAGCGAGCGGCCGTCGAGCACAGAGACGTCGAGACTAACAGAAGTGGACTACCGTGAACAGGGTGGCATCAGAGGAGAGGACAGGAAGCAGCGGGCTCAGGAGTAGGGCCGGAAGCAGCAGCCAGAACAGCCACAAGAAGACTCACAACCATGGGAGGAGTAGAGGGGCCAGGCAGACGGTGCAGTGGCCGTTCCAGAGCAGCGCCACCATCACGACGACAAACATGACCGAGACGACGACGCCGATAAGCCCCGTCGTGCCCATGTCGGCCTTCCACGACTTGCGCCGGGCGACGTGGCAAATCCCGGGCAACCGCATCAGGGACAGCCAGTACACGGTGGACCCGACCATCGTGCCCGACTACGTCGCCAACTTCATCCGCGGCGAGACCCCCGAGACCCTGGCGCGCAAAAAGAACGACAGCCGCCTGGCGGAGCGCGACGTCGGTGTCGTGTCGGGCGCGGGCGCGGGCGACAACCGCAACCTGCGGTCAAGGGCGGCCGCCTTTGACGGTTTCCCGGACCTCGACGTCGGCGACGGCATGCACAGCTTCAACTCTAACTCGCGCCTGGTCGACGGCAGCGGCAACGGCGGACTCGAGGCCGGCACGGGCGGGTCGTCGAGGAGGCGGGGCGGCTGCCTGGGCAGGTTCACCAACGGCGGGTGGCGGTCGGGCGTCGAGCTGAACGCGCTGCTGGCGCTGCTCATCTTCGTCGTGGGGCTGGTGTGCCTGGTCTGGGCCGTGGCCTCGTCCAAGATGCTGTTGGGCGGCGGCGGCGACGCCACCGTCTTCGCGGGCTCGTGCGAGGCTGCGTCGCGCGTCAGCTGGGGCCTGCACGCCCTCGTCAACGTGCTCGGCCTGGCGGTCCTCGCGGGCGCCAACTACGTCTACCAGGTCCTGTCGAGCCCCGACCGGGCCGAGGTCGACGCCGCCCACGCCAAGACCAAGTGGCTGGACATTGGCATCCCGTCGCTGCGCAACCTCGCGCACATCTCGACGCTGCGTGTCCTTGTCGCCCTAGTCCTTGTCTTGACGGCCGTTCTGACGCAGATAATCTATAATGCCGTAATCTTCACCTCGCAGACGGGTGTCGGATACAACCTCGTCGTCGTCAGCCAGCCGTTCCTGAGCGGAGCCCAGTTCAGCAACGCCTCCTCCAACAACGACGGCGGCCTCAGCCGCGTCGAGATCTTGGCGCTCCAGGACCAGGCCAGCCGCAACCAGCTGGTCCGCATGTCGACGCCCGACTGCCTCGGTCGCTTCGCCGGGAGCCTCGAGCCCGAGTTCCGCGCCGTCGTCATGGTCACGGGCCAGGGGTCGGCTGACAGCTCGCTCGTCCAGACCAGGAGCCCGACGCCGGGCGGCAGCAACCCGGACGCGCGCAGCGTGTCCCCCAACGCCGCCGGCGACGTGCAGTTCTGCCTCGCGCAGCGCCGGGCCGCCGGCGAGCACGCGTGCAGGGTGGACCTAAACGGGTCCCTGCTGGGCGTCGTGGCGCTGCTCAACCTCATCACCGTCATCTTCACCGTGCTCGCCTTCCTCAAGACGGCCGACTTCCGGCCCCTGGCCACGCTCGGCGACGCCGTCTCGTCCTTCCTCCGCGACCCGGACGCCACGACGACCGACGCCTGCCTTATGACCAAGACGGACGTCTGGCAGCACCGCTGGGGGCTCCGCGAGGCAAAGTACTGGGTCCCCGCGACGCACTACTGGTTCCAGAGCGCCAGCCTCCCGCGCTGGGCCTTTGTCGCCGTCGTCTGGGCCGGCCTCGCGGGCGCCTCGGCGGCGGCGCTGGGCATCGGCCTGCGCAACGCGCCCGTCGAGTCGGCCCTGTCGACGCTCGGCAGCGCCGCCCCGACGGCCGTGTACGCGCTCCCGGCCTCGATCCCGGCCTCGGCGGCCGCGCTCGTGGCGGCGGTGCCGCAGCTGCTCCTGGGCGTGCTCTACCTCGCCGTCAACGCGCTCCTTACCACCATGTACCTGAGCCACGAGTCGTCGCTGCACGCGCTCGCCGAGCCGCGGCCCCTGCGCGTCTCGTCGGCGCCCCGCGGCGCCCAGACCACCAGCTTCTACCTGACGCTGCCGCGCCCGGCCTCGTGGGTGCTCGCCGCCCTGTTTGCCGGCATGGGCTTCGTGCTCAGCCAGAGCGTCTTTGTCGTGGCCGGCGCCACCGCCACGGGCGGCAACAACGCCAGCCTCCCCGACGTGGTGGCCCTGGGCTTCAGCGGCACGGGCCTCCTGGCCCTGCTCGCCGCGCTCGTGGTGCTGGCGGCCGGCGCCCTCGGGCTCGGCCTCCGCCGCGCCCCCGCGGCCGTCATGGTCAACGGGCAGGCGCTGGGCAACCCGCTGGTCCTGGACGCGGGCTCGTGCAGCGCCGTCGTGAGCGCGCGCTGCCAGCCGCTCCGCGACGTCGAGGGCGAGGCTGGTGGCGTCGGCGACGAGGACGCCGACCTCGACGAGCGCCCGCTCTGCTGGGGCGTCGTGCGCCAGACGGCCGGCATGGTCGTCAGCCACTGCACCTACTCGGCCCGCGGGGTCGAGAGGCTTGACATGTCGAGGGCCTACGCCTGAGTTCTTTCTTCTCTTGGTCTTGTTTTCTTTTTCTGCATTATACATCGCACAGCGCGCATACCTACCTGCTACATTCGACCTGATCCGGACTCGGGACTTTTATCCCCCGGCATCACATCTTGCCCATTCGTTTCTTACCTCTTCGCTTCTTGTCACTTCCTTTTTTTGAACACTTCACTTCTTACAACCCCCATATATATAACAACACAACCCTCCCCCACGGGGAGGCATTGTCTTATTTTTTAAAAAGCCCCGCACGAGATGCGAATCGGTGGGCGATCAACAACTTTTTTTAGGGTTGGCAGGTTCCGAAAGGCAAATTTTTTTATCTTTTGGAGGGGGTGCGGGAGTAAAACACCCCCCTTCTTCATGAAGGGATCTGATCTGGTGGTGGTTGGTTGGTTTGGTTTTCTTAGGACGGGGTTGGTGGCGGCGGCGGCGGCGGCGGATGATGTCGCGATTTCCTTGAGTCGTGGGAAATGGAAAGGAGAGAAGGCGAGAGCAAAAAGGCGTTGATTATACCCTGGATGGCGGACTTTCCTTGCTGCGAATCCTCCATGGAAATCTATTTTCCTTTTTTGTTCATTGTCTTTTTGGGCGGCCGTCTGTTGGCCTTCTTTTTGGGCGGCGGATCAGCTGAACAATTTCCAAACAATACAAAATCATCAACCATTCATTGACCCTTTCCTCAGTTTTTGCGGCGGAACCTAAACCCGCCATTCGTGCTCTCTCCATCAGCCCATTTTCATGCAGGCCGCCTCCCCATTTCTGGCCCCATGTGCGGGGGTGCCCTTTTGCGCGCCGTCCGGAGCTGGCCAAAGTGGGCTGATGTTGCTTTGATATGCGCCACCGCTGATTGGCCCGGACGATGCCCGGTCAGCCCAAAACGGCTGTTGCTCAGGTCCCCTGAACAACTCAGCCTGCATGCGGCCTGCTTAGGTTGGCGCGCCCTGCCTGGAAGCTAATGAAATGGCGGAGCTATGACCTGGGTTGGTTTTTATATGTAAGGCATGGTTGGTTACCCGTTGCTCCCACCCCCCAAAGTCATAGGTCTTGGATGCCTGTTTTCCTGGGTGGGTTTGTCTTTTTTTGTGTCATCTTTGGTATTTATTAATCTGCCGTAAGCCGCTTCTGCCACTTTCCCATTCTTGCGTCTTCCGCCTACCATTTTCCAGACACACAAGTGCCCAGCCAAAAACCAACCCACCGCCGCTTTCAACCTCGTACCTATATCAACGCCATCTTTCCTCCTTAAAAAAAAAGAAAACCAAAAACAAGCCACCATACCAATCATCCAACAAGAAGAAAGGAGAAAACCCACACACACACACACACACACACACGACAGCAACAATGTCTCCCTCCCATACCATGTCCGCCCACTGGGGCAAGCAGATCTACAGCTCGTGGCGCCAGAGTCGCCAGGGCAGCAGCAGCAGCAGCAACGCCGCCACCGGCCCATCCTCCTCCTCCTCCTCCTCCTCCTCGTCGGCGGCGGCCACGTCGCCCAGCCCGCTCCCGTCCCCGTCCGGCAGCGCCTACTTTGGCGAGAAGCGGTCCATGGACAGCGACCGCAGCACCGGCGCGGTGCCGCCGCGCCAGCCGTCGGGCGGCTGGTTCGGCCGCCGCTCATGATTACGAGTGCGTGTGTGTGTGCGCGGAGCCGAGTTTGGGAGGCTAGACTCCCTTGCTCGCCCCCTCGCACCCGGGAAGCCGGCTCGATGTGGCCCCCGCTAGAAAGGGAGGGTTGAACGAATCCACCGAGGTTGAGGAGACGAAACTCGTGTGTGCCCCTCCCGGACTTACACGCCCCTCCCGGACTTACACGCCACGCCCACCACCACCACCACCACCACCACCACCGACGCATGCCAGTCGGACATTGTGCATCTACCTGCCCGCCAAGACGTCCCAACAAGCGATCAAACAGATATCGCCAAACCGAAACGATCGAACCCCAGCATTCCCCCACGTCTTTCATCCCCCGTCGCGATAGCAGTTTAGGGAATAAGGGCACATGGTGTGTGTGTGCCACGGCTTCGCCGGGTTTCCTTCCTCGCTCATTATGCCGCCTTTGTTTACTCTCATCACGGTTTCTGGCGTTGGGGAATGGAAGGTTGCTCAACCGGCGTTTTCGTACTTGTCTTTTTTTTTTTTTTTATCAATCACTTTCTGTATTTGGGGGGAACACACTGCTTGCCATCATTGCCCCCTTCTCCGCTCTTTTGGCTTTCTCCTTCCCCTAATCATCCGTCCAACCCCGCCCTTGCCAAAACAATGATACCCCCCAAATTCCTTGTTATTTCCCGACCTTCTCCAAGTACAGAATAAATGACGAGATCCAAACCGAACCCACGCATAACATCCGTCCCATGTTGGTGATCGTCAGCTTCCAACCCGCACGCCTTCTGAGGCGGTTCGACCCTCCCCACTTTTACCCTCCCACCGCCAACGACATGGCGCCATCGCCGGGGCCTAATGATGCCAGGATCAGCGCCTATTGCACCACGGCCCTTTTTCCGGCAGTTTTGTCTACATGCGCTGGCAGCTGAACGTGGCAGCGTGGGTAGGGAGTAATAGAATATGAATTTGCTCAAAAGCTGCGTAAAGTACTCGGATTTTATGCCTAGTGCATAATATATGTTCCGTAGGGAATGTCAACAATCGATTCTAATCGCACCATTGGCTCTCCTTGCATTCCGACCAGACGAGCCATGGAACAAGAACAACCGGACAGCGAAAAGAGGCATCTACGCAACCCTTATCTCGGCCTCTTTCCATGTATCCTGCGCCAGTGTCTTGATCTTCGCTTGTAGGATTCTGCAACGCGAAACAGGAAAGAAGTGTAGGAAAAACACAACGCAATAACCACAAGACTTAGTATGAGTACACCCTTCTTGGTCTTTCCCTCCTCTTAGCACTACAGTGATGTCTAACCGATAACTATGTATATGGCGATGTATGGCATGTACCCCCAACCAAAAGCGACGAAGCGAACGTGGGGAGGAAACTGGGCATGTAACAAAACGTGAAGAGGATTAAACAGATAACCAAGGGCAACGCTTGAAAAGATAATCAAGAACAAAAAGGTGGAACCAAGGCAGGCAAGCCAAGGCTATAAAAAGACCACAGCTCTTCTCCCCCACCCCTTTATATGGCATCACGGCTGATATCACAACAAACACGGTGGCATCAAACCGGCCGAGGGCATCACTCACGAAGCCCCCGCAGCGGCCAGGACCGAGGCGGGCGGCGTGATGTCGTCGCCGCCGCTGTCTTCGGGCGACACGTCGTTGAAGTCGCTGCCCTGGATTCGACGTTTGGCCTGCTGCTTCTCCTCCTCCGTGATCTGCGTCTCGTCCTTGCGCATATCCGGAGTCCACTGCTCCTCGTTGATCGAGTGCCCGACGGACATACCAACACGGACCTAGTAGGTGATGCAAGGTCAGCAAAGCGAATCTGGGAAACGGTAAAGAGCACATGAGAGCAAGACTTACCAGCGTCTCAAGCGCGCCGATGGAGTTGTCGGTCAGGTCGTCGTCAAACTTCATCCTGCCCTCTTCAAACAGCAGCACAATGGTGCTGCCACCAAACTTGAAGTACCCCAGCTCTTCGGCCCTCTTGACCTGCTCACCCTCCTGGCGCGTGATGACGGTGCTGCCCACCATCATGGCCCCGACGCAGATGACCATGACGCGGCCGTGCTCAGGGCTGTCGATGGGCACCACCACACGCACGTTCTCGCCGTACACGTCGAGCGCCGACCGGATAGCCATGGGATTCACCGTGTAGTACTCGCCCGCGATCACCTTGGGCTTCAGCATCACACCGTCCACGGGCATGTGGAACCGATGGTAGTCCTGAGGCGCCAACCGGAAGATGCCCAGCGCGCCGCCGTTCTCGTAGCGCTTGGCGTCCTCCGGGTACGCGTCCCCGAGCAGGCGCTTGACCGAGAAGTCACGTCCCTTGACCCACACCTTGGTCGCCTGGTCGATCCGGTTGAAGACAACAGACCGGCAGTCGGCCGGCGACACGATGATGCGCGGGTTGTTGGGCGCCGAGCATGGCCGCGCGTCGGGCTTGAGCGCCCGGTAGAAGAATTCATTGAAGCTCTTGAACTCTTCAAGCGGCAGCAGCACCTCGGACATGTCGAGCTTGTGGAACTCAATGAACTTGGGTATCTCGGCCTTGGAGGCCGGATCGTCAAACTTCTTGCCCTGCTTGATGCTCAGGCTCTTGAGAAGCTTCCGGATCCGCCTGTTCTCCATGCTGTTGGACTTGAGCCCCTTGTACAGCAGCCGGATGCCCAGGCGCACGTACACGCTCATCTTCTCCTCATTGATCTGACCCGTGATGCGGTCCTGGACCAGGATGTTTGCAGAGTTCGCCCCAAGCTTATACCCGCCATACGAGATCTTGGTGATCACCTTGGAGTACCACTTGCGCTGTGCCTGGCTCGCAGTCACGAACCCGCCCATCATGAGGTTGTTGACCTGTCTCCAGTCCTGGCTTGCGCACGTCGCCATATGCGTTATGATGTCGGTGTCCTTGCGCTTGTCCAGCCTCGGTTGGTGGCAGATGGGGCATTCGCGGATCATCACCACGTGCTCCTCTCCACGGTCGTTGTCGCCCAGATCATCTCCACGCTCCAGCACGTCACCCTCCATCCCGGGCTCGCTTAGCTCCGGGATGCTGAGAGTGCTGTCTTCAGTCGCCTTTGAGGCATCGGCCGACTTGGAAGCGACCGTCACACTCGCCGTGCTGTCGGCAGACAGTGAGCTGCTACCAGCGGTCGAGTCCTCGGCGCCCTTTCCAGGGATAGAAAGCAGACCCTTGACCTTTTCGGCATCGGGGAGCGCGTTCTTGAGCTTATCGGCGATTGTGGCGTGGGCGGGCTTGGACCTGGCCGCTTCTAGTTGGTCCTCGAGACAGAGAACAGCCTCGTCCATGCTGAGGTCCCACTCCTCCTCTCCTTCGTTGTTGGTGGCCTTGTGAGGGAAGCGCTGGAAGAAGCTGTCGATGGTGGACTCCTTCAGAGTGGAGCCGAGCGTGTCCAGCATGGTCGTGAGCTCGACCTTGCTGATCTCACCGCTCTCATCGGCGTCGTACTGCTTCAGCATCGCCCGCCAAAACTGTTGCCGGAGGGCCGGGTACGGCATGTACTTGGCACGAATGTACAGGACCGGATTGTGCTTGTCCTCCCACTTCTCGAGATTCTTCATCTTGAGCGGCAGGTCAACCGCCGTAAAGAAAGCATCGTCGCTGCTGTCGGGATTGAGGTCGGAGCCGGGCGCTGCAGCAGCTCCGACAGGGTCCGAAGGCCCAAACAGACCAGGAGAAAGCTTGTTTGAGCTATCCACACCCGCCTGCGACGGGTTCGACGCCGGAATCGCCGCAGCCACCGGCGCAGCGGCGACGGCCGCCGCCAGGGTCACACCCGAAGTTGCCGACGGATTCTTGCTCAAGGATGGCCGGCCAAACTTGGACAGCGACGAGGCCGAAGCGGACCGGGATATTCCCAGTCTTGCAAATCGAGAGCGCTTCTCGGGCGTTGTGAACTCTGGGGGGTCCTGAAGGTCGTACAGGCCCGTCTCCGGGTGTGCCTTGGGGGCCTTGTCGATGATCTCCTTGATAGGCAGCGTCGTCGAGGCGATGAAGTCGTTGTTCGAGTACTTGTCACGGTCGATGACGGTAAAGGAAAACGAGTACTGCTGCTCGTGCCCGAGGACCTGGAAGATCATCTTCTCGTTGAAGGTCGGGTTCAGGTTGTGGCGGATAGTGCGGGTGCGGTATGTCTTCTTGCCCAGCGAGGCGACGACGAAGGGATCCATGTCAAAGCTCGTCTTTGTAAAGTTGGACTCGGGTGGCAGGTCCGTGATGCTACGGATCTCGAGGAAGATGATTCCGACAACGTCACTGCTGCCGTTGTTGAATTCGTAGAGGTGGTCACGCTTCTTGCGCTTGAGCCCCTTGATCCGGAGCCTCCGTTTCCTCTTCTCGATCGTATCAGGCTGGTTCGGGTCCTCGGCTTCCTCGGGCTCGTCGGGGGTCTCGTCGTCGTAAACATCGTAATCGTCGTCGTCGTCGTTGGATTCCGCCTGTCGCCTGTTGAGTGGTGGCGTTGGGGAGATTCCGACGCGCTTAGGGCCCTTGACAGGTGCCAGGATAGGAGTCAGGGTGGGCGTGGGGTTCTTGGAGGACGGTTCCGTGTCCGAGGCTGACTTGATGATGACGGAGAGCTTCTCGTAGATTTCGCGGTGGGCAGCCTCGCGGTTGGAAGAATCAAAAATAGTGAACTGCAGCAGCACCTCGCCCGAGACCACACTCGTCTTCTTGCCAGGGCGCTTGCTCTTAAGGGGGAACCACATGGGAGACTGTTCCACCCTCTCGTTTGCAAAGATCTCCTCAAGTGCAAGATCGAACTCGCCCATGTAATCCTTGCCAAAACGGTCTTTGTCCCAGGCGCACACATCAAGAAGCAGGTTCTGGACGCCGTTGATGGGGAATTCGCATTGCTCGTTCCATTCCGGATTCAGCGTCTTGGAGACCGAGTGGGTGACATGCTTGGCGTCGCCGCAGGACAAGACAAGGTACTGTGAAAGAGCGCGGGTGGTCCTCGTCAGCACTGTGTTTTGGAGATCTGTCATGCTGGAAAGGCAGACAGCTGCTCTCTCGATGGAGGGCATTTTGCAATCGACTTACGGGATCAGAGGTTCCATTTCTGTCCTTTGCAGCCAGATTCCGAGCCTGATAGAAGGATGCGCCCTGTTAGCAGCGTGCCTGACGCGAAATGGCAATTTTTCTCCCCATCGCATGTTTGTTTTGTGTCCCCCTCTTGCCTCTGAGGTTTCCTGCAGCACCGGTCGCTTACCCTCATGATGACAATGTTCAGTATCAAGCCCGTCTCCCGTCGCCCCTCGGGGCTTGCTGAGTCGCCCTTGTTCCGCATTGGACTGACGCTTCGACTATTGGCGGCAGAATTGACGTTTGAGAGCGAGGATGCCGACTTGAGTCGGCTGGGGATTATGCGGACCATCTTTCTTAGGGCGGCGGGCGGCGGGCGGGCTAGAGATCTGAAATAGGGAGGTTCGACGGGTGGGGATGGCGCGCTGCAGCGGTTGCACCGTCACTGGCCCGCCGCAGCAGTGTAGCTGTAATGCAAGGGCGCGGGGAAGGTTGGCGCCAGGCGCGCTGGAGGACAATGGAATGCGGAGTGGGATGGGTAGGTGGTGGGCGTAGGTGGCGTGGCGTGGCGAGGCGATGCGTGCAAATCGCAGCAGCCCGTCCAAAAGTACAAGCGAACCGCCTCGGGCAGTGTTGCTTGCCTTGGTGGGCGTCTCGATGTCCAATTGCAGGCGCGGCTGCAGATCTTGGCTGCCTGGGGCTACAGCGTCTTGGAGTGCGAAGGAGTCGGAGTTTGGCCGCCTCTGCTGGCGGGGAGTGGGTAAGATGGAGAGGACGTCATCAAATCGAGGGAGGGTCTGCAAGCCGAGAGATGGAGCTGAGAAGCTGCTTTTAGGTCTGGACGACAGCCAAGCAACCAGCTTTGTTGTTTAGATGCGGCGGTCTGCTGGAGGTGACAGGTGCCCAGTCAGGCACTTAGTTAGGGAAAGTCGTGGCCGTAATGATATTTGTTTTTCTTTAGTGCTGCTTTGCAGGAACATCGGTCGGTCGCATGAATGTGCGCTTGGTAGCTTGCCAAATATAACAGTCGCGCCCAGAGTTTGTGAGGTGACGGCCGACAAGGTGGTTATACCTCCAGCTCTGTACTGCTGGTCGGCTGGTGGGGGAGAGCACATGTACATGTACAGGTACAGGTACCAGCAACTGCAAGCTGCGGCCACAGCTGGAAGCAAGGGTTGGGCTGTGGGGAAAAAGGGGAGCCGCCCCGTCCAGTGTCAAGTCCCTTTCAGGACGCTGCGCTGGAAGCTGCGTGTTGGACCCGCCCAAACTGAGGGATGACGAACGCACGACTTAATCAAGCGTCCAAGGTTCGTAAGAGGCGCGATGAAACTCGGGCTCGACGTCGAGCCCGGACGGGGAAAGTCCTTGAAAACGAGGTGAAGACGGAGCCGAGAGGTCGGGTTGGGGATACTAGCAGCCACCCAGCCCTCAAGCTTCCTTCGTTCTATTCCTTCGGCACGGTTACGGTTTAGGGGCCTGCTGGTCTGACCGGCTGGGCCGCCCGCAGGGGGGCGCGGGGACCAGCCGCGAAATTGAGACACCGCCATCGAGCAAATAAATGGGCGAGCAGGTGAGGTGCATGGATGGCATGGAGTGAGTTTGCGCCAGGACGTATGCGGCACGCACAGGAGAATGGTTCGTGTTGGAGCGTCCCGATTCCCCAGCAATCAAGGGGCTGGTAAAAAGTCTGTCAGTCGGTATGGCTGTCCGCATTGGTCTGCATGCTTTCATCTCTTCATCTCCCTGCTTGCCACATCCTGGCCGTCACTGCCGGGCTGGGGAGCTGAGGCCGTTGGCTTGGAGAAGAAGAAAAAAAAAGCCGCGACGTGCTTACGCGGAAACGCAGTGGCTGGCGGCGCCCCAGTAAAATCTCCCCCTCTCGAGGTTGATCGTGGACCCTCCAACCTGGACGACAGCGTAGACAGATCAGACAACGAGATTCCGATCGGTGCTGTGAAATCACGCCGAATCCGTACGCGGTCGGGTACTAAACCTGGCCCGAAGCTCGAGCAACTGTCGCAAACCGTGATATCGACAACGTCGCACGCGCACCGCACCACCTGTGCGGGAATTTAGGGGGTGTGTGTTGTCGACGCTACAACGCAACCTACCGCGCCAAACAGCGGCTGGCTTGGATTCGGCTGTGTCGAGGCTTGGGGTACATCAGGTATCACCCACCTCAGGCAGGCAGGGTACATGTACCTGTCTGTGCAGGTACCGACCACCCGGCTCCAAGCAGAGGGGCCCTGCTGAGCCCATCGCTCCATCTCACCAGCCAAGGCTCCATGCTTTTGGGCAGTCTGGCCATTGGGCCCACCAGCTTTTTTTGTGTGTTTTTAAAATAACACCCAGGACGCGGCGCAGGGGGGCAGTCATGTTTCCACCACCACCGACCACGGTGACGGCGCCCACATCATGTCTGGCAATTGTTGGATGTTTTTCTATGTTTATCCATCATGTACCGTATGAGGTACATATTTTACATACTTGTGTCTAGTTTGTCATCCAGTCGTTTTCATCGCAATATATGTTCGTCGACAGCTGTCAGCCTCGTGTCTCCCCATCTTCGCTCCCTGGCCCCTGAAGCCCCCCGAGGGTTCATCCCTCAGGCCGCCAGCCGCATTGCCGCGAGGCAGTCCTTGAGTCCGCGGGTTCCGCAGGCAACTTGACGCCTACATACCTACCACCTACCACGCCGTACAGTACACACCCTCGGCAGCCCGCGTCACTCTCATGCCGATCGCGCCTCGTTGTAGACAAGCCCATGGTGTGAGGTCTGGCAGGCTCCCGACCTTTCCCTAGGTGCATCCGAACCACGTAGTGCCTGTGCAGATGTTTCCCTCCTGCCTGCGTGATGCGTCGCGAGCCCAGGCCGGGCGGGGGAACCGATGCAAGGCTGTCCCCGTCTGTGCCGAAAGCCCGCGCGCGGGGGAGGACTCCCCCTCCCTGCTAGCCACCTCAGCGTCGCCAACCCGGTTCTGTATTGACTCGCTTGCTCAACCAAATGTGGAACGTGGCCTCCTGCTCCGGCCTGGTTTTGGACTCGCGAAGCAAGGAAAAGCATATGCAAACATACGCGGCAGTGGAGCAGGTTCGCTGGAGCAACCCATGTCATGGCAATGGACCGTTCGAGCCTCTGCCCACCAACTAGGGGGGGTTCTCCAACCCAAACTGGAGGGCGTTCACAACGAGATAAAAACAACAGGAGATGAGAAACAAAGAAAATCCCGCGCACACACCTACACGCCGTCTGGTGGGCGCTAGGGCTGAATAATCCTCCCCCCGATCCGACTCCATGCGTCGTTGCCTTGCGTTGCAGATGCGGGCGAACCATGTTATAAACGTGCACCCCAAAGAGGGAAACCTCTGCGCGAACTCGACGCCAGCGTCGCACTACTGCGCTTACATCACGCTGCCGACTCTGTCCTTTGGTGAACAGATGACTTCATGCAATGCCCCCAATTGGTTCGGCATGCAACATTGAAAGAAACCATGAGGCAGCAAAACGCGTGGACACCCATCTCGATCGACTGTCGTCCATATATGGAAATGGGGCACGAGCCTTTCTGCGCCGGCTCGCCGGGTTTGGCCCAGTAAGTCCCGAGCGCTGACGGCTTTGGTTTTTTTTTTTCTCATTCAACCACACCACGCGGGTTGTAGCACCGAACGACCCGCAATGTTTCTGTCCTTTTGACTGAACCCGAGTCCCGTGGTCTTTTTTTTTCTTTCTTTCTTACTCTCACGACTAGTTCGTGTGGCGATTGGCCCAAGCACTTGCCAGTCGGCCCTGCAACACCACAACTCCCGCCAAGCCAGGGCTGTGAATGATAATGTGTGCCCGGTATGCCATTACAGACCGAAGTTTGGCCACGACCTCTGCTTGATCTATTCTTGGGGTTGTCTGTCAACAGATACGTACACTATACAACATGATAATGCCGACCCAAACCAACCTAATCGGCTGTCTCGGAGCCGGACCACGTAGCCTCAATTCTGGGTAGCAGGTGGACTGGGAGGCGTGGCTGTGACCATTATCATATCTATGGCTTGAAAAGCCCAGATCATGTGTTGATATAGCCGAAGGAAAAGAAACTACACACCAGATGTCACCGACAACCTAAGAACATTGACCCAGGAGAAGAAACCCAGTGGAAAATTCACAGTCACAGCAAAAACTCTAGAGTCAGAATCATCTCATGATACTACAGAAGGCTAGGCCAATGTCCATAAGACGTCACCCCGAGTCCAGCCATACCCATGCCGAGTCGCCTTCCATCAAGCAAAAACATCATGCCCAACCGGACAGGAACCAATGTCGGTACGTCATGAGATAGATTCCATTCGCCCTTCCCATCATGCCTGCCTCCACCGATCCATCATGTACGGCGCTTCCTGCGCTCTCCCCTCCCCTATAGAACTCCTATTAGATGGCGAGAATACAATAAGTAGTAGTTTCTCGTCCGAGGCAGACCCGTCCTGACTGCCTTGAATTTTGAGGTGAAAAGTCACTGGGCCATGAAAGGAGGCTCATGCAGAATGTCCTAGCCCAACAAAAAGAAAATGTACAGAAGTCGACCCTCGTGTTGATGAGTGCCATGTCGTCGTGCGTCATTGTGGGCATAGGTCGGTGGTACTCGTACAGGTGCCGTCGAGGACAACGAGGCAACCGCCGAACTGGTCGATTACGCCGGCTTGTCGAGCCGTCTATTCACATCGCCACTGCCTATCCTTGGCAGCAGGCGAGAGTTACTCACTCACACCCAGGCGATTTAGGCCTTGCGGGAGCGGGGAGTAGAGCCGTTGGTCTTGGCGCCCGTGGAGACACCGTTCGACTTGACCGGGGTGGCCACGCCGTTGGCGGCGCTGTCGCCGTGGAGCAGGTCCGGAAGGGGAGCCTGGCTCATGCGGCGCAGAGACTTGCGAGCAGTTGGGCGCTTGCTGTCCTTCTTGTACGTGGCAAGGTAGAAAGAGATGAAGAGGACCAGGTACGACGAGATGCTGGCAATGCCTGCGAAGGCCGCAAACTCTTCTCCGGCGCACTTGCCATGGTTGGGCATCCAGGGCCAGTAGCTCGAGGTGAAGTAAGTGTACGAAGCGTAGTAGATGAAGCCTGGGTGTGGAGACACGAACGAGTTAGCATGTGCCTTCTTTCACCGCGGTCTGGGTGGGTCAGCTCGGCACCCCCTTTCCTGGCCCTTGGTCGCATTCAGACACGACGGGACGGCTTCCAGAAATGATCCCCACACAGAGGACCCATTCTTAACACCCAAGGTGGAAAAAACATACCGAGGTCGACGACGAACTGGGCGATTTGCAGGCGCGTAATGTACTCCTTCCACCAGATCTTGACGCCACGAGCACTCTGGAAGTAGTACCAGTACATGACGACATGGACCGTCAGGTTGAGGGTGATGACGGTCCACTGAACGGCGGTCGAGCCAATCAGCTGGGTGTAGCACAGGAAGGCGGTAGCACCGTGGTGGTAGCAGTGGAGGAAGGCTGGAGGAGTGTAGACATGTAATTAGCATGGAAGCGCGTGGTGGGTCGCTGACACTCATGTAGGCTTGAACCCGGGGGAAACATACTCAACGGCTTCTTCTTCAGGAACAGGAACACGGTGTCAAGCAGCTCGAGGTACTTGGTTAGGTAGTTCAGCTGTACACACACGGTAAATGTCAGCACCACAGGTCACTTGGATAGTGCTGCCACGATAGGTTCTGGATGGACAAGCGGCCACGTACGTAGTACAGCACAACGAGGGGCTGGGTCCAGCCACCCTCCATGTCGCAGACGGCAAAGAAGAGGCCGCGCCTGGCGACGGTGGGCAGGAGCTGCTCGATGAAAAGAGCCAGGAGGATGGCGCTGATGGCGGTGAGGTAAAAGTTGTGAATCAAGAACAGGGTCCGCAGCTTGAAGGGCTCGCGGTTGCGCATCAGCTCGCGGCCACCGAAGATGATGATGTAGTAGATGACGATGAATATGCCCGTATCCTTGAGTGTCGACATGGGCGTCTTCCCGATCTCAAACCTGAAGTCGTCGGCCGGGTAGCCGGCGACGACCCCAAAGGCCTTGTTGAAGATTGGCCATAGCTTCACGCCGAAGGGGGCATCGAGCGTCGGCATGGGGATCTGCTCCAGGATGGAGGCAGGCGCCGAGGTCGCCATTGTGGACAGGTTTCCGTCCTGAACTGCGCGACCGCGGATCGAGGTGGATTCGAAGAGTGTTACAACTCTGCGTGACGAGATCCGAAACCTGTTAGCCAACGTGTCTACTGTGAGGATACTGACCGACTGGCCTGGCAGGCAGTGGGCGGGATTGCGCAGATGCCTTGACGCTTCGCCTGCTCTGGCGCCTCGTGTCCATACGTACAGAGTAGGAAAAGGACGCAGCCGGGAGGGCCGGTAGACTCGAGATCGGGGAGGGGGCAGGTCCCGGTTCGAGGGGCGGTCAAAACACGAGTGGACTCGATGCGAAAAGGGAAAGGAAAGGTGGTCTGAAGGAGTGACGAGAAGAAGCGCAAAGGCGTGAATTAAAAAGAAGAAAAAAACGATCTAGTCTGCCTCGTGGAGCATCGAAGAGCACAGCAGCTGGCAGCAAGGTCGGAACCAGCGGGATAAGGGGAAGGAAGAGAGGGCGGGATGTCGAGATGATGGCAAAATATTTTCCATCCTTTGCCCAAAACAATGGATGGACTTGTTCGTCAGCGAAAAGGAGGTGGAGGGTGGATGCGCTTGCATGTGGGTGTGGCTCCCCGACTGTCCAATGAGGGTTGGCCCGCGCGACGGCCAACAATGACCCAGCAAAAAGGCGACGTCGACCCGCAGCCAACTCTCATTTCCCTTCCCCCATGCGCCATCGCAAAGTGGCAGGCAGGAGAACCCCCCACAGAATTGGCCGACCAAGCCGATGTGTTGGGACCGCGGCCCAATCACGCCAACGACGGGCGGTGCCTGACACGGCCTGGGTAATGCAGGGGCTGCATTGGGCTAGTGTGCCGCGTTCACGTGATGGCGCCGCCTGTCTCTGGCAATGTGTCCAGTGTTCCATCCCCATCGTCATTTCTGCAATCTCAACCGTGGAGCCGGGACGGGCCTGGGGAGCTGGCGTGCCTGCTAGTGGCTTCTTCCCAACGCGAGCAACGCGAGGGAGAGGCCTGTTTGTGATGGCGGTCCCAATTGACCACACAATGCAATCTAAGAATCTGGCGGGCGAATGCCTGTCCCCCTTGTCCTCTCCCCGCATTAGGCACTCGATAGAGTTATCATGGCCTCTATCTTGCAAGAAATCGTCATCGACTTGGACTCGCGGTTAGAGGCCTTTGCCTGACAACCCGCAGCCTGCCATTGGCCATGGACCCCAGTAGTGGAGCCCCTCCAATAAGGGCGGTGGGCGCCTGAGGCCACCAAAGCGTGCGGCTTCGGAAATGCTCGCCCAGCGGTAATGGAGCTAAACACCAACGAAAAAGTGAGCCGAAAGATCGTTCGATACCCACAAGCCCAAACAGCTGTCAAATCAAGTAGCCGCCCGCCCCCCAGTCCCTCTTCTCGCTGCAGCCACCAGCTGCAATCGCGACAAGGACCCAAGCCTTCTCTCAACCAGATCGATTTTTGCCGCACCCACCCGGACGGGCTTCAATTGGGCTTTGGAGCTTGCCTTCCCCTCCATAGTTTTCATATTTGGTTTTTTTCCCCTCCTCGAGAAACCACGCCTGTACACGTCATGTCGGCGTCCATCCTCCGAGTCGCCGCCCGCGGCACCCTGCTCCGGTCCAGCATCGCCCGCCCGGCTGTCGCCCAGCCCATCGCCGCCCGCACCCGATACGTCGTCGCCGCCCCGAGCTTCAGCACCTCGGCCCGCCTGCGCTCCGCCGACACCCACGGCGAGGAGACCTTTGAGGAGTTTACCGCCAGGTATGGAGCTAGCCATGCATGATGATGGGCTACATGCGGTCTACCTTGGAGCCGTAGCCTGCCCGAGAGACGTCTCGGCGTCACTCGCCACTGGGCGTCAGTTGTGGGACGGCATATCGGCCTCAGAGTCCCACGGAAACTAGGGCTAGATGGAGTTGGGGGTCGTGTCAAGACTCAATTTCTGACACTGGTGTTCTGGACAGATACGAGAAGGAGTTCGAGGGTGTGCAGGATGTTTTCGAGCTTCAGGTGAGCTTCCTTTGGCTTTGGAGAGCATCGGATGTTGCTCGGTGTTGGTTCTCGGGCCAAGGGAGAAACCAATGGACTGACCCTGGGCACCCGCATCGCAGCGCAACCTGAACAACGTCTTTGCCTACGATCTTGTCCCATCTCCTTCTGTCCTGGTCTCTGCCCTGAAGGCCGCCCGGAGAGTCAACGACTTCCCCACAGCTGTCCGCGTTTTTGAGGGTGAGTTGGAATCAAGGCGCAAGCTAGGAGCGAGGCATATTCTGGTTGCTAACCACTCTTTGCGCGCCCAGGCATCAAGGCCAAGGTTGAGAACGAGGGCCAGTACAAGCAGTACCTGGAGGAGCTGAAGCCCCTGAGGGAGGAGCTGGGCATCTCGCTGAAGGAGGACCTGTACCCCGCTACCGAGGAGTCGCACTAAGCGATATAATCCCAATCAACACTTTTGGAAATACGAACCGGGCGATAATGGTGGGCAAAAGCGAAAATTCCAAGTCGGCGAGATCGGAGACCGGGGGTCGAGGAAGGAGCTCTGTTGGGGGTCAGGGGCCCCAGAGACAGCGGGAGGGGAGGGTAGGGCCTAAGCGGCCCCAACCGGCCACGGGCCGTAGAGCGTCCTTGCGGTCGGCGGCTAGATCAGATCTTGCGTCATATCCGAGAGATTCTGTTTGGCAGCGGTCGGCTCCCCCTTGTACAAGTTTACTAGACATATATGTTTCTTTTCCTCTTTGCCCCTGCCTATGGCACATCGCCCCGTGGCTCACATGCCCTCCCTGGGCGCCCAGGCTAGACCTAGACACTGAAAGCAGCCTGGCACTAGTAGCCAGCCCTGTCTTTCCCCTGTTCTCATCTTGGGCACTCTGGCCATGCTCGACTAGGCGCTTGGTGCGGACCCGGTACAGCGTAACGCGTATATACTGCAATTACGAGATTGCACATGACGTGTGACGAGCAACTCGTGCCTTAGCCAAAACGAGCACAGTTCTTGGAGAACACAACACTAGCGCGCGTATGTACGGCGGGGTGGTTTTCGGCTCGATCCGCTAGCCAGAACGTGCTTTTGCTGAACGGATCCGGACTGGCTGGCGCTGGGAGGAATCGTGGTCTGGGGGGTTCTCAGAACGGGTTTGTGCGCGAGGTGATAGATTCTGACAACGACCGGCGAGGGTACGCACGACTTAAAATTGAGATGCTCGCAACATAAAAGGAGCCAAGGGGTCATCCTTCGAGGTCGGTCAACAACCGGCACCTCATTACCGCACATCACTGAGCCGGTATTGGCTTTGTTATTTCATAGAAAGGAACGGCATCAACATCACATTTCTTTTATTACGTGCGTCTCTCCTTCCCTCTTCAAGCCCTGGCCTTGGGCGTCTCCTTGACCTTAATAGCGGGCAGGGGGAATGGGGCGCTCAGGCCGCCCTTCACAGTGGCCCAGGGCCCCAGCTCCGTGTGCGTCTGGTCCCAGGCCAGGACGCCGACCCAGGGCTGGACGTTGTAGTGCAGGCGCAGGCGGACGTCGGCCGCGCTCGCGATCTTGCCCGACGGGTGGGTGATTTGGTACTTTGGCCTCTGGTTCTTGAGCTTGAGGATGCCGCTGTATTTAGAAGAAGAGTTAGTTATTATTTTATTATATATATATATTTTTACCCACAAGGGAACAGGGAAGAAGGATCCCTCCATACCGGCTCGGGTCAATGCTCTTGCCCTTGGCGCTCTTGATCAGCTTCTTGAGTGTGGCGGGCCCCAGGTTGGACAGGTGGTCGGCCGAGGGCGACGTGATGATGGTGTCCCAGATGACGGCCTGGTTGGTCGCGTTTGCGTTTGCGTTTGCGTTTGCGGCCTCGGCGGCGGCAGGCCACTCGGCCGTGACGTAGACAAAGACCTGTTTGGTGTTCCACGTAAAGAGCGACGACAGGTCGGCGTCCATGCTGAACTTGATGATGGCGTACTCCTCCTTCTTGGTCGAGTAGTAGTGCGGCCGCCCGCGCACCACCTGCACGTTTGTCGCCTTGAGGAGGCTGCCGCTCGGGTCCCGCGCCGAGAGCACGTCCGTGGCCGCGATGAGCATGCCGACGACGAAGGCGACCGTCGTGAAGAACCCGAAGGTGTTTTGTATCCTCACGAGCGAGTTGTACATCTTGGCGGCGCCCTGGGGGGCTTGGCGGGGGTCCCTTTTCTCTGTTGCTTCGGTCCTGTGGTCGCGCCGGGCGAGGGGGCGGCGTGGATGTGTCTTGGAGGGGGGGAGAGTAGCTGGAGCGCTCGGCTGTTCGTTCTCGCCGTTGGTCGTGATCCGAGGCTCCGGTGTTCAGCGTGGGGGGAGCAGCTTTGGCGAGGATACGTCGCGCCAGGGGGAAAGCTTCTGGATTGATGATGCGCGACCCTGCTGAGGCCACGTTTGGTGGGACCTGCCGTCTCTGGGCCCCACTCACCCAACTTTACGGCTCTCTACTAATCCTGCAATACACGCTTTGTAAAAAACCTCGACCACATTGGATATGGGTTTCTTCATCGCACTCGATTGCTGAATTAAACAACAGAAAAATTGGTTTCGTTGCCGGGCCATTATGTTTTACAACTAGGGAATCAAGCATGCTATCTAACCCAAACCTCGACAAATCGTGTACGTCGTGTACAGGGTATCAAAAACAACAAGGAGAAAGCCAAAGGTAAATGCTCCAGAAAAAGCAAGTCGGTATATGTTCCAAAAGAAGAGAAAAGCCAGCACGGCAAAAGTGAAGCCGAGTGAACATCATGACACAACTCGCCCGCCTACTTGGGCACGGGGCTGGGCACGGGCGGCGTCCCGCCCAGCGGCGGGGTCGTGACCACGAGGGTGTCGGGGCTCTCGTCGTCCGACGTGAACAGGTCCCGCGCCGGCGGCCTCAGCAGCTCGTCGAGCGGCACCGACGGGGAGCCCACGGCGGTGGGTGAGGGCGACGTCGTCGGCTTGTCCTCCCCCTCGGCCGCCGGCCGTCCCCGGGGTGGTATGGACGGCGGTGGCGGGCTTTCCTCTTCTAACCCTTTCCCCTTGCCCTTGCTCCTGTCGGACCGGGGCGGCGAGGGCGTGCTGGGCTCCGCCTCCTCGACGATGGTGGGCGGCCGGATCTCCCGCTTCCTATCCGCGCCCTCGGACATCCTAGGGGAGGCGGCAGCCGCAGGGGGTGTAGACGGTGGTATCGGCTGCTGCTGCTTGGTGCCGGCGCCCACCTCGCTGCCACCGCCGCTGCCACCGATGACGACAGACTCAAGCTGCGCCGTGGTGGCGGCCGCGGCGTCGCACCACACGCGCAGCTCCATGTCTTGGGCGAGGGCCTCGACGGCCAGGCCCCGCACGCCCGCGACCACGACCTCGGGCCGTTCCCACGCCAGCAGGCCCGGCCGCCCCGGTGCGCGCTGCGCAAAGGCGACGTCGTACCGCGAGCGGCCCCACGCCGGGCACACGTAAGGCTCCCCGGCGCAGGCGCCCGCGGGCAGCTCGGCCAGCTCTGCGAGCTCGCTGCCCGACACTGCGCCCGAGCCGTCGTCTTTGTCGTCGTCGTCGTTGTTGTTGTTGTTGTTGCTGTTGTTGTTGTTGTCGTTATTATCATTATTATTTGGAGAGGTTGCGCTCTTCTGTCCAGCGCCGCTCCCGCCGCCACCGCCACCGGCAGCTTTCTCCACATCCACTTCGTCGCCTGCCTTTGTTTCGGTAGTAGGCACAGAAGCGACAGCAGCGGCAGTAGGATAGGCGACCGGGGAAGCGGCGACGGCGCCGTCCCCGCCTAGGAAGACGGTGATGGCGACCCTGGGCTTGCCCGCCCCCGGCAGCGCTCTGGCGCGGGCCTCGTCGGCCTCGGCCTCGGCCTCGCCGTGCGCCGCGCACTGCGCCCAGAACCGCAGCGCGTACTCGGGCCCGGGCAGCCACGCCAGGTTGGCGAGCGTGACGACGCGCTCGTACGTCAGCGTCGGGACCGTCGACGTCGTCTTCTTGTAGTCGGAGTAGTAGCCCTCCTCCTCGGCCGCCGCGGCGGCCGCCTGCACGTCGGGCGGGAGGAGGAGCGCGGCGCCGCCGCCGGCCACGCCAGGCCCGGCGAGCAGCCTCAGCATCTTGATGATGAAGACAAGCAGGCCCGTGGGCGAGTCGCAGAGGGCGTAGGCGATGGTGTTGGGCTCGCGCAGGCCCAGCGAGCCGAGTCCGGTTGCTTCATGGGGGTTCGGTGCGCTCTTGCTGTTGCCGGCTGGCGCGCTCCCTTTGTGGTCTCCATTGCTGCCCCCAAGGAGCGACTTGCGCCTTTTCGCCAACAACCCGTTGCGTGGCTTGGAGCGGCCGCTCGCCACGCTGCCCGCTCTCCCTCCCACACCCGCACCAGAACCGGCCTTGGAAGGCGAGAGTGCGGCCAAGTCCTCCTTGCAGTAGCCCCAGATGGCCAGCCCAAACAAGCTGATCACGAGCCACTTTGCAAGCTCTACAACCGACGACGACGACGCCAAGGACGGCCGCGCAAGGGGCGGCGAGATCAAGTGCACGCCCCGGCACGACTCTCTGTGGTGAGTGGCGAGGCGATCGAGCAGCAGCCAGTCGACGCGAGCGGGCGACGACCGCGCGCTGGCGGCGCCCGTGGCCAGGTACCGCGCGTAGCCGAGCCGGCGCATGAGGCCGTCGAGCAGCTCGGCCGACGTGGGGACCGCGGGCGCGCCGCTGGGCAGCGCGTCGCTGAAGCCCAGTCCGGGGAGTGAGGGGACCACGACGTGGAACGCGGGCCCGCCCCCGGCCGCCGGGTCCGTCAGCGGCGCCGCCAGGTGCGCCAGAGACAGGTTGGTGAAGGGGAAGGGCGGGACCAGCAGCAGCGGCACTGCGCCGAGCTGCGGGGAGCGGAAGTGCAGAAAGTGGACGCGCGGAGCCGGGGGCGGTGCTGTCGCCGTCGCCGTCGCCGCTTGCAGGTAGTCGCCGCCGCCGGGCAGGGTGAGTGAGGTGCGGAACTGCGGCAGGGTGTTGAGGCGGGCCTCCTGGTCGCGCCACGAGAAGCGCTCGAGCCAGTAGTCGATCAGCGGCTCAACTGACGGCTTGGGCTCCCACCAGTCGGCCGAGCGTGGACCCGCGTTCTCGTGCGGCAGCCTCGTGAGCTCCAGCTTTTGCCGTGTGAGATCGAGGTACTTGCTCGACACCTTTTTCTCTCCTCGTGGTCTGTTGTCAGCATTTCTGCACCATCTTTCGTGACATGTTCTTTACGTGGCGGCTGACGCGCCCAGTATCTCCCTTCTCTCTTCCCATTGTGCGCCGCCTGGTGTGTTTTGGCTGCACATCCGAAAATAGGGGGGCGAGCCAAAAACGCCCCTGTTGTCCAACGCAGCGCTCTCTACGCGCCAGCGCGGGACTCCCCCACAGGGATCTGCAGCCTTCGGCGTCCGATCTGACTTGCAGGAACCATCCCTCCCGGGCACCGGGCTCAACGAGCGCCGATGGGCAGACACGAGCGCGGGAAATTTTCCGCACAAGGTAGAGTAGTAGACAAAAAGACAGGCGAGACTTACATGAATTTTGTATGGCTTCACCTCGTCCCCCACCGCGGGGGTCTCGGGCACGAGCGCGGCCATGTCTGAACGCTCGGCTGGGCCAGACAGCTCTCGATATCGGGGGCCAATAAGTCGAAGGTGCTTGGCTTGTCAGTGACTGAGAAGGCGGGAAGGAGATGGATGGCACGTAGTCGAGTCAGTACATGGCAGGTGGGTGCTTTCTAGAAAGGGTGGCACGAGTGGGCATAAGAAGAGAAAATAAGAAGGACGCGTCTGGAGCGCGAAATGAGATCGGATCGTGGGGTCAAGACGTAATGGGGGAGGAAGCTCGTGGGATAAGAATAAAATAAAATAAAATGGACTGGGGAAAAGAAAATGGGAAAGATCCAGAAAAGGAGAGGTGAGGGGGGAGTCAGCGAAGGAATAGGCAGGTCATATCAGGGACTTAAAGGGCAGCATATCAACATCATTTTACCTGCCTACCCGCCCCTATAAAAGCTGTGATGCAGAACAAGATTGGTGCCGCCTCCCCGGTCAGTCCTCTCTGTCTGCGATCCCTGCTGCAGCCGCGGTCCTAGGGGAAAAAAGAAGAACAAGAAGAAGCACACACACACACACAGCTACTCCAGCGCATGGCCTTGCATGGACGCCTAATAACCCGGCCGACCCACCGAGCAAGTCGACCTGCTGGGTGTCGTCCCCCATTCGCCTCCCCCGGCCGCTCCAGCCATTGCGAGCGTCTGTGGCTTGACGGCTGCCCCTCCCCTCAACATGACAAGGGAAATACACCATACGAAGGGAGAAGATGGTGCGACGACCTCTGTGCCTCCCCAAATTCCGCTGCTAGTCGGCTCTGGGCAACAGGGTAAATGCGCGCGTGTGGCTCATGTCGCAAACAAAGAAGCACGCCCAATGACGGGGAAGCCCTGTGGAGTCTGAGGATGCCCTTTTGCCCACCACTGTTTCCGGGGCCGCCCGTTTCCTTTTCGACCCAAAGGGCAGGCAGCGCGTGGGCGCGGGTTCTTCCCGCTACGTGCGCGTGAGTGGTGGTTCCTTGAAACGGGGGTGGCGGTGCCCCATCTCGCCCTGCACTTCCACGCAAGCCCTGGGCCCTGGTGGAGGGTACCCTTGTTGATCATTTCCGAAAGGCGCGCGATGCTACCGTTTTTTTCGTTGGCCAACGCATACAGCACAGCGCGGGACCACTTTCTGCCCACGTTATTTTTTTTGTTCACCATCAGGTTTTTTGTCATAAAAAAGATGAGGAGGCTGGAGGACGTAATTGTAGTCATCAATATCATTGTGGTATATACCAGACGCGGGGAAATACCTAGGGACGGGGGACGGAGTCAAAGTGAGTGAATGAGGTGAGACGGTGGGAACCCACAAGAAAGACGAAAAACAGAGGGAGAAAGCGCGCGCGCAACAATTCCACCCCACCCAGATAGTCCATCCCTGTTCAAGCCGCCCGATAGGCTGGAGGCGCACTCGCCACACTGGCGCTACACACCAGCCACGCGTTCTCTTTTGCCATCCTGAGGGGATCGTCCATTTACAAGAGAAAAGCAGGGCGAATGCTTGGCTGTCAAGTTATCCTGCCGCTGACGCCTTGCCATCTCACCGCTGGAGAAGTCATGGAAGCTTGTTTTTACCCCGTCGTACTGTCTTTTCTTCCTGTCGTGTCCCCCGTCTTTCAGCCGCCATGGCCCAACTTTCGCCACCTCGGCGACGCAACTCCCGATGCTGCTGTTGGTGATGAAAGAGCAGATGGAGGGATGGTGAGGCAAAAGCACGTTCTAGGCTCCGAGAGACGGGCTGCAGGAGTCGCAGAAGATCGTAGCTGGATACCAATGGCTTCCATAGGGTAAGCAGAAGGCTCGACATCACAGCCGTCGCCCCCCAGAAAGACAAAAATCACTGGACCAGGCGGAATAGACGTATACTGTTACAAGGTTGTCGAAACCAATCGAGAATTCAAAACGAACTAGAGAAAGAAGCAAAAGGGATAAACCAGACAGGGCGAGAGGAACACACACAGAGAGCCGGGGCCAAGGGGATGTACACTCATAGCAGCTGCTAGACAGGCAAGGTAAGGGGCGCCGATCAGCACGTCGTCTGCGCCATCAGGCTAGGGTCTCGACCATGACGACAACCGCCGGGAACGTCTGCGAGGAGGCAGAGAAACCGCCCCTCCGGACCTAGCGCTCAGCAGCGCCCGCCCTGCCCTGCTCCCCCCGTTCCCGCCTGTCCCCCTCGCCACCCCCTCCTCCCCCCCTGCCCGCCGCGCCCAGCGACTCGGCCGCACCTCGCAGGTTGATGGCCCCGATCCTGGACACGATGTTGCTCCCGACCGCGTCGACGGCGCCCCTGGGAGACGTTAGCGACGGCCCCGCCGGCGGCGCCGTGTTCTGCACCACGCGGAACAGCTTGATGGCCGTCGTGTTCCAGATGCCCGCCGTGCCCCTGGCCGACGCCAGCTCCGCCGCGAAGACGAAGCTCCAGACGAGCGACTCGTACCAGCCCAGCGCTAGCGGCGACCACTCGAACGAGTGCACCCGCGGATCGCCCGCCTCCACCCCGACGAGCTTGGTCGTCCGGATCTTCTCCAGCACCTGCTTGCTCGTCGCGTCGCCGCCCGCATCCGCCAACGACGACGACAGTGCCTGCCGCGGGAGCAGCGCCGTCAACTGCTGGGTGAGCGTCAGGATCGTGTGGAGCGGGAGCTCCGGCAGCCAGCTGTCGATCCACTGTGCCGTCGGCTCAAAGTAGCCCACGGGCCCGGATAGGCCCAGCGAGCCGCCTCCGCCGGGTCCGCTGCTTCCGCCGTTGTTCCCCGACGAGCTCCCCAGCGACGTCGTCGAGTTTTGCCGCGAGAAAGAGTGCGCTCCGGCTGGCATCTTTCCGCGTGCCTTCTCCGACATCCCCCGTAGTTGCGTTGGTAGTGCCTCCTGAGCCACGCTCTGGCTTCCGCCGGTGCGGTTGGTGGACGCAACTGAAGACGCTCGCGATGGCGCATCGCTCTGCGCCGGCGTCGGCCTCGACTCGTCTTCGTCGCTGCTGTCCTCGTCGTCATCATCGCCGATGGCAAATGTGCTGTCCTCTTCGGCCGCGCCGCCGCGGCCCTGATGCGACGTCCTGGAGTTGGGCGTCGTCGGACTGGTCAGGCTCTCCATCGAGTTGCGGTTCGAGCCTATATCCAGGGAGTCTGCCACAGATCCATCCTCCTTGCGCCGTCTTTGTCGCCTTTCTATCTCCTCTTGCCCACTCTCCAAAGTGAAGTTGCGAAGCAATTCAATCCGCTTCCGATTGCGTAGAATTGCGAGAACAAGCTCGGGGTTTTCTGCCCAGTGGTCAGCAGCTTCAGCTTTCGTTCCCAAGGACAGTTCAGAAACTTACTTTGATATTTATGCTCGATAGTAGAGTTGAGCGATTCGAGTAGCGCTCGAAGCAAGTCGTGATTCGATTCATTAGCCAGCAGGAAGGATGGTGATGACATGGAGCCAAAGAGGTGCATGAGCCGCGAGCACGTCATCGTGCTGAGGCCTTCTAGATATGGCGCAATGTTGTTGATGACGGCGAGGAGGGCAGGGTAGATAGCTGTAAGCTTCCCCTGGCTAGTAGTGATGAGGTTGTAGATAGACTGGTTCCGGCCAAAACCGTTAGATATCACAAGATTTGGAATTCCGCGGATCCCACACACACGGAACGCAGATTTCAGTACGTCCGACTCACCTGGATAAGGAAGTCCCCGTATGTGCCCCTAAATCCGGGGATGCGGATGGCCGGTGGAAGCGTGTCCTGTCCCTCAAACGTCTTGTTGAGGTTGACGCCAAAGTTCCGCTCGACGCTCAGTGTCTGCAGCAAGAATGCGCACATCCTGACCACCCCCTGCTTCGAGCCATCGCTCTTGTACTCGAGGGCGTAGAAGAGCACGAGTATGACAAAGTCGTGCGCGCGCTGCGTGTCGATGATGTAGGACCGGAACCGCTTGTTGCACTGCGTGATCTCCCAGAACAGCATGATGATCTCGGGCGCGAACTTGACGTTGGCCACCGACGACGCCGCCTGCGCCCCCGGTATGTAGGACGCGTTGCCCGACAGGGGCTGGTTCAGGATCCGCGTCATGCCATCCACGATGAACTGGAAGTCCTGCGGCCGGTGGAGCCGCCCGAGGAAGTGGCGGTAGTAGTTCTTCTGGCCCTGGTCCGGGATCGGGTACAGGAGCACGACCAGCAGGAACTGCAGCGTGTGCGTGACTAGCGCCTGCTTAGGATCCTTGAACACGAGCGTGTTGTACGGCACGCGCCAGCTCGCCGGGTTATACTTGAGCGTCGTGTTGAGCAGCGAGCACAGCACCGAGAGCACCACCTGCTTGTCCGGGCACGTGCAGATGTGCGTTAGCGCTCGCACCCCCCTCTGCGGCAGCACCCCCGCCGACATGTACATGCTCTGGCCGCCCAGCGTGAGCAGCAGCCGCAGGATCTCAGTCCGGTTGTTCTCCCATTCCTTGGTCGTCGCGATGGCCGTGTTGCAGCCGACGCCGCTCTGCCATATCGCGTAGCTGACCTTGGGCTTCCCCTGCGTCTGCCTCGGCACCGTGAACTCCCCCATGAAGAGCAAGTCCGTCAGCGCCTCGATCAGCTCCTCGGCGAGCGGCTTAGCATCCTCAAACCCGTCCTCCGTCATCGTCTTGCTGGACGCCTTCTTGCTGGAGGGCCGGGCCTGCGTACGCAGAGGCACCCCTTCGTCGTCATAGTCGCCATCGTGCTCGTGGTCCGTGGCCACCGAGGCCGGTGACATGGGCTGGGAGTCGTCGAAGAGCACCTCACTGGCGATGGTGGCCCTGCGCGTGCGCTTCCGGCGGGTACCCCAGAAGAACTTCTCCTCCCATGCCTGCAAGGAGTCGAGCTCGTATAGGTAGGGCAGGATCCGCGTCAGCACGCGGATGCAGTTGAGCGCCTCACGCTCTGGCGCAATCTCCGGGTCTGGGAAGGAGGGGTGGTGGCGTAGTATGAAGAGCCGCGACGTCACGGCGAGTATCAACGTCTCGATGTTCTCGATCGCCTGGTCTCGGGTGCGACGGATGTCGGCGGGCGCGAAGAGGCTGAAGATGTCCTCGGACGACTCGGGCAGCTCCCAGAACTGCAGCGTAAGTCGAGGCGGTTAGCAGGAGCTGTCCCCTGGCAGACGAGCAAGGTCGATGTGCCTATCATGCAGTGGGGGTGTGGCCGGAACAGGGCACGAACCGAGGTCCAGTATGGGTCGTCCGCCGGGATGTGCCGCTCTTCAGAGAGCCTGAAGATGCCCTTCTTGAAGACAAGCTTAGAGTCGCTAGCGCCCATCTTGACGCTCGGCAAGCATGCCGCGACTCTCAGAAATCGCTTTGCGTCAGATCTCAGGAGTACGTGCTATCCTTGTTAGGTAGTCTTAGTGATCCCCGTGCAGGAAGCATATCATCAGCAGCGCCAAAAGCCCAGGCGGCCCGTTAGCATTGCGCAATCGTCAAGAATGAGGCGCCGCTGGACGGTTTGGCTTTGCGTGTCGTCACCTCAAGCTACAATATGCAGGGTGGGTCCCACCGCTCGTGGGGGAGACTTGATGCAGAGTCTGGACCGGCAGACAATTTGTCGCTGGCAGAAGTGGGGTATGTATTAGTCACCAATGTGTACCACCAGCCTAGGCGCTTCTGTGTTGTGAGCACCAGTCTGGCATCACTGGCAAGTCGTGGCTGCAAAAGAACACGGCATCGATCAAGACGCCAAAGATACGGTTGGCATCAACTAGGTACCTAATTTATTGTTTTATTTTTTTGTATTTTTTTTTAATTGGGAGTCCTCAGGTCTCGGGGTCCCAGACTATTCTCCAGTCAGTGGGCGAGCACTGCAGGCAACCGACTTGCCCGCCCTTGCCCTTCCCAAAGAGAATCCTGAAAAAGGCCCTGCCAGCGATGTGCCGTCGCCATCAGGCCTCCTCCAATCCTCTTGTTCCTTTGCTGTGCTGTGTTACCGGAGATGAGCCAAGCCACTTGATACATTTCCTCCGAGAATCCAGTCGCCCAGACTGATTAGTTCTCTTTCCTTGTCATCTGATTATGTCCCCTCGACAAAAAGGGGCAGTGCGGTTTTCCCGAGGCCTCAGCGACCAATAGCCCAAACCCTTCGTTGAAGGGTTCAGCACCCAAATCTCCTCCTGGAGATAGGTGCAAAAAAGCTCAAGAGGGTATCATAAACCGTCCCTCTTCTTGGTGCAGTCGCACAAGTGTCGCGCCGTCCCAATGCGCGATGCCATGCCTCGTGAAAAAGGAAAAGAAAGAAAACAAAGTCCCAGCCTAACTCGTGCCTCTTCTATGTGCCTCCCATGCCAGAGAGCCTTCCGACACGCCGTGGCGACCAGAGAACCGAGAAATCCGCTTTTGTCTATGAATGCAAATGCCCAGCAACAAGGAAAGAAAAAGCCAGAGATAAGAGAAAAGAACGCATCGAAAGAAAACGTAAACGACCATAGAAAAGGCGGCCAAAAACTCTATGCGGTAAACGCGTGCTTTGGTTGCCGGAAAAGCAGGGACATGACCGTCATTAATGCGTGAAAAACCAGATCAGGGAAAAACCTAAGATGAGTAGATCCCCAAGATCGAGTCCGCATTCCAGTACCTGCACCTCTCAGGCGCTTCCTGCGGTGTTTCTGCCCGCAACGTATCCCCCGGTCTTCTTGCGTCTAATGGGTATCAAGAACAGGGGTGCGCAGAAACAAAGAGATGCGATCTATCGTCGTAGCCTGGGGAAGGTGCCCAGCATCCGAAGCCTGATGTTCCGGTTCAGACCAGACACAGGGTGAGTCGGTCATGAAGTTGCCGCCTCATAAACGTGTTCCGAGACGGGCATATCGATGGTAAAGGAAAAGAGAAAAGAGGGAAGAAAAGATGCGTCGTAAAACGAAAAAGGTGATGCGGGCGAGTGGAGGCCTCGAAACAAAGCGTGCTTTGGTCCGTGTGGCAAAAGGCGGAATCTGAGGCGGGCTGTCGGCTGCGAGCTCGACATCTACCACCAAGACTGGCCCCCAGGGTTGCCGTAGCTGCCGCCACCGCCGCTGTAGCCACCGCCGCCGCCGCCGTAGCCGCCACCACCACCGCCGCCGCCGCCGCCGTAGTTGCTGCCGCCACCACCACTGTAGCCACCGCCGCCGTACGAGCCTCCGCCGCCGCCGCCGAAGCCGCTGCCGCCACCAGGAGCCCGACGGAAGTCACGGTTGCCGCCACGGCCACCGCCGCCGCCGCCGCGACCGCCACGGTAACCTCGGCCACCGCCACCACCGAAGGACTTGGCACGAGCCGAGTTCTCAAGGAACGAAGGAATCTCCTGCTTGGCCTCCTGGAGAAGCACAAGCAGAGACTGAGCAACGCCGATGTTGTCACGGGGGTTAAAGAAGGCAGTGGCGACACCAGTGTTTCCAGCACGGCCCGTACGACCAATGCGGTGGACGTAGTCGTCAATGTCAGTGGGCAGGTCGTAGTTGATGACGTGGGTGACGTTGGGGATATCAAGACCACGAGCAGCAACCGCCGTCGCGACAAGGATGGGGCAGCGACCTGTGCGGAAGAGCTCCAGTGCGCGCTCACGCTCACGCTGAGTGCGGTCACCGTGAATCGCGGTGGCGGGCAGGTTGCGGTTCTGAAGGAAGTACGACAGCTCGTCCGCGTTACGCTTGGTCTCAACGAAAACAAGCGTCAGGCCACCGGTCTCCTTGTCGTTCTCGAGGAGATCGATCAGGAACGAGTCCTTGTCGTCCTTGCCATGGACCTCGATGACCCGCTGCGTGATGTTCTCGGAAGTAGAACCAACACGACCGACAGACAGGAAGACGTAGTCCTTCAGGAAGTCGCGGGCGAGCTTCTGGATGTACTCGGGGAAGGTGGCCGAGAACATGAGGGTCTGGCGGTCGTTGACATTGGGCATGTCCTCACCCTCGACAATGCGGCGAATCTGAGGCTCGAAACCCATGTCAAGCATGCGATCAGCCTCATCGAGGATGAGGTACTTGATGTTGCACAGGGAGACGCGACCACGCTCTATGAGGTCGACGAGACGTCCGGGAGTGGCAACAAGCAGATCGCAGCCGCGCTCGATTTGACGAAGCTGGGAGCCAATGTCGGCACCACCGTAGACGACGCAAGGACGAACCCAGGAGCGATAGGCGAACTTGCGGGCCTCATCATAGATCTGTGACGCCAACTCACGGGTGGGCGCCAGGATGAGCGAGGTGGGGAAAGCGCGGCGCTGACGACCGAAGCCGCCACCACCCTGGTTGGCGGGGATGGCCGAAGGGCCAGTGAGGAAGGCCTGCGAGAGGATAGGGAACAGGAAACCACCCGTCTTGCCCGAACCAGTCTGGGCGCAAGCCATCAGGTCACGACCACCCATGACAATGGGGATCGAGTACTTCTGGACGGGGGTTGGCATGTTGTAACGCGCGAGAGCAATGTTGGTGATGAGGTGGTCATCCAGGGGCGGGTTCGTGAAGCTGAGGACAGGCTCCGGAACATCGTGACCAGTGGCCTCGACGGGGATGTCGTCGTACTTCTCGAAGTTGATACCGGTGTGCTGCTTTGACGGGTCGTCGGGTGTGCCGAAAAGCTCACGCTCGACGCGCGGGTTGGCCGGGCCGGGGACGTGCTTGCCATCCCGCCACTGACCATCGCCGGAGCCCCTAGCATATCCGCCGCCGCCGCCGCCGCCGCCACCAGAGTTGTTGTTGCCGCCCTGACCACCGCCGCCACCGCCGTAGGCAGTGGGGTTAAATGAGGGGCGGTTGCCGCCGCCGCCGCCGCCGTAGCCACCACGCGGCGGGCCACCGCCCTGTCCGCCCCAGTTGCCGCCGCCACGGGTGTCAAAGTCCTGAGCCTGGTTGCTTTGGGGTTGTTAGTACGGGGATGAGGAAAGATAAAATGAGGTGAGGAGCATCTGATGGCTATGTCAGGACGGATGGTACGTACCCAGACCATGCGGACTTGTTAAGTCCGTTCGCACCGGCAGGAGTCGGGTCGTTGTTCATGGGAGGCGGGGGTCCGTTCATGCCAGGACCACCGACCTTGCCTCTCATATGAGGCGGGATGTAGGATCGGGGTCCGGCTCCAGGACCGCCCTGGCCCAGGTTGAGGCCACCCATGTTGAGTTGATCAGCCATCGTCGCGGTTGTTGGGATTCGCGAGGCGTTTAGGTGAGCGTGTTCTGAGGTGTCTCTCGTTTGCGACTTCGTGTGAAGCGTTCTTCTGCTTATCTTCGTGCCGGCAAAAAGGCGGCGCGAGAAGGGATCGACAGAGGAAACGACGGATTTCTGGTCGAAATCAAACAAGGGCCCGAGAACTGAGCGGGCAGAGGAAATCTAAATGCGGCGTGAAAACGCGACTCGAAAAAAAGAGAGGCGAGGAAGTCGGCACAACTTCCAAGAGATCGCTTCTCAGACGGAGAAAGGTCTATTAAGTTTTCGCGCAAACGCAACCGATTAGAATGAGAGGGGTGAGGGACGTCTTTGAATCACCCTCGTGAAGAAAACAATCTCCAAAAGGGAAAAGAAAAGACGACTGTGGCAGGGTCCAAATAAAAAAAGAAAAGCGTTGGGAGAGGAGGATGGATTAAAAAATCCGAGTGTTTGGGGAAGGAGGGAAGGGTTTTTCTCCAAGAAGGCGGCGGGAGAAAAAAATCGATCGCAGAAAAAGAGTTTGGAGTTGTGTAGGACCCACTCAAGCCTCTTTAGGTAAGGACTGGTCCTGGGAGGTGGGAGGTGGCGCTGCTGAGGGAAGGGGTCATGGAAGCGCTGAGGCGATGTGGAAGCCAGGCTTACCTGGCCCCGCCTGCTTACCAAGTCGGGCCTGGTTCCGACTCTAATTGAGCGACTCAGGACATGGATAGAGGGCGTGTGGGCGTGCACCGGCCAAGGGGCGCACACCTCAGCCTAATCAATGAGATCACAAAGCCCAGGCGGGCTGCCAACATCAACCACATCGCCGAAACACCACGATCCCCAGCAATGCCCTACATTGCCGGAGAGAGCTCCGAACCCCGAGACCTCATCTGAGCCGCACCTCTGCGTGGTAGTGTCGGTCCGCCAGAGAGCAAGGTGACGCCGCGACCGCTGTTACTCTAGGTGACTCGCAGGCGGGCGCACCTGGACGCTCAGCTCAGTCGAGGTGAGCCCAGGCGGGACCTGGCCACAGCCATCGACACAATGTGTATTGTCTCGTTACTTTAATTGTATTTCATCAACGAACAATTCATAGATACTCGTTGTACGGCCTACTCGCGAGTTCGAGTCACCAGCTTCGATCAATATTTTGACCAGTTCAAACGAGTGACCTTGTCCGTGAGACAGCTCAGTTGCGTTCACAGTTTGCAGGTTTACAAAGTGCTATGCCGTTGCGTTGCTTTTTCCCACCAAATCATACTCCATACCTACTAGGTAATCAGGCGCTCGTGTTTGAATCGCTTGCTGCAGCTTGTTGGGCAGCTCGTTGGAGGCCGTGGGGCCATGGCCATAGCCAACGCGGCTCGCTGAAGCTGCCAGATCGGTGTTCTACACAGACGGTGTTTTTAAACATGTGGGCACCTTGGCTTTCAGGGTGCGAAAGTGAGTGGGAAAGCAGGGCTGCGTGTCGGGGGCAGCGGCACGGAGAGATCCGGCTGGCACTCAATGTTTGTTGCTCCCGCAGCCAAACCCAATTTGGGCACAGGCCTCTTCCCTACAGCCGACGCTGCCTTACAACGCACACACCCATCTTTGACGTTCGTTTATTTTCCCCCATAGGGCCGCGACAAGACATTCAATGGCGATGCGGCGAGTTGGGCACATGAGCGTTCGGGCACCTTGGTTGACACTGGCAGACAGACAGGCAGGCAGGCAGGTATGCACTGACATTCGGACCATTTCATCCATTCGCCCCCAACCGCAGTCGTCATATGGCGGCAACACCGAGCCCACTGTTGCGTTTTTTCTTGTTCGGTTGGAGGTGGGCGGGCTCCAGAGGGATGATCCCTTCCAACGAGCCTTCTAAGCAAGCCCACCACAGACCGTCGTTCGGCCCAGGGATGGGCTTCAGGCAGCGCTCACTTGACCGCTCGCGCTGGAAGGCTCCACCGCGCTGCGTCTGAAAGGACGCAGTTCAAGCGACAGCGGGCGTGGCGGCTTGGTCCCAGTGGCCACCTTCCGCCCTCTCGCCACCATTGAAAGCCCACAGGAAGACAGGCACTACGGGCGGTAGGCGTGTTGTGTACAGGTACCCAGTTCCTTCGTTTTTCCTTTCTTTTCTGCCATGCTCTCCCATGCCTGCCCCTCCAATGCTAGAGCCCAGTTGGGGTGGGTGGGACACACTTCCCGCCAAAGCCCCAACCTTCCAGAAACCACACCGCTCTCTTGGGACGAACTCGCTTGGCGTTGCAACAGCGGACACCTGCATGTGCAAATGGCCTGCCCTCCGACTCCTCTCCTCCCTCCCCCTTTCCTCTCATTTCTCTGTTCCTCCTTCCCCTCTCCTCACTCACTTTTTCGGTTGCTGCATGCAACCTGCCTCGGAATACTCACCCGCTGCAGCCCCTGATTTGCGCACATGTCCCCACCGTTACCTGTGTCCCCCTATTTTCTCACCGTTCCCTTCTTCTTTTTGTTATTCGATTTTATTGCTTCTCTTGGGCCGGCCAGCCAGCCCCTTTATTTGGACGCCCCGTCCACATCTGTGGCTTCGGTCTGTCGTCATTGGCTTACCCGCGGCCTCTAGGCAACCAAGGTGCATCGCTTGCTCATCGCCCGGCGCCCCTCGCTGTGACTTGGCTGTGTGCCGCCGGCCTGTATGTAGGTCGGGAGGGTCACGTCGAGGCGATAAGGATGACAAGGGCCAGTGACATGACGGCGTCGAGTTGGTCATCGGGCGTTTGGTCATCAGAGTAGCCTGATCGACCTCGCCTGGCACACGCATTCTCGATTCTCACATCACATATGGTGAAACCTCACATGTCGGGTTTACTGCGCTTTGAGTCAGTGAGGCCTGTAGCAGTCGGCCAGCCTTCCTAGTGCGGCCTGAACGCTTAGGCGTTGCTGTTTGCCGCGGCGCCTGACTTGCGCCCAGTGATGTTCTGGCAAGGCCCAAACGTCACACGCGATCACGCTCCTTGAGATCGAATGTCCGCCGTTGCCCACTTTCTCCCATGACATGTCGTTTTCTTGCCAAATGTCCATCGATAGCACCTTGCGCCCGGTCTAATAATACAAACGTGCATGCATCCCAAACGAGGCCCATGGCGAGGCGAGGAGGAAACGTGAGCGTGGCACGACCGAGAGGTATCTTGTTCATCATTTTCTTAATTTTCCTCAGGCACTGTGAACCACCTTGTCGTCATCAAACTCGATATCGATTATGCCGTCCTTGGTCACCGCCTTGACAACCATGCCCTTGAAGTCGATGGGCAACCTCCTCTTGAGCTCGTCCGTGCACATGTTGAGAATCTTGATACCCTGGTGGAGGGTGATATCGGGGTGGTGGTGCTTGTCGAGAATCGACAGGCAATAGTACCTGGATAGAGCCACTATCAGGACCAGCTCCATACATCTAGGTAGCGAGGAGCTGGTGGAAGGGGGACTCTGGGATATGACTTACTGGGCGTAACCATGTGCCGCATACGGGACCGGTGCGAGGGCCGCGAGGTAGTCTAGCCAGTAGAGGCTCGGCTTGTGGGTGATGGGATCGACGCCGCCCAGGAGCAGATTGACGGTGTATGGCTTGCGCGATCGGAGGCTTGACGCCAACTCGCCCCGGACGAAGTGTGCCAGGGCCGAGGGCGACAGGTCAGTCTCATTGCGCATCGAGTAGAGCTTCGCGTTTGCCTGGATGTATTCGGCGAACTGGACTAGAGGGCGGGGACGGCGCGGCGATCAGCATGACGTCTGCACAGCCCGGCACAAAGCCGACATTCGCGGCGGAGGCGGGGCCGGGAGTATCGGGCACTGCAAGATCAATATGTGTATGAGTTCGTACTTGTATCGCCCGGCTCGCCCGAGAAGGCGATCAGGGTGTGCTTGTTCAGCTGCCTCGTCTTGTCGTCCGACGCCTTCAGGATCGTGGCTCCCCGCATCGCGGCCTTGGAGGCCGCGATCAAGGTGAAGTCCTTGCCCGTGATACCCAGTAGGACCTCCCTGGAGAAACGAATTTAGCACATGATACGACTGTGGAAGACTGGGTCGGGGCGGGGTATTTGACGCACATTGTGAATAGCGGTTGGCGATGCTGCAGGGTGTGGTGTTGGGTGGCTTCGTTCCGTCTCTGAAGCTCTCGCGAGTATCGTGCCCGGGACCTTGACGGAGCTCCCACCTAAGCTGCAACTGGTGGGCCCAGCACTATGAGCGGGCGGCAGCAACCTGGGCTGGACTGACGCGCACTCAGCTACAGCCTGTCGGAACAACTTTAGTGGAGCCTTGGCCGCTGAGAAAGCCCGGTTATTCCGCTCCCAGGTGTTGTTGCCGCAAAAACGCACCAGACTAATCGGAAAGAGAGCCCCACCTCCAATTGGTCTCTGCCAAATGGACCATCCCACCTTGCCGATGGGACAGGGAGAAAAAAAGTTTGAGTCGCGCAGGGCGGTGCGGATCGCGGCAGAAAAAAAAAAAATGATGCAGGCAAGATAGAAGGACGGCCACCTTCAATGTTCACGCATTGAACGACCACCGCACGCCCAACATGTCGTCTTTCTTCACAGTACCCGGCGCACAAAAGAAAAGGAAACGAACGGCCGGTCCAGAAGCTCCCAAAAAGCGAATTGCGGGAGCCAGCAGCGCAAAGCAGAGCTCGTCCAAAGCTCCGACATCAAAACCAAGGCAACAGAAGCCAGGCCAGGCCAAGAAACGGGTCGAACGAGATGAGTCGATATCGGGCAGCGACGGCGAGTCGGACGATGGCAGTCAGGGCCGGCCGCGCGACGATGCCGACGAGAATGCTGGCTCAGGCTCCGACGACGATTCGGAGCGGGAGGCTGAGACGGCGGCTGAGCGGCGGTTGAGGCTTGCGGAACGCTATCTCGACAACGTGCGGAAGGAGGTCACGGCGCAGGACGAGTATGCATTTGACGCGGAGGAGATCGACAAGGACATAATAGCAGAGCGACTCAAGGAGGACGTGGCCGAGTCCAAGGGCAAGGTCTACCGTCGACTCGCCTCCGAGCTGGACTACGGCCGCACATACCAGACAGAGTTCCGCTGGAATCCCGAGAACGTCAACTCGATCGCAACGTGCGCGCCCTACGCCTACGTTGTCACCAAGGACATGTACCTCAGCAAGTGGCGACTGCAGGACCTGCCGCAGCACCAGTGGCCCCAGACAACCAAGAAGAAGCCCAAGAAGCCGCCTGCGCCGCCCAAGCGTCGCCCCGAGCGCATCCGCTACTCCCGCGGCGACACCCGCAAGGCTAAAGACAAAGATTTCCAGGGCCACACGGGCCCCATACTCGCCGTGGCGGCGTCGCACGACGGCCGCTTCGTCGTCACGGCCGGCGCGGACCGCCGCCTGGTGGTACACGACGCCGAGACGCTCAAGCCCCTCCGCGCCTTCTCACACCACCGCGACGCCGTTACTAGCCTGGCGTTCCGCCGAGGATCAACCCAGCTCTTCTCGTGCTCGCGCGACCGCACCGTCAAGGTGTGGAGTGTAGAGGACCTAGCCTACATCGAGACCCTGTTCGGCCACCAGAACGACGTTGTCGATGTTGACGCCCTGGCCCAGGAGCGTTGCGTCTCGGTCGGCTCACGAGACCGTACCGCCCGCCTATGGAAGGTTGTCGAAGAGACCCAGCTCGTGTTCCGTGGTGGTGGCGGCACCTCTCTCAATAAAAAGGGCGCTAAGCCCGAAGGAGTCGATGCCAAATCGCTCGCCCACGAGGGTAGCATGGACCGCATCGCCATGCTTGACGATGAGCTGTTTGTCACGGGGTCTGATAACGGCTCCATCTCACTCTGGAGCCTGCAGCGCAAGCGCCCCGTCTTCGTCCTGCCTTTAGCTCACGGGCTCGAGCCGCCCCTGCGCCTCGATGCCGCCTCGGCCGAGATCAGCCCAGATCCCAAAGTCATCCCTCCACCCCAGCCGCGCTGGATCACGGCGCTACGTACCATCCCCTACTCGAACCTCATCCTCAGTGGCAGCTGGGATGGCTGCGTGCGCGTGTGGAGGCTTAGCGACGACAAGAAGAAACTGGAGGCTGTCGGTGTTCTTGGTCAGCCATTTGCCGAGGATGAGGAAGATAAAGAGGAGGGTGAGTTGGAATCGAAGCCGCAGGTTAACGGCACCAAGGCGACCAAAGGCAAGGGCAAGGCCGTAGAACCGAAGGCCATCGCCAATGGTGATGACAACGGCGGACACTCAAAATGTATCAGGGGCATGATCAACGACATCTCTCTTTTCGAAAGAGGCGAGCGGGGTAAAGACGGACTATGTGTCGTCGTTGCCGTCGGCAAAGAGCACCGGCTCGGGCGGTGGAAGAAGATAAAGGGTGCCCGGAATGGCGCCTTCGTGTTTGAAGTACCGAGGCTGGAGAAGGAGGAGACCAACGGTGCCACTCACGACTTATCCGATGAGGCGGACAAGTGACTTATCCGATGAGGCGGACAAGTGATTGGTAGTGGTGGCCGTGGTTTGGGGCCTGGGCTGCATGGTTCGCAGAAGGATAAAAGGGGGGATCTTGTTACAATAGAAAAATATCGCACATGCCTGTCTTGTTGAGCTTGTCTTGTTGATGTTGCCACGGCGGCGCTTTCGCGATGGGTTTGGTTCCCATTTCTCAACACCCAGGAGGGGGTGGGCGTTAGTTAGCATGCTCGGCGTCGAACAATATACCACCATCATCACGACACCACCATCGACTCACTCCATAACAGTGACCTCTCGGCAGATCTACAGCGTACCGCTCCAATAATGAAGTAGAAAATGTGCTATCTGGGGCAAGTAACTACCTGCCGGCCAAAACAAGAGGCAGATGCCAGATCAAGACACCCTCGTGAATAGGTACCTACCTGTTTGGGCGGAGAAACATTCGCACTACACATTGATAGCGGACGGCTACACCGCGTCTGAGGACTCGGCTGTCACTCGAGAGAAAACACAGCCCTTGGAAGAGGAGTCTGATCCCAAAGCATCAAGTTGTTGGTTTTTCATTTTATTTTATCCTTCTCTTCACAAATCCGGTGGTGGAAGCAGGCGGCGACGTGAAAAAGGATTGCCCAGCTGACAGTTTCTCCTAACTATTAAGGGGGACGTTGGAGAGGGGGCGAAAATGGACAAGAAAAGAAAATCGTCTGTCAGCAATTGCAAAATACAGCATAAAAAGGAGATGCAGGGAGAGAAAGAAGGGTTGTGCTACATGTCTGACAAAAAAAAAAAAAAAAAAAAAAAAAAGAAAAAAGAGGTTTAGCCCAAAATAACAAAAAATGAAGGTGCTCTCCCGCCGGGAATTGAACCCGGGTCTCGAGCGTTGTTGGATGACAAGCTCACATACTAACCACTATACGACAGGAGATGGCCAATTGGTTGTTGTTGGGGAGGGGCGCATTGCCGCAGCCTATATCGGCTGCAACGCTGGGCGTGCGTTGGGCCCCGCGCCCACGCCGTCGACGGCTCACGAGCGAGAAGTGCCCCGCCTTCCGTTCCGTGTGCGGACTTGCTGGCGGCCGCCACCACAACAAGGGCGATTTCTGTACAGTACGCCATTCCCATGTGTGAGAAATGACCCCGAGGTCCTGCCAAAAGTACCTAGACACCTTGCACACAGGTCGTGCTTATTGCTTAGACACTGGTAGGATGTGTAGTCACAACGGTGGCCATTCGGGTACTTGGCCGAGAGAGTCAAAGGCCCAGCGATAGAGGCACACTCCCACCTTCGTGATGGGAGTAGGTTTAGTCGTATTCATACATCGTATTATGGTATCTTCTGGGGGTAGGAGAGCAGGATCGCGAACACCGCATATGCCCGAGTTCTTCGCCAAACAGGAAGAGACGCTAAGAGGAGCAAGGAGCTCAAAAGGCCCTCTTTGGACCCCTTTAGATGCACCATTATCGCACCAGGAACAAGAAGGAAAAGAAATCAAAAGGAAAAGACGAGCGCTGAAGGGGGCATGAAATTGGCAATAGAGAAAAGGTATGACTCCATCCGCTCCAAAACCAGACGCCCACGCAATGCTGTCGCCGTAACAGCCAGGAGGAAAAGCAGACAAGAAAAAAAGCTCCGTTGCCGACACCTTCCTGCACCCTCTTGTCAACATGAACATCTATTTAAAAGCCAAAGACCGTAAATTCATACGTTACTATCCATCTGGTTTAGCTCAGCACCTGTTCGCTAGGCCCTTGCTTGACACTTTCCGCCTCAGGGGCGATGTCAAGTCCACACGCTCTGCCTGTGGGGAGCAAGAATGCCCGTGAGGATGGCGTGATGTGCTCAATGGGAACTCGCGATATAGAGTTTCTGGGAAGGGTGACGAAGACGAATCTGCCTTCTCAATCCCTGGGAACAATGGAGGAGTCCGCTTGCTCTTCCAATTGCCCTGGGAACTTTGGTCAGGGCCCCCAGTGACATCGCGAAAAGGAGCTTGGCTACCACGCTGCTAGCTTGTGGCCACAATACCCCCAACCGACGGATTGCTGTGTTCGATCGATGGCCTAACGATATCTGCGAGTAGAGCAGTCGCCTTGGCCGATGGAGTCGCAGCTTCGGGCGGGCTGCTGGGCACTACTTGAGAGATCGGCGGGGCCGGGCTACTCCCCGCAACAGAGGAGGCGGCTGCCCGCTCCTTCCTGAGTCGCTTCTGCTCCTGTTTTGCCTTCGCTGTGGCCTCCTCTTTCTTCTGATAGGTGGCGTGCTCGTTGATTATGACGTCTCGTATCTCGCTCCTGATCTTGGACGCATCGACACGCCAGCCGGGCGATCTCTTCTCCAGAATTGCCTTGATTGAGGCATCGGGGTCCTTCATCAGGAAGTCGATGTACGAGAGCAGATAGGCGCCGCAGTCCCAGTAGTTGCTCTGCAGCGGTATCGCCTTCGCAGTGAGACCAAAGGTTGAAGGCATCACGACTTGTTGTTTCTTCTTGTCCAGAAGCTCCTCGCACAGGTACTGCTTCAGGTGAGTGCACGCTGGCGAGTGAGCGGAGCCAAGGGAGTCGAGCGTGATCACTCTTGGTTCCTTCCCCGTGGGCAATGTTGGCTGCTGGGCCTGAGGCGATTCTCTCACCTGAGACGACTCCTTCCTTTTCTTGTTCAGGCACGGGATGTCACTGGCCACAAGAGGAGGGTCAGGAGCGTCGTCATCCGGGATTATGACTTGATTATCAGGCTTGTCGTCGATAAAAATAAGGGTCTCCTTGGTAGGAGTCGCTGCATCTTGCTGGCTCAAGGACATGCTTCGCATTTGCTCCCTAACACTGGTGGTGACAGGCGACATACAAGGAGATGACGATGGCGGAACGGAGCGGTCTTTGGAGGACTTCTTCGGGGCCTCCGGGGGGTCTTGGGAGCTTTCTCCAGCGCCTTCCGAGTCGTCTCGAGCCCAAGCCCGCGATTCGACCACGCTCTTTGTCATGCAAACCTCGATTTCGGATGCTGGTTCATCGGGGACCAGCTTTCCCGGATTGCATATGACCGCAACCCACCAGTGGCTGTTCTCGTTAACGGGAACGACGATAAAGTCGTACTTGAAAAGGTCGACCCGGGAGGTCCATGACTTGACATTGTCATAGTTGATAGCCTTGCCCTTGACAGGCTTCAATCTCTCGTAGAAGAAGGAGTTGTGGAAGTAGAAGCGAGCGGCGGCATGCTTGTCCGTCTCCTTCAGCTTGTTGTGAAGATAATTGATATAGAAGCTGATGATGCTGTCGTTGAGGAATTCACCGTCGTCAAGACGCGCGACGTCTTCCTTGTGGATTGTTGTTCGATGGTACGTGAGGGGCATTCGCCACTCCTTATCCCATCCGTGATGTTCCAACGTCCAAGAGAGTGGAGGTGGGGACGACTCCATCCCAGAGTTGATGGCCACAATCGCGTTGGGCGCAGGAACCGAACGAGTGGATCGCCGCTCGATGTTGTGTCGCTCGATGTTGGGCCGCTTGACTTCTCGAACGTGGGTGTCGTTTCCCGTGGCCACCGCGTCGTCGGTCATACCCTCTCGTAGTCTCTTCTTCGCACTAGGAGGCTGAGCGAGCTCTGGGCCGTATATAGGAGTGCCCGTATTCGCTCCCTCTCGCTTGCGGTTAATTTCCGTCAGAACTCCATCGACAATGCGAGACTTCAGATCGTCGGCCTTGGAGATATGCGTTGGTTGCTCTCTGCTCCGCCGAGCTTCGGCATGTTTTCCGACTTCATCTCGTGCCTTGTCGAACTTCTTTTCGGCATTTGGAGTCTCCTGAATGTGGGACTTCGCCTTGGCCCCCATATGTTGTTCGGCCCAAGCCACGAAATTGCGCCCGTCTTGCGGGCTCGAGAACTTGAGGTATAGCTTGCCACCAGAATCTTTGACCATGGAACCATCGATTGTGACATGTTGGCAGCACGGGCTGTGGAAGATTCGGTTCGTTGTCGCCGGGGATACCTGGAGCCACTCGTACCGAGGGGGCTGTTTTCCTTGACTATCCATGGGGGCATCCAGGTTTCTATATTGTGTTGGGTCGAGTACTCCCAGGCCGCTTTGGCGAGGTCCTAGGACCAGGGCATTGTCGCATATAAAACGCGGGGGGCAGACGGCGGCCATGAGGCGAAACTGGGACACCTCACGATCGCTCGTGCTTATGCCCTTGCTGGTCCCTCGCGGGAGAGCAAATTTCGACCCGATGTCCCCTTTTCTTGACAGACTTGAGCTCTTCCCAGCTCGTGGAGCCGCAGGGAGTGCTCCCCTTTGTCTCTTGGTTTGCGATTCCGGCCGATAGTCGTCATCGTTGAGCTCGTCGGGGCTATCTGCTTTGGCTCGTTTCCGATTCAGGCGGTTGGGTGGGAGGTGGTCGGCTGGGATGTGAATTACCAGTTCCTGGCGAGGGGCTTTGTCTTCTTTCGTAAGATCGACCTGTTTAGAGTTGCGGGCAGCGCCGTGGCTGGGTTCCTGGCTTGGTGGTTGCTCGCTGAGCAGCACGACGTCGTCATCGTCTTCAATTTCTTCGACTGCGCGAGGGTTACGTGCAGTGGTTGTCAGGTGCTTGGGTGATGATCTCGGTGCATGGGATGACTGTTGAGGCAGGACGGGTGTCCTTCGCGGCCTGCTTTTGCCCGCGGCCCCGAATTTTTTATCAACCCTCCGTAATTCACGTATAGCCGCAGCCGCCACAGTCGACTGTGATGACCTCCTAGGAGTCGCAGAGCCGTCGCGCTCTGTGTTGCTATCGAGGGATGCTCTGCCGCCTGCCTGAGATATGGGAACGAACTGGAGGCTTGAGTACTGGTCTCCGCCCCTGGCCTGGGGTTTCTGTATCTCGTCTAATTGAGCATCGATGGGCCGAGGGGTTGTCGGAGTCTTCTTGTTCATCGTGTCCTTGGGCGCGAAAGCACCTGGGAACATCTACCAACAGTCAGCATGGCATGAAGATTTCCGGCGGCGCTCTCTGGCGGAAAGGCTACCACGTACGGCTTTTCCGAACCTCCTCATGCTATCCATCTTATCTGCCCAGCACTCGAGAGTGTCTCGTCGGTGTTCTGTAAAGGACGCTGTGGTGAGCAATGTTCTGTTCCAAATATCCAGAGTCTAGAAGCGTACGGTGCGATGCGGTTTGGCGACAGGCTCGGGAGAGTAGGCAGGTGGTCTGGACTTCGGTGGCGATCCTCCGAAATGTGCTAGAGACCAACAACCCGAAAGGTGCTATCCTCCTATCCTCCGCTGTCGTTTAGTCGCGTGCTGATTGTAACGAAGGCGGCCGGGCGGTTCCGTGCGACAGGACCAACCATAGTATCAATGTCCCAGATGGGTAGGCCGGTTCGCATGCAGCTGTGTGTTTCGTTGTTTGCCCGCTCCCTTGATGTCGGCGAAGGGTGAAGCGGACCTGACAGGTGGGTGAGAAAGGCTCGTGCAGCTCGAGGCTTCGAATCGGTGAATCTCGAAGGCGGTTTTAGGTGCGGGGCGTGACCGACGGGGCGGGCGTGAAGGATCGACTGACGCGGCGAGACAATGGGTGCTTGTATGCGGCTCGTAGGAAGGTCGGGATTTCCACACGCGCTCGTTGTGCCCGTCCCGACTCGAGAGCTGTCGGCGGGTTGGGTAGGCGGACAGCTGAAGTGCGCGGGGCCAGAATTTGTCTGAATACAACAGCCGTGCATGCATCGGAGTTGGAGCGACAGACGTGACCTGTAGGTTTGCTCAGGGAACAGGGCCGTTTTTTTTCCTCGACGGGAAAGTGCAGCCAATGGACCCGCCTGACTTCAGACTCCGTTTGCAGGGATGCAGCTGTCCCGCCACGGAAGTTTCCATTTTGGTGGCAGGGCGTCCACCTGAACGGGAGGACCCACCAGCACAGAAAACCTTCAGTTTAAACTGAGGCGATCAATCATTTGCCAGAGAACTTTGAGGCCTCATTCATCACACGAGACGGGACGATTTGGGAAGCTGATTTCGTTGTGCGTGTTTTCCACGCAAACACTGCAATATGTAGAAACTGCGCGACCGCAATGGAGGAGCCCATTAGCTTTTTTTCCCCTCGATAGGAACCACTTTCTTGAATAGGAAGGGAGGCCTTTCTCTGAATAGCAACCCACTTTGTTTTGGCGCCATGCTGGCCTTCTTCAGCCAGAGAAGCTTATAATTTCCGTCAGCATTTCCGTAACTCGTGGCATCTAACTAGAGACTTGGGTCAGGCCCTTTGAACGCTTCGTCTGCTCGCTCGCTCGGCGAAACCTTGAATCCACGCGGAACAAGCCGCACGTGACCAGTCAAACTCCGACAAAGGGAGCGGAGCTGCCTCTCTTTGTGGTGTGGCTGGGGGCGCTGTGCGACAGCAGAGACCTCAAGCCTCATTCGACCCACCCGCCGGCTCACTTGCAGCGAGAAGCTCACCCGCAGCGCTCGATTACGCTGAATAACACACTTTGACCAGGCTGCTGTGTCCCATCTAGAGACTCGCCCTTGCAGTCTGCCCTCGGCACGCACATAAGCAGTCGCTGCAGCTTGGTCTGTGATGGACGCGCTCAGACCCCTGGTCTCTCCAATCCACCGGCCTAACTGCGCGGCCGCCTGAGCAAGTCACAAGTCACAAGTCGCAAGTCAACCAGACACCTTGGCGCAGCAGCCAATCACGAGACCACCACGAGACCACACCCTGCTCATCCTTGGTCATGGAAGGCTCGGCCCGCCAAACACCGCTCTCGCCAGCCGAGCAGCAACAACTAAATCCCACGGCCTTCGCAGAGGGAGCTGCGTCATCTCAGCCCCTTGGATCACCGTCTGATGTCCTGCCCTCCATGCCGCCGCCTCCCTCCATGTCAGGGCATGTCATGACCTGGCAGACGCAGCCACCGAGCAACGGTGCGCAGCCGCCTGTGGTGATCACGCCGGGCAGCAACGGTGGCGATGAGGGGCTCTCCTCCGCCGAGATAATGAGGAGGGCCTTGTCCGCCAGCTTCCAGGCCGAGGCCATGGCGGAGACTATGACCGAGACGATGACCGAGTCTCTGGTCAGTAATCCACCCGCCACCATCGCGCCCTCAGACCTGATGGCGCCTACCACGGCCGAGATCCCCATCCTCGATGCGGCCTCGGTGCTTCCAATCATCAGTAGCTCTTTGGAGTACTCGCCTTTACCCGAGGAGCAGCCGGGCACCGCGAGGGTGACCGAGCACGTCGTCACCCTGCCGCTGGCAGCTAACATGCGGCAAAAATACCGGAAGGTTGTCGTCGCAGGCAAACCAGCAGTGGTGGAGTTCAACAATGTCTTCCGAAGCTGCTCCGCAATACCCGAAGACACTCTAGTAGCAAAGATTGACCAAGTGCTCTCGCAGCTTCTGGACATCTGCGACCTGCCTGCCTTCGACGACAACTCCGCTGGTGTGTCGCGCGAAGTCATGATGAAGCACGCCCTAGATAGCTGCACCAAGATGGTCTTTGTATACGAGCTCCTCCATGCGCTCCGAGATGAAGAGCTGCAGGCCCTCATCCTCGTGCGCCGCGGCCGGGCGTGTGACTTCCTTGAAGCCATTCTGGATGCTAAGAACTTTAGGTATCACCGGTTGGAAGATGCACCGAAGCCCGATAATGCCGCGTCCGACAGGCTCAGGGTGATCCTGGCGACTACAGATCAAGACCCGGCTCTCTATCCAGCAGGTGTCAAAGTCATCGTCAACTACGACGAGTCTGCCAGGGGCCTTTCCGTAGCCAGGGGCGTCGTGCCAGCAGACACCCGACCCACAGTCCTGACGCTGGCGGCAAGCTATACCGTCGATCACCTCAACATGATCATCCCGACAACACTAGAGGCTCAGGAGCGAAAGAATGCGCTTCTGATTGCCGTTTCCAAGGCCTGGGAGCTCGTGCTGAACCCACCACATCTGGGTGACCGCGGCCGGCCCGATCTAATTGCCACCGAGTTCGCGAATCTGATCAAAAATCCCAACTACGAGTGGGAATGGGAGCCGTACACGCTCCCCGAGACTGTGTTCGAAGTCTACTCCAGCTCAGAGAATACAGGTGACCTGGAGCCACCACGAGCACCGTCTCGCTCTGCCAGCAAGAAGCGGCAGCTGGATGATGCCGATGATGAGAGGGACGACAATAAGCGCGTGAAGGCCTATCCGCCATCGAATCTCGAGTCGTCTCGCACGCAGCCGCAGCTCAGCTCGGCTGCCGAGGCGCTCCTGGCCCAACTGCCGAAATCCAGCGCACCCAAGTTTGCGGTACCGGTAGACCATCTCGATGCGATGGCAATCAGGATATCGGATCTGGAGAAGCAGCTGGCCGAGAAGGATGAGCTCGCCCAGGCCCTAAAGAAGCAACTTACCAGCGTAGGGGAGCAGAGGGACTCGGTAAACAAGTCACTGCGAGGCATGTACAACAGGTTCAACGCTGCACTCCAGGACAGGGCCGCGTTTGAAAAGGAGCGAGATAGCGCGGTCTCCAAAGATGGCAAGCTGAAAGGCGAGATATCGGCAGCGAAAGCGGCACAAGCGTCATTGAAGAAGGAAAACACAGCGCTGCAGCAGCGGCTCGCCGACTGGGCGGCGGCGGCGGCGGGCGAGGCCGGCCCCGAATCCCGCGTCGGCAAGATGGCGCAGCAGCAGCTCCAGTCGGAGGCGCGGCAGGATGAGCTGGAGAAGCGGCTCGAGGTGCAGGGCGCGGACCTCGAATACGCGCAAGAGGCGTACCAGACGGCCAGCAAGCACGCCATCGAGGTCGACAAGGAAAACAAGCGCCTGTCGGTGCAGGCGATCGAGCTCGAGCGCAAGGCGTCGGACAACGCCGTCGAGATTCACCGCATCCAGGCCGCGGGCGCCCACGCCGAGCAGGAGCGCCGCCGCCGCGAGCTGGCCGCGCTCCTGGCCGACCGCGAGCGCGAGCTCGAGCGCGCAAAGGACGAGCTCCGCTCCCTGCGCGCCGGCCGCCGCGAGACGCGCGCCCAGAGCACCGCCCCGCACAGCCCCCGCCTCGCCGTCATGAGCCCCCGCGGCAACGGCGTCGCCGTCCGCTCCGCCGCCGCCGCCGCCGCTTCCACCCCGCTCACCTCCAATAGCCGCGGCACTAGCCCTGCCACCGGCGCCGGGGGGGCCGTCAGCGGCTACGAGGCCTCGGGCCTGGGCCCTGGCCCTGGCGTGCGCACCGTCCTGTCCCGGAATGGCCGGTTGCCGCACCTGATGGATTGACGTGGTGTGATGGCGTCTTATATAATTTGGCTTCCTGTTTCAATTTTCTTTTCCACCCACAAATCCTTTGTTTCTTCTTTTTTTTTTCTCGTCCTTTTAGGCTTATCTGTCTGTTTTTTCTATTTTTTTCTCACCCCTCTGCCTCGCGGGCATGGATACCGGCGTTTTTGGGGGCCATGATAGACATGCAGGTTGCGATTACATTACTGGTGGTTTTGCAGAGCAAGACAAAAACTGCAGGCAAACAATAACCCTTTTTTTCTCGTCTTCCAAGTGTGTTGTTTAAGCAAACTCCCCCATCCGTCCATCTAGGTAGGAACTTGCCATCCATGAGTCCAAGTTTCGGCCAGATAAAAGAGCAGCCCTCCACCCGAGACGCCTCTCATATAGCTTTTTGTTTTACATCATCCTGGGTATCGTATCCCCCTAAACTCCCCATCTAACAAATCGAGCAACACATGGGTGATACACTCTCTATGAGGTAAATGGGCAGGGGCGGCGAAACCAGACCCGAGATGCATGAAAAAGATCCGTGATGACACCCGGCCAGAAAGGAAAGATGGTACTCCACGCCACTCCAGTGGTATACAGAGACCTTGGGCCGGGCCGGGCCGGAAGGGGGGTTAGGAAGCACACGGGTACTGACGGTATGACCCGGGTTGACTGCAACCAAGGCCCTGAGCACAAAAAAGTCCCTTAGGATTGTGCCGCAGGCTGCTGGGCCTGGCCCTGCCCGCCAGAGCCACCTCCGCGGCCACCACGACCGCGCTGGCCGTCTCCGCCTCCGCCTCCACCTCCACCTCTGGGGCTGCCTCGTCCACGGCCGCCACGGCCGCCACGGTCGCCACGACCACGGCCACGACCGCGGCTCGAGGGTGCGTCTAGGCTGGCCGGCGGCGGGACATTGTTGTAAGACTGTGTTGGAGCAGCAGGAGATTGCTCTGCCCTATCGGTCTGGTGTCCGTTGGTGCCGCTGCTCGCTGCGTTGTCGCTCCCGCTGTATCCGAGACCACCGCGCCCGCCACGCCCGCCCCTGCTTCCCCCTCCACGTTGATGCGGCGCTGAGCCAAACTGCGGCTGTTGGTTCCCTCCGCCGGGTCTGTACACCATGGTGCTGTGCTGCAGGTTCGGACCGCCACGGGGACCAGGCGTTCCGTTAGGGTCGTGCCCGCCACCCCTGCCGCGTCCACCACTGTTCCCGTTGAGGGCGCCACGCCAGCCCCCTCGCAGGGGCGGTGGCGTAGCCGCGTCGCGCATCTGGCGCATCCCATTGGCGCCGTTGGCCGCACCACCCCCAGTAAGGGTCGTGACGGACGGCGCCAGCGCATTACGTGCCAGCGTGGCCTTGGAACCCGTGACGACTTGGCGGCGCGTCAGGTTGAGCACCGTGGTGGCCGCCACCGTCTGGCCTCTGAATGGTGGGCAGCGTTCGCCGAGGGTACCGCCGCTCATGAAGGTCACGTCGAAGACAACGTCCAACAGTTTGGCCGTCGGAGTTCGGCTTATGCCCACCACGGTGCCACGCATGGCGATGGGGACCTTGCCCGACGACGATGCGTACACAACACGGTCACCCAATGCAAAGTCCTGGTTGCCTAGCCGCTGCTCCGCCTCGTCCGGCTTGAGGAGGGCGCTCCGGGGCGTGCCCTTGAGCGCCCTGCCCTCAAAAGGCGTCTCGTGCAGCTTGAGTGAGTCCGCCGACTGCGTCAAGTTCATGACTACCTCCGAGTCAAGCTGCTCGGCGTCGAGGGGAACCTTCTCAAACTTGTTGGTGTTGATCGACTTGAGCCAGGCGCCGATCTCCTTGACGCGCGCCCTGGCCGTCGTCTCGTCCTTCCAGAGATCCGTGTCTTGGAGGTCGTTGCCGTTGGGCCGTGACTTGAGCGCGACAAAGAGGTCTGGGAAATTCGTCATGTACTGGGCCAACAGTCCAATAGCCAGCGGACTGAACTCCCACCCGGACTGGGATTTGCGTGAGTAACCAAGCACCTTCATCTTCTTTCCCTCAAACTTGAGGTTGAGTCCCAGATTGACCTTGATGCTGCCGCCCATGGTGTAGATGAAAAAGGAGGCTGTGATCTTGCTGAGGACGAGCGGGTGCAGGTCCAGGGTTTTGGCGACGGCGTAGGAAGGCATGTATCTGTTGTTGCGCTCGGCATCAAAGATGACTTTCCTGGTGAACTCGGGCTCCTCCTTCTTAAGCTTGGCCACTCGGATTTCCAGTCGATTGTCGTTGTGGCCAATCACCTCGAGCGGACGTCCAAATGCGTACTCGCCTAGGAAAAAGGCGTGAGAGCCTAGTGGGAACTCTTCTTCGATCGGGAGAGCATCCTTCTCGACGAAGCGCTGGTCCTCGTGAACAACCTCGTCCACAACCACCTGTGGTGCGTAGTCCGTCTCCATGCCAGGCACCTCGCCGTACTCCTTGATGGTGGCACCCTCGTCCGTCTTGATCAGGCCCTTGAGCATGTGTACGTGCACCATGGACTCGACGCTGCTGATTAGAATACCCAGACGCTTGCTGTAGAACTCCTCTATGCGCCGGGACTTGGAGTGAAAGTATTCAATCTCCTTGGCGTGGTGCGGCGTCTGGATGACCTGCCCGTTGGCGTCGAGAACGTAGTCAAAGAGCTCATCCGAGACCCGAACAACCATTGCCTCTTGCAGGAATGGGTAGCCGACATGGCAGCGCTGTCCAAGCTTCATCTTGGCCGAGGTCACGGCTGTCTTCGCCTCCGTGCCCGACAGGGTGACTACCATGCTTTCGTTGCGGCTTTCCTGCTGGAAGACGTTGACGCCATGGAAACCCAGTGTCGCCGAGTAGGGCAGCGTGGCAAGACTGGGGAAGCCGGCCAGTGCCGACTTGTTCAGGAACGCACCGTCCGTTAGGCCGTGGAGGAAGTCCAGGCCTTCCGTTGGGGGGAGCTCGAAGATGTTTATGACGCATCGGCAGTGAGGAAGATCTGGGAAAATGCCTGGAAACGACGAGGGGTACACGAAATCTAGATCCGGGGAGTATGTGAACTTGAGGGCCACGCCGAAGCCGTTGCGCGCCTTTTCGTCGTCGGCGAGGAGGTCGTTCTTGGTGGCCATGGCGTCGAGTAACCGGCGCTCGTCAATGAAGGGGATCTTGACAACGGCTTCCCAATCCTGCTTCTTGCCGTTCATGTCGAGCACAAAGTCTCGCGGATAGAAGTCGATGATAGGGGAGTCGGCTTGTGTCATGAGCGGCCAGTACACCGTCGGGACGATCTTCTTACTCCGATCGGGCAGAACGCCCATGAGCTGCTCAAACGGCCTGAACGGCTGCCCAAGCTTGAAGTTCATGTCGGCGTTCAGGCCCTTCATGACGTCCGAGATCATAGGTGAGTAGTGGTATTTGTAGAACCACGGCCACGAGCGGATGCCGCGGTAGTAGTAGTAAAGAACCCACTGCAGACCCTGAACGTAGTTCTCGCAGAGCTGCCTCAGACCTTCTTCCTTGAGCTCTGGCGTCGACCACTCTTCGAACTTCTCGGAATAATACTTGTCTTTCCACTCCTGGAACTTTTGTTGGTACAGGCGCTCCATGGCCTCCTTGGCCTCCTCAGGAGACGTGTCGACAACTGCGGCCCGGTCGTACTTGAGCATCTCACGGTGCGCGGCCGCGTTACCCTCCTCCTCGAAGCCATCATCATCGCTGGCCTCTGGCGATTGTGGTAGCGTTATCACCAGGCTGCGGTTGCCCTCCTCGTCGGCCGGGCTCTCCCACTTGAGGCGGAAACTGTCCGCTACTTCCTGGGCGAACTTCCGGTCTGCCGCGTTGAGGCCACTGCCCAGATTTAATGTCTTGGTAGCCCTCTTGTTGATAAAGGGGCGCAGGCTGTGCTTCCAGATGTTCTTTTGCGATGTCGTCACCTGGAGCTGGCCTTTCGGGCGGGACTTGGCCATGGCCGTTTCGGGGTTGTCCATCTGCTGTTTGGCGCGGTACCAGTTTTCATTCTGCATGTCCACGTCAAAGAAGCGGTGCTCGGCCTCGCTCAGACCCTCGAGCAGCAGGCCCAGCCTGTGGAGATTGACCGTGCCGCCCTCGTTGATGTAGCCGTCGCATTTGGGCAGAATCTGCTTGTACAGTTTGAACATGAGGGCCAGCGCGCCCTCGTTGATGTGCAAATGTGGCAGGTTGGGCAAGAAGTCGTTGCCGACGAAGAAGGCCATAAGAATAAAATCATCAATGACCCTCTCCATGTCGAAGGGGAACGACATTGCGCCCTCCTTCTTGAGTTCCTGGAACTCAAGCTCGAGGTACTCGCGCACAATGCAGAGATGCAACAGATAAAAGTTCTGGTGCTCCAACTCCTTGGATTTGGCCTGCGACTGGCGGCCGAAAGTGACCTCCTCACGCAGAAGGCAGAAGTGGGGGTCGTGGCTCAGCAGACCCAACATGATGAGGTCGGCATCGAGGCCGTACAGACAGTGGCGGACATTGTCGTTGTAGTCGGGTTGGGCCTTGGCGTTGCGGATGTATTCCATGATCTTGTGCTCACCCTCGCCAGGGACCTCGTGGCCGGACAGGACGATCTCGCAGCCCTGCCACTCCTTGTCCTCGCTGACCTTTTTGTTGACAAAGTACTTGAGCTGCTCCGAAAGCTTGGCCATGAAGGCGGTGCCGGGAGTAATGCAGTTGCTGTCGAAGGGCTCCTCCTTAGGAAGCTCCTTCCCCTCGCTTATGGCCTTGTCGCGGGCCTGCTCGGCGTCGAGGGCGGTGCGGAAGCGACGGGCGCGCTGCTGGTTCATCTTGGCGCGCGGGGCGACGCCGTCGATGGCCATGAAGAAGAGCTGTTTGGGCTTGATCTTGCCGAAGAGGTGCTCTATGTAGTTGAAGATGCGGATGAACATCTCCTCCTCGCTGAGCCGGAAGGACGTGTCGTGGGTGTCCTTGTGGGTGCAGTTATGGATGATGCCGTTCATGTCCAGGTACAGGCAATCGAACTCGGGTATGCGGTTCTCGGCGATCAGCTGCGAGATGGCCGGGTAGCGCTCCGAGAGCCACCTGAAGAACTTGGGAACACCCATCTTGGCGGGGCTTGTTGCTGTCGCGATCGGCTAATGGTAGCAGTGGGCGGGATGCGCACTGCGGGCGCGGGGGGAGTGCGGGGATGAAGCGTAAGGGAGGATGGAGAGGTCAAAATACTCCTCTCATGTCCTCGCCATGCGCGCCTAACGATGCTGCTTGCTAGGCAAACCCGTCCAGCGGTTGTCGGCTGTCAAAAGTCCGGCGTGAGTTCCAGCGCGAGGCCTGACGGCGTCTGTGGCTGGATTGACTTCAGGCACAGGCTAAAATGAGGCGACGACGAACGCTACCAGGCCGCGGGAAAAAAACGAAACAAAGAAATAGTCGAGCGAGCAACAAAGCAACAACGCGCCGTGTGTTTAGGGAGAGACCAGCGCAGGATCCTTGGCGGATTGGAGATCTCTAGTCGGCGTCAAAAGACGATTAGGGAGCTTTTCAAAGGAAAGGCAGCGTGGTCGCAACATCGGGCGAGACGGATGGGCTGTCAGACCTAGCGCCGCCTTGCTGGGGCAGCTGGGGATAGTGGGGCCGAGGCGGGATTGCGGTTGTGTTGCGTACGCTGGGGGCGTCAGCGACGAGTCACACCGAGTCATGAGAGCCCAACATGCGAACGGGCAGCGATGGCGCATGGAAGCAGACTTGATAATTGGAACTGGCCTGGGTTCCTACATACTCCGAATCTACCCTCCGCTCCAATGCTGTTTCCTGTGTCTTGCCCTCTCTTCTGTACTTCTGACTTATCTAACCAGCCTGACTATCAAGTTAATTCCGGGTGCAGGCTTGGACTCGGGGCACGTGCTTTCGTAACAAATACAGCCGGTGATGTTTCCCTATTTATACCCCGTCCGGTATTTCCCCTGGCAGATCCCGCCGCTCGGCATGGTACATACAGATTGCAGCCCTGGCGCATGGTCTAAGTGGGGGACAGCGGCGGGAAGAGGCCTTCCTATGTTGCTCGATCCCGAGAGCTTGTGTTGGTTCGTGCGGGAGGCCCTCCATCCAAGCCCATGGGGGCAGTCGACGGGAAGTGCACGGACCATGTAGAATACAGCTCAATTTCTGCCGCCCGAGGCCGCCTAATCACTTAACGCGTTCGCTCACACGCAGCAGCTCCAGCCGGCGCGTCAGCTAGAGCTCGCAATTCCGCGACGAGATCAATTGAAGCTTCACCTCCCTCGGCTTTGGCTTCTGTTTCCCCTCCCCCCGTCTGCCACACCACATTCGCCAGGGCCACTGCGCCCAAACCCTCGAAAACCCCTTGCAAATCTGCTAGCACATCGTTTTACTTCAACCTGGACTGCGGATTTCATCTCCGCCATGGCGCCGCCCCAGCCGATGGATGTCGATGGTGAGATGGCCGCCTCCCGCGATGGCGCAACTCGCTCGAGGTTCGATTGCTAACACAACCACCCAGATGTGGAGATGGAGGAAGACCACGATCAGGAGCACAGGCTCATCAACGAGGGTATGGCGCGAGATGCATGGGTCTCCTTCCCATCCACGGCTGAAGCTAACCCCTCCTTGCGCCTCAGAGTACAAGACATGGAAGAAGAACAGCCCCTTCCTCTATGACATGATCCTCAGGTAAGGTGCCTTGTCACCACTGAGTGAGATCTCACGTCCAGCTGACACCCATCCCACAGTACCGCGCTCGCCTGGCCGACCCTTACTGTCCAGTGGCTGCCTGACGTGAAGGAGCCCGAAGGCAAGAATTACCGTGTCCACCGCGTGCTGCTGGGAACGCACACGTCAGAGAGCGCCGACGAGTATCTCCAGATTGCCGAGGTGGAGATTCCCAAATCGATCGACCCCAATCCCGACGATTACGACGAGGACCGCGGCGAGATTGGCGGCTATGGGGGCGGCAAGGGCAGCGAGGCGGCCGCGATAAAATGGAACATCACCCAAAAGATCAACCACGAAGGCGAGGTCAACAGAGCCCGTTACCAACCACAGAACCCAGACATCATCGCCACCGCCTGCATCAACGGCACCATTCTCGTCTTCGATAGGACCAAGCATTCGCTCACCCCTAAGGACAAAACGGTCAGCCCCCAGTTCAGGCTGGAGGGCCACAAAGCAGAGGGATACGGCCTGAACTGGAGTCCTCACGAGGAGGGCTGCCTTGTTTCTGGTAGCAATGACCACACTGTCTTGCTTTGGTAGGTTGTCGATTTGCCCCAGCTAGAGCGTCGCTCTCTTTTGAGCCCCCTTTGCTCACCGATACGCCACTCGCCAGGGATCTCAAGAATGTCCAGGCGGACGGCAAGGCCCTAAAGCCCTCGCGCAAATTCACACACCACAGCCAGATTGTGAACGATGTGCAATACCACCCGATAGCCAAGCACTTCATTGGCACCGTCTCGGACGACCTGACACTCCAAATCCTGGACACGCGCTCAAACTCCAACGAGAGTGCCGCGCTAGTTGCGCGCGGTGGTCACAGCGATGCCATCAACGCCCTTGACTTCTCGCCTTCGTCCGAGTTCCTCGTTGCGACTGCTTCGGGTGACAAGACCATCGGAATCTGGGATCTCCGAAATGTCAAGGACAAGATCCATACGCTAGAGAGCCACAGGGATGCCGTTACCTCGGTTTCCTGGCACCCACACGAGGCTGGTGTCCTTGGCAGCGGTTCATACGACAGGCGCGTTCTCTTCTGGGACCTCAGCCGCGCTGGCGAGGAGCAGCAGCCCGACGACGCCGAGGATGGACCCCCTGAGCTGTGAGTTCCCTAGATGTCACCTACCCCATGTTTTCGTCATTTATGCTGACTTTGAGATAACAGGCTGTTCATGCATGGTGGGCACACCAACCACCTTGCCGACTTCAGCTGGAACCCCAACGAGCCGTGGATGGTTTGCAGCGCGGCCGAGGACAACCTCTTGCAAGTTTGGAAGGTTGCCGATTCGATCGTTAGGCGCGACGATGGTGACTTGCCTGTAGATGAGTTGGGCCCTTAGGGGGTGGTCAAACTCCGCAGTCGCAATGTCGACCGAATCGACTGGTCCCACAACTTTTGACTCGCCAGTTCCCAAGTTGGTACAGGTCCCAAAGTCGGACAGAAGCAGCACTGCCTAATCTTATCTTCGGGAGGAGCTCTCATATCTCCAGTTGTAATGATAAATAATGTGGCACAACGCGGATAGTTGGCTTGAGGCGGCGCTTTGGTTGGGAAGGCAGTATGCACGTGTCCATTGATCTCGGTCTACCAATCGTCAGGGTAAGCAATGGGCAGTTATTGTTGTTTCTCTGGACTGACATGTATTGGCCAAAGAGATTTGCACAAACGTGGGAGCATGGTGCCAGGAAAGGTTGGATCGTCCGGGAAACACGACTAACCCAGCCAAGATATGCAGACTGTTTTGCTGGGTGTCTGGGTATCGAGTTAACTGCTAGCTACCTCCTATGTACCTCCCTATGTAGTTATTGTAACGATGATTTTGAGACAGCCATAGTCTTGCGATATATGATATTATGGTCCGGGCATGCTATCCGTGCGGCGGACTAGGAGCGAGTGCCAGATTGCGAATACTTGGGTTAGGGCAGGACGCCTAGAAACTTGCACCTTTCAGACCTCAGGCAAAACTCAGAGGCCTTTGGATATTTCATGCCATCTTGAAAGCCCTGCTATTCCTTACATGTCAACCATCAGGAGTAGGCCATGGCTGGGATGAGCTGCATCTGTTTTCCCGGTATTTTGTCTGCCCTGCGTTCCTCGCGCCTCCTGCTTCACCCCATCCTCAGATTCCTCTCACAATATCCCATTCCCTACAGCCTCCCTTCTATCAGAACTGCCTGACTGCCAGCCCGTCTTCCAAAACCACGTCGAGTAGCAGGGATTGGTCAACTTCGATTTCATTCCATCACACCCTTCCGAACCCCACCTCCACCGTCCCTCCTCCAATAAACACAACCTCAACTCCCACCTAGTCCGTCCGTATATCCTCGCGACCACCACATCACCTTTGCTTATATTACGAGCTCCCATCCCGCCTGCCGCCCACTGCAACCACTCCCACCATCACCAAGACCCCAGATAAAAAGCCCAAATATAGCAGCTCGCTGCCTCTCCCATCCAGCATGGGTGATGCTAGGCTCGCCCAGGGATCCGTCCCGGCAGCCGATGGCAAAGGCAAAGAGCCAGGGCGGTCTTCCCCAGAGCCACCCACCATCAGCCCTCTCCAAGCAGCTCTGATGGCCGTTTGTGGCAAGTTGACCGAGGCTTCCGACGGCAGAATCGGCACTAGTGCTTTGCTCGACAAGATGCATGCACCCGAGGTTCTGGAGCGCAGGAAGGCTGCTCAGGCTTTGAATGATGGCAGCCCAGAGAGCCTCGCGAAAAAAATCGGTCTCGTCCCCAACATTCCCACCATCATCGACTCGCTCCAGAAGAAGAAGATAGACCAGGATGAGGAGATGCAGATCCTGGTCGCTGCGGAGAAGGCGCTCCAAGACGAGGGTGCATCGTCGTCGAAGGGCATCCAGCCCTACAAGCGTCGCCGCATCGTCAGCTCCGAGCTGATGGGCAACACCAAGTACTACATGGCAAAGACGTCCGACGTGCTTCACCCGGCCCTGGGCGAGCTGTCCTTGAGTACTCGATCATTCAAGAGACGCGTCACTCCCACCACAGTCGGCAACCGCCGCTTCGATCTAATCAGCTCCCTGTCCTCGTTCAACATCCTCACGGCGGAGATCGTCAAGTACCTCCACCCCCGCGAGGTCTTGACTCTCTACTCCATCAGCCGTGTTTTCCACGCCACCTGGAACGCGAGCGAGCTCTCGTTTGCCCGAATCATGGCTAGCTTCGTCGACCCGGCCGCGGCCGTAGCCTTCCCCTGGGAGATCTACAGGGACTATCTCATCCGGAACCCGAAGGGATACATTGATATTGACTACACCCAGCCCAGCTGGACTCGGGGCAGAGACATTGACAAGCCCGAGGAGTGGGAGAAGAAGGTCTCGTCGTGTAGGGGTGTCTCTCTTGATGCACAGAATAGCCGTGCCGCGGATCCAGGACTTGGGAAACCGGACAGCAGCGCCGCGGAGCCAGGACTCAAAACCGCCGTGCCTGCGAAGCCGGGATCGAGGTTCTGCGCCGGCATGGCCTGGGTCAACATGCTGGCCCAGCGCGAGCGCCAGTCCCGGGACATACTCGCCATCATGGCCCGCAAGGGCCACCGCGTGCCCCCAGACACGCGCTGGGTCCTGCGCAAGCTCTGGCTGCTGCTCGACTGCTCGACCAGCGACGACCGCGCCAGGCTCATGGCGACCTGGAGCGACCTCGACCTCTTCCTGGCCGAGATCTTCTTCATCAAGCTGAGCATGATATTCACCGACCCCATCTCGGGCGGCGGCTCGACGGATCTCACGGACCTGATGCTCGGCCAGCCCACGGGCCTGCGCTGCCTCTGGCAGCTCCTGCGCCGCAAGCGCTTCAGGGCCGACTTGATGGAGATCCTCAGGCTGCAGCTGATGTTCGAGCACGAGGTCACGCAGTCGGAGGCGCGGGGCAAGACGATCCTGGGCATCCCCGTGGCCCTCGTCGGCATCGTGCACACCGAGGGCTGGGGCCACGGCGACAAGCACCTGATGCAGCCCGCAGAGCTGGTGGCTATCGAGAGCCTCCGGCGGGGCCTCGCGCTCGAGACCAAGGCCGCCGAGATGATGTCGTGGGGCCGGCGCGACCACGACAGCGGCCTGCAGCTGGTGCCAAAGCTCGAGGAGATCTACATGAGCGACGACGAGCTCGGCCCGGCCCCGGCGGGCATCGACGGGCGCGCGGGCAACGTGCCCCTGGAGGCCAACGACTGGATGCCGCACCACTGCATGCGCGCCGTGTTCGACACCCTGTCGCCCGACGAGCAGCTCGCCGTCATCGCCGTCGAGGAGGACGAGCTGCTCAAGGCCCAGGCCTGGCTCCCCGAGGACGACCTGAGCGACGAGGACGACGAGAATGACGATGATGTCTATGGCAATGTTATGGATGGCTTCGGGGGTAGCGGTGACGGTGTCGAGGATGATGGAGACGATGTCGAGGACAATGGAGACGATGTCGAGGATAATATGGACGATCTCGAGGATGACGGAGACGACGAATACGACTCGGACGAGGATGACGACGACTGGGACGACGACAACGGTGGAGATGGTGCTGCCAACCCCAACATCCAAGGGCCGCCCGCCCCAGCACCGGCGGGCTCTGGTCTCCTTCAGAGCACGATGGTCTCCTTCACCACACAGTTTGTGACTCTCCCAGCTCCCAACGTAGGCCCCGTTGCGAGCAGCAACAACACCAACGTCAACTCCGCCCCGCAGCACTCAGGACCCCAGAACCAGGCCGCTGGGGATGCCCAGCCGAGCCCTAGCCCAGGTCAGTTTTTCGTCTCCTTCCAGAGCGGGGGTAACCCAGGAGGAGGAGGAGGCGGCACCGCCGCTGCAGTTCCTCATGGCGGAACCGCCGGCTCCCAGGGCCTGCTTGGCCAGGACGACAGCGGCTGGGTCCACGGCCCGGAGACGGCCGAGTTTGGGACCCGCAACCAGGACGGCGCCTACATGGTGCCCCGCGGCACCCCGAGCACCCGCCTCAGGTATCACCAGCCGGCCCCGGCGCTCTGCGTGTCAAAAGAGGCACAGTCGCCAGGAGCGCCGCCGTGCGTCGGGACGAGCATGCAGGAGACCGTCGATCTGCACCTGGACGACTACAGCCAGATCATCGAGCAGTGGCAGGCCCGGCACGGCAGCGCGCGGGCCATCGCGGCTCGCGCTGCCGCCGCTGCTGCTGCTGCCGCCGAGCCTTCGGTCGCTTCTCCGCGCAGGATGGGCGCTGCTGTCCAGGGTAACAGCAGCGTGGGTACGCCTCTCAATACTTTTGGATCATCGATAATGACTCCTGCGGCGCCCGACGGTGGTCCCAACCCGGCGTCGCCTACCGGTAGGTCCAATGACCAGCAGGCGGAACCGCGGGAGGCCTCGTCTCCCCAAGACGTGGCCATGGCGGACCCATCCACCACGCCGCAGCAGGGGGAGGACTACGATCCCGCGGCGGGGCTCCCAGACAGCATGGACATGAACATCTTCGCGGTCGCCGTCGACTCCTACCACGAGAACGCCAAGTCGACAGACCTCAGACTCGACAACAAGTCGGCCGCCGCCGCCGCCGCCACCACTGCCACTCCTCTTTTGAGCCTCGTTGAGGGCATGGAGCACGGCAACGGCGCGGGCGCGTGCGTAGGTAAGACGCCCGACCCGCACGCCCAACCGCAGGAGCAGCAGCAGGGTAAGGAGCCGTCGTCGTCGACCAACGAGCTTTACGACCCGTGGCCGACGGATGACGACGGCGGCGACGACAACGACGAAGACGACGAAGACGACGACACGTCCAGCTCCGGCGACGACGACGCGGCATCGGACGGCGGCGGCGGTCCGGGCAAGAAGCCCAAGACGAAAAAGAAGAAGCGGCGCAACCCCCAGGCGCTGGGCCGCATCGTGCGCCAGCGCGAGCCCCGCGTCGAGGTACTGGACCACGTCGGCCGCAAGTGGGGCTTCAAGCACTCGGGCTCGGACTCGGACGTCGAGCATAGGCATGTTTATGAGGAGTTGGACCCGGAGCAGACACCGTACGAGTACCGCCAGTACTAACTGACCCCCAAAAAGGTCTGGAGACGAGGCGTGAGACAGCTTTGACCTGGTCCTGGGGGAGGATCCTACATCCTCACGACTGGGCCTGGACACGTGGATCGGATATGTCTAACATCATTATTTCCAAGATCCAAGGTCTAAGATTCCGACATCTTATGTTTTATTCGGGCCCTTTGGGGATCGGGACGTAGCTGTCTTGATACCTCCGGCTTCTGTATTTGGTTATAGTTCTATATGTATGATAGCCTCACAGGCCTAGGACTCTAGGTCCAGAGGAAAGAGATGGATAACTGGCACAGTGTGTACGTCCAAGGCGAGCATGAGAGATCTGTCCAAACGGCGTATGCTATGCCATGTGGCGCGTGCGGAAACAGATCTTCCCTTTGGTGAGCTCGTCTTGGTATGGTTGTAGGTTTAAGAGAGACTTTACTTTCTGTGGTACTCTGAGTGGACTGGGGAGGAGTGTTGTCGGGTTGTCTGACTTGCGAGGAAAGGGGCAACAAGATAAGTGCGGACGCCGCTTTGATAATTTTCAGAGACGCCTCCCTCGATGAAACTGAGAGAATGGTCCATCACTGGCTGTTTGTCCCCTGTGCCTTTGAACGCAACAGGCCCTGGTGATCGTAGCCACGCGCAGGCAGCCCGCCGCCACAGCGGCATGCTTGCACCTTCACAACGACGAGAGCATACACATGACATTTGAGTAGCCCAGGCGAGCCGAGTTTGAGAAGTCAACGTACTAGTAGTATTGATGTGTGTTGTGTTGTATGTGTGGGTGGTGTGTTTGTGCTGGGGATAGTAAAAAGGCAGAGATATGAACTATTAGCGATCCAGGCAAAAGGAACGTTGAGAAAGAAAAAAAAGGCAGTGCGATTTGGGTAAGGAGAAGGGGAAACAGAAGAAAAAGAGACAAAAACAACGAAAACTATGGCACCATACAGACTTTGTGTAAGAAACAGACGACCAGGCAGTTGGCTCCCAAGTATATCCCTTTAAACACTCCCCTTCGCTATGCACGCGCCCTCCAGTGTAAATACCCTTTTTGTATGTATGTTAGTTTGGATGTCGCGGGCTGCCGGCCAAACTGCGAGTTTCCCAAACACATGCCTCCCCAACATCTCTGCAGGCTCCATGACCCTCCTGTGTCACCCTCACAGAAAGGATGGCATACTAAGGGGGTGAAAAGGAAACAGAGAGGAAAAGGCAGAGAGGCAAGGAAAAAGAAAACAAACAGCTTGACACAACCAATCCCGGCTATCCTTCCAAGTCCAGAAACCCCGCCTTCCATGTTTACCAGGTGTACAAAAGCGAACCCCCACTCCTCTTAGGCCAATCCCACTCCGTAGCGCAAACATTCTGTTCTTTGGGTGGTGGGATGCGAATCCCTCCGCTCCCTGGTCGAGAGAGAAAAAGAAAAAGAGAAAAAAGCAGAAGGGCAGTTGAGTCGGTTTTTCTCTTCCCCAGACCAAGAATCCCCTCCCGCTTTTCCCCTTTTGTGTTTGACCAACGCACGCAGACAAGGACTGACAGTAAGAACAGTCTTTGGGTGGTCTGTAACGGACAGAAACAAACATCGAAAGAATCCACGCGCCAGCCAGAACCGACCTCCATAAGTGCCATAACGAAACCCTCCGACCAGCCGGCCTCCCGTTCCTGCCACCCCTAGGCTAAACGAAGAATAAAGTTCACCAACCGAACCACCTGTGGCAACCGGATATTTGCAGAAAGATATAAGAAGGCAGGGAATATAAGGAATACGGGGAGATAGACATGAAGAAAATATGGGGGGCTTTTAAAACGAATATGTATGAGGGGGGGTGATTGTTGAGCTCTCCGCGTAAAAAGAAGGATAGTCGTGCTGTGCGCTGTGTGTAAGGATGACAACGAGTCCAAACAGGTAGAAAGGGTTCCGTCAGTATCGCCAACATGTCTCCAGATGACAAGATGGTGCTTCTATGTGCGTCCGCCCACGGCACGCAACCAATACAAAACCAAATTGACGAGATGACGGCAAGTTCGATATCGCTTCGATCCCATGAGCCGAGGTGGGACAAAGTTGAGGAAGGTAAGGACAAACGAGCAGTCCTTATTGAAGCTTGTTGCGACGAAGCGACACGCCCTCGAGGACTCGTGATTTGGAGCTCTGGACCTCAAGCAGGGGACTTGCTGGGTGGGGCGCCGCTGCCGTTCTGACGGGCGTCATTACCGCTCACGCTCAGACCACCCATACCAGACGACAGGAATGGGAAAGGATCGTTCTCGGTGTTCGACGCATAGAAGCTGGAAGGTCCAGCCGATGCAGGGCCGTTGGTGGCAGACTGGAATGCTGCCTCAGCGGCTCGGCTGTCGAATGGGCCAGCCGAATGAATGCCGGGGGCTCCGGGACCACCAAAATGGGTGTTGATGGTCGGGTACGGGGCGGCGCCTCCACCGATGCCTGAGGGGAGGGCATAGGTGCTAGGAGGCCCGCCAAAGTGCTGACCATAGCCACCGCCAGACTGGAAGCCACCGCCTCCACCTGAGAAGGGACCACCAGGACCTGGGGCTCCGCCCATCGACTGCTGGTTCATGTAGTTCGATGGCGGGTCGACCATGGGAGAGGGGTACCCAGAGTCGCCAACGACAGCTGCGGTGGCACGGCTGGCGCCGCAGCGAAGACAGCACACATTCTTGGCGAAGTTATGGTACCCGCAGATCTCGTTGCCGCACTTCCAGTCGCCGGCGCGGAAGGGCACGACACCACCACCGCCACCCATGCGGCCGCCTCCGTGCATCGGGCCGTGGTGACCACCACCGTGCTGGGGATGCGGCATCATAGCCGGGGGGGCATAACCACCATAGCCTCCATAAGCCATGTCTCCGCCCGCAGGGCCGGAGTTGACCGCAGGATACGAGCACCGGAAACATGCTGTGCGGCGTTGGAAGTTAGAAAACCCGCAAGACGGGCAGGTCCAGTCGCCCGGGCGGGGGCGATTCTTGCTGGGCGGGAATGGAGTAAGGATCTCTGCCGCACGATCAAGAACGCGGCTAGAAGAGGGCGAGACCTCGATGGCCTTTTCGTTGAGCGCTCTCCCGTTCATGCACAAGCTCTCGGCGGCCTGTGTCAGAAGGCAATGTCAGCGTTTACTCCGTCCTCGGTGCCCCGAAGAGACCCGACACGGAAGCCTAACGGGTGAGCGGCCAGTCTGAGCAGCAGTTGGCGCAAACGTACCTCCTCGTGGGACGAAAAGACGGCAAAGCCGGTACCGGTAGGCTTGTGCTGTTCGGGTGTACGCAGAGTCCAAAAAGCGATGGGACGGCCTCCAAACTGAGTGAACCAACTTTCCAGCTCCGACTGCGTCGTGTCGTGGGGGAGACCAGACATGTGAAGGACCTTGCTGCGCTCGGAAAGGAAGGCGCGAACGTCGGCACGGGCATCGAGCGGGCGGGCAAGCACGTCTGGGTGGTCCTGCAGAGGTTGAGACTTCCTAATCAGGCCACGCAGCACGCGTGCCAGCGTGACAGCCTCCTCCATGGCACGACGAGGCGATGCCGGCGCCAGAGCCTGCAGGTGGAACGGCAGGTTGTGTTTGATGGGGGCGCTGGATTGCACCGCCTCAACCTCGAGGGCCGCACAGATGTTGGTCAAGGTCGATGTTGCAAAAGTGAGGGCCTCGGGGTGATGCTGTAGCCACCGCTGGTATTCCGTCCTGAGGTCGAACGTCCGCGAGTGCTGCAGGTACGGAGGTAGCACCACAGTCTTGTCCCGCGCTTCGCGAGGAAGCTGCACGCGCAGGTCCCATGCCTCAAATGTAACGAACACGAAATCCAGGTTGGTCGATGTTAGGTGTTCCGAGGCAAAGGCGTCGAAGCGGTTGATGGCATCCCGGAACGTGCCTGCGTTACGGACATGCTCCCAGGTCAAGGTCGTCAGGCTCGCTGTTTGGAAGGAAAGCGCGGTCAGCAAATGTCCCCACATCTGGGTATCCTTCATCTAGCTCGTTTGCGCGCCAGTGGCCGGGAAGCCATTCGAGTGGCTGCGAGACGAGGCGCAAGCTGGTAGGATGCAGGGAACAAAGCCCCACGGCTTCGAGGTGGCGCAGAGACTATATGGAGAGAGTAAACCTACTGCAAAGAGGTGTAATGGGAGTATTGACCGGTTTGACCAGTACGCTCTCGCGGTGAAGCTGTGCGTCAGGGCAAAAAGCTGCGTGTTAGAATTCGTCCATGTAAAACCAGCGTTCCGCTCCGGGCGGGAAAAGCGTTTGTTCTCACCTCCTCCAGTGTTTTCGCGTCGAGGAGGATCCAGCCGAGCTCAATAACCTCGGCAGAGTCCTTGGTGACGTAGACACCATGCTCGTCACAGGTGGTCGCGACGTGGATCACGACGTACCGATCCACGGCAAACGGTGCCTGTATGTTCTGTGTGTTCGCCATATTGGGTCGGGAGGGCTTCGAACTGGAGTGACTGGGTGGCTGGCAGTCAGAACCGTGGACGTGCGCTGAAACCTTCTGTATGGGGGGAATTGGTTGTCCTTGTCAATATCAGCGTCCCCTAGCAGTTGTCGTGGTCGACGAGGAACGAGCAGCAAATTTTTTAGGCTTATGGCGGGCGGTAGGCGTACCAGGCGAAGTCAAACGCGGGGGCTCGTTGCAAAGCGCGGGCTTCGGCGCAGTTGATGAGGTCAACGAACGATTGGGCGGCGCGTTCTGGCGGCGAATGGGCGGGCCAAGCCGGAGGTCAAAGGACAAGAGGCAGTGGGAAGCTGCAGTGGTGGCTTCAGGGAAAGCGGGAGCCACTGCGTCGAGTGCGGGCAACGTCAATCGGCGGTTGGGCTTCCAAACTAACCTCCGCGGGATGACCAGCCTTTACTCACAACCCTCGGGATTGGCGAAGCGAGCGGGCGATGTGACGGCCGTGAGGTGAAGGGAAGGGCAGGTAGGAGAAATAGGTGAGGCCAAAAGAGCGTTGGGGAAACGAGTTGCGAGGTTGCGTGGAAAAAGCTGGCCGTGGTTGTTGGCCTGGCGTGGGACCGTGGACGGGCGGGATTGGCGAGCAGCAGGAGCTGATGGAGCCCCAGTGGAGGAGCCCAGGATTGCGAGCCAGTCCTCGGCCGCGAGCACAGGGCAGCAAATGATGGCTGTCCGTGGTAGTCTGCACAAGGAAAGAGCGCTTGGCCCGCCGTGGGTCAGCGGGCAGCATTTGGGGTACCTGACCTCAAGGTGCCTTGTGCACCTCAATAGCAGCAGCCACCAGAGCCTACAACCACCTGTAATTACGAGCCTCCTCCCCTAGCGCTCGGCAACCCGTCTGCGCCAGCCAGGGCATGGCTCATCCAGGCGAGCCCGGAGACGAGCCGAACCATGCCATTTGCAATCTGCGGAAGGGGAGCCGAGGTTTTCTAGAATAATCAGGGGCCCAGAGAGGTATCCGCTGCGCTAGCAGGCCGAGGGCGGCGCGTCGCCCCCATTGAGGTGCTCTCGATGCTGGAGCTCAATGTGCTCAAGTTCTGCGACATCATGAACACGACGGTGAGCATTGAAGCCGTCTGGCGCTGGTCTAGCGTCCTAGCGCCCAGAGGCAAACGGCGGAGCTATTTCCTACACGGTAGCATATTGACAGCAACAGAAACAATAACACAGCAACGGTGACTACAAGGAACAAGCTACATATTTGCGAAGCAGATACATGGTAAGTTTACGTAGATACTTTGCGGTGCGTCAGATCTTTCCTTGATCGTCAGAGTCTGCTTCACCCAAAAAAAAAAAAAAAAAAAAGGGGGGACTCTCTTATCCGGCACACGCGGGGCAAATCTGCGCAGAACTTCAGCCATTTTTTCCTGATGGAGATGACCCACCTTAGCCCTGCGCGCCGGCTGGCTGGCTCAATACGCCCGTCCGGTGGTTTGTCCGCCCAACCGCCGCGAAATTTCAGCGGGAATTGCAAAGATGGGAAAAAGCCAAAGTTCCAAGACACAGCGGTTCCGGGTAGCGACCGCCCGCATCCCAAGCCGAACAGCCGCCGCCTCCAAATTCCCCGATGCGGCTTAGCCAGCAGCAGGCAGCCCGCCTAATCGCTGGCGCCTCGACAAAGCAGCCGTGTCCGCGCAGGGAGCAGTCGGCCACCAGCAGCATGTCCATGTGCTGTTACGTCAAAATCGGGACACCATCGGCAGGCCAACAAGGCAAAGCTTGGCCCCCTTTTCTTGCTTTCGTCCCTTTCTCCCACCGACTGATTGTCTCGGACCGATGAGCTCTGCTCTCGGTCCATCAAGACAAGGCATTCAACAGCAGTTTTGTCTCAGCCACACTCCCGTTCCGCGCCATGCTTCTATCTCTAGATTAAACGGCCTGGCGTCGGCAAGAGAACAGACAACTCGCTCCATCCAAGATGGCCCGTATATGCGCGTATCCACCATCGTCTCTATGTCACTTCTACCATAAGTAGCCTATCATAGTCATCTCGACCGTTCGCGACGCCGACCAGCCGGAGCTCGTGCGTCGATGCATGGGCCCATCCGCCGCGGCCCGCCGTCCTGGCCCGCAACTTTGGTACAGCGGCCTGGGGGTAATCTGCGTGCCTGCGTGACCGCGCAGGATAGGCACTGTAACTCTGTGTTGGGGAATGCAGCTAGATGGGACGTACACGCACACGCACATGCCCATACAGGCACATGTTTAAACAAAAGAGCCCGTTCGTTTGTGATACTCAACGCCTGGGGTCTTTCTGGGAGACGCCTAGTCCCCGATTGCAAGAGGCGATGATGAATAGGCACAAACTCGACGCGGACGGACATCTGCAAGCTCTTTGGGACAGTCGTTTGTCGAAACGCCGTATAGCGAGCTAGCTGACAAAGCATTTGGGCTTGGGGTTTCGTTGAACCTGTCTGTCGGTCGACCTTGTGCAAGGCGGCTTTCTCAGCCATTGTGCCAGTCCGCTGCCATAGCGAGCCGCTGGACGAGGACACTCATGGGTTTACTGCAAGATCAGCCCATCACTTGTCAGTCTGGTCTTCTGAAACCCACGACACATGGCGGCAGGCAATCTACCAGGTTTCCTCAGCAGACGCCGCATGGAGAAACCCTGCCTCAAACTCGTACCCGGCGTGCAGGCTGTGTATTGTGCATGGTAGTGGTTGCAGGTATGATAATGATGTGCATAGCCGCGGCTTGTTACCGCGACATTGGCGCCCCATCGTGCCCATGAACGAGTAGGATCGACCATTCGCAAATTTCAGGTGTGCTCCGTCCCGCATCTCAGCATCGGCCCATTTTGGGAAGCTCCCTAGAACGGCGCCTCGCGTTGGGGTTAGCGCCCGCTGTGGCTCTGTCCCTTTTCAGTTCTCAGTCTGGGGGCGCAACGGCGTTTCCCCGCGACCCGCCCGGACGGTGCACCGTGCGTAATGGTCAGTTGCCAAGCGGATGGAACAGTCCGACTTACCGGGCTTCCAGGTTTGGGGCTCAGCAAAGGCTTCTGAAGCCTACACGTATGGGATTCGATAAGGCCACCTCAACTGTTGAAAGCAGACTGATATGAAGCACAACAAGCGGCACTTGAGGAGGCAGTGGCCAGAGCAACAATTCGAGTACAGTGCAAATCAGTCGGGAACACTAAGCGCAGATCTACGGAAGGTAGACCTAGAACGTAAGCCCCAAGTTCTTTTCAACAATGAGAGGATAACGAAAGAAAAAGGTAGCATCCACGCGAGTATCATAGTATTGCCTATGCCAGTACGTAGGTACAAAGTGTATAGAAAAGATCTAGGTAGGCACGTAGTAGGGAAAAACTAATACGGCAGAATTACTCAGCGGGGCGCCAGTCATGGGATGAACGAATCTCTTGGCTTCGAGGGTTCTTTCGAGCGCCTCATCAGCTGTTTCCGCGTCAGCCTCAGGTGGCGTGCCGTAATTGCTGGCTCTTAGTCGTGGCACGTGCATCGACGCAGGCCTATCGTCAGCACGCGCGCACGCCTACGTCATGCATGAGCAATATCATCTACGATAAACATTCTGCGCCAGAGTTAATACCCGTGATATCGGGCCAGCCGCGCCACACGGACTCCCATTTAATACGCTGTTGGTCCGTTTCAGAAAGCCCAGCGCCTCCACCTCTTGTCCACTACTGCCCCTCGTTGATGATCCACGCTTTTTCGAACGACAACAACCCACCTTCGTCGGCGGCAGACTGACCATTCACAACATTGAAGCGGCGCGGATAGCGAGTCAAGCGAAATTCTTCACCAAGGCGAAAACGAGGCGATACGACCTGACACGACACCACGATGGGTGCCGTCTCCGCAGTCTTCCTGGTCCTCGCCACCATACTCTGTAGGCTGGATTTGACTCGTACCACTTCCCGGACTGCAATACCGAAAGCTAACATGTTCCATTTCGACAGTTCCGCCCCTGGGCGTTTGGATGGTGGCGGGCTGTGGCGCTGACCTGCTTGTAAACATTTGTTTGACGCTCCTCGGGCAAGTGCAATCCAGTCCGTCTCGGGCGCTCTCATTTGGGGCCAAAAGTCACCCCTTGCTCGCCTTTACGACCCGTCGGCCAACCAGTGTCCTCGGCCAAAGGTGCTGTTCGGGACTGGACAAAGCTGACCCCGCCGCCTCCTTTAGGTACATCCCGGGCCATCTCCACGCCTTCTACATCGAGTACGTCTACTACGACCGTCGCGAGCAGGCCAGGGAAGGCCGCTTTTCCTCGGGCCCCGCCCCCGGAATCTACAGCGACAACGTCCAGACTGGCGGCGGTGGCTATGGCACCATTGTGCAGCCGACCCATTAAGGGCACTGGAATTTTCAGACCCGGGACCTGCGCTCTCTTTCTTCGGCCTTCCATGGCCCGCCTGCCGTCAAGACTGCACGACACAGTCATTGCGGGCTTGAGGAGGATAAGCTCCTGACGTGGACGTCTGCAGTCTAGAGAGCTTGGATCTGCAGGGGGCGGGTGGGCATGCTGGGTGAGATATATGGGACCGCAACCTGTGAGGTTTGGCGCAGGGAACGCACACCGCGTATCGCTTCTTGCATGAAACATGTTTTCTTGTTCTTCCGCTTGCACAGGGCGTGTAATTATCTAGAGACTGCAGCTGTTGCACAGCCGGTAGGAAGCCAAGAGATACGTGGCAAGCAGACGATGACTTTCCAACATGTCCGCCATAGGTAGCTCCAGGCTAACCGGAGAATGAACGGGTGGCGTGAACACGGGCGAATTGGGGGCTTACGGTAAGAGGCTACCCAGACGGAGTCATCGGCGATGAAGCGTAAGAACAAATTGTATTTGTCTGCGCTCACCGGCCTGCTTCTGATGCCAACGAGGTAAGGCCAATGTGCATCAGGATTTGAAATGAGGAAGAAAGGTCGGGCAAAAGGGAGCACCGGAAAGAGTGGGCGGTCTCGGTTCCATCTGTTTCCTGCAATGGATCCGATACATGTAAGTGAGTGCTGGCATCTGCAGATTGGATCGAGCAGCCGTGTGATACCACCGGCGAGAGAAAAAAAAAAACCCGCAACGGAATGGGACATTGACTGCCCGCGCGTTCCCTGGGGTTTTATTCTCTCGACGCTTCCGGGATACCTGCTCTATCGCTCAGGGGTGGAAGGAAAGGGACGCACAGGCAAGGAACATCCTTGCAATCATCCTTCTACAGCACGCACACACGAGGCTCCCGTATCGGTGGGTAGGGGGTAGGACAGAGCTGCAAACACGGTGGTTGTACCATCGCCAAGCGGCTGGGACGGGAAGGTGGCGGGTATTTTGCACAGTCGAAGGTGGTGTGTGGAGGTGCTTTTTTGGTAGGTACTAGTATGCGTGCCATGTAAGGAGAAGGGGGATGCCGATTGAGCCAGGCCATGCACATCGACCTCGCCTACATGGGACAGGGACAACAACACATGGGGTTTTACGGACATGTTCTCGGCCTAGAATGGAACGCGGATACTTCTTGGCGTGGAAAGGGACGGTCGAAGTATTCGCGCAAATCCTGCTTGCGGTCGGTCTGGTTGGGTCATAAGGCTGTGGGCGATCCTGTAGGTTTTAGGGCATTGAAGGAAAGTGCAAGAATACCGGCAGGACCGGCAGTAGGACCAGGAGCAGAAGCAAGGACAACAAAACAGCTGGCTTGTGAGGATGGAGCCCAAGCGTGCATACCACAATCGCCAATCGTTAGCCTCCGGCCGGTCCAGCTTCAGGCCGACCAGCTCGGCACCACCCCAATCGACCCTTTCGTAGCCGGCCACGACTGCCTGCAGCACGCATAGCCCCGCGCGCGGCCAATGGTGGCCAATTCATGCTCGCCGCACCAATCGCCGTCCGGCAGCCCGGCTCCTCGGGGCAACCGTAACAACGGGCAGGTGCTTTTTTCTTGATAGGCGGGCTCAAGAGGAGAAATCGGAGAGAACGGCGGGGATCTGCGCCAGAGATTGGCTTGTGGTTAAATTCAACAGAAAGCAAAAACCACATGGGAGAAGCAATGAGAGCGGCGAAAGCACGAGGGAGGCTGGGAGACTGGGTATCACAGGCCAGTCCAGCGTGTTTTTTATTTTATTTTTATTTTTATCTTTGTTTTCTCTCTCCTTCTCAGGGATCCTCTTCCGACCCTCATCGTCCCGAATTCGTCTGATGAACAACAACAGCGAGCGCCACAAACGGCAGTCACCCAGTTGGCACTCCGAGTCTGGGTCGGGCTTATTAGCACGGTACGGGGCCTCAATATCCACCAAATAAGCTCGCGCAGCATTGACTACCAGAACCAGATTGAGTTCCTTCCCCACATTTGGTTTTGACAACACATCAAGCGGGAGCTCGTACCGCCGCCTGGACACGGCTTGGTTGCTTCCCCTGCCTCGTCCTCAATCCCCTTCCGTCCTCCCCTCGTCCTTTTCGTCCTCCTGCAGCCGGGCACTCGACCAGCAAGCGAGGGGACCCAGCACTGGAGGGCTGGGCTTGCTTCTTGCTGGGCTTGCTTCTTACTGAGACACCCAGGCTCAGTCATGTCTCTGGCAAATCTGCAGCCACTGCCGCCGCAACAGTGAGCAATCCGAGACAAAGCCGCAGCATCAGGGGACCAGCCAGAGACCCCCAATCAGAGAAACCCCGCCGTGCAGCTACGCGTGCCCAGCTCTAGCTCACACACTCGCCGCGCCGCCGCGCCTGCTTCCCACGCCCGCGCATACACCCAGCGCTGCCGCCCTCCTTCGCTGGCGTGCATGGCAGGTGATACCACTCGACGGGAGAGAAAATAGCAAGAAAAAAAAAGGAAGAATATTTTTTTGTCTCTCCTGCAATTCCCTCCCCCATCATCCCACGACGCAACGCGCCCCCCTTTTTCCCACCCCCTTTCCTCCTGGGACCGGCAGGTCCTCGGGGATTGGATGCCGCCACCATGCAGAGTATAAATAACAGGACACACGCCCGCGGGCCGCCCGAGCAGAGGCTCGCGCCCGATGCGCGCATGGTCAGCGCCGTCGCTGGCCGTGACTGTGGTCCTCCGTCATCGCTCTCGCCCAGGCTATACAGGCCCTTCACTCCCACCGCCACCACTGACCCCTCATCGTCACGGGCATATCCTGCAACCCCCGGCCACCCTCCGCTTCGCAGCGGCGCAGCCGGCATCGTCTTGAGGGCATCACCACCACACAAGCAACGGTCGAGCTCCTTATCTTCAACTCGCCCGGCGACGACGACATCGGCGTCAGCTACGAAGCGTGGACCCCTGCCACCTTCGTTCCCGCTCTTCTTCGGCGCCGGTAGCAACCAATCGTCTGCATCGATCGCGCCCTCGACCGCCGAGGTCAGGCCCGCCCCCGTCGACGGTGGCACCGCCGCCCTGCGCGAACTGAACACAAACTTCCCCTCCAACGTCTACCGGCACATCTCGGCCAAATCATCGGGCGCCCAGAGCAAGACATACTCGCAGCCCGTCATCGTGAGAACGTACAACGGGCCATACGGCGAGGGCAACAAGAACCGCAACAATAGCGGCAGCCGGCCCGTCACGACCCGGACACCTCTCCCGGTGTCCTCGGACTCGGCCAACGGGGCCAGAGCGGCTCAGACCCCTGGGCAAATCCTCGCCGGCAAGGAAAACACTGGTGATAGCAGCAGAAACGACGACAGCAGCGACGGCAGCGGCAGCAAAGAGAATAGTGTAGTGAATGATCTCTGGACGTCGAACAACCACCCCTCATCCAAGCCCAACATGCCGCGTCACCACCCTCCTGCACCCAAAAAGCGGGGGTTTGGGCTGATGCTTCCCTGGCAGCGGGGTGACTGGTCAGCCGGCGATGACGGCAATGGCCTACATAGCGGAGTGGCCACGGCGGAAAGGCCAAAATACCCTCCCCTCGAAGCCTTCACCATGAAGGGGATCATACAGGCGGAACGGTTTCAGCAGAGCGAGCTTGATGTCTCGCTCGACCAGATCGCAGAGCTGTATGCCCGGAGCAGGTACAGCTTGAGTAATCAGTATGAGGTGCACGTGACGCCTCACGGCTCCGGGATGGGGTTTGCCGAGCCCGGCGGAACTGCTGCTGTCGGAGTCGGTCGCAGGAAAGCGGGGAGCGCTGCCAGTACCACCGGAGGGTCGTACCACCCCGGCAGTCACCGCAGCGGCAGTGTGCGAAGGTACCATGGCCACCAGCTGATCGGCCCCACACTACAGGCCACGTGGTCCGAGGACGAGGCGGATGAAGCGTCGGTGGTGGCCGCGTCGGTATCCACCACGGGCGTGGCGGCCAGGTCACAGCGCAAGCGGAGGGGTGCTGGCGCCGGCGGCCAGAGGAGGAAGAGTGCAGCGTACGGAACGCTCGAGACTATCATGTCTAGCAGCCGCTCGTCATCCGAGGATAAGGAGAAGAAAAAGTCGGCTTCGGAGCTGACCGAGGAGGTCCGTGGGCGCGCCGAGCGTGCCGCTGGCAAGTATGGCGAAGGCGGCAGCGCAGCCGCTGGACAACAGACAGATGTGCCTCAATCAGCAGCTGGTGGCATCAATGACCGTCAACTGAGCAGGAGGGACGACGAGAGCACAAGCCAGCAAGCAGCCGCCAGCGGCGGGTCTCCTACAAGGAGAAAGGGTTCGGCCTCCTTCGCCCACGCCGTGATCGACAGCTCCAGGTCGCGGCATGACACAACATCTCCCAGGAGCTCGGCCTCGGCGCTGGTCAGCCAGCCAGCGCTGCCGCAGACCTCGACTGGCGAGGTGGAGAGCCGGACGACTGTGACCCTGGGCACCGGGCGGGTGCGTGAGCGTTCACACAATGCGCGGAGTGCTGGCAGTGGCCGCAGGCAGCCGCAACCGACGCAGCTCCGGGACGGAGTCGAAGCCGCGACCGGCATCATTGTCGTGGGGATGGCGGCCCTGCCGGCAGCACCTCGGGCAGCTCGCAGAAACAGCCTCCTGAAGCAGGAGCCCGTCACGGCGGTCGCCGCGACGGCGGCGACGGCCCAGGACCCGCGGGCGGGCGGCGGCAGCGGCCTGCTCGCGGGCCTGAACGGCTGGATCCCCTGGAGAGGGGCCGCCGCGTCCCAGCCATCCCAGCACCAGCAGCCCAGCGCGGCCACGGATGGGCTGCGGGACCTGCTCAAGAGCGTGGACAAGAAGACCGCCAAGGGCAAAGGGGTGGAGCGGCTAGGCTGAGCGGCTACATTTCGCCCCTCGCCCTCCGCTAGAATTTTAGCGCTTGGTTTTGTTTGATGACTTTGCCACTTTTGGGTCCTCGTCATGGTGCCGAGTCTACTCCCTCATCGACCGCTGAGAGCTGGGATGCAGAAGAAAAACGCGTCCCAGGTCGGTCTGGTGTTTTGATCTCTAGGTTGGCTTGCAATTTCTTTTGTCACGAACTAACGACTCCATGACGGCATTTGTGGGATCTGGGAGCATTTGCAAAACTTTTTTTTGGGGAAACGGAACGCCCCCATACCACGATCACATCCATCGTGGTTGGCATTAAAGGTTGAGAGTGTTATTCTCTGCGCAGCATGTTTTGCCCATGTAGGCTGGGTAATATAGTCAGAAAGGTCGGTCGCATCTCTGACAGAAGGAGGACAAACTGTAAATGTGCAAAAGAAAAAGGTGGGTGCGAACAAACAAGCTGTTGCTGACTATAGTCGCTCTTTATGGGCCCTGCTTCGTGTTTCGTTGATGCTGCCTATAAACCACAGATGACAACTAGTCGACGTGATTGTGATCCAGAGAGCCAAAAATCAGTATTACAATGTCTCTTTTTTTCATCCCTTTTTGGTTTTCCAGGTTCCTTGTTTCTTTATGTGTAGACCGAATGTGGCCACTCTGATGGAGGCGCACCGTGCCGATTTACTCGGTCCTCTGCCTCTTGTTCTCCTGGTCGTCCTCGCCCGCTTGCCCATTCGCACCCTGGCCGTTGGCGGCGCCCGCCGCCTCGGCGCCGTCGGGAGCACCGCCGTCGTCGCCCTCGGCCTCGGCCTCGGCCTCGTCCCGGCCCCTGACGCGGCCGGCGCCCTCGCCCAGCTCGCCGCTGACGCCCGGGCCACCGATCCAGTTGCCGTCGGCGTCAAAGTAGTCGGCCACGTTGTCGGCTGTGATCCAGCCCGAGCTGCCGGGCATGGGGGGCGGCAGGCCGCCGTCGGCGGCGCCGCGGAAGACGCCCGACGCCGGGGCGAAGCCGTCGGCGGCCTCGAAGACGACGCGGTCGTCAATCTCGTAGCCGTACGTGCCGTCCTCATCGTCGTCGTCGTCGGCATCTGCGGGGTCCGGGTGCAGCTCGGCGCAGGCCGAGATTGCGGCGAAGAGGGCTGCGGCTTCGGACTTGGGGGCGTTTCTTGAGGGTGGTGCTGCTGGCGGTGAGGTAGTATCGTCTGTTGTAGTGGTGGCGGCAGTGGTGGTGGTGGCGGCGGGCGGTGGGGGGATAATAGTCAGCTCGACCGTGTCGTATGTCTCGTCGTCGGCGCCGCCGTCTTGCAGGTCGAGCTGCATGTAGACGGCCTGGACGGGGGCGTCGGAGGAGGAAGAATCTGGGAGCGTCTTGACGGCGTGGATGCCGATCAGTGGGTACGGGATCTTGACGCCGCACGTGGCATCTTGACTGAACAGGGTGAAGTTACTGGGAAGCACGGGGTGTTAGCAGTTTCTGGGTCAGGGTTTCTTTCAGGGCAGATTGGGCTGTATGCTGCTCACGCCGAATTTACAAAGACGTCGACTTTTTGCTCTACAAGCTGCTCCTCCTCCACCGCTCCCTCGGCTGTAGCAGGGGCGGCGGCTGGTTCGGCTCCGCGGAAGACGGGCAGCCTCTTGCGCTGGGAGGCAGGGACCAGGGCGCGGGCCCCTGCGGCGTGGAAGTGCAGGACGGGCTTGCCGTCGAAGAAGGACACGGGCGTGGCCTCCTGGAACTCGGCGAGCGGGGTGAAGTCGTCCAGCTTCGGGGGCGCGTCGGTCGTGATGATGCTCTTGATTGGGGGGTCCATAGTGGCGTTTAGGGTGTTGAGAGTGACGTGCTTAAATAGGACAGGTTGGAGGCTGAAGCTTGCAGGGAAGATTTGGGCTGGCGCGATACCTCGAGCTGCAACGACGCGCGATGGTTGGGTTGGTACCTTGAAATTCTGTGGACCCCGCGCCGTTGCTGGATGGGATGGGCGGCGGGGGGAGCCGTCAAGCTCTTATCTTATCTGGGCTACGAACCGACCCCACTTTCGATGCCGGGATCCACAAGCAGGGGGGGTGCTAGAGCCAACATCACGTCACGCCTGGAGCGCGCCAACGCGGGGATCGGCTTGTCGCACGCAAGCCAAGCGAATCACAACCACACCCGTGACACCCTCGAGTCCCGGGCTAGTGGACGATGTCCATGTCGGCAGCCGCAACAGTACTGTGTTCGAAGTCCTGGCAGGCCCCATAAGAACTGACCCTGTTGTTGTCGTTTAACACAAGGGCGGCGCTGGTCCTTGGGCGCGGGCTCTTGCTTACATCCCCCTCCTTGCTGCGCCGAACTCTAAATCCAGGGCGGCAGGTGAAACACGCCGCCATGCACGACAATCGTGAGTTCCCCAGTCTCGATTGCCAGACAGAAGCTGGACTCCCGTCATACCAGCGGAGCAAAAGCTGACTTTCCTGTTGCGCTTCTTCAGGATCGCACCCCCTGCTAGAGCAAGTCCCCCTGACCGTCTCCCCCTTCGTCACCCTCCCCAAGGCCCCGACGCTACCGTACACATACCGCGCCATGCCCTCTGCCCTCCCGCCCTCGGCGACCGGGATCGGCGTGTCCGCATCGATGGTCAGCGACATGGACGTCGACGGCGGCGACGACCACTCGGCAGCGGCAGGATCCTCGTCGGCAGCGGCGCCGCCCGAGAAGCCGCGCTACGTCGTCTCGGCCACGGGCCGCGCAGCGCACCCGGACGACATCGTGGCGTCCTGCCGCGCGCTGCAGGAGCACGTGGCGCGCCTGCAGGCCGACGCCGAGGCCGAGCTGCGCGCGCTCGACGAGCGCATCCGCGCCCGCGAGCTGGCCGAGAAGAGGCGCGTCGCCCCCGGCTGGCTCGACACCGACGACCGCATCCTCGAGCCCGAGCGCAGGCTGGCCGACGGCATGGATTCGCTGACCCTGACGGGCCAGCCGGGCGCTGGTGGCCCCGGCATGCTGCATCAGGAGGGCGGGCCGAGCGAGATGGCGGCGCCTGATTACGATCCGGGGTCGGAGATTGACCGCGCTTTTGCGGGCAGGTGATGTGACGCCACGGGCCTGGCTGCGTTGCTCGGTTTTTTGTAGCGCATGGATGTTAGGGGTGCTGTTTTTGTATGATATTTAATTGCTCACCTCCCTCGGGCTCATTCTTGAACTCTTTAGCTTGATCGATGCGGGGAAAGTAGATACAGTTTCTGTTCACAAGAGAGCCACGGGGCTTCCAACCTGGTCCCTTCAATCTCCAACCACTTGCCACCAGTACATCTTTTCTCAGCGCTTCGGGGGACAGACTGGCTTAATAGCGCGTGGTTTTCACCTCCTGACTGGGTGTATCAGGCAGTAATAGTAATAGACAATGGAGACGCAAGCTTCCGCTCGTGTCTGCCATGGTTTCCCTTAAGGGATCATTGCGGGCTTGGTATTCGGTGGAGGTTGGTCCTCGGCTGGCTGTGAACAAAAAGTCAAATCGGGGCCGTAACATAGACGAAAACATGCAATTCGTTGAACTACTGTACTACAAGTGGTATCAGAAAGGCAATTGCACCATTTCTTTGCTAAAGCGCGGCAACCATTTCTTCCGTCTGCGCGACCTATCTACGTTCGTCGTGGTCTGGATTCGAAGAAGGCGTCTGTCACTTTCGATCATGTGCAGAGATGGTGGTACATTCTGGGACAGAGTCTGTATACCGAAACACCTGTCAGCCATCGCACTCGGCTTGTGGATCAGTGCAGCTTTGGTTTGCAAATCTCAGACTGCGTTTCCGAGCGATGTTTGGATTGGCAGAGATCCTCTGGCTCTCAGCGACGTAACCATAAATCCCAGATCCCATGCTGGATAAACCTTTATCATGGGTGTTTTGTATCTTGATTTAACCGTAAGTTCCAACCGAAAAATTGCATGTAAAGTAGTTGGGTTGGTATGGGATAAGCTTCTGAAAAAAAACATCAGAGGATCCTCCACGAGATTTCTGAAGTCGAACGGAGCCTCGGCTGCAGAACCGCCGGGTCCCTCGAAGCATCTGCGGAGAGCCGATACAGATCCTCCTCGCCCAGGGGTAGATCTGACTAGGGGCCGCGGGCATCACAGCTCTTTTTGAGGTAGATTTGAGGCAAAGGCCACGGATGGGAGCGCGAGAATGAGCTGAAAGATTGGCTGGGCCCATGTCTGGTTATCATGTGAAGGATATGGTTGTGCGCAGCGGCTGGGTTGTGTGGGAATACTGAGAGCGAAGAGTCTGGTGTAACAAGGACTGCGACATGGAGGTCAAGGATTATTATTTTCGCTTGGGTTCAACGCTGAATTTAGCCTGTTGTCTGCAAAATTGGTAGATATCTGGAAAGGGAAGTCCCGGAGCATCTGGCGATCCGACGTTTCGATGCGGCGCAAAATGCCACACTCGATCAACGACCGATGCTGGCGGTGGAGGCCCCAACCATGCAGCAGATCTATACCAATTACGACTGAAGGCCACCCCAAAAATGCACACATCACTCTCATTCCCATCTTGCGGCGAAAACGCACGCCTTGTGTACCTGAGAATAACATGCCAACGGCGCATCCAATCCCATGTCAGCTCAGGTCCATGTCCACAGGGTAGCTCTCCGGGTCGGCCGGGCGGACGTGGATGTAGACCATGGAGGCGCAGCGCTCGCACGCGCAGGTCCTCGCCCACGGGTCCCAGGACCCCTCCCAGCGGTCCGCGCCCTCCCAGCGCGCCTCCGGGTCCGGTGTCCAGGGCGCGCTGGCGACGACGCCCCGGCGGATGTCGCGCAGCGCCGCGGCCGGGTGGGGCCCCGCGTACGAGATGGTCTTGTAGTGGCCGCCGGGTGCGATGAAGACGTAGCCCTGCGGCGGGAACGGCCCCGGCAAGCCGGCGGGGGGCGGCGGGAACAGCCCCAGTAGGCCGGCGGGGGGCGGCGGCGGCGGCGGCGGGGGAGGAGGCCACGGGCGCCGCGGCCCGCTGTGCGCGATGTGCGAGAGGCGGAAGGAGGCCCACCCGCGCGCGACGGGCTCGACGGCGTCGAGGAGCCGCGGCAGGAGGCCCTGCGAGGCCGGCGGGTTCCCCAGCGGCTGGGCCGTCCGGTGGTGGTACAGCGTGATGCGATCGAGCTCGAGGTGCTGCAGGGTCGGGCCGAAGTGCCGGAGGCAGGCGATGAGCCTGTTGACGTCGAGCGAGCCGCGCGAGAGCGTGAGCTCGGCGAGCGGGATCCACGGGAACATCCTCACCGGGGGCAGCCCCGGGAGCTGCGGCGTCTGCGTCATGCCCCGCGGCGGCGTGACGAAGTAGAGGAGGCTGCCCGTATACTGGTCGGTCGCCGAGCACATGTCGAGGTGCAGGCTGCGGAGCCCCGTGGCGTAGCCGAGCCAGTCGCAGAAGGAGGCCTGACCCCCTTCCACCAGCCGTAGGCTGAGCCGGAGCTTGCGGATCGATTTGAGCATCGGCATGACCTGGAACATTACCTCTCCCGGCCATTGAAGGATCTCGTGGCCCAGCTGCGCGAGCGTGCCCGCGAGGATCTCGAATGTCTTGGGCCGGAGCCCCGCCGCGGCCGCGGCAACCAGCAGCTTCTGGACGCAGATGCGCGCTTCCTCATGCGCCCGCACGGTCTCCTGGGAGTCTAGCGGCGGGCCAAACGAGGTCCAAGGGTTTCCGCCGCCGGGCGTCCCATGGATGGGCTCGGGGTGGCTGGGGCGATATGTTGTTGTGTCGTGGGGACACAGGCCCGTTAGCTGCCGAAGCGACCGGCTCGCCAAGATTCCCCAAGGGGCACACCGGCATATCAAGGGGTCCTCCCGCAAGATCCCGAGGTACTGTACGGCCAAGGTGTGCAGATTGGGGAACCGCAGCAAGGTTGCCGTTAAAAGGTGCATGTCTAGGTCCTGTCTGATCACATTTTCCTGGCGATCCGACTCAATGGTCGAATTGGCCCCGCGGTCGGTCGCGACCGTAGGGAGCATGACAACATCTAGGGCAACCCTCGTAACCATGTCCCGGAAATCCGATTTTGATATCTCGTCTAGCATGTGGAGACTTGACACCTGTCGCATCACCACCAGATCTTTAAAGCACGTTTCGGCAAAGAGAGCATGCGCGGCACTGGCAGCCCGCTTGTTCAATAGCCGGAACGCGCATAGGTTGGTGGTGTCGGGTCCGGCGGCGATGTGAGACGCTATATGGACGAGCAACTCCGTAGGGAGCCTCTCAAAGAGAGAGGGCGTCGGATGCTTCATGTTGAGGCCATTGTGCGAGCGGGGGTGGCGTGGATGTGAAGTGCGGCTGGAGTCGGAAGTGACATCCGCTCCCAGGAAGACCGGGCACCGTCTGTGGTTTTGCTCGGGGTTTGACCGTTCATATAATATCGAGTAATCGGGGACCGCGAGAAGCTTGCCGTTGGCTGTTGTGTTCGTGCTAGACTGTCGCGCCATGGCGGTTGCTAGTAGGTGGGCGGCGCCCGAAGAGTTCCAGCAAGCGAGGCATTGTCGAAGATTTTAAAGCTAAATAGGTACGCCGCGAGGCAATTGGATATGGGACGCGCCCATGGCCACCTGGGCCGACGAAATTGCGGGCCGGCAAAGGTTCCCGCGCTAGACAAACAAACAGATTGCGCATGGCAAAAGATATCATTGATTTGTGGTGGATCCGGCATTTTTGAATCTCGGTATTGGGGGCGTTTGCTGAATAAAATCCAGACTTGACAGTACAACCTAAACCTCACTTATCCCTCCACACTACTTGCGCCTGCCCTCATTACAAGCTAGCTGTGCTGACAGGCCCTCTGCCCAGACGAAGTTCCCCCTTGCGTCCCCCAACGGCACAAAGCCGCATCTGTTCGAGGCCACGGCCAACCTTACGCTTACGCTACGGGCTCGTACCCGGCGTTGTGGCCGGCGCGGTCCGAAAAGAGCCAGTAGACGATGAGGCCGATGACGGGGAAGAGGAACACGACCAGGCCCCAGATCAGCTTGCCGGCGGGTGTGCGGTTGGACTTGAAGACCTCGACTGGAGACAGGTGGAGAGGAAGTTAGCAGGCGGGCAAACGCACCACAGGGGCAGACGGAGGAGGGGGAACATACGGAGCACGATGATGTCGAGGATCAGAACAGCAAGCCCCAGGATCCCACCGCCGGTGCCGTACTGCCATGCGTTGCCGTGTCCAGTCGCGGTGACAACTTCCTCAGCAATGGGGGCGGCGTTCGCCAGGAGCGCTAGCCAGAGCTGGGCGAAGAGGGTGGTGAAGATTGCAGTCTGCATGTTGACGATGGCGATTTTACTTCTGCTATCTCTTGCTGGTTTGTTGTTTGTCGCTGGCGGGAACTTGTGCTCAAAAGCCGGTTGAAGGACAGGAAGATGAAGAAAAGGAAGAAGAAGGGGCGAGGGAGAAGGGAAGGTGCCAGGCAGTAATACATACACCCGAAACGGGCAAGCTAAGACCGTCACCTGAGCGCAGGTTGATCAAAGCGGGGGGCGTGTGGCCGTCGCAGGAGAGGTGGTGACGTCAACGGTTGAGCTGACGCAGCCCCACCAAACTGCCTGGCGGCCGTGCGCTGCAGCGCTAAGCCAACCGGACCCACCTGCCACCAGACAACGACGACAAGAAGCTGCGCGGAGGTTCCCGAAGGTGGGTTAGGGTCAGCAACGACATGCCTTTTGTTCCAGCAGAGCCGCAACAAAGCTTGACCTTCCTCAGACTGCGCTCAACGACGTCCTCAGATTGCGCTCAACGACATTCTCACACTGCCCCTAACGCGACCCCGAATTCGCTGCTACTCGACTAATCGTAAAATAGAAATGGAGGTAACATGTGCCAGCAATGTGCGGCTGGTCGGGCGTTGTCACGTCCCCAGGTTTGACATTTTAAACATCTGCAGCCGGAGCTCGGTGCGTAATCCATCGCTTCCGGTTGCTCTTGCCTCCGTCACGCTGCCATAGTAGGCAGACGTGTCATCTGGAAGTCAGAAGAGGCAAAACTCGGTGCAAATTTCCTTGTTATCTATGGTCGTGCAAACTCCGTGTTTGCGAGCCTTGCCAGTTGCGAGGTGGGCGAATGTCAAGGCGGATGGATGTGCACAAAGTGTTGGTGACCATACCCGCCCTTTTGGCATCTAGCACGGTCGGAGGACTAGAAATCTGGGTTGTGGTGGAATATGCGTGGGGCCAGCAAGTTGTGGCGTGGAATTCGAGCAGGAGGTGGTCGCGGTGAGCTCAAATATCTGGCTGTGCTAATGCTGCTATCTCTCAACAGATGGGTGGTGGTAGGGATCTTGCGCGGGTGTGATGGCAGCTGGTCTACCCTGGCCCTTTCCCTCGCCATCAGGCCACGAAGCGTCAACAGGACTGGAGGAGCGCACGCGTCGGCGCGCGCAGCGACGCGTCCCTCGGCGGACGTTCCCTTCCCAGTTCCTCCGCGACAGCAGCAGCAGCGCGTTTGGCATCCGATCTTTTGTCTGGTACGGTGGGGCCAAACAACCTCAAGGCGGGCCAATCCCCTGCCCTCCTCCCTGCGCCGCCGGAGATATCTCTCCCCTCCGGCCAATCCTGTGCCCTCACCGAGTGCTGCTCCTGCCGGTGAGGAAGCCTGCGGCATGCCCATATCAAGCTGGATCGGTCAGTTGGTTCTCAACAGACATGTAGCGCAGTTGGCAAACCATCTGCACACGTTGGCGAAGTCTTGGGTTCGAGTTCCCGGGGAGAATACAGAACTGGACTCCCTTCACCTCCTTGCATACGGTGGCACAGCGAGAGGGGGCTCGAACCTTTTGCATTTTTATCCATTTAATTAGCGACCATCTTTTTTTTCGTTCTTTTTGTTCCATGTTTCCTCAGAATTCATTGGATGTGATGGGGGCGCGTTGGTGTGCAGGTCGCCGTTCGAGAGCTGCAAAAACAAAAACGAAAAAAAGGTGCTGCCATGGGGACTCGGGGCCTGGGCGGGGCAAGGTGGAGTACGCACCACCACGGGAGCACTGGCTCATTGCCTTGGGAATCAAGGGAAGGGGACTTTGGGCACAATTGTTTCTTTTTCTTTGCGGTGCAAACCTGTGTTCCTCAGCAGTGATCGGCCTGGCTCTAGCACTCACTGGATATCAGGAGGCTGAGCGGTGGTGCCGCGGATATAAGCCTAGCCAACGAGCATTTGTAGGCGGCGCCTGATTACGTCTGGCTAGTACCACATGCGACCGGAGCAGGACATATGAGGGAAAGTAATGCCACGATTGTGCGCTTGTTCGATCAGTGTAAGTTTTATATGATGGCCTTGCACATGACGCTTCCCGGGTGCCACGGGGTCCGTGGCTCCGACTGCAGCAGCCCGAAATAATCTATCAGAATGGTTCATGGTGCGCTGGAGACTGGGGTAGGCGCTGCAGCCATGACGCACGGGGAGCGGATTGTCTAATAGTGTGCACGTCGAAGGATGTTTGGGCGAGATGGAACAAGAGATAGTCAAGACGCGCTGCCGTCTTTCTAGCCCTGGGCTTAGAGTGCCGAGCTAATGAGGAGGGTGCCGGAATATGGGCGCTGCATTGGAGTGCTCGCCATTGCCTCGGGATAATGTGAATGCGAGGGCTCGGGGGCGCCCCCAAGCTGGTGCAACGCATGGTGAACAAGTCTCTCATCATCCATCTTCCCCTGCTAATCTCGGGCCTCGTCGCCATCTTGTAGAGCGCAGAGAGGCATAAAGGGGACGGAAGGAAGAAGAAGCAGACGACGAAGAAGATTGAGAGCAACACAAGAAAGCCAACTATCTAATAAATATCGCCTTTTGCTTTCTGGACCTTGTTAAAACCATTTATCTTGTCGCTTGGAGGGTAGCACCAGGCTATCCGGTCTTGAGGGGCCGCCGCTTTGGCTTGGGTTTGCGGGGATTGGACCTTTTGATAGATCAGGCACTTGCGCACCCTCCAAAGGAACTTTTCGGAATACTGCAGAATGGTTTCTTTGTGAGTGCACTGCTCGGCGACAACCAGGTCAGGGAAACCGCCTTTGCTGAAGGAGGAAACGTACAATCTCGGGTTGGCTCTGGCACTGGACATCTTCCGGGTCTTGCACCGGCATCGCTACACGCTCAACCTTACAGCTATACACTCCATCATTTTTTACCAGCTTGAAAGACGGGCTGCTTAGTACATGGGCTTGGGCTTGTATTGGAAAGCACGGAAGATTTACCTTGCCTAGAGATTCCGTCATGTAATTACTTGGGATGCTAAAGTCCTTCTTTGCCTCGGCCGGCGTTGGCTTGGCCCAGCACAAAATAGGGAGAAGCAGCAGCAAGATGTAGGTGACGTCGAGCTGCATGGCGGGCGAGGCTGCGTTGATGTGGGCTGCGCGGGACGGAGCGCAATGTGTGGCGCATTAGACGTAGGCTGTGTGTGGGTGTGTAGGAGACAGCAGGGAAGGTTTGAACGGCAAAAATGGGGAAAAGTCGAGGATTCTGGAGAAAAACAAGAGTACGGCTGCACTTGAGGGTTATAACTTGGAGCAAGGAAAGAAAACAAAAAATCTCGTCACAATTTCTTGCGGATTATGGGCACCTGCCCCTGCCACTCAGGCAACCACGATTCGGGTCGATGGCTTCATGTGCGGCTGCACGGCATTGGCAGGGCTGTGGGGGGACTCTGGGTTGGCGGCTTACCACTAGATTCGGCTGTCAAGCGTTTAAATTTACACCAGCAGGCTTTTTTTAGCATCGCTTTTACTTTCGGCAGGATCACATCAGTGGGTCGTTGCAGGAATCAATGCAACCATTCTTGGCTCATAGCGAGGCTCTTCTGGAGGTGGCTCCCCAGGCCATCCATGTGCAAATACAACGCCTATTTCAAGTCTGCTGTGCCGCGCGGCTCGAATACACAGGCGCAATATTTTTCGATATGAATTCTCGCCTGGAGATTGCTTAACAGAAAATTCGAATTTACAAAATTCGGGGCCTGGGAGCATCTGCCATTCCTTTCTGGTCGCCAGTAATTGACGAATCAGCTACTTTAGGTGTTTTCGTGTCGGTGGGCGTCCATCAATTGGTAGACATCCAACAGGAATTCTAACGATTAGATTGAGGTCGTCATTGCGAAGGATTTCTGAACTGAAGTGGTTAGGGTGGGCACACTGCCAAGAGTGGAATTGATGGAGGAGATGCGGGGTGCGGGGATCGAAGTCTGCAGTTCCCCATTGTAGTGCGGTCAAGGCGGGAGATGGAGAATGCATTTCGTCATCAAATCGGGCACGCAGGTACAGACAGCAGACGGCACGGCCAAGCTCCGGGTAAACAGTCTTGGCCCATGCCGTCGGGAGTGGACCGACCCCTCTCGGGGTGCCGGTTATTCTTCATTTCCACCGCCTCGAGCCGGAATCACAGCCCAGCAGTCCCGGCCCCGGATGGAGTCGACGTTGCAGCACCAAGAGCATCTCCCCTTCTCTTATATAGCCGGACGAATCACGACCCTCTTCCCCGCGCTCCAGGTGGAAACAATTGCTGCTGCGATTGGTGGACTTGGACTTGTCCCTCGCTGGCGAGATGATGCAGAGTTGTGGCCTGGGCGTAATATGAAGCCATTAATATTTAACCACAAGCTTCCCGCACCAGCTCTTCGTCCAAAGATGGCGGCCCGTCCTCCTTCCGGCGACAGCGCGCAAGAAAGGGCACCCTGACGGCCCACTGCCAGCCATGAACCGACTCCTCAACATCGTCTGCCTTGTCGGCGCCCTTGCCGGCCTGCAGCTGGCGGGTGCCCAGCCGGCTAACAAGTCCTTCACGAACCCTGTGCTCCCAGGCTGGCACTCGGACCCCTCGTGCGCCCGCGGCCCGGATGGCGTGTTTCTCTGCGTCACCTCCACCTTCATCGCCTTCCCAGGCCTGCCAGTGTACGCGTCCAAGGACCTGCTGAGCTGGAAGCTGGCCAGCCATGTGTGGAGCCGCGAGTCGCAGCTCCCCGGCGTGAGCCGCGCCTCCTGGCGCCAGATGGGCGGCATGTACGCTCCCACCATCCGCTATCACGGCGGCTTCTGGTGGGTTGTGTGCGAGTACCTCGACGGGCCAGAGGGCATCCTGGGTGTGCTCTTCAAGACCACGGACCCCTTTAGCGACGACGCCTGGTCCGACCCTGTCCTCTTCCACCCCGGACGCATCGACCCGGACCTGTTCTGGGATGACGGCGGCACCCTCTACGCCGCGACTCAGGGCATCGTGCTTCAGTCCCTTGACCCGGTCACGGGCGCGCTCAGCCAGCCGCCCATTGAGCTCTGGAACGGCACGGGAGGCGTGTGGCCCGAGGGCCCCCGGTTCTACAAGCGGGGCGGCTGGTACTACCTCCTGATCGCAGAGGGCGGCACCGCGACTGACCACGCCGTGACCATGGCGCGCGCCCGCAACATCACCGGTCCCTACGAGGCCAGCCCACACAACCCGCACCTGACGAACCGCGGGACGGGCCAGTTCTTCCAGACTGTAGGGCATGCCGACCTGTTCCAGGACGGGGACGGAAACTGGTGGGGCATGTGCCTTGCCACGCGGTCAGGTCCTCAGTACAGACACTATCCCATGGGTCGCGAGGCCGTCCTCTTCCCAGTTCAATGGGACGACCCGACCGACTGGCCGGTTCTGCAGCCTGTCCGCGGCCGCATGGAGGGCCCACTGCCGACCGTTTCGGGCTCGCGCGAGCTGCCTGGTCCGGGACCTTTTGTGGCCGACGATGAGGACCTGGACTTCACCTCAGCTTCCAAGATCCCCGGAAACCTAATCTACTGGCGCGTGCCCCGCGACGAGTCTTTCTCTCTGGCTTCGGGCAAGGGTCTCAAGATGGTACCCCTGAGGGCCAACATCACGGGTGTGACGGGCACGAACATGGACCTGAACGGCCAGAGTGGCCTGACCTTCATCGGTCGGCGCCAGACGCACACTCTCTTCACCTTCTCCATCGACCTCGACTTCGCGCCCCAGGCGGCCGGGCAGGAGGCCGGCGCGACCGTCTTCCTGACACAGTACAACCACATCGACCTCGGCGTCGTCGGCTTGGCGCCCTGCAGCGGCGACGGCAAGGTCGCGCGCTTCCTGCGCCTGCGCGCCACAGCCCTCCAGGGCGGGACGGCCCCGGCGCCCGTGCAGCGGCGCGTGCCCGACGACTGGACGGGGGCGATCCGGCTCACGGTGCGCGCCGTCAGCCTGACCGAGTACGAGCTGTCGGCCTCGAGCGTCGGCGGTGCGGGGTCCGCTGCCATCGTGCTCGGCAGGGTCTCGTCCCAGCTGGTCAGCGGCGGCACCGGCCAGTTCGTCGGGGCGCTGCTGGGCGCGTTCGCGACCTGCAATGGCGCCGGCGGCTCGGGCGTCGCGTGCCCCGGCGGTGGTGTACCTGCGTACGTGTCCCGGTGGAAGTACACGGCCGAGGGTCAGCACGTCGCGGCCGACGACGTTGCGCCGCCGAGGCCTTGATCGGAGTTTGAGCTGGTAAAGAAGGTGGGCGATGGCACAAATGCCGAGATTTGTCAACTCCATTTTCTAGTCTAAATAACAAAAAGCAAAAGATTGCGCACGGGGCACTATAGACATTAATGTTAACCTTATCTCTTCCCACTCGCCGCTTGCCATTCTCATATTTTGCTGGGGTCCTCATCCTCCGCTCCTTCTCGGGATGCCAGCCTACTGGGCCGAGTAAAGGAGCAAAGCCCACTCCCGTTTGGCCACCTCGACACTGAGCTTCTCACTCGTTTCTCTTCTGAGGTCGGCGTGGAAGGACTCCAAGCTCGGGAGCCGGCCTTCTAGCCCACGCATGTACGTCTCGCACAACTTTAGCATCTCGGCGTCCAATCGGTGGGCGCCCACGCGAATCAAGAGTCCGAGGCCGCCATACCAACCCAGCACCTCGTCCCGTTTCCTAAACACCCGCTCCATGATTTCCTCTTTGAGATCGCATACCATGCGCCGCAGGCGCCTGCCAACATCGGCAGTTGGCTGGATGACATAGGCCAGTCGGGTAGCGAAGTCCTGACAGTTCCACCAGCAGGGCCGATACACCCAGCCATGATGTAGTCTTCCGTATACTGTTTTGCCCCAGTCAGCCTCGGACGCGCGCGCGCTCGTGTATGTGTGCATTCAGTACTCGGAGCAACTTACGGCCCGTGATGGTGAAGTCCCACTCGTCGGTCGTGCCGAGCAGCTCGACAGCCTCAATCGACTCGACGTGTCTTCTCTCCCAGCTCAGGCCGTTGCCGTTCCTGCCGCTGCCCGAGTGTTTGAGGCCGCTCAGTGTCCCACGGTGGTCCCAGAACCTGCCGGCCTCGAGCTTGTCCCGGAAGGACATGTCGTCGTCCTCCCAGACCTCCATCGGGACCAGGCAGATGGCCATGTGCCTCGAGAAGCTCAGGTTGTCCGCGACGCGGGGGTAGGCTCCGGGCTTCCACGCGGAGATGGGAGGGGTCTTCCGCTCGATCTTAGCGCCGAAGTACGCCAGGAACGCGTTGGCCATTTGGTCCACGGGACAGGTCACCAGCAGCACCGCCCGTCTGGGGCCTGCGGTGGTGAGGCTGATGCTCTTTTCCTGGCTTGTGGCCATGGCGGAGGGGATGTTGGGCTACTGGGGAAGGTGGTGGGTTGAATGAGAGAGTGGTAGGATTGGCCGGACTGGACGGGGGTTATATCCTACGTAGCTCGTTTGCTTTTCTCGCACGATTGTGTGGTGTCCGCGGATAGGCATGGAAGCTAGAAGCTGCAGCTTGCCGTCTCTGTACCCGCCAAGGCCTGGTGGAGGGCTGGGCCGCGCATGTTTGGTCTATGGACAGGGCCATCTTCCGACCCGACCCGAGACCAATACTCGGCGTTTGTCAGAACTTCGCTGGAACAGTCGAGGGGAGTAGTGTACCTAGGTCCAACGCCAGATGTTTCCTATCTTGGCCAGCCGTGGCGTGCAGGCGCAGTAGATAGCAAGCCGCGGAGGGCAAACGGGGGATGGTGGGCGGTTTTCCGACAGGCCAAATCGACGGAACGGTCGGTAGGATAGTCCATGGTCCTTATCGAGTCTTGTCGGCATCGCGGCGGCAGCGTTTTCGAGCTCGTAGGGCTGGCTCATCTCTTGGTGCGTCTCTCGGCTGTTGCTGAGTGTCCAGTTTACGCTCTACGATTACGACAGTCAATATTATGACCCTCAAATCGTGGGCTGAAGATGCGGAAGCAACTACGTATGGTATTGGCTGGCTGGCAGTATGGGAGTCCTGTGTACTCCAATGAGGGGAAAGGACCTATTAAATGATCGCCAACGCTGGTCGCTCTACCCCGCACAATGAGGCCAACCAGCGCGTGCATGAAGGAGGAGGGGAACAGACATAAGCACGCTCCCACGAGGGGCATGACCATCCAAAACTATCACCAACTTGGCTGCCTTTCCACCACTGAAGTACTACACTACTCAATCAACCCGCATTACAAGAGCAGTGCATCACCTTTCTCAATGTCTCGGTGGCACTTGGCTGACTGCCAGGCGCCAGACGTGCGGGTTGAGGACAATGTACCGCACTGCTGGGCCTGTGGCGCAGCGCCGCATCTGGAAAGCATCGTCGCAGCCGCCAGCAAATCGAGTTCCCTCCCACATATCCCCCCAGACGAGCCACTCGATCAGATGAACTTATGGTGGCCGCCTTCGATGCCCTACACGCGTGAGGACACATCGGAGGACCGTGTCGGACCTCAAGAACCTTTGGAGCACCGTGACTTGGCAGTGGCACACCCTGCTCATGTCTTCGCTCGGGAAGAATCAGACTGCGCCACGGCTCCGGTAAATTCGGAAGAGGAGATGGCCCATACACGAGAGAGCCGGTGCGGCCATGAACCGAAGCCCGTACCCGCCATTTACGCCACCCCCCTTGCTCCGGACCACTTTCGACTTCTCTGCCTTCACGCGCCGCCGTCCGTGCAGCAAGACTTCCCCATACATTGCGATCTCGGGACCTTTCCACTCGATGACTGCCCAGAGTACGAAGCCATGTCGTACGCGTGGGGCGGGGAGAACGGGGACAGCACCAAGCGCTGTCCAATCTACATCGGTCCATACTGGGACGTTTTGGTCCAGACACAGAACTGCTCCGATATGCTCCGACATATCAGGCCTCTCAGGGGTTTCCGATTGGTCTGGGTAGATGCCATCTGCATAAATCAAGAGGACGATAGTGAAAGATCAAGTCAAATTGCTTGCATGGCCCGCATCTATGGCCTGTGCCTTAGAGTCGTTGTCTACCTCGGGCAAGACCTCTGCTCTCCACTGCCCGCCGGGCGGAGCCATCCCCATCGCGCCGGCCTTGAAACCCTTTCAGACCTCAGCGGAGTCCTGGGCAGGAAGTACTTCAGCCGCGTCTGGGTGATCCAAGAGCTGGTTCTCCCGAAGGATGTCATGCTGCGCGTCGGGAGCACGGACTATAAAATTCACGCCTCCACCTTCGCCAACCACAAAATACCGGAAATGGTACCGGCGCATTGGATACGGTACGCAACCAAGGGCATGTTGGCTGGCGATGGTATTGTCGATATAATCCCACTCACCTGGGAGTCTTGTGCAAGCGACCCCCGCGATCGTATCTTCGGGATTTTAGGTCTTCTTGAAGACGACACGTCTGGATCGCTGCCCAGCCCGAGACTGGACCTGACAGCAGACTACGGCCTGTCTCCCCAACATGTCTTCACTGGCTTATTCGCCTACCTAATCGTGCGAATGGGAAGCTCCAAGATTCTGGCCGCGGCCGTCGGTATCAAAGGCTGGGGTCAAATGCCATCGTGGATGCCTGATTGGCAGGCCGACGTCCATTCCCGGCCGAGGTCATTTGGCCAAAATATGACAAGACACCCAGACGAATTACATCACTTGAGCGGCATTCCCATGAACTACTCGAGGCGGGAAGACAGTGTGTTTTCGATGTCGCTGCGCGAGGTCGTGGCGGGGGTACCAGACCCCGAACTGATCCCCTGGGACCACGGGATACGAGTCGACGCTCGAACGGCCCGCCTCCAAGTTGCTCTGGTCCATATCATGCCGGTGCCTTCTTTGCCCAACCTGATAGCAGTGGATGAAGGCCTATGCACGTACTGGCTGCCGGTCGGTACTGGCGAGGACTATGGCGTGGTAATCATGAAGAATGGGGAGCTCAACTGCCGCCTAGAACCAGGACTCGACCACTTTTTCGTGTTGGATCACGGAGATGGCGCATGCACCCATCTGATCCTGAGGCCTTCTAGCTCCAAAATTACCACCCTACCCACATTAAACAGCTACGGTAACGACTGTTATCTGGGTGCCGGGGATCGCCAGCGCTGCTTGTCTTGGGGTGGCTGGAGGGTGGTGGCCGTATATAGTCGGATATTCCTCGCCTACTCGTCATACGCAGAGGAGAAGCTTCGACAAGGGCAAGCAATGCGGACCCGAGCTCATCCGCTAACTAGTATCCACCTAGGCGAGCTGCGTGTCCCTCGATCTCAGCTTGTCAGATATTTTGCCGCCGAGATACGTGGGGAGTGCCGAGAATCCGGAGGTCTGGGCGACGATGCACCGAATGTCTTTCGAACCGTTCTCACGTTTGAAGGATATCCGGACGACCGGGCACCGAGTTTCCTTCGAATCCTTCTCGGGTCCAAAGGATTCACGGCTGAGGGTGTGGTCTGTCTGATACAGGCAATTATCGAGCAGGATATGGACGAGAATAAGCGGGGTATATTTGGGCGTGAGTTCATGCGACTGGCCGACCCAAGGATGGAGCCGCAGGCAACCGCCAGCCATCTGTCCTGGACAGTATGGTACTGGAAGGTGGTCCCCGCCAAGCATTCGCCGGCTTATTACGATCAGCTATTGCTTCCAAATTTCACCACCGACGGGACCTACAGGAACGGGGGCGATAACCCAATCCAGACCCCTGAACAGAAACAAGAGGTTTTTGCCAGCAACGTATTGGGAAATGTCCCATTTTGGTCGGCTGTCGAGGGCTTCAATAGCAGCGGGGCCAACGCTCCGATCGTGAAGGCAACGATCGACAGGGCAATCACTGCCATCAAAGTATACAACTCTTGGCTGTACGGACGCGTTGAAGTCTTGAGTGCGGTAACAAGGGGCGAGCCTTTGCGCGCATTAACCAGTGGACCGACACCGGAGGAGGAGTTGATGGGATTCCCAGGAGGCATGTCGCTGGACGAGGCAACTGCCTTCAGGTTGAATGGATCGACCTACAGCATCGGCCTTATTTAGACGCTTCATCTCCAACAATCTCAGCTGTTTTTTACATAGTACATGGGAAATGAGAGCACTATTGCCATGAAAGTCTCCAAGGTTGCGAGTTCTCAACCCCCATCCTGGCCTGGAATCGCGGATCGGAGGCTACTCATCTCATGGTATCATCCACTCGCCTGTCTGGACAGAGGAGTACATTTGGTGTTCCTGCATGGTGTGTTGGGGCGTCCTTTATGGAGTTTCGCTTTGAAGACTGTGACTTCGCAGAGGTGAAGGAGATACTTAGGAATATACCCTAAGCCAAAGGCTGTGCACCAAACATCAATCTGTGATAGATTATTCTATTGATCGGATGGATGTATGACATTTCCTTGATACTCAGAAGTATATGCTCCCTACGACAGCAGGTTTGCCTGGTTCTCCGCGTTGGCAGGGGGCGCAGTGTACTGGTTGTAGTCGGTGGTGGTGAACCACACGCCCCCGATGTTGGCGTTGCTGATCCTGTCCAGCTCCGCGCCCAGGTCTACAAGGTCCCCGGTGAACGTGTGCACGATGATGGCGCTCTTATTCGCCCGCCCGGCCGGCAGGTTGTTGGCGACCGGGTCGACGGTCCGGTACACGGGCCAGGCCTCCTCGAACACGACGACCTGGTCGGCGGCGTCAAAGTACGTCGGCACGTTCGCGTCCACGACCTTCTGCCCGGCGTTGAACACCAAAAAGCCGCCGACGGCGCCGGCCGCCCGCGCGTTGTCTGCCAGCCTGCGCATGTAGCCCGGCTCGTCGGTGTTCCAGGGGTTCCCGTTCGGCGTCTCGTCGAAGAAGACGCCGCGCGGGGCGGCGGCGGCGGGCCAGGCGGCCCAGGCCGATACGTTGGCGGCCACGGCGGCGGCGGGCAGGCGGCCGTAGTCGGTGTGGACGTAGCCGAGGGTGCGGACGTTGGGCTCGGCTTTGAGGAGGGTGGCGCCCGCCACGTAGTTGACGTCGTCGCGGCCGAAGCCCGGCCCTCCGGGCCCCGAGTCCGGGTTGATGATGACGTCGAACGAGACGGAGCGGTGGGCGCGCAGGGTGGTGAGGAGGGACTGCCAGTGCGAGGCGTTGTCGTTCCACACGGCGCTGGGGTAGAGGTACAGCGGGAGGAGGATGTTGGTCGCCGTGGCGGCCAGGGGGAGGAGGGAGAGGGTCAGGAGGGACTTCATCTTGGCGTTGGTTCGGGGCCTGCAAAGCGAAGGTGCTGCCGTGTCTGACAAGTTTCTGGTCTCCCTGTGGGCTGCCGTGAGCCCCAAGACAGGTTTTGCACTCGAGTAAGGGGGTTTCTGGCGGCCGCTTTATACCCAAACTGCGTGGTGGTGGCCCAAGGCCCACTGTTAGGATTGGCGGATGGGAGCTTGGCTGGGCTTAGCCAATGCTGATGCGACCTGGATGGGAGCTTGTGCCCTCGCTTGGAGTCCGATGCGACACGGATGACCCGGTTTCCCGTATCTGGGGCTAGCGCTGACATTTTTCTTGTTGTGGGGAACGGCGGGTGAGAATGGGAGCCAGGGGCTGGCTTGGACGCAGCCTCGTGGTCTTGGCGCACGCTGGGGCGCGGCGCGGGCCGGGACTGGAGTGCCTGTGGTAGGGGCTTGCATGAACCAGAACATTTTGGCTGCATTTAAGTGGGATATTAGTCAACATAGAATCGCGCCGTGTGTCAGCCGATGATGGATTAGCAATTACTTTGTAATGGTGTGTGCAAGACGGGTGAATCAGTTCAGAAAACATTTCGCTATTTGATACCTAGCCACCTAGACCAGCTACGTGTACACGACTAAATCTTGACACTTGCAACCCCCGCAGCCACTTCGGCTGGTCCGTCAACCTTGTCGTCAAAAAGAAGTCCCAGAGCCTCGCGACGGCTCGGTGCCTTGGGGTCGTTGTACGGCTTCTCAGCGAGGGTGGTAACACGTGTGCCATGGCGTGGGTGGCGGCCACTAAAATTCGTCAGCTTCTATCGATTTTTCAAGGGTTATCATGGTGCTTTGGCAGGCAGTACTCACGCGTAGTCCCAGCTGGCGTTGTGCATGGTGATGCGGTTGTCCCAGATGGCCGAGGTCCTGGGAGTCCACTTGAAGCGCAGCTGGATGTCGACGTTGCTCTCGTAGACGTGGTACAGGTGGTTGAGGATCGCGTCGCTCTCCTCCCTGTCGAAGCCGACGAGGCGGTCCGTCATGGCGCGGTTCACCCACAGGGCCTTCCAGCCCGTGGCCGGGTGGACGCGCACGATGGGGTGCACGCGCTCGACGTGCTTGGGTCCCGAGGTGGGGTTCTCGCGATCCAGGTACGTGTGCGCGGACCGGTAGACGGCCTGGAGCGGGTCGATGAGCTTTCGGAAGGCCGGCGACAGCTTCTCGTAGGCGGCGTAGCCGCTCGCCCACAGGGTGTCGCCGCCGACGGGCGGGATGGTGTCGTTGTGCAGGTGCGTGACGCCGGCCGGGTGCAGCTCGTGCACCAGGTCCGTGTGCCAGCGCGACGCACCGCCGGGCCGCCGGAAGCTGGTGGGCTGCGGGTTGGTGGCGGCCTGCAGATCCGGCCACATGGTGTTGACGCCGGGCAGGCCAGGCACGTGCGGCACCTGCGCGTGCACCTCGATCTCGCCAAAGTGGCGGCCCAGGTCCAGCTGGGCCTGCGGGCTGAGGTCCTGGTCGCGGAGGAAGACGACGCTGCGCTCGGCGACGAGCAGTGCCAGCTCGTCGCGCTGCTGCGGCGTCAGGTCCTTGAGCTGCAGGCCTTCGATCTCGGTGCCGATGTAGGCCGTCAGGTCCGTGACCTTGGTGGCGGCGCCCAGGAGGGCCTTCTTCTCCTTGTCGGCGCGCAGGCCCGGCTCTACGTGCTCGCGCTCCGTGCTGCGGAGGTTGTAGACGTCCTGTACGTACAGGGGCGTGGCCGGCCAGTGCGGGTAGCCATTGGACAGGTCGATTCCGGCCTTCTCGAGGCGCTGTCGTGCGCCGTCGGGAATCGGCAGGTCCTGCTTGGGCTTGAAGGGGGCCTTGGTGTTGTTCTTGGGGATGACAGGGTCCACGGGGGTGAACTCGACCGCCGCGGGAGCCATGATGTCGTGTTTGCAGGCGGCTGAGATGGATGTACTGGGATGAGTGCTAGGATAGGGGCTCTGGGACAGGGATGTTGGTGGAGGTTTGAGCATATAGTGGTATCAGTCTGCAGCCGAGACGCTCTAATGGCATGGCCAGTGCTTCTCCGTGGTGCTTGTATACGATCCGAGCCGCGGCCAAGACTTAAATGCTCCTGTCGTTGAGGCGATATCGGGAGGCCGAAGATGCTGGTGCGGTGCCGAAGGTGAGCCGAGGGTGTCGCATCGAGGCCATGATGAAGATTGGCCCCTGATGACGCCTTGTCTTCCCCGCTCCATGGCATTACTGCCTGGTAGCCATGTGTAGTTGACAAACAAAGGCCCTGGACTCCACAAGGACGTTGTATCTGAGCACGTCAGGTCGCGCCCCGCACCACCTTTATTAAAACGCCATCGCGTAGTTCCCCGCATTTATTTCGTGACCACCTCCTGCACCAGATATTGGCCCTGTTCCCCAACTTCCTGGACTGCAGTCACCGCAGACACGCGAAACACCCCACCCACCCTTTTAACGCGTGGGGGTCAGCGACACTATCGATACTCCTAGCCGGAGCTCTGTTTTGCTCCTTGAACTGGTGGCCGCATCGTAACAACTACCGGCCACAACCAGCTCGCGACTCGCCTCCCCCGACTCCGAGGCTAGAGATGCTGCAGCCCCATCAGCCCATTCCCCTCACTTCTCCTCCCGAGGAAGACCGTTTCTCCGGGACGAAGAGCGATGCCGGTCAGCCCTGCTGTTCACGTCCACATGGAGCCTCTCGGTGGAACTCGGGACGATAAGGTCGGCGGAGCAGCGTGGGATTCGAATATGGACGCCATCTTTGGAACAAGCACGCCAGACATTCGTTTTTTTCTGTTCGTCCTTTTGATCGGCTAGACTGAAGAACGCAATGGGCGACCCTCACGGTGCAGGGGCCTGCTGGCGCAGAAACCGAGGAGGTGGCATTTGATATTAGATGGAAAAATCAGGAGGAATATGAGCGCAAAAGGGGCTCTGACTTGCAGAAGCTCCCCTCATTAACTGTGACCGTCGCATCCTCGACACGCCGGGGATATCTCGAGCCCGCACACGGCTCTCCGATTCCACCGCCGGATCCAGATCTGCCATATCCTCTGTAAACCAAAGTAAACAGAATATTCCCGAACTCGCCGTGACACCGACTCCACCAAGAAGATGGCTTTGGAGAGCAATGGCGCTGGCCTCCTGGTAATCTAGCCGCTGGCATGCGGCAGCAAAGATGTCGAAATCATCAGCACCCACAAAGCCCCGGGTGTGTCGTCGTCCAGCTCTATTACCTCAGTCAACGAGGTCGTCCAGGCCGTGCCGACGCGTACGTGGCGCTCCACGGTTTGGGACACGCTGGACAAGCCTCCAGAGGAGCGCCGGTTCCTGTTCAAGCTCGACGCCGTCATCCTGACAATGGCGAGCCTCGGCTACTTCATCAAGAATCTGGACCAGGTCAACATCCAGAGCGCCTTTGTGTCGGGGATGAAGGAGGATCTCGGCCTGTACGGGAACGAGCTCAACTACATGGTTACTGCGTGGACTGTGGGCTACGTTCTGGGTGAAATCCCTAGGTATGCTCGCCTCACAGCCCCGTCCTTGGTACAGCCAAGCAACCCGCTAACTCCTCACCAAGCAACATGCTCCTGACACGCATCAAGCCATCGATCTGGATCCCCACCTGTGAGGTCATCTGGTCCGTCTTGACCATCCTGCTGGCCAAGTGCACCAGCGCGACGCAGATCTACGTGCTGCGCTTCTTCATCGGGCTGGCCGAGAGCGCCTTCTACCCGGGGATGCAGTACGTGATCGGGTCGTGGTACCGCAAGGACGGGCTGGCCAAACGCAGTTGCATATTCCACGCCAGCGGCAACATCGGCTCCATGTTCTCGGGCTATCTGATGGCGGGCGCCTACAACTTTAACGGCCTGACGGGCTTCCACGGGTGGCAGTGGCTCTTCATCATCAACACCATCGTGTCGCTCCCCATCGCCATCGCGGGTTACTTCTTCTTCCCGGACGTGCCCGAGGTCACGACAGCGTGGTGGCTGACGGCCGACGAGATCGCCATCGCCAAGAGGCGCATGGCGCTCGAGGGCCGCGCCGAGCGGGCCCCCTACACCAAGGCCAAGTTCCGCAAGATCTTCTCGTCGTGGCACATCTACCTGCTTCCGCTGCTCTACATCCTCTTCAACAACGGCGTCAGCTTCGGCGGCCAGCCTGCCTTCGCGCTCTGGCTCAAGTCCGAGGGCTTCAACATCGCGGCCATCAACTCGTTCCCGACCATCGCGTCCGCCCTGGCTGTCGTCTTCACGCTCCTGTACGCCTGGACCTCAGACTCGCTGTTCCGCGGCGCGCGGTGGCCGGCCATGGTGTTTGCGGGCTGCTTCGACATCATGGTCTTCGCCTCGCTGGCAGTGTGGAACATCCCCACCGGCTGGAAGTGGTTCTGTTATTTGTTTGCCAATATTTCCAGCGGAATCTCGGGCCTGACAATGTCGTGGGCGCACGAGATCTGCAGCGAAGACAACGAGGAGCGCGCGCTCGTCATCGCCACCATGAACGAGATGGCCTACGTGTTCCAGTCGTGGCTGCCGCTGCTCATCTGGCAGCAGACGGACCAGCCGCGGTACCAGAAGGGCTTCATCACCATGGTATTTATCGCCGCCGGCCTCGTAGCCACGGCCCTGACGATTCGGCACCTGCACCACAAGGAGCGGGCGGCCAAGGTGAGGGCAAGGGCGCAGGAGGCGCAGGGGACGGATGTGTAGTTTGCTCCCACCTTAGGGCTAATGTGTCAAGCCCGGGAACTAGAGGAGAAGTGACTGTGTGCTGTAGGGCTAGGTACCTAAGATGATACATAGTAAATTCGACGGTGCTTGGATAGTTGCATCATAGCAGCCATTCACCAGCTACGTAGAATAGGGGTAGCTAAATATAGTGCATACCCATGTTGGATTTGGATTTACGACAAGCACCATGCTGACAATGCCGTTGGCTCCGTACGCTGACCTGACAATCTGACCGGACTTGATCCCCTGGCGCTGCCGGCGTGCCCCATACCCATACCGTTCGTTATCTCAGCGAATGCACCCCGCTCGAGCTGCCTCCATGACGCTGGTCGGTGGCGTCATCGCGTCTCCAAATTAGCAGTGCTGTGCGACCATGCGATATCGCCCAGGCTGCCTAATGGCCCCTCACCTGGTCCCTCTCTGCCACCACTTCTGTGCCGTAATCGCGCCGTCGCGGTTGGTTCAGTCGCGAGCCCGGCCGGATCCGCGTAGGGTTGGTGATCCTACAGCCTGTTCCTACAGCCATGATAAAAGGCACTTTTCCGAGGCCGAGGATGCTACACAGAAACGCATGCGGTTCGTCGGGAAGTTTGCGGCGGTTACCGAGTTGGCTGCCATTGCCACATCGTCTCGTTAATTTTCTCGTTGGATGCTATCTTTTAATCCCTATAGGCTAGAGCAATGGGCGGCCACTTCAGTAAAACGACAAAGCAAGACGCAAAGGTCAACGACGATAGACCAACACCAAAGGATGACAAGACCAGCGGAACAAACGGACAGCCAGCGCGCCCCCATCAACGCCATGTGAAGAGCGTCGCGGTCATCGGCGCGGGCTACAGCGGCGTGGTGACGGCGGCGCACCTGTCGCGGTACGGCTTCGACGTGCGCGTCTTTGAGCGGTCGTCCGACGTCGGCGGCGTCTGGCGCTTCGACGCCCGCGTCCCGCCCGACCCACCGTACCCCAACGAGAGGCCGCAGACGCCCTTCTCGGACCAGCAGCCACCTCCGCCACCTTCAGGGCCGGCGGCGGACCTCGCGCATGCGCCGCCGGGGCCCTGCTACGCAGGGCTGAGGAACAACGTGTCGACGATGCTGATGCGGAGCACCGTCGTGCCCTGGCCGGCGGGCACAGAGGAGTTTGTCACACACGACGACGTCGAGGCGTACATCCGCTCCATCGTCAACGCGGCCAACATCCGGCCGCTGATGTCGTTCGACACGGCGGTGCTGCACGTCGGCAAGCCGCCCGGCGCCGACAAGTGGACCGTCCGCACCAGGACGCTGCGGCGGGATCTAGACGCCGAAAAAGTAGCAGGGATCAGCTTCGACGAGCGCGAGTGGGCCTTTGACGCCGTCGTCTGCGCCTCGGGCCACTACCAGGAGCCGCGCGTGCCCGACGTTCCCGGCCTGGCGGCGTGGAAGGCGCGCTTCCCGGACCGCGTGGGCCACTCGAGAGCCTACCGCGACGCGGCCACGGCCCGATTCGAGGGCCGGGCCGTGTTGTTGATCGGCGCGGCCGTGTCGTCGCTCGACATCGTCAATGAGGCCGCCGCAGTCGCGGCAAAGGTGTACCAGTCCTCGCGCGACGGGCTCTTTGACGTTCCGGCCGCCATGCTGCCGCTGGACCGCGGGAACGTCGAGCGCGTCGCGGGCATCAGCCGGTTCGAACTTGCGCCGCCGCCGCCGTCCGCGGACGGCGGCGGCGACGTGCAGCAGCAGCAGCAACAGCTAGGAGACCAGGACCCCATCCCCGGCGGCGCCGTGCACCTGGCGGACGGGCGGGTGCTGCGCGACGTGGCGCAGGTGGTGGTGGCGACGGGCTACGTGACGTCGTACCCGTACCTGGGCCCGCGCCTGCAGCGGCCGGGGCTCCCGCCGGCGGCGGCGCGGCGCGCGCGCGACCGCGACGTCGTGGTGGCGGCCGACGGCGTCGTGCACCACAACCTGCACAAGGACATGTTCTACATCCCAGACCCGACGCTCGCCTTCGTCGGCGTGCCCTACTATAACTCGACC